TGCGCCTACGATCAACAAAACCACTCAAAGTCATACATTCAAATCTGTCAGGCAAGTTCTCACGAAAGAGTCTCAATGGTTCACGCTACTATATCTCGTTTGTTAATGACTGCACGCGCTTTGCCTGGGTCAAGTTCCTCAAGAAGAAAGCCAATGCCGCCCAAGCTATCATTAACTTTGTGGAGTTCGCCACCAAGCAGTTCAATCAAACAATCAAACATGTCAACGCTGGTGCTGTGTTGCGCCGCTTTAAGTCAGATAATGGCGGCGAATACCTTACCTCTACAGTCCAAAAGTACTTTTCGCGAAATGGAATCGAACACCACACTGTGCCACCTTACGCTCATAAGCTCAACGGTATCGCTAAGCGATTCAATCAAACAGTGACGCAGATCGCTCGCTCCATAATTAATAGTGATTCAACGCTGTTCCTCTGGCCTAAGGCTATTACAACAGCCTACTTCCTTATCAACCTCACGCCGCACGCCTCTGACAAACTACGCCGCACGCCCCATGAGCGACTATTCAATCGCAAGCCGGCGATCAAGTATCTTCGACCTTTTGGAATTAAGGCGTACGTTCACATTCCTAAGGAAGCGCGAGATCCAGACTCGAAACTGCTACATCGCGCAGAACAGGGTATATTTGTTGGCTATAGGCGCGACACTAAGGTCGCCCACGTCTATATACCCAACCGACATGTTATCGTCGAATCACGCGACGTCCAGTTCCAATCATTCACAACGTGAAAGTCGCCACAGTATTTCACCGCCACTTCTGAGGACGGCAGCGAACCAGACCGCGCAGTTCAACCAATGGCTCCAAACGAGCAATTCAATATTCGCCACATCAAACATGACCTGGCGAACATGGAGGACCCGGAAACTCCTTTTGAGATGCCACCTTCGCCACCACGAAGGACAGTGTCGAACATGCCACCACCGCCTGTGACTGGGTCTTCGACACCCGGCCCATCGCACGGCGGTGACACTCATCAAGGACGCCGACGCGCCGCTGCTACTCACTCACGCGACCCGCCAGGATCTTCGCGTTCAACGCCTACGTCTGATACCTCGGCGACAACAACTCGCTCGGGCCGCACAGTTGTTCCGTCACTCAAGGCACGAGAGTCGTCGCGACACAATGCCAACGCCGCAACGAGCGACTCGGTCTCTGACGTGTTGACAATAACAGAAATCTACGCTTACGCCGCCATCGCCACTGGCGAGAACCTCCCGCGCACACACGCTGAAGCCATGAGCGACGCCAACGCCCCGCTATGGCGATCACCTATCGCCCACGAAATCTGCGCGCACGAGACCAATAGCACGTATGATATCATACGCACAGAAGACCTGCCGCTGGGTACCAGACCTATCGGCACACGTTAGGTATTTGACGTAAAGAAGAACGAGCAAGGCGATATTATCAAGCGCAAGGCGCGACTTGTGGCGTAAGGTTTCTCACAACAACCTGGGATTGATTATAACAACACCTATTCTCCCGTTATACGTTACAATAGCCTGCGACTCATTGTCTGGCTGTCAATCCACAAGAGCTGGGGACTTCGACAGATGGACTTCGACGCAGCGTACCTTAATGGGACACTTAAGCATACTATATATGCACGCTGTCCGCCAGGCATTGGCAAGCCTGGCGATTTATTACGACTCCAAAAAGCACTTTACGGCCTCAAGCAATCAGGTCGCGAGTGGTATAACGTTCTTCGCGAATGGCTCCGCCAACAAGGCCTCGTTGCGTCGTCATTTAACCCTTGTGTCTTTATCAGCAAGGACCTTGTTGTCGGCGTGTACGTTAACGACGTCCTCATGGCTGGCGACCCCCATGCAATCACTACATTTATGGCTGCAGCTGGCCAGCGATTCCGCATAAAGGATCTTGGGCGCCCCAAGTTGTTGCTGGGCCTAGAGTTCGACTATAATGACGACGACGGTCACCAAATTTACCTCTATCAGCGCACCTACATCAATGCCGTACTGCGCCGCTACAGCATAGACAAGTGTAACACCTACAAGACCCCGCTGGATCCTAACCACTTTCCGCCTCGCTTTGAAGGGCCCGTCGACGAGGATCGCCAACGATATCACTAATCAATTATTGGATCTGTCAACTTTCTCGCTATTGTTTCACGACCTGATCTTTCGTACACCGTCAGCATGTTGGGTTCATACAATGCGAACCCGTCTAACCAACACGTGTCACTCGCTACCCAGGTGCTGCGCTACATGAAAGGCACTGTAGATTTCAAGCTGGCTGTCCGCCAAACTGCGCAGTCTGAGGCCATCATGTATACAGATGCCTCGTTCGGTTCTGACCCAGACAACGCAAAGTCATTCTCAGGGTACATACTGAGACTCAGCGGCTCTACCATTACTTGGTCATCAAAACGACAAGCCTGCGTCGCGAAATCAACAATGGAGGCAGAATATATGGCCGCATCATACGCTGCTGCTCACCTGGTGTGGTCCAAGCTGGCGATCACGGAGCTTACAGGCAGCGGCAATCGCCACCACTATCGCTACAGACTCTTAGTCGACAACCAGGCTGCGTTGTCGCTCATTCAAGACTCCAAGATCAGTGCCCGGTCAAAGCACATTAACGTCCACTATCACTTTGTACGCCACAGGTATGCTGGCAGCGAGTTCATGATCGAACATGTCGCCTCCAAAGACAATCTTGCCGATATCTGTACTAAGGCGTTGCCGTTACCGCTACTCACGGACCTAAAGTCACGAATCGCCAATAGCGATTGATGTCGACAATCAATCAATCGATCAAATCAATCGATCAATCGTCCAATCGATCAATCAATCACAATTGATCAATCACCTCACAGGTCACTCACTAATATCGATCATTGCTCGATTAGACGCTATCTAAACCGCGCATTTTGACCGCTCGCTCACTGATCAATTACTCCCAAAAGCACTTTTCCAACCAGTCCGCCGATCAGCGGTTCTTATGGTAATTATGGTGTTAATCAAGGACCATGGTGGACCTACGGATTGCATGCTTATGCCTATGTACTTAATCTACATTCACGCTGACACCGCCAGCTGGGAGGACTGTTGGCGGAAGGCGTTCCGTACCAGCTGGCAGGTGCCGCCCTAGGCACTAGCCCTATATAGAGGCTCCGCCGAGCCTGACCAATTCATCACTCTTACACTCAACTTCATGTTTTCCTGTACGTTTTTGGCCTACCACTTCAACACCCTGCTAACACCGCCCCCACTCTGCTGATTTCCTCAGTCTCACCGAACTTTACGGCTTGTTCTCAACATGGTCTATCCAGCCTCATCTTCATCACCGCCAACTATCCGAGTTCCCGCGCGGCTAACTAACTGAACTGGGGCCACTCCGCACTGACCTTCCAACCCAACGCCAAGAACCCCGCGATATGCTGCGTTGGCATCGTTGGGCGCGTAGGGAAACCCCATGCTGACATCATTGTACAGACGTAGACCCACTCATACCCTCAGATCTCACATCCAAACGTTCCTTGGTACCGTACAAAGCATGAAAGGCCCACTTGGCGCAAAACAATACCACCAATGTCTACCTATCTCCTGACAGCTGCCAATACAAGAAACTTGCTTTCGGGGATGAGCACGCGGATTCGGCGCGGCTCGGCGGTATACGATCCTGAGCAAGAGCCGCATACTCGGCAGTGGTGAGAGCAGCATCCGAACCACTCAGCCTCACGTCGGTGTCGTGATATCTCTGACCGCTTAGTGACAGGCATGCACCGCCGGCACTGGGTAAAAGATAAGCGCCTCAGACACATCACTTGACAGCACAAATCTTTCTTTGCACGGAGGAGAATCGGTCCTTTGGAGATCTTTCGCGGATCCTCACCTCAAAGGCACGAATGAAGCGTGACAGGTTTCACGTTTGAGAACTCCACCGCTTCTCCTGAAAGCCGAAGATCCTGCGTCAATGGCATTGCTCCAAGTGGCCTATCTCGTAATTGATGCGGCTCCGGCATTGCAATGGCATCAATGTCTGAAGCAACTTCATAGGTACAGCAGCGCCCCTAGGCACGAATACATCGAGTTACCTCTTCCCTGTCGTCGCTTGAATGGCCATATCTTCGCGCACTCTTGGAGTTGCTGCGGACAGCATCGCAGAAATTCCTTCTCAATTGAGAGGCTCTGTAGGTGCGCTTACTCTAGACTTCAAGCAGCTCTAATATCATGACTTTTCCACGGTTCAACTCCAGGTATCAACCCCGGGAATTAACTCCAGGAACCCGCTCCATGAATGATGCTGGCCAAAAGTTGAACCAGCACTGAAGCTGTCCCAATCTCAAGTCTGCAGTACGGGGCTACTACTGGCGCAGGTTGGTTGACTGACTGACCAGTTTTTTCCTACCTCAGCACGAGTCTTTTTTATGGAACAATGAGATCGTAGACCTTTTAATACACTCGCTGAGCTAAAATTAAGGAATTCACCAATCACTTTAAGCGTATCTTCACCTGGACCTGCTTTCCTACTTGTTACCTTTTCCTAATCGGATCGCTTCCTAGTGGCTCAGCCCGTAATTGAGAAAATCTACGGTATTTTTTTCACCTCGACCGTTTGCACCACACCCCGTATATAACTCTGCCCCACCAACGAATGCTCAAGGATAGCATCGGCTAAGTACCGAGCTAACGCTAACCCCTTTGGCTACACCGCATCGACGGCTGTAAGTTTTATTCCACTTTTCTGTTTGCCAAGCAGAATTCGCCCGAAGGAATTGGTGTTTGAGGCTACTGACGTGCCGCCGGCTCGTCCGGCGTGAGACCAAACGCACGGTACCCCTCCAGTTCAACAGCGTCTGAAGGAACGTATACCACGAAATATGTCACGAGTCAACGGTCACGACGAGGTATGTGTATCATTCAGTTCGTTTCAGGTAACTAGCTGATTTGGAGTGTCATAGCCGTACTGGCTCGGTCGAGCGACTGATGAGCAGCAGCGTTTGATTAAGCAGCATCATGTGTGGACGAAGTAAGTTGTCACAGTCTGAATCTTAAAGAGAAAGGTGGAAGAAGCTGACCAGGTTTTAGAGCGATCGGATATCTTCTCCACCCCTCCATTGCCGCGGTCCTACCAGAGAACGCGCGGATAGCCGACGTTGGCACGGGCACTGGAATCTGGATGAGCGAACTCGCTAAAGTTTCCCCATCAACATATACATTCAATGGCTACGATATCTCCTCAGACCAGTTTCTACCAGCTGAATCTCTTCCTTCCAACGTCACGCTTGAGTTCGGCGACTTCAAGAAGCCGATCCCGGATGAACTGAGGGGAAAGTTCGACCTTGTGAACATTCGACTAATCATCATTTCCATGGGCGTGGGCGTGTGGGAACCTACTTTACAGAACATCCTCCCGCTACTCAAGCCCGGTGGTGCTATCCAGTGGACGGAAGGCAACTTCCTCGAGGCCAGGGGTTTCCGGGGGCAGTCACCCAAGTCGACGCCAGGACACTTTCTCACCAGGGCGCAGAATCAGTTTAATGGTACGCTTGTCAAGCGCTTTCAATGGTGCTTTCCACCAGATTGGCAGAAGATGTACGCAGATGCGGGGTTGGTCAACATCGAAGAGGACGTGCTAAGCACCGACCGAAATCCCGAGCAGCGGCCTGATTTCACCGAAATTGGCATTGGTGCAGTGCATCATGGGCTAGGGAATCTGGCGAGGATAAAGGAAGACGGATACTGGAATGAGCAAGAGGTGCAGGAGTCGAAGCAGAAGGCGCTCGAGGACAGGGCGTCTGGAGCTTACCTGCGCTGGGACTTGCACGTTACGATTGGGTTCACCAAGGATGAATGAGCATTTTCCCGACAGTCAGGCCGAAGCTTGGAGAAGCAGAGCCGTTGAGCTAACCGCACGTAGGGGCCGTTGAAAGATAGGGAAGATATCTATCTAGCCTAACATCCTACAGTAGCAGACACCTGTAATCTCCGCACCTGCATCCAAACGTGCAACTACCGTACCTCAACCATGGCTGACTTTATACCCCGTCTTCCGACCATTCTCCCGCGTTTCCAAACATGTTAAAAAACATGAAGATCTGATTGGCTTGGACCCTGCCTCGTGTGAAAATCCTGCTTCCTCGCGACTCGTGCCTGCTAAGCACACGCGACCCAGCAAACCGGTGCACACCCCGGCGTCAATCGTGAACCATACTTTCTTTACATCCAGACTGTCAGCTCGCGATTGTGAAACAGTCGTTCAGTTGCGACAGCTGCGGCATCTTGATAAAACCCACCGAGGCCGCGTTATCGATTGCAACGCTGGTGGGGCTCCGGACACTAGGATGACGTCGCGTGGCGGCGATCGATCAGAACGATCGCTCTGTGTGGGCTCCCAACATACGCGGGTTCGAAGAGATATGGGGACCTGGAGGTCTGGATCATTGTTCGAGACTGCAGTTGACGCGTGTTTCTATTTTTGACTCTTTTTCCATCCCATCTTATCGTGATACTTGCTCGCGTGCTTTTCTTTCTACTCCTTCGCTTTTTCCACTGTCGATGCGAATATGAGCGCCTACACCCGGCAGTCGCCGAGAGACTCTGGCTCCGACAGTACTGACCAATTCCTGAATCTGATCGCGGATCCGTTCCAAGCAGAGGTGTCTTCCCTTCTCTTCAATTGCATGTCCATCATTTGCTAATTTTCAAAGGTTCAAACAAACTCCATCTACGCCGCTATCGTGTATGCCTTCGCCGTCTCTGGCGGCCTCTTCCTCCTCTTCTGCATACTTCGTCCTCGCAACTCGCGCGTCTACGCCCCGCGCGCCAAACACGCAGACGAGAAACATGCCCCGCGACAACTAGACCGCAAGCCTTTGGGCTGGATCGCAGCGATACGAGATGTCAAGGAGCAAGAGCTGGTAGAAAAAATCGGCCTCGATGCCGTCGTCTTCCTGCGGTTTCTGCGGATGCTGCGGAACATCTTCCTCGTGCTCAGCATATTCGGATGCGGGATCTTGATACCGGTAAACGTGGTGGGAGGGAGCGCCTTTTACGAGCAATGGGACGACATCGCGACGCTGATGAAGTTCACACCGCAGTATATCTTTGGGCCGAAGTTCTGGGCTTTTGTGATTTGCTCGTACTTGTTCCAGGGGACAGTGTGTGGGTTCCTGTGGTGGAATTACAGGGCTGTGTATAGGTTGAAAAGGGCGTATTTTGAAAGTGCGGATTATAAGTCGAGTCTGCATTCGAGGACGCTTTTGGTGAGATAGGACGTATCGCTGGATCGAATTAGTACTGACGGTGCTTCAGCTGACTCATATTCCTGAGTCGTCGAGGACGGATGCTGGAATTGCTGAGCTCGTGGAAACGGTCATGCCGACCCAGGCACTACCGAGGACTGCAATTGGTCGCAATGTCAAAGACCTTCCGAAGCTGATCGAAGCACATGATGAATCTGTTCGAGAGCTAGAGGCTGTTCTCGCCAAATACCTGGGCAACCCGGAAAAGCTACCGGAGAAGCGTCCGATGTGCAAAACGGAGAAAGATGACAGGTCAACTTACGGCAAAAAGAAGGTCGACGCTATAGATTACCTAACGGACCGTATCGCTAGGCTCGAAGTACAGATCAAAGAGGTGCGCGAGAGCGTCGACAAGAGGAACCCCACACCTTATGGTTTCGCCAGCTATCCACACATTGAAGACGCCCATTCAGTCGCCTATGCATCGCGAAAGAAGGGCCCCAAAGGTTGCGATGTCTACTTAGCACCAAAGCCCCACGATCTTCTCTGGCAGAATCTCCCCATGAGCAGGGCTACCCGACGAGTTCGCATGTTCTGGGACGGTCTATGGATGGTCCTCTTCACTGCTGCTTACATTGTTCCTAACATCCTCACCTCAGTCTTCCTCTCGGATTTCTCTCATTTAGGATTAGTTTGGCCTTCGTTCCAAACCAACTTACAGGCTCATCCTACCGGTTGGGGTATTGCTCAGGGTATTCTTGCCCCTGCTGTACAAACTTTGATCTACATGGGCATTCCGGTCCTGTTCCGCCGTCTGTACACTCACTCAGGAGACGTCTCTAAAACGTCTAGGGAGCGTCACGTCACAGCCCGTCTGTACGCTTTCTTCGTCTTCAACAACCTTGTCGTTTTCTCGATCTTCGGATCAGCGTGGCGCTTCGTTGCTTCCGTCATCGCCGCACAGGATCAAGGAGTGTGGGATGCTATTCGTTCAGCGCACGTTTTCTCGAAAGTCATGACCGGACTGTGCAACATGTCTACCTTCTGGCTGACCTGGCAAATGCAAAAGAATCTCTCTGCGGCTACGGATCTTGCGCAGGCATGGCCTCTGGTATGGAGCTATATTCAGCGCAAGCTCTTTTCGCCTACACCTCGCCAGCTCATTGAACTCAGCGCACCTCAACCCTTTCTGTACGCCGAGTACTACAACAGTTATCTGCAGGTCGCAGTAGTCGGCCTCACATTTGGCACGTTACAACCGATCATCCTTCCCATCACAGCGTTCTACCTAGTCATCGAGTGTTGGTTCAAGAAATATATGGTCCAATACGTGCTCATCACGAAGACCGAGTCCGGCGGCCGTTTCTGGCGCCTCCTCGTCAACAGAATGCTCTTCAGCGTCGCTCTCGGCAACGCCGTCATCGCCCTTGTCGTCGGCGCCCAAGGTGTAGGCAGCATAAACTCCGTGCGGAATGGCAACATGCTATATGCCATGATTCCGCTGCCCCTCCTTCTCCTCGCCTTCAAGTGGTACTGCAAGCGCGCCTTCGACGACAAACTCATCTACTACTCCACTTCGCCCTTCTCCGACGCCGAAGACACCGCCTCGCCGGACGGAAAGAAACCGAAACGCAACGACCGCGTCGCCGTGCGCTTCGGCCACCCAGCACTGTACAAAAAACTCATCACGCCCATGGTGCACGCCAAATCGCAGCACCTCCTCAAAGAACTGTACGGCCACCGCGCCTCCCTCGGCGACAGAAACATCTTCGAAGCGCCGCACCGCCGCTCCACAGACCGCGCTATGCCCACCACCCCCTACGGCTACAGCGACGTCTTCATGGCAGAAATGGACCCCCACGACCCCGGAAAATCCGTCCCCATCGCTCAGGACCTCCCCGGCGTGGAGCTCGTCGCGGAGGAAGATCTCGACTTCGAGAACTTCAAGAAGAGGGCGGAGTTCAGGGAGGAGTTTGGCGGCGATGGCGAGTTGTATGGTAGACCTGAGGATATGGTCAGTCGGCCGGGGACGCCGAGTACGTTTGCGACGTTGAATAATAGCGGGTTTTTTACGCCGGTGAAGGTCGGGGGTGAGGTGTCGTCGATAGGGGCGTCGAGTACGACGAAGAGAGGGAGTGACGAGGACCAAGAGCGGGAACACGAGCAGGGTATGTCGTACGAGCCGGGGTACCAGCGGACGCCGCTGCGCGACCATTTCGAGGAGGTGCATGTTAGCATCCCTGCCACGCCGCTGGATGCGGAGGAGGTGCTACAGGCGGGGAGAGTTGTGAGGCAGGATAGCCATGGGAGGTTGCTGCAGGATGAGGACGATGGAGAGGACGAGTACTTTGCGCGGACGTTTGGAAACGAAGATACGAGTTATGAACGGTTTAGACGGTAGGGAAAGATAAGGGGGTTGGGCTGTAGATTGCGTGTATCATAGATGGCGTTGTGAGCGATGCATTGGCATCGTGCAAAAGTGAGTGGCTGAGCTGAAATACAGGTCTCTTCGTATACGAAATGTTGCATGTTCATACGCAAGTTTTGTGTGTTGTTGTATGCTGCATTCCCGTTGCCTAAGTGTCCAGTGCAAAACACCTCTCCGCATTATCCTCATTATTCCCCCACCAAGCCGGCATCTGAATCTGCCTCCCACTCCCAAAGAACAGGAAAATAAGCAGCATATTAAAATTAAACGCCGCATCGAACGCCGCAGCGACGATGTAATTATATCTCTTCCAGATCTTAAAATGGTGGCGGAAGATCCAGTACATGGCGACGAAGCCGCCGAGCCACGCGCTGAAGTACCCCGTGCTCAAGTTACCGTAGAACACCGTGACCCCCGAGAAGAAGATCGTCGTGTTCCAGAGATGGAATTTGAGCTTTGATTTGGGGAACGAGCGGTAGAGGGCGTACACGACGAGTGGGGCTGCGGCGCCGACGAGGAAGCCGTAGGGGAGGGCTTTTAGCTCGGCGGCGCCGAACATGCGCTTTGGGCCGATGACGGCGTACTGAACGCCGATTGTATTCGAACTCACAAGACTTTGGCCGGTCCACTGGTGGAGAGGGTCTGTTTTTGCGCCGGAGAGGTAGTCGAACTTTGTGTTGAGGACCCAGCGGATTACACCGTAGTTGATGGGTATGCCTAGGATGCTTCCGAAGACCTGGCTGAAGAAGACGGTGCGGGGTGGTATGTGCATGTAGTGACCTATGCGTTGGTCTTGGAGCATGTATTGTGCGCGATACCATGCATCGCCTGCTATGGCGCCGTAGACTGAAGGCCCGCAAGGATGGTGGTGGGCGGCTCCGGCGGCGGTGTGGACCATGTAGCCGTATATGAGCTCATTGAAGTCACCGATTGCGACTTGGTAGTTTGAGATGGCGTAGAGGTACCCGAGAGGGACGACAACAACGAAGCCAGTCGCGACACCAACGATCACCGTCCACCAAGGGATGAAGAGCTGGCCAGAGCCTATGATCGCAAGCAAGATGACGAATCCAGCGAGGAATAATGTCACGAACCACCACCCAGGGACTTCTTTGTACGAACGCTGAAGGACATTCAGACGATCAGTGTACTGGTGATGAATATTGGGTTCCTCGGCGCCAGCAGAAGCTTGCTGCTTTCTGGCTTCGCTACGAGCTTTCCGTGCAGCCATGTTCTTTCCAAATGTTGCTAAGATGGCAGGACCTCCGAAAGTAGCCAGCCAAACAAAGGCCGAAGGTAACTTGGCGTAGTTGAAGAACGTGGCCCACGCGAATTGCAGTCCCATGTATGCCGGACCGTACTCCTTCCAGGCAGTCTCGTTCAGACTGAAGTCGCTGTTGACAATCTTGGCCGTTGGATATTTCGTTCCGTTGGCCAAAAGCAACGAGTTGGACATCAAGCCGTGTTTGTAAGAGCCTAATAAAGAGTCAATCGCACTGTAAGAGAAATGGTTGTGCCTATAATGCAGAACCCACCTAAATTGCCCCACTTAGCCGCTGGAAGCAGAATCCAACAATTGAATGCAAAGGCAAGGAACAGCACGGTCTGTGTCCAAAACGGCGTAATCAAGATCGATGTGCCATTCCAATTGATGTTTGACCAATCGAGACTCAGGTTCATGAAGCCCATGCCTCCAAGGCCAGAACCAATGAAGTTCGCAACTGGATTCTTTGGTGCTACCCAACACAAGAAAGCAAGCGAAGAAGTCATTGGAAAGACGTATTCCGGCAAAAACTGCCAGAGCGTCATACCAACAAGGCACAGGAAGAATATGTGCATCTGTCGTTTAGCCAGTGGGCTGTTGCGATCCTGCTTGCGGAAGGTCTCGAACAGAGTCGTCTGCATGAGCGCCTGGGGCCACACATACTCAGGCTCCCACAACAGCAGCGAACGAGCGATCGCAGCGATAGCGTAGCCAACCCAGACAATGGCTAACATGAAGAAGATGGCCACGGCAGGGTTGATCCTGGTGTCGTACCACAATTCAGCCATGGAGATTGGCTTCCGAAGGGTTAGCACGTGGCCCCAAGCACTTTTCGACAAAGGAAGCTTACCGTATAGCCCAGATTGTAGGTCGCACCCGATGCCGCAGTCAGAGTAACTAGAACATGCTCCTTGATGCTCCATGGTGCCGGATTCAGGTTGAAACCGTAGCCGAAAGGTAGGTTGATTTGCCAGGCTGGCAAGACTTTTGCGAGACCATGACCGACATAGTGACAGGCGATCTGCACGAAAAATACGGAGTACGGGGCTTGAGTTGTACGGTAATGGCTCATCTGCGACAGGAAGGCGCCAGGAACGATGAACAAAATGCAAAGAACGAAGTAGCGGAAGGTGATAGTCGGGAGTGTGGGATCATCTTCCAGAGAGACAGTCTGGCGCACAATGAGTGGCAGCTGTGCGATTTCAGGGTCATCGTGGGCTTCTTCTTCGACAATTGCAGTGTCATCAACTGCGTCGAGTCCCAATGGTGATTGGGCTTCTGAGGTGTCAACGTGGACACCCTTGTCGGTTGCCGAAGATACGGGGTGGCTTGAGGCTGGGCTAAGCTCAGCACTTGCGGTCTTGGCCGCCGCCTTGTCAGCGTTAAGGTCGGTCATGGTGGCCGGCTTGTCGTCCTTCCATCTTTCACGACTTCACGATCCTTAAAACACTACATTCCCAAAGATTCGATCAATTGCGCCATTCGAGCTTGCATGGTGTTATCGCGATAGCTAGCCTGCACGGGCAACCGTTACGTGTTCGCTTGCTCGGTCACCCAACGGCAGCGCCGATTATCTACCAAAGCCTGGTCTTTTTCTCCACTGAAAGCCGCTAGCTCGATGTCTAATGAAAACTTGCAATTCTCTGCAACGCAATGTTACACTCTGGAAATCGCGCGATGTAGCACGGGTACAGAAGCGCTTGGAGGGAAGGATGGATTCCTGAGAGACCAGCCTCGTGCCTCAGGTGGCACTTGGGCAAGCGGATTCCACGTGATGCGATATATACATGTATCCAGACAGCGTGAGTGCACCTTCTGTTGCCCACACCAGGCAGCAAATACCAGGCAGTTCGTATTAGACGGTAAAATCGGACATGATACTAAATACAGCTTATCTCGCGATCAAGTCAGTCACTGATTGGGCGTTTCGACGATCAAAGATAACCATGCCATGGCTCTGGCGCACTCGAACACCTCTTCTTGCGCGATATTCATAGCTACCCTTCTCTAACATCAGTGAGAGAGGAATTCACACTGTAGAAGTAAGTACATGACAGTGCTGCACAATTGAATTCCTTGCTAGACAAGTCGGAGTTGCTGCCACACACCTCCGCGTGGGGACCCGGCCGGAGGCTGATCACGTATTCAATCGGCCGATAGAACATGTCTCAAAGACATCCAAAAGCACAAATATTATAGAGGAGCTCAATCATATGCCTTTCCCTTCCTTCCACAATTCAATTTTCGCTGCTTCACACTCACACCAGCCATGGCGACCACAACAGCAACCACTCGCTCCCCCTCCACTCCTTCCCCCCCTACTAAGGACCTCCCAACGACAATGCACGCATGGCAATGGACAACCTGCAACACAACCCTCGAATCAGCCCTAACCCTCAACACCACCGCCCCCTCCCCTTCCGCCCTCTCGCCCCAGGAGAAGCCTTAATCCGCGTCCACGCCGCCTCCCTCAACCCCGTAGACTACAAGCTCGCCGAAGTCCCCCTAATCGGCCGCCTCGCCATCCCCAAACCCGCAACTCCAGGCCTCGACTTCGCCGGCGTCGTCGCCAGACCCGGTCCCAACTCAGCCTTGAAAGCAGGCCAGCGTGTCTTCGGCAAATTGGAACCTAAACAGCAGTACGGCACGCTGGGCGAGTATATCATCGGCTCGGCTGCTGGGACTGTACCTTTGCCTGATGGCGTGTCGTTTGAGGAGGGTGCGACGCTGGGGGTGTGCGGGTTGGTTACGTATCAGTGTCTTGTCAAGAACGTGAAGAGGGGCGATAGGGTGCTGGTGAATGGTGGGAGTGGGGGTACGGGGACGTTTGCGGTGCAGATTGCGAAGGCGTTGGGGTGTGAGGTTGTTACGACGTGTTCTAGTAAGCTCCGTTCCCATCCCCAGATCTAGGAGGTAGGAGAGGACCATGCTAATCGGTGTGTAGGCGCGAATGTGCAGCTGTGCAAGGATCTGGGCGCGGACGAGGTCATTGATTACCGCACACAGAGCGTAACAAGCGTATTAGAGAACGGCGAGAAGAAGTTTGATTTCGTGCTCGACAACGTTGGTGAGCCGGCTGCGTTGTATTGGAAAGCACCGAGTTTCACGAAGCCCGGTGCGAGGTACGTACAGATTGGATCACAGGTCAGCCTGGGGTTCATATACGACCTTGCGTTCAGGTTCGTTGTGCCTACGTGGCTCGGAGGTGGACAAAGACCGTTCTCGTTCGCTTTTGCATCGACGAATTTCGACGACTATCAGGGTTTGGCGGATTTGCTGGTGAAGGGACAGGTTAAGCCGGTCATCGATGAGGTGTTTGAATTGGAGAATGCGCCGAAGGCATACAGGAAGCTGAGAACAGGGCGGGCAAGGGGCAAAATTGTGGTAAGAGTTGTGAATGAGTCCTGAAAAAAGAGAATAGCCGAGTTCACGAAGTAACGAGAGCATTGGGACGTGTGTACATATTAAACGGGCTCGAAAAACGTCGCGTTCAGCCAGCAAGAATCGAATAAAAACCAGCCCAAGCTATCTCCTATGTGCGAGCGCCTCGATCAAGGCTTTGTATATAAGGCACAACTATTTTGATATGTAAAACCACAGTATCTCTCTCTTTATGTAAAGTGAAATATTCCTCTCAAAGCGGAAGAGAAACACTTTCTCAAACAGGTAAATAGTCGAAATTGTCGGTATGTGAGACCTGTTCCTCGAATTTAATACCTGTATCACAAATTCCACAGTTTCCATCTCTACACCCATCGATCTGCCGCACACGATTGCAGAAGCCACTTCGAAGAAACTTTCTCTTTCCGCACTTACCAACACAAGACGAGCCGAATGTAGATAAGTGACCTCGTGTATCGTTTTTGTTTCTGACCTGACTACCCAGCCTGTACACGGTAAATCTAGTCGGATCTCGAACAACGAAATGCAAATGTGGTATCACCAACGCCTTCCCCTCAACGTTCTGCCATACCAAAACCAGGTCGAAATATCAACAGTGAGCCCATGTCTCTCCTAGAAGCTCACCCATTCCATCCAGCTCTCTAGAAACCTCATCCTTCCCTCCCTCGTTGCACGCTCAAACTCGTCGAAGCTGACCTTCCCACTGCCCTTCCTTTCACCATCGCGTCGGTCTACGCTCTCTAGCTTAGCCAAAGCCACAATTTGCAAGTGCATGTTCGCGCTGTCGTCGTTGGCGGCCGCAAGTATGGCTCGATGGAATGTACCTTCCTGCTGTGGGGCACAGGGGTCGAAAGCCGGGTGTTGGCTTAAGAGGCGGGTTTCATCGGCAAGGGTATCATTTTCGAAAGAGAGGATATGCATGATCGGGTGAGGAAGAGGCTCTGGAAGGGGGATTGGGCGTGAGAGGGTAATGCCGTACTCGTCGAGGGCGTAGGGTGCAGTGCCGACTTCTGTGGCTGGCTTTTTGTCCGAGAGGTTGATTCTGGACTTAGGATGAGGGACAACGAAGAGTGGGCCTGTATGAGGGGTCAATTTAAAGCTTGGAATGAAGTGAAAACCATCGGCCATTGAGAGGAGAGGCGGAATAGGTTGTTAGGGTAAAGCAACTTACCAAACGGACGGTCAAGCGAGGCAAGCATATCGTCTACCGTTGTATCGGCAGCGTCCTTGATCGTTGATACCATGTCGCTCAGCGAATTTGGACGAAATTGTGGAAAGGTCTGGTCCCGTTCAATCATCGCAGGCACACTCTTGCGATGCTCGATTATAGGCGACGCAGGTTTCGAAACCGACATCCAACCCTGTCTTATGGCCAGCTCCTCAATCGTCTTCTTGAGCTCGTGTTCCAACTGGGCTCTGTACAACATCGCGACCCACAATTTGGACTCTTCTGGCTGCCGCTCTTGAGCTAAAGGCTCTATACTGCTCTCCGCGGCCCTGAACAGGTCACCGACCATAGCTGCAACTTCTGCTTGTTTGAGAGGAGCATTGGCTGCGAACAAGCTGAAGTCTTGTTGACAGAAAGCCTTCAGGACGCAATTGGCGTATGTGAAGACACCTAAAATGGCGATCCGCTTGAGTAGGTCTCCGTCGTTATTGAACCTTTCCAGCATCGCGTCAATGTCGGTGACAAAGCGCCGTCGCTCATCCCGGTAGGCGTATGCGTCCATTGCGGCGTCTTCCCCTTCTTTGAACAAGGGATCAAGGAGCTCATTGAAAGCCTGCTGGGTAATCTGGTAAAGCACTTCTTTGCCAAGATCTTTCTCTGGCTCGGGTATCTCATAGCCACCCCAACGTTCGCCTACCGGTCGTGAGGAGGTTGAGGCATTGGAGCGGGTTTCCACGTCCACGTCATCCTGGAATCGAACTTTGGAAGAGGATCGAGACCATCTTGGACGTTCTGATTCCGGAGTTGGAGGCTCATACTCTTCGTTTTCCACCGCGTCCTCATCCTGGAACCCGTTAGGCTGATGATCAGATGAAGGTGTGGATGGACTGTCAGCAGCCCCTTGTGGTCGGTTGAAACCTTCTTCTTCGTCGGTATAGAACTGTCTTCGGGCCCATCTGTCTTGAAGGGTATCGTTTACGACAACGTGTGAGTCCTCAAGCCCGTCTTCACCGTTTGCGCGAGGGTTCGTGCTTGCAATGACAGTTTCTCGATCCAACGTGTCCGGCCGATTCTCAATTATGGGTGCAGTATCGATCTCATCATCCGATGGCTTTGTCCGCAGCAGCCAGTTGGGCTCTCCTGGCTCGATAGCGCCCTGTGTAAACGCGGATCCCAAGGGTTGGGCAGATTGTATCACTTCCAAAGCGCCACGAACGGACATCTCTTCAGCAGATTCTGCGAGGTAATTCCTTGTGGCTTCTCTTTCGATCGCATAATGAGCCCTAAACACTCGTAGCACATCCTTTCTCGATATGTACCCATCACCGTCAATATCGTATCCATTGAAGACGATTCTCAGCTTGATGTGCACGTCGGTCGCATGCAAGCCATCAATTCCTTTGACGAACTCCTCAAAGCCGATCAAGGTATTGTGATCGGTATCGAAGTACGAAAACACACGATCGTAGATGAGATTTGGTGCCGACTTGAAGGTCGAATAACGTGGTATGAAGGCGTGATTGAAAGCGCGTCGGTCGAGTGCCCAGCCAAGACCGTTAGGGTCTGCCGTCCACGAAGTCGTGGCAAGGCATGTGAATTGATCCCACAGCGCTTCGATCTCCTCTGCCTCCATTCGAGTGTCGCTGACTAGGCGCCTCTTCAGCTTGGCATCAATCGATGGGCTCATCATGTGCGGTCGTCCTGGATAGAGGGGCTCTTGCTTGGTAATGCTGAGGTTTGGTGCTGGTACCCTGATCTTGTAGAATATGTGCGTTTTGACGTGGGAGTTCGTCGCTTCGCAATCAGAACACAAATCGAAATCGGCACAATTTGCGCAATGCCACCTGATGCCACGGATAGGCTTACTGTCACAGCCATTACAGGTAATGCCACGGTGAACGACGCCCTCATGCCGGGCACGATCCTCTGCTATATGATACAAGGTCCGTTGAAGCGTCTGGCCTTCAGCATCACCTACAATGTCCTCTTCCCAATCGCCAGCCTCAGTAGGCGGTATAGTTTCGAGATCGTCCACGGGTTGCCCTTGAGCGTTGAGGATTGAGGTTCTGTTACGGAGTCTTTGAAATGCGTGGTCCATTCCCTGCCCTGTGAAGATGTCAGCATATAGCTAAGGTTAAACTTTGATTGCTTCCGGCCGCTATCTGGTCTAATTCGGGATAGCACCTGGTATCTGGGAATCTTGACTTACAGGTCGACTGCTCATTTGTTATGCTCACGATGGCCTCAAGCTCCGCAGTCGGAAGTTCTGAGAGCGGACGTCCTTGGGCCAGCTCCTCAAGAAAGCGATCCACGTAATAGTCGTAGGCCTCGTCAATGCGACTCTCGATGAGCTCGTCGGTGGCATTTGGATCGAGCTCGCGTCCAAGCGCTAGCAGAGAATCATGATCCATATTATTCCCCGGGCCCGGTCTGATAATCTGTCCAAAGAAGTCGAACTCGCCCAGGGCAGTAGTCTCAGCCAGGAGCTGTTCGACGACACGAGACGGATGCTGCGATGGCGCACGATTGCGAGGACGGGTACGAGTGTTCGGCCTGCGGACTGCATTGCTTCGGTGAAGGCCCTCGGATGGGGTATCGCTGAAGCTGGTGTATAGAAGCCATGTCGCATATGCGGCCGCCGCGCCAGTGAGTACGAGGACTGCGGGTCGATATCGAGAGACGGATGAGGGCGTCGGCATGACAAGCCGCTGACCCTTTATCGCCTATACCGTTCCAGTAGAGGGTACAAAGGATTCGGGCGGAGCTATCGCACGGTGATCGGCAGGTATAATACAGGTAGTGTACAGCGGTGGACGGTGAAGCCTAGAGCTGTTTGCGCGCAGCGACAGGAGGTAATGACGCTGGCGGTTGACGAGTTCAAACAGAGCGAGGAGCTCGTGATAGGATGCCTACTTTACAGGCATCGTCATCGCCAGCGAGGAGAGCAGGCGCGAACGAGCTGTTTGTGAATGTATTGTCGCGGCTTCCCCGAAGGTTGCAGCCTCGGCCACTAAGCGCTTAGTCAGCCAAATCCCTGTCGTCAACCTCCCAATGTAGACTCTGCATCCGTTGCAGTCACAACGTTCACTAACTAGTTTCGAGAATCGTGCACCCCCAATTATCATGTCAGACTACGACAATCACATCGTCTGCATCGGCGCCGTGTACATTGACACTATCCTCACCGTCCCTCATTTTCCCATTGAAGACGAGAAACTCCGCGCAAAGAAGCTCATCAAGCGCCGCGGAGGCAACCCAGCTAACACACTCGAAGTCCTCCAACAGCTGAACTCACATGCAGGTGGTCAGAACGCAGAATTTAACAAACTGCATTTATGCTCTGTGCTTCCGGCTAAGGAATCTGCCGCGAAACACTTCATTCAGCAGAGTTTGCCAGGCGTAGATATCGATGGGTCGGCTGTGTTTAGGGAAGGTGAGAAGGAGGCGGCGAGCAGCTATATCATTCAAAACGAGCAGACTCTGAGTAGGACTATCGTTAGTATCAACCAATTGTCGGAGATGACCGCGGAAGAGTTTGGCGAGAAAGTACTCCAGATGGCGAGGAACCAAGCGGGGCTGAAGTGGGAGGAGCCGTGGTTTCATTTCGAGGGAAGAATACCGGAATTCACGGCACAGTGCATGAGGTTTCTGCGAAAGGAGTTTCCCGAGTGTAGGATTAGTGTGGAATGTGAGAATCCGGAACGGACGGGGATGGGCGAGGTTGCGAGGATGGCGGATGTAGTGTTTTATTCGAAGCTCTGGGCCACGAAATGGGGGTTCGAGGATGCTAGGAGCTTTTTGCAAGCACAATTGAAGGATGCAAGAGATGGAGCTGTATTATGCTGCACATGGGGCGCTGAAGGAGCGGCTGCGGTTGAGAAATTTGGGGTGAATATCCGGTGGGCGGAAGTGAAGGGTTGGCAGCAAAAGCGAGAAAAGCAGCGCCAGGTGGTTGATACAATTGGAGCTGGTGACACCTTCATTGCTGGCATGCTTTATGCTCTCAATGATATGCATGACGGTTGGGATCTGCAGTTGCAAATCAGTTTCGCAAATGAACTTGCTGGACGTAAAGTTCGGCAGGAAGGCTTCGGAGACTTGGGACGGCAGATGATGACAAGATTCAAGTCTTGATATATCGTAGACTCCGAGACAGTTGCTGGTTCACTTTCGATTGCTGGATTCACCGACTGCCGTGGATTTTCGCAAGATACCCTGCGCAGATTCCATGTCTGGTTCGTCATTGTTACACTCAACCTGGAAATTGCCATTCTAATTCTAACATACAGCATTGTCCCAACGCCTCGCTCCGTACCACGAAATCAGCAACGCTATGCTAGCAACCATGAAAGCTTTCATTACCACGCAGAGTGTCCACCATCAATCTTCAAATCAGATCCAGTCTAGTTCCTGTCAGCAACGATCAATTACACCTCGGGAAGGACCTTACCATGAAACTACTAGCATCGCTCAGCAAGAATACTGCAGCGCCTCGGTATTCCCCGGGCTTGGAAAGACGACCGAGCATGTTGTCTTTCGGCCAGTTCTCCTTGCGCTCAGGGAACTTGACGAACAACTCCTCGACCATGGCCGTTACGATGTATCCGGGGGAGATGGTGTTTACACGGATGTTGTACTGGCCCCACTCCATGGCGAGGTTTCGAGCGAGCTGAATCACGCCAGCTTTCGACGCATTATACGCAGGACAAATGAGGCCCTAGAAAGCGTCAGCCCTAGAGTTCCAATCAGTCGAGGAAGAAGAGTACCTTGTTGGCTACGCTGCCGGACATGCTGGCAATCAAGATAATACTTCCGCCGTTGCCGTACTTAATCATCTGCTTTGCGACCGCCTGGCTGGTCATAAAAACGCCAGTGACGTTCACCTCGAACATACGGTTGGCATCTGCCGCAGTGTACTCGAGCGCCGACGTCTCTTGTTGGATACCAGCGGCCGCGATGAGCCCATCCAGCCTTCCGTGCTTACTGGCGATGTCCTCTACGATCTTGTTGAGCTGTTCTACCTCACGTACGTCAACCTGCCGGTACTGCAGTTCTGTGCCGAGCTCCGTTGCTGCGTGCTTTGCGATGTCGTGGAACTCCGGTGAAGGCTCAGGGAGTCGATCAAGGGCGTACACTGTACGATCCATCAATGTAGGGACAAAAGGAATGCAGATAGTACTCACCAGTAGCTCCGGCTTCGAGCAATGCCTCTGCTTGTGTGAGGCCAAGTCCACGCGCAGCTCCAGACACCAGAATGACTTTGCCGCTAAGGCTGAATTCAGGGAGACCTTTCGAAGCCATGTTTGCGACACTGCCCATTACGTTTGTACTGCAGGTAGGGGGGTTGAGGAAAGCAATTGTAGGAAACCTGTGCGAACGAAAACTAGGGACAGAAGCAAGGGAATTTCAAGGGAAGAGACCCTTTCTTGACGACGAAAAAACATCACTGTATCATATGATCACGATCTACGCCGGACCGCGACGCTTCCATGGCGCCTTCGCTACACATGGCAGAACATACGAGAGTGCCACATAATTGTTGCGGGGAACTGTGTACACGGAACTTCCCAATGCGGACATGCCGTAGCACTTCCGCGGCCAACCTTGGCTAACATTGGACGGCAGCGGCCACTATACTATTTTGGACCAGCACCTGATTGAAAAAGGATGACTTGCCTTTCAAACTCGGCGTCAGCTATCGAGGTACATGTTTTACAACATTTTCAGAACCTTTTCAAACTCTTCTGATTGAACATAGTGTTGTTCAGATAGAAAGCCTCATCGAAGTAACAAGGCTAACCAATTGCACCACCAACGCTAAGAACGCCTTCTAGAGCATATCGCTACCCCGCCGTCCCCACATGCCGTGGTTTCATTGCGCAACGGCGCCCGCAAGTACCAGGGACTGCGAGTACGTTAAAGAGCAGGCAATATGTGAACAAAGCCCCTTTGATAAGTATCACTGTTGAGCGAGAGGATAGGTACGATAGCCGTTGGACCACGTTGTCACCTATCTACCTTCGATCGCGGTAGTACGCTCCCCTATCTTCGGGACCGCAACGACCCCTCACATGAGCAGCGCTGCAGTTTCCCGTCCGAGGTAGCCTTTCGTTATCTCCTTGCGTTATCTTGTTTCTTGCAGCTGTTGATTGAGTATTATCTCCGTTCTCTTCCTTTCATGCATGATACCTCATCACCTTTACAATCATAAGTGTGCATATTGATATACCTCCTGCGACCACAGATCAGCGTTGCTTTCTCTCCGACTCAATATTATCCACTATGTCAGGTCTTTTCAATTCAGTCTATTCTCGCATACACTCCAGTCTCATCTCCCCATCAATGCTCCCCTCCCCTTCCTCAAAATCTCTCGAATCATGGCAAACCATAGCCAAGCGCACCCAACAACACCGAGACGCCACTCTCGCCGCAGTCGAACCTCCCATACCAGACCTCCCCGAACTACCCCTAGACTCCACGCCAGTCCCTAAGACCATTCTCACTCCAGAGGAACTTTCCATCACCGAATCTGACCCCGTAGACCTCCTCTCGAAGCTCTCTTCCGGCAATTTATCCAGCGCAACCGTAACAAACGCGTTCCTTAGACGCGCCACCCTCGCCCAAAAACTTGTAAACTGCATCACAGAACTAATGCCCCAAGCTGCCCTCGAGCGCGCCGCATATCTCGATGCATACCTCAAAGAACACGGAAAGCCCATCGGGCCACTCCACGGCGTGCGTCTTCGCCTCACCCTTTCCAAAGTCTGCACTGACAAGCGCCCCTAGCTTCCCATCTCAATAAAAGAAATGATCAATGTAAAGGATCACACATGCAATGCCGGTTTTATCTCTTGGTCCGATCGCATCGCCACCTCGAATGCACACATCCTTGACATCTTGCTAGCAGCAGGCTGTGTCCTCTATGCACGTACGACACAGCCTCAGACCCTCATGCACCTTGAAACCTCCTCGAACTACTTCGGCACTACACACAACCCGTTCAACAGGAACCTCACCAGCGGTGGCTCGTCTGGCGGCGAAGGCGCCCTGCTCGGCATGCGCGGAAGCTGTCTAGGTATCGGCACGGATATCGGGGGAAGTATCAGATCTCCAGCGGCGAACAACGGATTATGGGGATTGAGGCCTACGAGTAATCGACTGCCAATGCAGGGAATGACCGCGACGATGTTGAGCGCAGAGCACATCCTCGCCGTCATCGGTCCACTTTCTACTTCCCTAGCCGGCGTCAAAGTATTCATGAAAACGCTCATCGACGCTCAACCCTGGATCCGAGAGCCCAGCCTGGTCCCTCTGCCGTGGAAAACGGAATCACAATTCCCCATAAAAGGCGGGAACAAGACGCTTAAAATCGGTGTGCTGACCGATGATGGAGTCGTGCGTCCACATCCGCCCGTCCTCCGCGCGCTCACCTCTCTCGCCTCGAAACTTGCGTCCGTCCCAGGCGTGGAAGTCGTCCCCTTCACGCCTCTCAAGCACGACCTTGCCTGGTCCATAATCTCCTCCCTCTACTTCGCCGACGGCGGCGCAGAAGAGAAAGCCGCCATCGCTGCGTCAGGCGAACCCTGGCGTCCCTTATCCAATTTCATCCTCAAGGAAAATCCTAACGTCAAATCCCTCTCCATTGCAGGGATGTGGGACTTGACGGCGAAGCGGGACGCGTATCGAGAGGAATACGCGGCGCACTGGAGAGAAAGCGGGATAGACGTCTTGTTCTGCCCTGTTGGGCCTGGTGCCGCGCCGCCGATAGACTGCGCGAGATACTGGGGATACACTGCGCAGTGGAATTTGCTGGATTATCCGGCGCTTATAGCGCCGGTGAGTAAGGTGCTGGCTGACGATGTTGTTGATAAGGGGTATGTGCCGAGGAATGAGCAGGATAGGTATAACCATGAGCTTTGTAAGTAGCCCGAAGGGAGTGGGATGGACGGTGCTAACTTGTGCCAGACTCTCCTGAGAAGTATGTCAACGCGCCTGTGAGCGTGCAGGTGGTGGGAAGGAGATATGAGGATGAGAAGGTGGTCGAGGCGATGGAATATGTACAGGAGAAGCTGGGGCTGCCGTGGGCCAAGTACGTCTAATGAATAAAGCCATGAAGGCGCGGTCTTCATTCTCAATAGTCGTGATCTCCAATGGGTATCAAACATTCATCTCATACTCCTCTGATTTTAGTCCTTCACGCGCTTCTCCCAGAGCTGTAGCGCTTCTCTTAGCTGCTGTTCCACGCCCGGTTCGTGCCAAAAATGTCCCGCGCCCTCGACTTCAACACTGTGGAAACCCACATTATTATCCTTGTTCAACCTCGCGGCCCATTCCTTCATCTTTCTCGCTGAGGCAAACATGTCCTGATCGCCGAACACTGCCAGCGTCTCGTGCCTCTTGAGCGTGACGTCCTCATCGCCCGAGCGGTTCCAGAACCCGCGCGCTAGCCCAGGGGCCGCGAGTGTCGAAGTCGGTGGTGTAAGCGGCGACACAAGAAGATACCGTACCTCAGGAATTTGGATTGCTGGCCTCCTTCCTGCTTCAGCAGGAGGCTGTGGCGCGGTGTCCTTCCGTCTCTGATGACTATGGCTGAGACTCCGCAGCCTGCTTGCTATATCCAAGCTCTTTCCTCCATCAACACTGCGCCTGATTTCCCTGCTGCTACGCCTATTCTCTAGACTCGTCTCCTCACCGCCCATCTTAACCGACAGTTTGTGCTCGTGCCCTCTTCTACTAAGTCGCTCGTGGTCTCGTGCTATGTTGATGAACTCGAGATTGGCCTGAGCGCTGATCTTTTCAGCGCAGAGGAGTATCTCGTGGGCTGCAGAGCCGGTGATTGGTGCGGCGAAGGGCTGGAGAACGGATGGAAGGGGTGGGAGGTGTCGAAGAATGATCGAGCCGTAGGAGTATCCCCCAAGGACCACTATCGCTGCTTCATCGTCTGTGTTCTTCCTCGCAGTTATGGGCGATACCGGCGATTGCTCTGGAGTGAACGCGGCGTCCGACGGTGGATTTGGTCTCAGGTAGGACAAGTAGTGCATGAAGAAGCCGGCGAAGGAATGGTAGTCACTGAGTTCAGGCTTGCCAGACCAACTCGTGTGTCCTTTCGCGCCATGCGTGCCTCTACAACAGGTCAGTAAGTTGATCCATCTCGGAGGAGGGCGGGCCATACCTGAAGTTGAACGTGCCTACGACCCACCCAGCCGCGAGAAACTCCTCGACTACGATGCCCACAACGCGGTCATCATACGAGCCACCCATAGGCGCATATGGATGCGCCATCACGATGCCCCTCTTCTTCCATGGCTTCTCTTTCGCTGACTCTAATGCAGAAGGGTGGTATATGCGAACATCGAGCGGTGTATCGTCATGGAGGGAGGGAATCGTGCAGCTCCAGCGGGGTTCGGTCGGCATTGTGGGCCAGTCTGTGACCCGCTGCAGATATTGCCTCAGGGCATCGCGAAGGTCGGATAGGACGAGACAGCCTTGAAAGCGAGGCTGTATCTGTGTGCACACAGCGTGGGATTGTAGGGGAGTGGCGGGGGAGGGCCGAGCTCAAACTTCCGCAAGGGGCAATTGCTGCGGCCGTCGATCGCAGCGCACTTTTCTCATGAGATAGTTACTTTGCTCGCTTTTTTTCATGAGATAGTTACTTTGCTCGCTTTTTCTCATGAGATAATTACTTTGCTCGCTTTTGGTACCCCCTCTCTGGCGGTGACCACCCGGAAACGTCCCTACCATGTAAACGTCTACAGAAGCTTCATTTCCAGCTGGATTTTGATAACTTCGACAGCTTTATGATCGCAGAAGGCTGTAGATGTGTATAGAGAGCTTAAGTATAGAAAACCCGTGGTATGAAGGTCTCTTAGTACTAGCTTATGTGCCCCTTGGGCGAGTCTCGGCGGGGAACTTATCTGCCGAGTTGATGACACGGCTAGAGCCTCTTAGGCGCGTTTCATGAGATAAATACTTTGCGTACATATAGTTGAGGTTGTACTCTATCCATCAAGCCTATCACATCGTCTCCCACTCTATCCTGATAACCTCCATGCCAACGCCACAAATGAGCACCCTCGCAGCTTCCTTTTCCTTTTCCTTTTCCTTTTCCTTTTCCTCTTCTACTTCTTTCTCCTCGTCCTCCATTTCTTTCTCCTCCGATGAATCCAATACAGCCATACTCGACACGTCTGCAACACTCGTCTTGATCTTTCCAACGCGCTTGATCTCACCGATGTGCTTCATCGCTGGCCGATTATTGCCTTCTAAAAGGTCCGCGTCGGTTTCGTACATGATGAGTTCCCATAGACGCACCCATTGATCATTCCCACTTGTCACTACAAACGTCCGGGCATTGTGTGTGAGCACCGCACATGCCGTCACAGCTGAAGCATGTGCCCGAACTACTATGACTGGAGGACCGGCCCATTCTACGCCGTTCCAGCTAGTGCAGGCGAGGAGGAGGGCTAGTGTGCCATCATCGCCGCCGCTCACGATGAGCGTCATGACCGTCTTGGCATGCGCTTTGGAAAGGTGATGTATAACCAGAGTTTTCGAGGAGGACTGGTGGAGTGTGATGACGGAATGATATGGGAGCGAATCGCGGTCTTGGGAGGGATCAAAAGGCCAAAGGGCAGCATGTCCGTCAGTACCGGCTGTAAGGATCACATGTGGCATGTTATTCCCTGAAGGAAGGAATGCGCATTGTGTTAGACAGGAAGTGAAGTAGTGGCCGGAAGCCACCTTCAACCACTTTTCAGGCTCGGCAGTATCGTACGCGTACAACTACTCGTTATCAACATTATTGATCTGACCATTTTGCGTTCTGGAGCATGAAGGTGTACGTACCTTGACTGTAGAATTCGAAAACACCATACTAAAAATGAACCCAGTATACGAATGTCGTTTAGCCTCGAACGACATAATGCGGAGGTCGGAGTGCTCGCTTTCGGTTGGGCAGCTTGTTTCGCACACCACGCCTATGCCGCCCACTTCAGACGGCAGACGACTTATCCTCCAGACATAAAACTCTTCGCAACCGCCGCTGCTAAAGAGATATGAGCCGTCAGCGGACCATTGCAGAGCTTGGACACCGGTCGTGTGTTTCCGCAGGGTGCGAAGGCAGGTGAGGTGATTGTCGGAGTATTGGAAGATTTTGATGTCAGTATCTTCGGCGCCGGTGGCTATGAACTGTCTGTTGCCTTTGTTTGCGGCAATAACTGGTGACACAGCGACGGCTTTTATCTCGCGTCCGTGACCACCAGAGCGTATCACATCGTGATTCTGCCCGGGTTGTGTGTGAATATGCATGCTTGATGCTCGTGTCCAAACAAGAGTGCCGCCACGGTGTGAGAAGAAGTTGGGTTGGAATGCCCAGCTCCGATGCGCGCCACCGGTTTCGACACTCATAATAACTTCTTCGGTGGCAGTGTTATATAGTACGAACTCCTTGTTTGAGAATCCATACACGTGTAATTGGCCGTCACGGATATAGAGACCCTCGATGTTAGGGCCGACAGGTAGCGAAATATCATGGACTATTGAGTGGTAGAGGTCGTTTGCTAGGTCGATGAAATGGATGGCCATGCAGCCGTTTCTTCCTATGGAGACCAAATGACCGGACGAGGTGGTCGATCCACTGACTATCCAGGTCATAGCGGTGACAGTCTCTTTACCGTGAACAGAATCTATGATCCTGAGTAGCTTGGCTGATCCAGGAGCGGTTTCTCCATCGCGTTCATCTGGGATGCGGTATACGGCAATCGACCCACGGCGGAAACCAATGAAGACATATCTTCCATCAACGGTGTAGGCATGGACCATGCTCGTAATGGCGATTCCAGTGATTTGATCTGATATCGGTACGACAGTCGTACGTAAGACTGTTGGCTCGTCGCTCCTCGAAAGATTGACCTCAAGCAGGTAAGCAACCTTCTGTCCGACTAGGGTAATCAACAGAACTATTCGTTTCGACTGCGGCATTTCTACGGGATGTTCCGTGAAGACTTCACCAATCTTGCCGCTGACAGTATACAACTCTGATAAGCGGGACGTAGCCTTGGTATATGCGTACAGAGTTCCTGTCGCACTAGCAACGAAAGCTACACCGAGTGAGCTCTCTCCCACGCTGACGGAGTATCCGCCTAGATCATCTACTTGGGCAAGTAGTATTGACCTCTCGATTTTCGCACTGAACACGGAAGATAAAGTCTCAAGATAGACTCTACCGGAATTAGTAGTCAGGATGAAAGTAGTTTCATCTAAGAATGCATAGCTTCTGAGAAATTCGGTCTGCTTGGATGAGCGGTGACCCGTTTTCTCTGTAACTGCAGTGCTGTCCTCGAGGAGCGCTGGAGAAGATGCAAAGAAGCCGATATCATACTGTGACTGTTTGATGGGATGACTGTTCTCGTACGTCTTCAGGCCAAATCGTGTGATCTTACTGTCGGCTCCTCCAAGAGTGGCGGACTCATCGCTACGCAAGCTCGGCAAAGCCATGGACCAGACATTTTTGCCATTGTGATAAGCTGCTGTATCCACCAGCTCAAGCTGCCACTTTGGCGTTCCCGGCGGACTAGATTTATCACTAACTTTGGTGACGAGCCTCCATGTACGTGACGTAGCATCCTCACCTGAAGACAGGAGGAAAACATCGCCAGGTGATGAGTCGTCCTGGAAGAACCTCGCTTTCCAGACGCGGGAAGTATGGCCCCAGCCTATGGCAACGCAGTCGATGTTCGATACGGCAGTATCGAAAGAAGCATTGCTAAAACCGGTATGCCTTGTCCTCTGCAATTCTAGGTCGCCGTCAAGTAACGGTTCCCCTTCTTCCGCAGAAACGCCGCTGACATCCCAGATGCGTATTGTGCGGTCGTCGCTACAGCTTGCGAGCAACCGCCTTGATTCCTGATCATCAACGGGAAGCTTGGGAGAGATGTGTACTCCAAATATAGAGCCTTCGTGGCCTAGGAAGACGCGGTGGATACGAGATCTGCTTTCATGGTCACGCGTTGAATCCCACGACCAGTAGATGATCTCGCCGAACGCCGTTCCTGCAGCAACGCGAATGACATGATCTTCTGTATTCCACGATAGATGTGCAGAGTAGAGAATTGAACGAGAGCCGGAAGTCAGTTCGCTCACCGAGATGAATGGAACTTTGTTGGTGTCCTTGATCTCGGTGGGAGGATGCAGGATAATTTCAAGCAGTGCATTGTGTGCGGTTACCGCCGGACATCGTACCGGATTAGGGTCTCCGAATGAGTAAGGCGCTGGAAGGATGTCCAAGATCCAGTCAGGCGCTCTTCCAACATTAGACACTTGGAAATTGTCCAGGTAGACGTGGGCATCATCGTCGAAGTTCCTGAAACCAAATTTCACTGTGCGGACCAGCAACCCTCCCCAGACAATGAGATGCGCATTATCAATCTCAAGTTCAAGTTCGGATATGCCATGTATAGCTTGAGCTTCAAAGACTCGTTCCGACCAAAGGTATCTGTTGTCTTGGCGTTCATAGAAGCGCAAGTACGGTCCTTCAGCGACGACGAGAAGACGTCCACAATCGGCTAAAGCCGTTATCGGAACGCGAGTACATTCATGCTATGCCACTTAGCCAAATACAATCACAGGTGACAGAAGCAGACCTACATGAAGCTTCCGGGACATTGGAGAAATGGCTGGAAGTCGCTCCTAATTTCTCGATTGGATTTTGGCGTTGGGTAAGCGCGACTGCGGGGCAAGGCGGGGTGCTTTTCTGCCAGCTCGAAAATTTATATACTCAGTCAATAGCACCACCATATCCATATACTTACACATATATCCTACAAGAACCCTCAATCGAATTACGTATCTTCCAACATTAGGCAACATGTCTCTCGGAACGCAGGGCGCCATTCCGGAGGGGGCGCAGGACAACAACCCCGACGTAAGGCAACCCTCCGCGACGTCATCGAATATAACTGACTGGAGCCTAGGTGGAAGCACAATGGGCGGTGCAAGCAGGGAAGCACATGGAGACGTACTGGAACATCCTTGAGAAGGTGAAGGGTTCCAACCTCCGCCTCACCAAGATCGACGACGACATCTACGCCCACTTCAAGAAGGAATTTCCCGAAATTAACGTGGGCGGAAAGCTCGACCAGGACGCCATGAAGAGCAAGGAGGGCAAGGAGCGATGGCGCAAGTTCATTGGTGAATACGAGAATAAGATCGACGACTACAACTTCGGGACCATGCTGCGGGACTCCCCAAAGGCTGAATACGGCCCCGATACAACCATCATGTCGGTGCGCATGCAGTTCTACGCGGTTGAGATTGCCAGGTCAGTACAACTATAAACGGATGGGTTAGATGTAGGGGCTAACTAGAGTAGAAACCGTGAGGGCCACAACGACTGGATCTACGAGAAGGCGCACGGCAACTGAGGGCAAGATCTATCAGCACACGACTTCTGAACTACGTGTACGATAGCTCACGACGAATGCCCCGTGACGCGGAATGGCATACGGCACCTCACCGCACGTCCCATTGCGCCTCGGTACGCCTCCGCGTTTGTTCTTGCCGCTTGGCAACATCTTCTCAAGATACCCACAACCAGCCGCATATCAGCGAGGAAGAGATAGTGAATGATAATGATCTGGCACCAGCTTCTGGCATGTCAGAAATCATGTTTGCCAGATCATAGCCAAATGTGATGAGCCGGTCTCGCATGGACGGACCGGACCTCGCGCAATAAAAGTTGAGTCATCATTTGCATATTGCCCGTATTTAGCGCATTGGTTGCTTTCTATTATCTAAATGGTCTGTTCGCTGCAGTGACGGAGTGCTTTCGCGCAGGAACAATACCAAGGGCGAGACAATGCAAGCGAGAACAACATGTAGCCCGTCGTGTGGTATTCACGAGCTAGTCCACATTCGGTAGCCTAAACTATCAACATCACTCGCAGCTTCGAAAATCTTCTTGCACCTCGATTCTTTGCAGCCTTTTTCTACTCGTTCTCCCGTCTCCAGGGGTGCCTACAGACATTGATCGCATCTATGACGACATCCGCAACTTCGAATAGCACCAACGAAGCGGACAAGCAAGATGGACTGCACACAGAGGAGCAGCAATTCGTTCAGCACATGGGCTGGAAGGCTCTATTCAGCTTCACAACACGAAAACATGTCCCTGTTCTCGCCTTCGCCTTATCCGCCTCGACCCTCGCCGCCCTAACGCTTCCCGCTCTGGCCGTCTTGTACGGTCTGCTGTTTCGAGAGTTCGGAGCTGTTGCCAAAGGTGACAAGTCAGATTCGCAATTCCTGAAGCAGGTCTCGACTTATTGCATATACGTCACGGCTATAGGCGGCGTAAGCTGGCTGGGTAACAGTCTGCACTTCGCCGCATTCATGACATTCGGCGAGTTGCAGGCACGTAGCGCAAGAGGGAGAATATTCGGCGCATTGCTCAAGAAGGATATGGCATGGTACGACACGCAAGATGCGGGTGTAGCGGCATTCTTGCCAGCGATGCAAACGTAAGGACAACTACAGCTCTGCAGAGTGCTATGAATGCACGGGTTGACCCGCGGTAGGCAGATTCACGACCTCCAGGTTGCAGTCTCGCAACCTTTCGGATTAGCTGTGCAATGTGTTGTTCAAACCATCGGCGCTCTAGCTGTCGCCTTCTATTCATCGTGGAGCCTCACCCTGGTCATCATCGCCTCGGTCCCCATTATGTACCTTGTGACAGCCTATTTATCCAAGCTGTTGGCGCAACGCGCAAACGAACAGAGCGACGTCTTGCAGCAAGCATTAAAATACCTCACCAATACAATCCGCAGCATCGAGACCGTCAAATGCTTCAACGGGGAACGATTCGAGTCTCAAAGGTACGGCAAAGTGGTTGCTTCAGCCGGGAGCTTGTACAACAAACAAGCCAACTTTCGAGCTCTGCAATTGGGTGCCATGCAATTCTTCACACTTAGTGTCTTCTTCCAAGGCTTCTGGTACGGCGCAAACCAAATATTCCAAGAGAAGATGAACATTGGGCAGGTCATCACAACATTCTGGGCAGCTATGATGGCTGTACAAGGAGTGACTGGATTTCTTCCCCAGTTCATTGTTCTGCAGAAAGGCAAAGTCGCTGGCGCAAGGCTCAGGGCGCTGGTGGCACAAATATCTGAAGCTAGTGCTCTGGTTGAGACGATGGGGCAACAGATACCGGCCAAGTGTGAAGGCAACATTGAGTTTCAGAAGGTGGGTGAGGGTCCTTTTCCTATATGACTAAAGCTAAACGATCAGGTATCTTTTTCATATCCATCGCGGGCAGATCAGGTTGCTTTACGCAATGTCTCCCTGTCATTCCCAGCTGGCGAGACTACCTTCGTGATTGGACGAAGCGGATCGGGCAAGAGTACGCTAGGGCAGCTGCTCGTTCGATTTTACCAGCCGGCCTCTGGTCAGATCCTGCTTGATGGCAATTCAATCCAAAGCTCTGATGTGCATTGGCTCCGCCGTCAGATTACACTCGTCGAACAACATAGCGTATTGTTCGACGCCTCTATACGACGCAACGTTGCTTTGGGTAAACCGGACCAGGAGACCAGAAGCACAGATATCCTCGATGTTCTATCTTTTGCTATGCTCCAACAGATGATAAAAGACCTTCCAGACGGTCTCGACACCGAGCTGGGATTACAAGGAAACAATCTCAGTGGTGGGCAGCGGCAGAGAATGGCGCTTGCGCGCGCCCGTCTACGCGATTCTCGGATACTCATTCTCGATGAGTCTACAAGCGCGCTTGACTACATCACAAGGTCCAACATATTGCAAGCAATACGGTCCTGGAGGCGAGATCGAACAACTATTATCATCACACATGATATTACCCAGATCGACTCGGAAGACTTTGTGTACGTCATGGACAGAGGGCAAGTGGTACAACAAGGCACACGGAAAACAATGGAAGCAGTGCCACACTCTGCGTTCCACACTTTTATGGACATACTTGAGAAAGACTGGAAAGAATTGTCGGACGAAGAAGACTCTGAGGATGACGCGGATATCATTGTGGGGCTCTATGCAGATTCAGGGAATGGGTCAAGAACACCAAGTCGCCCTAATTCTGCCATGATCAGGCGTTCTGGAATGTTTTCACCTTTTCTAAGTCCGGATATCGAAAGCGCGTTTGCTAGAAGTTGGAGAGCTTCTGGGGATTTCTCCGGCGGAACAACAACCAACTTTTCCGGCAAGCTCCGCCCGCGCCCTATGTCAGCGATTGGTAACGATCGAGAGCGATCACCCCTTAGAACAACGATACGACCGCAGTCAGCAGGTTCTTGTTTTTCCAAAGATATCGAGTTGTCGAGGCCAATATCCAGAGCTAGGCCCATATCTATTGCCGCGTCCACTAGACTACCCAGACCAATGAGTGTGGCTGAAGAGCCGTCCCATCGAGTAAAGTTCCGCGCGAGAATGAAGAAACGCAAACAACGTCGTAGCAAGGAGGAGAAGTCGACCAACACTATCGAGCAGCTAAGTATTATCGGTGTACTACGCACGGTATGGCCTTCGGTTGACTGGCCTACACGATCCGCTGTGCTCCTAGGGCTCTTTTGCTCTCTAATCCACTCGGCGGCTACTCCTGTCTTTGGATACGTGCTGTCTCAGCTATTTTCGACATTCTACACTCTGAGAAACCAAAAGCAATTGGCTCAGACTTACGCTCTTTCGATATTAGGCATTGCAGCAGCCGATGGCTTGGCCAACTACGGGTTCAACGTGTGCTTCGAGATTGTTGCGCAGAGATGGGCTACTACGCTCAGAACTGAGAGCATGAAACGTATACTTCTACAGCCACGAGAATTCTTCGACCGGGAGGAGAACAGTGTACCGCGGCTTGCTGAATGCTTGGATCAATTCGCGGAAGAGGCTCGAAATCTTCCAGGACGCTTCTTCTGCATTCTGATCATCATGGTCTTCACAGTCGTCATTGCACTCATTTGGGCCCTCGTCATTTGCTGGAAGCTTGTGCTCGTATCTATCGGTTGCCTCGCAGTCATGTTCTGCATCACCAGAGTTTTCCACTCGATCAGCAATCGCTGGGAGAGTCTTGGTAACAGCGCAAGCGAACGAGTAGGCCAAGTTCTGCACGAGACCTTCATCAACATCAGAACAGTACGGTGCCTGGTGCTGGAGGATGTATTCCGGAAGAACTATGCGGAGGCCACCAATAGTGCTCTTGCAATCGGAATGAAACGAGCGATATATACCGGCTCAATATACGGTCTCAACTACGCCAGCGCGGCGTTCGTCACAGCGACTCTCATGTGGTGGGGAGCCTGGCTCGTGTCGAAAGGCCAATACACTTCTAACGACATCATCACCGCCTTCAACGTCCTCATGCTGAGCGTCGCCCACGCCAATCACGTTGGCGATTACATCCCCCAAATCAATGTCTCCAAGGATGCTGCTTCGCGTCTCATGCGTCTTGCACGCCTTTCGCAAGATTCCCATGAGCTCAGCGGTACTTCGCAGCTCTTCACCGCCGGCGACATCGTGCTTGAAAATGTCAACTTCACTTATCCGACCAGGAAAGACCATCAAGTGCTCAAAAATGTAAGCTTCAACATTCCCAAGGGAAGCTGCACAGCCATAGTCGGCGCCTCTGGATCCGGCAAATCCACTATCGCCTCGCTCCTGTTAAAACTCTACCAAACAGGCGCCATACCATCCCCCTACAACCCAGATATCTCGGTCTCCAAACAAGACATCAAAAGGCTACACACTCTCACCCTCCGCTCACGCATCGCCGTGGTCCCGCAAACCCCAGTCCTCTTCCCCGGCACCATCAGAGATAACATCATCTACGGCCTCGACCTATCAAGCCCCTATACAACCGAGGAAAACATCCGCGCCTCCGCCTTCGCAGCCGGCTGCGACGACTTCATCGACAGCCTCCCGCAAGGCTACAGCACCGTCGTCGGCGACGGCGGCACCGGCCTCTCAGGCGGTCAAGCCCAACGTATCGCTATCGCTCGCGCGTTGGTCCGCTCCCCCGACATCCTCATTCTCGACGAAGCCACCTCCGCCCTGGACGTCGAGTCTGCTGGCATCGTGCGCGACACTATCCAACGACTTGTTCACGAGTCCCGAAATCGTGATTTTGACTCCGCACCGAGTAGTTCTCACAGCAATAGGGAAGCTACGAAGAGACTAAGCGCGAGGATGAGCCAGGCATTTCAGAGGCAGGGGATGACGGTGATTATCATCACGCATGCGAGAGAGATGATGGCGATTGCGGAGCATATTGTTATGCTGGACCAGGGGAGGGTTGTGGAGGAAGGGGGTTATGAAGAGCTGAGGCGGAAGAGGACGGGACCGTTTGCAAGGTTGTTGAAGGGTGAGGCGGGTGATGATGGTGGGGAGTTTCTATAAGTCAAGGTCTCGGAGTGAAGGAAATTTGGGAATTTGAGAGGTATGATGTGATGTATTCTGCTTTGCTTTGCGTGTGAGCTGTTTCTGTGCATAGATCCTGCTGTGCTCAAAACATGGTCTTTTGGTCTGCTGTGATCTGCAATGAATCGATGGTTTGGAGATGGGAAACGTGGAGAGGCGAGGCTGCACCATGTGCTCAAGTGAGCTGGGACTAGTGCTGTAGATCTAGCTGTTTCAGTGTTAGTGCTCAGTTAGCGCCCGGGTCATGGCACCGTCATGCGCCGCGTCCACGTCGCGTGGATGCGCGGTGGCTCAGCCGTCAGCCAAGGCCCGACTCATCGATAACAACCATCACCTCCTTCCATCCTTCCATCTCTCCAGATATGCCTACATAACATGCCGCAACGCGCGTATTGGAATACCCGTCGACTGCCCCCTACACTCGCCTTCATTTTGGTTGGTTTGCTTTTCGCTGGCTACCTTGCTGGCCCTTACTTGGTTGGAGCTAGGCATCGGCCGCCACCTGCAGCATCAACATCAAACATTGTCTTGACAACGTCAGATCCAGCAATAGATGGAGTAAAACTCCGTCATGTTTTCCATCATGGCGCTGGACAGCCAGGACCAAGGGCACGGCGCCTGGACATATCGCCTGGAAGGGTCGTGATTGAAGCTGATGCTGCCGCTCATTTTGGACCGTTTCCAGTACGCACGTCTTCGGTAAGAATCGACAAGTCGCCTCTACAAAGCTATGCTTTACAACAACAACCGATGTCGCCTATATGGCACCCAGAGTACGTCGTAGGACCGGATGTGAAAGACAAGCAGACAGTGCTGAACTTCGCCAATATGTCTGAAGACGCATACAAGCCAGGCCGTGATGATCCGGAATGGCTCGATGTGGGCAAGAGGTGGGAAAGTTCGCTTCCGTTTGGTTGGGAGGATAGTGGAATCCGAGGCCACGTCTTTAGCGATGACACCAACTCGACAGTTATTCTATCAGTCAAGGGCACCACCGTCTCGATGTTCGAAGGCAATGGTACGTCGGGCCGCGACAAGGATAACGACAATTTGTTCGGATCGTGTTGTTGTGGTCAGAATGGCCCGTATCTATGGCGTCAGGTCTGCGACTGCATGACGGGGACATACACCTGTGATGAGCAATGCGTCAAGGATGAACTTCTGAAACCCAACCGTTACTTCGAGGCGACTCTAGAGCTTTACGATGAGGTCATTCAGCTGTACCCAAAGGCGAACATCATTACGACCGGTCACAGCTTGGGAGGCGCCCTGGCTTCTTTCATCGGTCTGCGACATGGCCTTCCATCTATTACCTTCGAAACATACCCACAAGCTTTGGCTGCAGCCCGACTCGGCCTGGCCGTTAGGGGCCAGGACTCGCCACTTCGAGAGAACACTGGAGGCTTTCACTTTGGACATACTGCCGATCCGATCTACATGGGAACCTGCAATGGTGGGTCAAGCTTCTGTTCTATAGCTGGGTATGCGTTCGAGACTGTATGCCACACAGGTAAGCGGTGCGCATATGATGTTGTCAAGGACTGGGGATGGCGACAAAGCACCCAATATCACAGACTGCGTTACTCCATCGACATGGTGTACTCAAAATATGACGAGGCTGCTCCATGTGAGGATGAGGACGTCAACTGTGTTGACTGCTATCTTTGGAAACTCGAGAACGGCACAAAGAAGCATACGACAACTTCCACTTCCTCATCCACATCAACGTCTATGACACGCACCGAGACGTGCAAAACGCCTGGCTGGTGGGGCTGTCGGGATGATACTACGACTACCACAACATCGCCAACAACTACCACCACATCCACCTCAACTAGCACTTGTGAAACACCGGGCTGGTTTGGATGTAATGACAAGACCACCACTGACACCACCACTACTGACGACGCAACCACCACAACTACTTGCACCACTAAAGGTTGGTTCGGGCGTTGCCTCGACCCAACCCCCACTACTACCACAGCAGAGGCAGCACATGCGTATTGGCGAACAGAAGCGACAGCGACACCAACGGCGAGAGCAGGAGCAGCGTACGCGTACCGGCATACTGAGCCCACAGCATTTCAGACAGCTCCGTAGCATTTCCTTAGGCATCATAGCGAAAGCAAATATCATTCCACTGGTTTCATTCGAATATATCCAACGAAAACATACAACCGTACTAAGCGAGTATCCGTGAAGCATGTTACCCCAGCCTTGATAGATGCATCCTCCCTTTTGACACTTCTCCCCTCCAGCTTTCCCGACTGTGTCTTGACTTCAGATGCATTCAACCTTCTCCCACTCAACACTAATGTTAAATCCCGGCGTCAACCTCAAAAGCTCCCTCATCCCACTCCCATCCTCTCTCAAAACAAACGTAAAAACGTCATTCCCCACCGTTGTACCCACATAATTCGGAATCGTCGACCCAATAAAAGTGATATTCGCGAAGACGCCATCTTCACTAACCTTGTAGGTGCCCGAATGGGCAACAGTCCCAGCTACGATCGCAGCGTTCTGTTCGGGCGTGCCGACCTGCGTGAAGAAGTGACCGGGAGGAAACAGAGGGAGACGCGGGTCGCTGTTCTGGACTATGACGTAGTCCTGCGTGAACACAAGGGTGCCGATGGGATTGGGACCCCAAATCTCGGGGTTGTCGAGGGTGCCGTTGATATAGGTCGATAGGCTGGACATGCGGTAGACGCCGGGCATGCGGTTTGGGGTGGAAGCGGCGCTTGAAAGGCCGAGGAGGGTCGTTGTGAGGATATGGTGGGACTTCATCACGGGCGAGCCTTTTGTGGACTGCGATCTGATCTGTGCGTCGTTTTCGTTGGGTTGGTATCGAGGAGTGGCAGATGTGTTTGGGCGTTTCATCTGGTATTTATCATTGCTGGTGCCTGCTTTTATACGGTACGTGATAGCAGGTGTTCGCAGGCCATCACATGTCTATTGTTCGATCTCATGTATCCGTGGATTCTATTCTGACTTCGTGATTCTAATCTTTCTTGTGCATATGACCATGGTAAGCAGAGGCGCAGGCAGAACCCTTTTCCCAATTTCAACCATTGTTTCAGATGATCAGCCACTTGACAGTCAGGATGAGCGACCTAATTATGCCCATAGGCTATGTGGAGCATGGGGCGCAAGCCAAGGATGGTATCTAAATGGGAGCTCTCTTTGGCGAGGTGAACTTGGTCAAACACGTGCTTCGTCAAATCCTGACAGAATTGTCATGAGTGCGGGCTGTGCGGTCTCTAGGCCGCAGCACTAAAACCTAATGTACTTTTAGAGACTGAGACAAGATAGTTGCTTTGCAACGCAACTTACTTGTCTGTGAGATCTTCAAGCGAATAACGTGGAAGGTACACTTACGGGTCATATATCTGGCCGGAAGTGCAGGCGCCAGCTTTGCTTGTGTACGAAGGATCCGTAGACACGAGAGCAAAAGCTGGAAGGAAGCTCGCATCCGGATTGGGTCTTGAGGTACGAAACACCTCTCTGGCGAGAGAATGAATTGACCACATGATGCAATTTGCGAGTGTATGCGGTCTGGAGGCACAGTCAAGACATGGAGGCGTGGATGATGAAAATAATAATCAACAATCATCTTACGCAACAAGTCGGCTTACACCATTTCAGTTCAGCCTCGCTGGGTAAGTGGTGGTGACGTTACGAAGTGAACTTGCACCATGGTAATGATGCCAGCCAGTACTATCGACTGCATATGCACAAAGAAGGCACAATTTCTTCGCTGCAATACCCCAATAGTAATAACGCGCTTTTCCCTACTAGTTGCGGCGCAGCATCAACGCCGTCTGCTTGTACGCCGCATCCTATGCGGCAAAGTCAGAGAGACGTTTCGCTGAAAGTTCACCACGACGGCCGACAACATACCTTTTATTCTTCGCAGACTAACCAGCCCTTCGCTAGATTACTACACTTCAACATTCACATACCCAAACCAGCTACTATGATCAATAGTGCTCAACTCGACGGTATCGCTCTCGTTGTCGGGGTAGGTCATGCCTTCCAGTCGCTGCGGCCGACACCATGCTAACAAACTCGACTAGTCAGGAAGAGGTATCGGAAAAGAGGTCGCATTTTCTCTTGCCGAGGCAGGCGCAAAAGCTGTGGTGTTTGCAGACATGAATGAGGGATGGGCTAGGGCATCGTCCCAGGAGAGTGTGAAGTACGCGAGTAACAAGGACTACCGAACAAGCACCTTTACTATGAATGTTCAAGATGCGAAGTCAGTGGATGATATGGTGAGCTTTGTTGTGGAACAGTATGGTCGCCTGGACTATTGCGTCAATGCTGCAGGTGTAAGTAAATAATGCCTTCTGCACTCATTGTGAAAAGCGATCACTCACACACCCCCCCAACGCGGGTCGTCCAGGGGAGCCTCTTGATGTTAGTCAATGCAGAAGCTGACGTACTGGCTGTGTCTTTCAGGTCGACAACGGAGTACATGCGCCCTTGGCCGATACAGACATCGAGAATTTCGATCGTGTCATGAGCATCAACACGAGGGGAAACCTTCTTTGTGTGCGTGCAGAGGCTGCGGCTATGCGTAAGCAGACACCGAAGACATGGATAAGTAGGAACGGTACTCGCGATATCGGTCGTGGGGTTATCGTCAACATCGCCTCCGCAAACTCTTTTGCCGGTCTGCCGGGTAAAGGGTCCTACACCATCTCTAAACATGCGTCCATGGGTATCACGAAGATGGCCGGTAAGCAAAGGCCCTATTCGACCTAAGCTCTTTGGGATAATTGATCTTGTCATAGGCTTAGACCATGCACCCGACGGTATCCGTGTAAACGCAGTATGTCCAACGTGGGTACGCACACCATTGCTCGACGAGGAACTACAGAAGAACCCCGAGGTTCAAGGCATGATATCTGCCGTGGTACCGATCAAAAGAGCAGCAGAGTGTGAGGAGGTTTCTGATGTGGTCGCGTTTCTGTGCAGTCCGGCTGCGAGTTACATCAACGGCGCCAGTCTTCTTATTGACGCTGCTGTGACCACTACGGTGCGTCTCTTCTGATCGATGTAGCGATTACTCGAGAAGACCATTTATAGGCATAATGAAAAGGATCACTTCATAGTATCCGATCGTTGACGTTCTTTCGCTGCTTCTTAGGGGGGCTTGCCTCGTTTGAAGAAAACCTGAGACTCGTTGACAGCACGTCTGAGGACGCTCTAATGGCTGCGGTGTTTGCGGACCGCTATGCTGACAGGCAGGCGGAAGATGTGCTGAGGAAACTGCTGGAAATCTCTACATTTGCTGCAAGTGCACAGGAGCAGTTGTCGGACAGTAGGCTTTCGGTGGAGTACGGGCTTCCGGTACTAATGATAAGGCTGGATTAGCTGCAGTTTTGAGCAGATTTGTAAGTCGAAGATCGCTCAAGGAGGAATGCACTGTACCCATTGAATGCAGTGTGAACAGCACCATAAAAGCATGTCACGTTTGGAGCTCTGCTTTAGGGCTGATATCTGGTGCGTTCGTTGACAGGAGTCGGACGCGCCTTCCTCGCAAGCACTAATCCGGAAGCGCCCACCCTCGACCTTTACCTGACCTTTTCCCCAACCACGTAACCCTTTCCGCTGCACATCTTAGGAACATCTATTCTTGTCCGGAACTCGTTTTTGTGCCTATCTTCGCAGGTAAGGCTCTCACCCCTACAGCCATGAGCGGTGCTCTCTTTCTGGGGCCGGAGATGGGGCCGGAGCCGGAGCCGGACTACGGCGCCTTGATGTAGATCGGCTTGCCATAGAAGGTAGAGCAGTATACATCCAGTGTCGTGTTATGCCTCCAACATTATGAGAACGTGCGCATGGGTACCGCTGACGATTGTAGGCCGCTATCCTCACCACGTTAAATGTCGAAAAACTCGACAAGACAGGGTCCGTACGAGCTGCGTCACTTGTAAGATTTCGAACGCTTGAACGACACAATGGCAGGCGACCTAATCTTGATATCTGGATCGAGACTAGAGGGACTGCTTACTTCACGACAGTCAGCGTTGACCTAATAATGAGAGACCAGGTCCGATGAGACACGGCTTCCACATTTCTACTGCATTCGCTGACCCCGAAACGGAATATGGGATCTCGTCAGCAAAATCATGACGATATTTGTCAATACATCGCGGTCGCTGGCAAGATCCACTGTTTCAATATCGCTGTGCGATTGTCCTTGGTGCGCCACACAGATCAGGCAAACGACAATTTGCCTGGCCTTGATCCTGTCCTCGGGCTTCACGCCACCGGGCATACTCTGACTTCCACAACAGCCAGAAATAGGTGAAGCCATGATTTTCGATCAGAGTAAGCTGTCGCTCCGGATGATGGTTCGATGTCAGGATCGACTGTCCAGTGCCTGGGTTGTGAGGCATGCACGGCAAGGCTGCACGCTGTTCACCGGTCGTCCCTCCGACGAGCCAGATGAAGGACATGTTACGTGCTTAAGCGGAGCGAGTGTTGGAGGCTTGCTATTGGCCATGCCGTTTGAGGATGCTTTTGCGATGGCAAATGACCGAGGCGCGAGGCAACCTCTAGCGCATGTCGCCAGCAATGCACTTGCTGAACGCCTCTGCTTCGTACGCACCTGGATGCGACTCGTTTGACACTCCGTTCGCCTTATGCATGGGTGTCGCAGCAGGACCTGCAAGTGGACACAGGGCAACTTACTCAGCTGTGTCGCGCGAAATAAATGACGAGGCATCGTTTGTCGCTCACCGTTTAGGAAAATGCAGTGGTGATGAATGCAGATGTACGAGTGGGCGAATGACAAGCGAGGCATGGTTTACGCGCGAGACGAAGCGACTTCCGCTAAGCAGATCGCCCGGCCTCTTCTGCGAATGTCACTCGCGAAAAGGTGCCACATCTCGTACGTCGTCGCATCGTCCCGCACTCCGCTTGGTGGTCGCAAAGTATTGCGCAACCTGACGCATGGAGCCAGCATTGTGCAGTGTGCAAATTGCTGCGCTATCAGCCGCGCGAAACGGCCAAAGCAGGAATGGACGCCCGAGTAGTTGGTCTGAGGTAAGGATGGCACAAGTCTTTTTGCACCCGATTGTTGCCGTTTCGGGCAAGCAACGCGCCTTGCGCATGTGCAGAAAATGGGCAATGCGGCGGTTTGGCGGCGTGGTGGAGGCCGCATGTGCATATATATGGGTTGCCTCGAACCCTGGCCTTATCACCTTCTCGGCCAATTTGCAGCAGAACTCTGTTGAGGGGAAAATTCCCGAGTGCTAATGGTGGCCGACTATTCAGGAAGCTGTGGAACGAAGCTGTCGGACAAGGTCGTGCAGCAGGCTCATTGCTTTACAGTGCAACCTGCAGGACTCCTCTTCGCAGGTTGACGTCCCTCTCTCAAGTGTCCTTCACGAGGTAAATACCTTGCAAGCTGTTTTCGCCCGGACCGGAGAGGTGCGTACATGGTCGCGTGCAGGCGGTCCTACCCAGACACCTCGTATTCCGGCCCACAGTCGAAGGACAGGTGAATAGCGCAGAACCCCGCAGTCGTGTGGCGGGCGCGATGTCGACAACCGCCATTGTCTTCGTGGACAATGAAATCATGAAGATTGAAGATAGTCCGGAGCCTATGCCTCCTACACCAACATTGGCCAGCAGCAATAACATGGCACAGCCCTTGGACCCGAAAGACCCAGAAGGTTTTCTCCGGCGATGTTCTGGTTACAACAAAAAGAAAGGAGTCCGTTGCAGTGCCGTAATCGGTCGCAACTCTCATCACGTCAAGAATGTCCATTCGACTTTCCTACCTACCTGTTACACCCATAGAGATCAACAAAGCCACGCTGGATGGTGTCAGTTGGTGCAAGAGGACGGTGAGAAGTGTGGAAGATTATTTCGGTGGACACCGCCGTACTTTGAGCTTTGCGCAGAACATCAAGGACATCCTGATACGCCATGTCACTTCATGAAGCTACCGCTTGAACTTCGTCTGGAAGTATTCCGGTACTTGCTTCCATCAAGAGCTATTGGCTCGTCAACTTCGCTACTCCACATTGACGAAGACCCCGACCAGGAACAGCCCTGGTATCATTCGACAGGCTCTTCGCGTGCTGCATCTAGGAATCTCAGCAGCAACATGCATAGCAATGGATCCAATTCGTCTCTTGATCGCTCCACAATGCGTAGCGTATTCCCGGTACCGTTGATAGACCTTCTCCTTGTCAACCGCCAGGTACACGACGAAGTGAAAGACTTACTGTATAGCACCGTTCCATTCACGGTCGATGTCCGGAAAGATGGGACCTTCATGTGCGGCAGACGTCTTCTCGAACCAAGAAGGGCAGACGGGTCATCTCACTATGTAGTTGGAGATGTGGACAAAATAAAAGAAAGATTCTTGAGGACGTTTGACTGGGCTGCGGTCAAAAACTACAACGTCGATATCCTGGTGGAGAATTGGAAGGACGATACCAATCGCGGCTATCACACCTTTCCGTGGGATGAAGAGGTGGAGATCTACGACATCCGAGACTACATCGGTGTGGTGATATCCGGCATCCTCAGCAAAGCATGCAACCTCTGCAGGCTCAACGTGCGGCTGGGCTTTTCGAAATTCATCTGGACCGAAGAGGAACTCTATACCAATATCAGAACCCTGGTAGGACCTTTCAAACGTTTGCGCAACGTCAGACAGCCACGTTTCCTTGGCGTATACGAAGGGACACCGCAGACCAACTTCATGATCAGCCTGCCAGTACCCGGTCAAGCCGCGACTTTCACGACGCCCACGAATGGATCGCCTCATGGCCGACCTTCCACACCACTGTGTTCTGTTCCTCAGCTACCTATCAGGGTACCCCTCTTCGTCTGTGCCCAGCCCGGATTCGCCGAGTACCGCTCCAACTGGGAGCGCTGGATTGCTTCTGCATCCACCACTTCTCTCATTTCTAAGCCACCGATCCGTGCCATGTTTACGGAACTCAAAGAGTTCTACACTCGACTGGCGGCTACGGTACCCGATGTAACCGCACGCAACGGTCGTCACGCCTTCTTACATCGAGCGAGGGTAGCTCGGGAACAAGAGAATGTGGAAGCGTTTAGGCACTTAAGGAATGAATTGATTGGTTACTGGGAAGCGTATCTGGAGCAAGAGGAACGGAAGAAGGATGACATGAACCGAAGACTGAGCAGAATGTTGGACGTTGATGTTTATCCGGCATCTTGGGACGAGGACCATGCTTGCATCGTCGGCGCCAGCTCCCACGCAACCCGTTCGACATCAGATTCAAGCTCACAATCGCCGATTATCGCTTCCGCAGAATCATGGCGCAACGCTGCAAAGCGCTCCCCACCAGAAAAGCTCCACTCGACGTATCCTCCATCAACGTCTCTAACCATTCAGCATCAAAGCCACTCCCAGCCTGGTAGCTCCAGGTGCAATGCGGGCTCGAATGCACAAGATCCAGTCGTCATTGACCTAGCAGACGATGATGACTACATTGGCGAAAAGCAAAGAGCGGAAAACATACGCCTTCAGACTGCAATGCGGGATGTAATGCGAGTTGCCACCCAGTCCAGACAGCCACTGCAACCACAACCCACGTCACTTCACAGCCCGACTAGCTCGATCGATCAATTGTCACCCAGAAACTCTCAAGCCACTCTCCAGCCCTCAAAGGACCAACAGCCTATGGCACTGAATCCCCAACTCCACCTCGAAGCCGCAATGTCGCACCGCAGACAGATTGAAATGCAAGCACATAGAGCCCGCGCTATGCAGGAAGCAGCCGGCCGCCAGGCAATGGCACAAGCCCAAGCCCTAGCTCAACGGATGTCAGTTTCCGGGTATCCACCCGTAACAATGCAACCCCAGACTATGCTGCAGAGCCAGTATCCAGATGTCGCTACTCAAGTTCCAGCGTCTGCGTCATCCTCGGCATCTTCTTCGTTCTCGTCAGGGAACGAGCTTCCACTGTCAGCGGCGAGGGAAACACCAGTGGAGGTCGCGTACAATCAACAACAATCACCGGATCGCTGGATATGCTATGACCAATTTCCTAATAAGCAGGTTATTACAGACCAAAACATGGAGCCGGCAGTGCATGTATACGAGACCTCGTCACAGAAGCGTCCTGCCCCTGACACTGAAGAGATACAAGTACCAGACGGCAAGAGACAAAGGGTAGATTCGGGCATGGGCTGGGCAGACGAAGGATACGGGACGCAGAGAGAGCTCGGCGAGGACGAAAACGAGGCTGTGGCTGTTGATGTGCAGATGGTGTACCATCAGCAGGATACTAACAGAGGGCAATATCGAGAATGTGGAGCGCAGGTGAAGAGTGACTGGAAGGGGAAGGGGAAGGGGAAAGCGAGGGCGGAGGGCACGGAGAGTGTGTGCGTAGACTGAGATTGGAAAGGCCCTCGCCTAGCTCTCTATTCTGATGGGATGTACAAGCCTAGAGACTGGGCAACGGTTCCGCTTCGACATTGTTTTATCCCGAGTTCTGCGTCAGATGCATAGCGATGGAGTCGACGTCTAAGATTATAACTATAACGGCTTTGATGACTTCGTTTGATGATTGCTTGTATTAGTCTAGTCCTGGGTAGAATCTGTAATGGAGATGGATTTCGCATTGTGCGAGGAGGACCTGCTACACACGGCTCACATGATGTTGTCTAGCAATCGAAGCTCGTCGTGGGTCTAATCCGCTCGAAGGCAGTCGCGTGAATGCATGCGAGCTCATCGAAGCTTTCCGGAAAGCCATTGCAATGCTTTCCGTTTTTAGCTCCTGCGTGATCACCGATAATGCGAGCTTTTGCCCAAGTCGGGCTGGTTGTTGTGGAGAACGGTAAGAATATGGGAAGTACCCGTATGAGGTCCAGGTCGCAGGAACCGGGTCTTGAGTTCTTCAGATCTCCGTGCTCGGCTTGACTGCAAAGAGTGAGTAACTGTGTTGGTGCGGCCTACGTGTGTAATGTTTAAGGGACAGCATTGCCTACGCGAAATTGACAGTCACGGCAGAAGACGATGGAAAGGATGGGGTTCGATTAGGTGTGCTTGGACGCGACTCGTTCCTTCCGGGACGTTAATAGCACATTGGCTTTGAGCAGGCTGGTCAGGCTGTGGCAAATGGTGATGTAAGCTAGCATGCGCATGGCTCGGTGTGGAATTGAATGGCCAGCATCAGCCATGAAGGTGACCAGCGCTCGGCTGCCAGCCCCCGTCTAAACTGCCAGTGATGGCTGTTCCGGAGCTTTCTCGAAACGCAAGATATTCACAAGACCGTTGTAAATATAAATTGGCGGCGGACGCGGATATGTCGTTCGGAAGAGTGGCTTTTCATTTGTCCATGGATTCTATACAGTCCCTTCCTTCGCCTCATCCCTCGGCCCCTTCTCCAATGGCACAGCTATTGTACATCGCTTCCACCATGCTGCCGATCGACGTTCGTACTATTCGGGTATCGCTTAATGGCTGTCCGAGGCGGGGTTCTTGCGGAGGGGGTTCCTTGGGTCGTCCTTGTACTCATCGGCTATCCCAGGATTAGCTTTTTGCTCCATGTCGCGGCCGTTCGCGGCGTTGGATCGTGAGGTGTACTAACCAGTCATCATGGCACCAGCGGCAGCGTTAACACCGTAGAGGATGACGAGGCCTGTGGTCTTAGATTAGCCCTACTCCTGTGTCCTTCCATGATCTCCCTAGCTCCCAATCGCATCGATTTCATCTTCCCAAGCTTCCGACTCTCTCTCCTTGGTCGTTTTCGATTGGGCTTTGCGTGCGACGTACCGGAGATGTAGAAAGGCCACATGGGCTTAGCTGCGATTCGTTAGCATCCTGTGCTTCTATCGGCGGTGGAGAGCGGAGGAGAAGCTCAATTGACATACCGACAGGCGCCGGGAACTTCTTGCCGAGGAAACCAGGCATCTTTGCGAATTGATGGAGGTATCGGGGTGGATGGGGTGGTGGTCGAGGTGGTGATGGCGGATGGGAGGTGAGCTGCTGGGCTCCGAATCTTCGCGCCGCCAAGACGGTGGTTTGCCGGGGTTCCGCCGCGGTGGTGGGGATCGCGGGCGAGGGTAAACATTGGGCAATTGATACAACTACACCATCGAACAATAACTTTTAAAACGACAAAGTTTACTATAGCTTGGAAACACGCGAGACGCCACCTTGGAGATCATGGCTCTCGATAGCTGCGTCGGATCGCTGCGCAACAGCATGCAGCTGCTCGACTCGTCCATCAACATCCTCGAGGAATCTACCAACGACTTTCCACGTCTCTGTAAAGTCCTCCAGACTACTCGGGTAAGATCCAGCGTTTTGTATCTGTCTCGTATGACTACTAAATCACCACCAGCACTTCGAACTCATATCCGAACCCGACCTGCACACCGCTCAATCCGCCCTCCTCTCCGAGATCCGTCCCGAAGTCGAAGCCCTCTTCACACGCGTGCAAAACTACCTCGACAAGCTAGAGCGCCGCGAGCAATCTCTGATTGCGAAGTGTGATCTGAACGACGGTCGTCTCGATACCCCAGACAATAGCGCCGAGTCCGCATTTGCGACCAAGAGTAGAGGAAGCGAAGGGGCGAATGGGAAGCCTATGAGCACGGTCCAGGAGATGAAATATAAGCAGTTGAAGGCGAAAAAGCAGCGGTTGAGCTATGCTGTCGAGACGCTGGAGATGCAGGCTAAGCAGAGGGAGAGGCAGTTGCGGATGAGCATGGCGGCGCCGCAGCAATTTGGGTATGAAGATTGACAGTCATGGATGATAAATCGATTGTGCGCACCAGAGGGTTTTCGGATTTTGGGACGGGCGTTTGCTTTATGATACCCACGGTTATGGAACATCACGACTGCTACGATGATGGTGAAGGCCTTCCATCACTTGTCGCAAGACTTTGTGTATGGTACAAGAAAGGTGCAAAGCGAAGATCAGTCTTGATGGAAGGGAAAGAGCTGGATCAGAGAACGTCAGACAGATGCATATGCGCTGGATATAGAGCGACTGCTTATCATCTCCGTATAGAAGCTTGCTTAGTCGCGAGCAAAACTATGTGGTCTTGATGATTGAACGATACAATTTTGCGAGGAAATCGACGTAGTGGTCTAGACATCCATTATTGTTTTGCGTCGTGTACCTGAAGCTACGACGCAGCGCAACCTGGATATGCCTGCCGTAGTAGCGCTCACGCATAGTACCACCTACGTAGACTAGCAGCTGTTTCCCGGTACGGACCGTATGAGCTCGGTTAATACGAGCTGCTGATGCATAATAGCAGTCCTGCAAGCCACATTATTCACTTGATAGGGTTTGACCAACACGCGAGTGCGTTGTTCACAGGCGTATTGGTGGATATGGAATGTTAATCTGCATCATGTTGGCGGCAAGGAGATTGGCGAGACACGTGTAGCCCTGTCATTCATGCCGCTGGTAGGGAAGCAATGTCGTCTTCCGTGCGAGACGGCTTTCCATTCGTTGGGTTATCATGCGGGATTGATGTTGGCTGGAGGATTGCTAGATTGGGGAAGACGAAGAGGTGCGTCTATGGCATGTCCAGGGCTGTGGTAAGACGTAGGACCCAGAGGAGTGGAAATAGAACGGCGGCGCCGCCCGAGTGCTGTTATTGAAAACGCATGCCTTTAAATATACAGTAGGATAATGTTTGGACATACGATAGGTATTTGGTGGTGTTTACGAGAGCCGCCAGCGGGCCGAGTAGTGGCTCGATCGATCGAGACATGCAAACAAGCTGCACGTCGCCGTAGCGTCGCGGACACTTGTGCTCCCATGCGGAACCGTTGGGCACGTTTCTGAACAACTTCCGTCAAGCATGACGGCACGTGTAGGGATGGTCCGGTAAGAAAACGGCCCATTGGTAGGCAGAGTGCCAGACCATGGTTGGGCTGCACCGCCGCAAGGACCGAGCACGCTGCCGAAAAGGGCATCCCAGACAAGTATGGAATTTGGGGAAGTCGGTCTCTGATTTTAAGGACGTCCTCAGCGGTCCTTTTGCGGCCACATGTACATCATTCTCACGTCGGTCGGGGGGGCGACCAAGTTATTGGGCATGACAGGACCGGCTGCACGGCAACTGGAGCGAGTGCAGCCTATTTTGGGACGACTTTCGGCGTCATATGCAGGCAGAGTTGCAGCTGGTCGTGTACTCAAGGTCAGACGCGGTTGGCGACAGCGGGCTCTTCTAGACAGTGGGCGAGTGACGCGCATAAAGGGGTCAGCGTGCAGGTGACTGAAGCTGTGTTCCTCAGCTGTCGGGCTACGACCAGTGCTGGAGCGGAGCCCCTTCTGAAACGTCGTGAGGCATTTGAGCGTCCGCAAAGGCAGGTCGGGCTGGTCTGAGCAGTGGGAGAGCGCAGGCAAGAAGGCGTGATTGGCAGGGCCGTCTCGTCTCCACCGACTCCAGGTGAAAGAGCTTCCACGCTAGGGCCCCTCACGTGACTTCCTCTTCCAAGGCCTGCGGCTGGCAATACGAAGCCTCTCTCAGACGCTCCCCTCGTCCCTCCCTCTCTCCATACCATAAACACTCGCCCCGAGTGTGAACCTTGGGCCTTTCTGCCGGTTGTTCGCGTGCAGCCGCTTACCTGCACCCAGCGTCCTCGCAACAGACCCTAGACCCGTGCCCGCCCCGTACATTCGACGGTGCCGCTACCCATTGGGCTCATCTGCCATTCACGCCCTGTAAGTCAGTCGTCCCTGCGATCGGCCTCACGCCCTCCGCAACACCCTCACCACCTATTTATCACTTGTCTACCCCACTCACCCGGGTCTGCTCTCTTCGCACAAGCCGTTCCTCGGTTGTGTTTCGCTCCGCTTACTCACCGCCTCGTTGGCAAACCTCTTGAACTGACCGGAATACCCACGCAGGCTGAGAACCTTACCCACGCAGCCACTGCAGCTCGACTGCACCTTCGCACGCCCCCTCTACCCACATAAAACCCACAATCGCAGGCCGACCTCTCTGGTTGACCTCCTGTAAACATGACGACAATGGTACGAGCGACCCCGCCCCAGCGGCACACACGCACTGCAGGGTTGGAGCTGACGGGCATACAGGATCTCCGTGTCGGCAACAAGTATAGAATCGGTCGCAAGATTGGCAGCGGCTCTTTCGGTGATATCTACTTGGGTAGGCACCCGCAAGGTACTCGTGTTCTGACACGATGCTGATACTGAGACAGGCACCAACATAATCTCGGGCGAGGAGATTGCCATTAAGCTCGAGAGCGTCAAGGCTAAGCACCCGCAACTGGAATATGAAGCCCGTGTCTACAAGTCCCTCGCCGGTGGTGTCGGTATCCCCTTCGTCCGCTGGTTCGGCACCGAGTGCGACTACAACGCCATGGTTTTGGACCTTCTCGGCCCCAGTTTGGAGGACCTCTTCAACTTCTGCAACCGCAAGTTCTCGCTTAAGACCGTTCTGCTCCTTGCCGACCAGCTTATCTCCCGCATTGAGTACATTCACGCCAAGTCCTTCATCCACCGTGATATTAAGCCGGACAACTTCCTGATGGGCATCGGCAAGCGCGGCAACCAGGTCAACGTGATCGATTTTGGTCTAGCCAAGAAGTACCGTGACCCGAAGACTCACTTCCACATTCCATACCGTGAGAACAAGAACTTGACCGGTACCGCTCGTTATGCCTCCATCAACACCCACTTGGGTGTCGGTAAGTCGTACCCATGCTACTGTCTCAGTACCTGGCTAACAGCCACCAGAGCAATCTCGTCGTGATGATATGGAGTCCCTTGGATATGTCATGCTCTATTTCTGCCGTGGATCCCTCCCCTGGCAAGGACTCAAGGCCGCTACCAAGAAGCAGAAGTACGACCGTATTATGGAGAAGAAGATGACGACTCCTACCGAGGTCCTGTGCCGTGGCTTCCCTAACGAGTTCGCCATCTACCTGAACTACACCCGTTCCCTGCGCTTCGACGATAAGCCGGACTACTCATACCTTCGCAAGATTTTCCGTGACCTCTTTGTCCGCGAGGGTTTCCAGTACGACTATGTTTTCGACTGGACCGTCTACAAGTACCAGAAGAACGCTCAGGCCATCGCTCAGGCCGCTGGTAACCAGGGTCAGGGCGAGGAAGATGACAAGGCTCGCGGTCGCCACGTCACCACCACTGCCGCTGCCAACGCTGGCACTGGAACTGGCACTGCTACCAAGGGAGGCCGTCCAGTCAATGCGCGCCAGGAGGGCACCGGAATGTGAGTTCGACATATCTGATCCTAGTAAGGGACTCCTCTCCTCTGCGTGTAGTGTTCGTTCATAACGCTGGGCGCGGGGGATTGCCAACCAGACCTTACTAATATTTGTCTCCATGTCCAGGCAGCTTCGTTCGTCTAACAAGCGTGGCGGTGATCAGTATGCAAACGGCGGCTACTGAACATGATGCGGCTTTCGATTCGTCATCTCCAATCTCTTTAGCGGACGTGGGCGTACTTACTCAACGCTACTCCGCTCAATCTCGGGAAATGCGGCACTGCCGTCCTCGTACATCTCTGGACGGCAGTCATTTTCCTCGATCAGTACACGGGCGTTGCTCGTCAAATTGGACTGGGACCTGGACCCGACTCTTTCGATGTCTTGCGTTTACCATGGCCTTTTTGTTTGGCGACTCTGATCCGTGTTCTCGGCTTGTCCCGCGGTACCATTCGACAGTCTTTCGACCAGTATATCCTTGAACAACACCGATGGGAATTGGTCACCTGGCTTCCACTGGATGTTATCTCAGGAACGTTGGACCGCTAAGGTTTTACCGGACAATGCCCCATTGATCACTGGCACTTGGTCTGATTCACGGTTCTCCACTCGTAATACTTGTCCCTGCCCCCTATATTTTTGTTGCGATTTCCTAGAACTTTTCCTTACCCTTGTGCGTTTCCCCCCTTCGAGGATGGTCTGCCAGCTTGTGGGGATGTCTGATGTTAAAGGGGACGAGTACACCTAAATTGCAAAATGAGTCTGAAGAAGCTGGTCATGTTGGTAGCCGAAGTAGGAGGGGATGAAGGTGACGGGCGGCTGGATTTCCATATCTCAGGAAGACGGACTCAGAAGGGGCCGCTTCCGGGAGGTGAAGTCTAGCATGCCATCACTGCTCCCGGGCGTAGAAGGTTTCAGATACTTTTCTTGCTCTTCAATCATGACTTTCTTTCTATACGCCTCCAACACATGCGTGACATGTATAAGCGTGACACTATGCCTCGAGTACGCCGCCAGCTGGCTGCCAAGTCCTGCAGCTATGCCTCGCAAAAACCCATGTATCAACATGTATACCTAAGTAATAGGAGATAAACGTACATGTATGATTCCCTTGCCAGCAGATATCATCAATACACAGTACACAATACACAAGACTCTAAAGTACGCCTGTGAGAGGCCCGTTCAGGTAGATTACTTTGCTCCGCAACGCGTGTTCTGTGATTGGTCGATTGATATCTTAGCGTGATGATTGGGAGCACAGGAGGCAACTTTTCCTGCGGCGTGCGCATCTCGACGCCTTACAACACCCATTTGCGAAGATGGTCCCGGGGAGGAGTTTGCATTCCATCTGTAACTCATGCAGACTTAATTCATTGTTGACGCAAGCGCGCAATGCGAGATCACGGACACCATTACCACGATCGAACAGATTCCCCCAAACGAGCGCATTCGTCGCACAGCATGCTTCTCAACGAAGAGCGTTCTCTACAACATGGCGACTGAATCAGCAAACAGAAGAACATACGGTGAGCTCTTCTGCGAACGTGAACGATTTGCCACCGACGCCGGAGGACCGCCTGAGCATCGAGGTTAATGTGCGGAAGGCGCGACAATCATTCGGGGATGCGCTGCCGAAGGGGCATCTGAGTGACGAGGAACTAAAAGTGTATGAAAGACTCTACGGAATCCCGATATTTGTAGAGACTGCGGAGGAGCTGCAGGATCTGGAGGTTGTAGAGGAGGAGGTTTTCGAGGAGCAACTTGACGACGGGTCAACAGTGCTGTTGAGGAAGGGTGAAGATGGCGAACTGGAAGAGGTGGAGGTATTCGAAGAGGTTGAGGAAGAACTGGTAGATGAAGAGGAGGGGGAAAGCATGACAGAGGAGGAATGGGAGGCGCTGCGTGAAAAGAAGGCGCAGAACTACCACGACAACGTGTACGAGGAGTCGAGGAGAGGGATGGAAGAGGACCAAGAGGAGGACGTTGAGGAGGACGACGAATTCATGCGCGCTCATCCTTTGACCATTGCTGGCAGATTCAAGCCCTCGCCCTCGACCGTGTTTCTACCCAAGGAAACCCTCGTAGATCCTATCGCACAGCTGCTCACCCGAGCGAACCACAAACACCTTGCCGAATCATCAAATCGTATACTGGGAGGTCCTGGTCTGCCGTTCTCCGCTTCCACCCCTGCGGCTCGTCTGGGCAAAGAGCAGAAGCCGATACCGCTCGATCCTTCAGACGCGACCATGGGGAATATCGAAGCGGATGTATATATGGCCTCCGTCCAGCCTGGCACATATGCGAGCGTCATGAGTTCTCTGGTCGAAGTACGACGAAGATTGGGCTCCTCGTGGATTGAGAACCTCATTACGAACAAAAAAGGTGGCATGGTGCTCGACGCAGGATCCGGTGGCGTTGGTGTACTCGCGTGGCATGAAGTATTGAAGGCTGACTGGGAGCGCATGCAAGAAGAGTCTGGCAGTACGGAACGAACGAACGCACCGCTGGGGAAAGCTACCGTGTTGACAGCGCCGGATACGCTGCGACATCGTGCTAGCCGCTTGTTGGAAAACACCACTTTCATCCCTCGTTTACCTGATTCTGTTACAGAGGAGGAAGAAGTCAACGCACAACAACCGCGGAAGGTGTATGACTTGATCATTGCCCCGCACACGCTCTGGGGCTTGAAGCAGGAGTATCTACGAAAGGAGCAGGTTCAGAAGTACTGGTCCCTCCTCAATCCCAAGGGCGGCGTCCTAGTTCTTATTGAAAAGGGCTTACCTCGTGGTTTTGAAGTCGTAGCTGCAGCCCGCGAGCTTTTACTCGACAGGCATATTGCCTCGCCAGATTCTAAACAAATCGAGATGCCTCTTGAGGAACAGGTGTCGAACCCCGACGAGGAAACTCAATTTGCAGAGAAGGAGACGGGCATGATCATCGCGCCCTGCACTAACCACGGCACATGCCCAATGTACCAATCTCCAGGCATCAGTCACGGCCGAAAAGACTTCTGCTTCTTCAGCCAGCGGTATATTCGACCGCCGTACCTACAACGCATACTCAACGCTACAGACCGCAACCACGAAGATATCCAATACAGTTACCTCGCTGTGCAGCGTGGCCGCGACCAGCGCCTAGCTCAACACGACACACTCGGCAAGGGCTTCGTGCAAGGCGAGACGGCCACAGACGCCGCCTTCTCAGGCCACGAGTACAAGCCGGATCCCGAAGCCGAGGAAGGCCAGGAACTTGACCACTACACCGCAGAAGACGTAAACCCCCTGACCCTGCCTCGCCTCATCCTCCCCGCCCTCAAACGCCGCGGCCACATCATCCTCGACGTATGCACTCCCGCTGCCACCCTTGAGCGCTGGACCGTCCCGCGCTCCTTCTCCCGCCAGGCCTTCCGCGACGCGAGAAAAGCGCGGTGGGGTGACCTGTGGGCGCTCGGTGCGAAGACGCGAATCCCACGCAACGTGCGACTCGGCAGACCGCGCGATGAGTTCGACCGTAAGGGAAGGCGCATCAGGGCGCCTAAGAAGGTCACGATTCAGTTGGATGTTGGGTCGAAGGGCGATGAGGCGGTGGATAAGGGCGCTAGAGTGCTGTCGAAGGGCAGGGGCGATAGGGACGGCCGGTACAGCGCGGACAGGAAGATCAGGGGAAGCGGGGGGCGGAAGGGGAGGAAGAAGAATGTGGAGAGTGGGAGTGAGGATTTGCTGGATTGAAGAGGAAGGTATGATAGAGCGGGATGAAAGGATGTTTGAAAAAGTGTAAGATTGGGTTGGGAGGATTTGATTGCATTGGTCGGAGTCACCTGGGTAGGCTGTAAAAGTATTGGTAGCATGCTAGGCATGTCAGGAAGACGGCTCTCGTGTACAACATGTATAACAGATATTCCACAGAGGCGCATCACTCCTCTGGCAATTTCAACTTATATTAGCTCATTTATGTATCTGCATAGGGTATAGACTGGGCAAGCACACTTCTTGGATCCGGCAGTGGCTTTCGATGTTTTCCACTTGTAGTTCTATAATAAGGATATCAACTTGAACAACACTAGGACATACAATTCGAAGCTTACACGTGGAGCTCCACTCCGGGTTCCTCGCCGCGAGCTATTCGTGACGCGTGCTCTTCTCGCAAGCCATGCTTCAGCAGATACATCAAACAAGCAGCAAGAAACATTTTCCCCTCGCCATCATGGCCATGACGCTTTTTGCACGGTTTCGAAGCATCTTATCCCAAAACTCAATTCCAGAAGCAAGCCTTGATATCCACAGATATTGTCGATCTCTGAACTTCGCAAGTAATGTGCATGTTCCCCTGTTCTACTTCGTTTGATGTCTTTTTCCAATGGACTGTCCTGTCTACTATTTACCTAGGAAGATTTGAACGGTTAAGGCCGGTTGAGCTGGACCTCTGTTGACCCGACAAGACCATCTGCAAGGTACTGAGTCACTCCAAGCTCTTCGTTTCCAGTGCCAACGTGGGGCATCATCGGTTCCTTCCAAGAGCAGCAGCCACCTTGCTTCATCTAGTTCTTGTGAAAGGTCAAGAATTGTGAAATCGCGCGTAGAATGTCTCCACGCAGCCCCACGAGGAAACGCACAGTCTCGTTGTAGCTTTGCGCTTTGCTTTTCTAAGTATTGTTCGCAATCTGTAGTGGGTAGGTTCTCCCAGATCCGCGGGAATATCCACGTCACATCGTTCAGCGTCCCAAATGCGAGACCTAACCCGATGTTGCGTCTAGTGTTGCGTGGTATAATACTTTCCACCTTTGACTCGTGTCTAGTAAGCAAACCTACATTGACCGTGTTCTTCGTGGAAGAAGAGAAGACCGAATCATACGACCATTGTAATGTATCATCTTGGGATCTCATAGTTGAACCGATGTAACATCCATTCGTTGGGTATATCACATATATGGGAAGTAGACCTGTTGTCAACAAAGACCTTGGTTCAATCTTGTTGTATGCGCTTCCGTCCGATCTCAATTGTGGAGATATCCAAAGCTCCTTTGGTGAGTACTGAAATCTTTCCAGGCTTGAGAAGTGGTAAATAGTACAATCATGCCAGGCCGAACGGAACCATCTTGTGAAACGTCCGCTAGTTCTCTTCTCTAGCAGGATTGCCACGAATGCGCCATCTTGACCAGATAAACAAGCCAAAATAGCAAAGTATAGACTTTCAGAATTCGGCATTGCGAAAATAGGAAGTTCGATATGAAGACCAATGTTTGTTATGGTGTAGTCCAATTTGGCCTCTTCTAGGCCGAACTTGCTGATGTACATATCAAGCTCCATGCGACGATAGGTGTGCTCCGATAGGAAGTCTCTTGCCGATGTGGCCAGCATGTCTCCAGTCGCCATGCGCCGATTCCAGGCGAAAATAGTGTGATCGTGACTGCGCTGCATGATCTCGGTTTGTAGTCTGCGGAAAGCTGGTGCACGGCCTTCTCCATAAAGTGGTGGCATATGTACATCAAAAATGCCCATCAGTGAATACACTTCATCCTCTTCTCTTGTCGCCTCACGCCAAGCGGCCCAATACATCCTCTCAGCTATAGTGAAATCGCTCAAGCATTGAGGATCCAAAAGAACATCTCGAGGTACGTGTGATGCTTCACTCAGGAGATCACAAAGCGACTGCTTAGTTCCCAGGACCTTCCAGCCTTTTGAGTATAGATATACCTCTTTTGGTGCGATCAATGCTTGCAAGGTCCATGCCCGTGTGAACCAGATGCTGGCTCCGATGCTTTCCTGCGTCGGATAGTTTTCAACATCGTCCAGGTACGTAAAACAGATGTCAGACTTCGCATAGAACTGATACATTGAGTTGATCGCCTCGGACAGCTCTGCGCTAGAAGTCTTGTCGATGCAACAAGTATCGTTCCACACGTAGCTTAGGCCCATTTGTAACGCGATACGGCAGCAAGATTCGAGTTTGTCCCAGCCTTTCTTACTTTGAGCAGTGGATCGATCCGCATTGGTGATATCTGAGAACAGCACCTCCTCTTCGCGCCAGCGGTGCGAGAGGATCACGTAGCGAGGGATGTCGGCACCGAATCTTTCGCAGAGTGAGATATTCAAGGGATCACCGCTCCAAGGATCTCCTGCAACATGCAAGAGCCGCATCTTGTGTCTGAAGTAATGATACGATCAGATCTAGGAATGAGATTGGGTGCCTTTTGTCAACTTTAGCCGCTAAAGCCTGAGCGGTCGTGCATCGCGCGTCTCGTGAAAGCACACGCAGAGTTCGCATGGAGAAGTCTCAGCTAAGCGTCTTTGAGTAGAGGAGCTGTGATTCAAGCAGGGGAATAGGCTATAGACCAGAAGAGGAGATAGGTGAGGAAGGACGTGACGCGGGACACTGGAGAAAGGCTGGGAGAAGGCTGAGTGCACCAATCGACTTTCCCAAAACGGTCAAGCTTCGCGATAATGCTGGTCGCCTCATGCACACTTGATCCGCAGGCAAGATCGGACTCCTACATTCCTTTCGCCCTAAAGCTGATGCCTTCGATCTCGAGCAGGTGCACAGCAATACCAAATTCCGGTAAGAGGGCTAAGTTCGTACCCAAGGGGGTGGAACAGAACCTGCAACAGCTCCTCCGCATTACGCCCTGCTAGGCTCCAACAGTTACAACAACGTCCCATCAGCAAGTGCTGCCGGAAAACAGCTACAGTTCCTTCCCCCGCATTCTTGACAGTTTAAGGCACAGTATCACTATGTCCGAAAAGAAATCGACCCTCAGATCCGCGGCAGACTCATGGCAACTCTTTTGCTATCACCACCCGTGGGTGAAGACCGTCAGCAAAGCATGTTTCTACACGTTTTGCTGCCCCTTAGCCTGTTGTTACTGTTGCTTGTCAATTCCCTCCAAGCTAGTGCCCAGATGTGGCAACTACAGGAGGGGAAAGCACGACCGCGAAAGGTCAAAAATGTTCGCATTGCAAATCGGAAAGCGCCAGCGACAGCACAAGAGGCGCCATTCGCTCACTGAAAAGCGTACCGAAACTTCGAAAATGGGCGGTTTATTTAAGAGGCGAGTAAGATGGCATGGTCAAGAAAGCTCTGCATTTTTTTCGAAACTACCGGCTGAGCTGAGAATGAAAATATATGAGCTAGTGCTCAACGGCGATAACTTTCTGCACCTTATTCCAAATTATAAGGAGGGAAAGTTCGGCATCAGCAAATCCTTCCTTGGGCGAAATGCCGATCTTTTTGCGGATGTGGAAGAAGATACTCCACGGGCTATAGCAAACGGGAATCATTACGAAAATCTCGATGAAATGTCGCGGCTCAAACACTACCACTCTACTCGGCGAAAATCGAGATCTGCACCTTCCTTACTATCCCTTCTCCTAACCTGTCGCCGCGTGTAAGTACAACCGATCTATATCTGCCTGGCTGGCGCACTGATATCCACAGCTACGCCGAGGCTATACCTCTGTTATACTCAGGCAATACCTTTGTCATTTCCCTTCCAAGCAACCTGTGTAATTTTGCTCGGTCCTTACCCGACGTCCATCTCAACCGCATCACATCCTTGGTGCTCCACGCGCGAGCCCGTGAGTGGGTTATTTGGCACTTGACGGACAGCATTCCGCTGAGACTCAGAAACCTTAAAAATTGTCACATCATAGTCCTGGATGAGTTTTGTGGGCACATCACTCACGACAGTAATGACTTTGAGTTCCTTCAAAAGCAGGCGCGATCCTTTCTGGAAAACTATCCAGCTAAGGACATATTCACAATAGACCTATGGTCCGCAGCTGAAGGACACTTGGATGATGTGGGGAGGAGGAGGGGCTGGGTGCTTACCCGGAGATGGGCTATGAAGGATGAGACCACAGGAAGAAATACAGAATACCTGGCTTGACGAGAGGTGCGCTGTAAGTATCAAATTTGCGAGTGGAGAAGCAGCATCGAAATTTCCGATGCGTTCGACATCACGACAGCCTGCCTGTGATCATGCAACATGCAGTGAGCGGAATATCACCAGGTTCAACCTCCGGCGGTCATTATCATTTTAACTCACTCCCCCCATCCTCGACCTCCTTCTCCACAATATCCACACATCCTTTCTCCCCTTCCTCTTGAGCTACCACCTCTCTCCATAATTTCCCTTTCTTCCCATCCGGTCCTCTCCTCAAGAAGTTCGCATCCCCAATGGGCTCAAATCCAAACCTCATATACACATTCCTCGCCGTAGGTGCACTCTCCAAATACATCGGCTGACCACCCTTCTGATCCGCCTGCTCAATCGCCCAGTTCATCAACTTCGTCGCTACACCCCTCCCTTGAAACTCCGGCATCGTCATCAATGGCGCGAGAAACCAATGGGGTTCGTCGCCTAGGACTTCAGCGCGGATCTTGTCGTTGCCGCCGATCTGTTTTTCCCAGGCCTCCAGATCGATGCCCCGCCACATCTCCTCGATATCGGCGTCAGACCACCCCATCATCTCTTGGAAGCCAAAGAATTTCGTAGCAGTGCGTCTCCAGACGTTGTGGATGGGCATGCCTTCCCCATCTCATCAGCTCATGTTACTTCACTTCACTTCACTTCGATGGGGACTCACCAGGCAACATCCACCCCGCGACCCCAACCATCTGCCCCGTAGGCTTATACACCGCCTTAATATACTTCATCTCCGGCAGATAGAAAGACGCACTCAGCCGCGTGGCCAGACGCTTTGCGCGCGTTGCCAAGTCGGCGTCGCGGAGGGCGGGGGGTTCCATCTTATCCCAGAAAGAGTCAGGGAAGCAGATGTATAGGCCCTCTGCCTGTTCGATTGTTAAAGGTGTAGGAGGGAGGTGAAGGAAGGGGACGAACGATTGCGAGCACATCGTCGACAGTGCAGGTTTCGATTTGAATTTCTTCGTCTTTGAGACGGTTGGCTTCTTCTACGGGGAGGGTGTATTTGGAAACTCGTGGTGCTGTGGCTGGCTTTTGGGTTGGGGTTTTAACGAGTGTCTCTTGGTGGTTGGCCATGGTGTCTGTTGTCCGCCTTCTTTCTGGGTGTTGAATGTTTCGATCTGTTACTGGTACGGTCATACGTTTAGTTTCTTCCTTCTCCGTTTCACTGAGCTTCTTTTATGTGCCTGAGTCGAAGTGGCTCATGGAGCGCGATGCTGGTTGGCGGACAACTGGCGGTATCGAGCGGAGCTTTCGGACACCCACGTGAATCAAAGGGCTTGAAATTGACGAATGGGAATACAGTGTAAGACACAAGAAGTCACCCATGGATGCGGAGCGAACCACTATCTACCCCGCTATGATCCTGGCATCCTACAATAAAAGATATGGTACAATTTGGCGAGCACAGCGGAGACCTGCGTAGTGGGGGTGGAGAGAGGTGGGGTACGAGGAACGGCGGAACAAAGCCCGACTCGACACTGCGATACCGCAAGCACAGCGTTTAGTGTTAGTAAATCCTACTAGTAGAAGCTACAAGAAGAGGTTTAGTGCTATCATCTCGTTATTTGAAAACATTTAGTATTGTCGTGTTACGTTAGGCCACGTTGCTAGTGTGTTTCTCATGAGAAATGATTCCCTCGTAAAGATAGTGGGGTTGACTGAGATTGTGGCATGCTGGACACGACTATTGAAGCATTCTTACGCTGCCAGTATCATCGTCATGCTTGCTGAAGAGCTCCCTAATAATCTTAAACCCTCTGTTGTCTTATATTCTAGGATCTAAAACTGTTCTACGTGCACCCACATAGCAAGACACTCAGAGAAACGAAAGCCCACACTTTCAACGCTTCATTGCTTTTGTTTGGCTACATATTGGAAAGACTCGCTATGCTGATGCTGTTGCCGCCTGGCCATTCGAGGCCTCGATCCGCGCTACAGGGCCTCCTGGCGAGTCTGGCAATCTTGCGGTAAGGATTTCTACGCCGTCCTCCGTGACCAGCAATGTGTGCTCTATAATATGCATCAGTAAGGCAGCAATATAACATTCGACGAGATGGCTTACCGAATTGGGCAGTCCTGGTTCCATCTGCCGTAACACTCGTCCAGTCGTCCGGCCATGTCTTATCCCTATGCGTACCCAAACTGATCATAGGCTCGATAGTGAAGCACATGCCCGGCTTCGCTTCTCCAACAGCCTTGTTCTTAGCGTAATGTGGAACATTTGGTGCGCAGTGGAACAGCTGGTTGATACCGTGCCCGCAGTACGTCTTGATGACGCTGCAATTTTGAGACTTTGCGTGTTTCTCGATGACGTTTCCAGGGTCGCGGAAGAGCATGCCTGGCTTGACCAGCTCGATAGACTTGTCCAAGCATTCTCGTGATGTCTCGACTATGCGGATGGCGTCTGGGTCTGCGAGTGCCTTCTCGCCAATGTAGTATGTCTCGTTGAGATCGCCGTGGAAGCCGCCGTGGTAGAGAGTCACGTCGATGTTGAGGATATCGCCGTCTTTGAGGACGCGCTGGTCGGGAATGCCGTGGCAGATGACTTCGTTAGGCGAAGTGCACACTGACTTGGGGAAGTGGCAGTAGTTCAGTGGTGAGGGGTACGACTGCGCGAAATCAGCGTCACGGCTACTCGCTATCCCAAAGAACTTACGTTTCGCTCTAAGCAAGCTTTGTGTACGACCTCATCGATGTAGTCGGTCGTCACACCAGGCTTTGCCTCTCTGGCAGCAATGTCCAGGACCTCTCGCGCGAGTCTGCACACCTTGCGCATGCCCTCAATCTCCTTTGGATTCAGCACAGCAATCTTGTTCCTGCCAACAAACTTCTGTTCTGAGCGAGGTATACCATCCTTTGCGTAGTCTGGCAGCTGCACGCTTGCAGGAACCTTCCTCCGCTCCGACAGCGGGTACACAGGCCTCAGGGTTCCGGTATACGGGTATGCTGGGAAGGGGTTGAAGGTGCCGGTGGCTGGATCGGGGTAAGAAACGACTTTGGGAGTAAAGATATTGGAGAGAATAGTACTTTGTGACTTATGCGACTTCTTGTGGTCAGCCTGCGGTAGTTAGCAGGGCAGTCTGGCGGTTGGAGTGGATCTTACTATGTACCCAGTTGCGCTTGAAGCAGTCTTGCGAGCAGAAATAGCTCTCTTTGCCCAGCTTCTGGCAGTTTGGACATTGCAGCTGGCCGGCGTCGTTGTCGCAGTCTTTGCTAGAGCACTTGCGCGTGGCGGGCGCGTCTCCAGCCATTTTGTTGGTGGGGTGTGCAAGGTGGAGAAACGGATCGAGTATGTATTTGGGCAAGGACAAAGAGAAAAGGTGAGCAAAGAGGCGTGCAGGGTATCTTGTTATTGTTCTGCAAGACCCTGTGCTGTTTGCCTCAAAAAAGGTGCCAACGCCGCACGCCGCTGCGAACCCTCGGAATTCCTTAGTGGGTCCGCGTCGAAACGCCGCTGCCGGTCTTCTTCGCTTAGGTAATCGTGCATGTCCACTTCGTGACCTGCTCGTGCGTGCTTTCCTTTTTAGTGCAATTGCGCATACTAACGTGACTTATCTCTTTTTCTTTTCCTTGGTCATTTCTCTTGCTTCACTCCTGCTTCAAGTGTATGGATTCGTAATCCAGGCTGACTTCGGCCGCGGACTTCCACTATTGTACCACTAATTCAACGAACGACTTTTCACTCATCTCGTATCAGGCTGTACATACCTTTCTTTCCTGATTGTTGTTCACGGACCTGATTGAACATGCCTGAGAAGTTCATCGTCGTAGGAGCAGGTCCTGTGGGCTCGCTCGCAGCGCTGTATGCTGCCGTCCGAGGTCATGATGTTGAGATTTATGAGCTACGCCCAGGTAGGCTGGCCACATGTACTAATGCCTGTTTCATGTATACTAAGTCCATCAGATCTTCGGGACCCTACTACCACACCTCTGAACTTCACTAAATCGATCAACCTTGCATTGTCTGAACGAGGAATCAATGCCCTTCAGAAGACCGGTCTTCCCGATTTGGCCGATGCAGTGCTTGGCGAGACATTTCCTATGCACGGCCGAATGATCCATCTTGAAAAGAAGGGCGAACATCTCCAGATACCTCAAATCTATGATCCAAGGGGAAAGGTATGCTGACAGCCATCGTTATCATGATGTATTATGGCTGAAGCCTACAGAACCTCCTCGCTCTCGACCGAGCAGGGCTCAACAAAACGCTCCTGGACCATCTGGAGTCAATGCCCAATGTCAAGTTTTTCTTCAACCATAAGCTTCTTTCTGTCGACTTCAAGAAGCAGCTTGCCTGGTTCGACAAGCACAACAAGTCCGAAGCACCAGAAGAGCGAGGTACCGAGATCGAAATCAAGTTTGACTTCATGATCGGCGCTGATGGTGCACACTCCGCCGTCCGCTACCACCTCATGAAGTTCGTACCGATGTCCTATCAGCAAGAATACATTGATAAGCTATGGTGCCAATTCGACATTCCATCCACATCTGCCGGCGACTTCCGCCTACCGCCTAACTATCTGCACATCTGGCCGCAGGACGAGTCCATGTTTATCGCCCTTCCTAATCTCGACAAGACATTCACAGCGACGCTCTTTCTTACGCGGACCGGCTTCGAAGAGCTTGACAGCTCAGGAAAAGTAGTGGACTACTTCAACACCAATTTTCCCTCCGTGGTTCCGGATCTAATCACCGCGGAGGACCTGCGGAAACAGTACAAGGAGAACGCCCATCTCCCTCTCATCTCGATCAAATGCACCCCCTACCACTACACTACCACAGGCGTCATCATCGGCGACGCCGCACACGCCATGGTCCCGTTCTACGGGCAAGGCATGAACGCGGGGCTTGAGGATGTCTACGCGCTCTTCCAGCTCCTTGACAAATACCCGTCTGACCGCGCGATAGCCTTGTCGCAGTATTCAACGGAGCGGACACAGGATGCACATACTATCAACGACCTCGCGCTGGGAAATTATAAGGAGATGGCTACGGATGTCAAGAGCAGGGTCTATCTGTTGCGCAAGTGGGTAGAGGAGAAGCTAGATCTGTGGGCGCCCGGACTGGGTTGGGCAACGCAATACACAAGGGTAACGTTCAGCAACATGCGGTACTCTGAAGTGCAGCGCAGAGCACAGTGGCAAGCAACCGTGTTCAACGGTGTGTTGGGGTTCGGACTGGCAGCTACCATCGGAGCGACGCTGTGGTGGTCGAGAGCCGGTGGTGTGCAGAAGGTCAAGAGGAGCATACTGCTGTCGATATGCTGGGCGGCACAACGGATAGCAGGACCACCTGCTCAGGCGAGGCGGTGAACGGTGAACGCTTGGAAGTGGATGCAACCCTTCCTGTGAGAGCAAGAGAGGAGGTCTGCGTGCACGACGAATGAGCCTGATTGCACTTACTTTGTACCACTAGAACCACGTGTATATTCTACTCCTCGAATTCATGGGTCATTCCCAGTCGATTGCATCCGATACGTCGAGTGATAATTTAAGTACCGAACGAGCGTTCGTTCAGCTCAGCACAAAGCCCGCATGGTGAAGCCGTTCTGGATCGCAACAATGTAGGCGCCCTACCCTTCTTCGCGAGTGACTCTTCCCGCGGCCGCGATTGAGTATATCTTGGGATGTGTAAGCAGGTTGGCGGTGAGCGTTGGGTGTGAAAGTTTGTATTCCCAAAGATCCTTTTCAGTCCCCCTTTCGGGCATACATCCGGATGATTCAATATCGCGCGAACAATCGCCTGAATCGTAGTGACTGTACCTGCAATAGTTTTGAAGAGCACCTTCCACGAAGCTATGCGCTCACACTTGCAGTAGGGCAGTCGCGCCCTAGGCCTGTATAGGTACCTGCTTGCCCCAAATCATTCCTCATTTTTACATCGAAGTTGTTGTCTACTATCAACGAAGTGCGACGAGATAGTCGGATATTGAGAACGATCATACCGAGCGCCGCACGGATGGAAGCTGTTCGCTGGATCCCCTCCTGGTAGGTCGCCTGGCACTCTCTACTAATTCTGTCTGTTACATTCCTTAAAATCTCATAGCCGGAAATACGAGGACGGACACCGAGGCTCGGAATGTTTCTTCGGAGTATCGAGGTCGCGTGCACCTTATACTCGATTTGCGCTGCGACGTTCGCTCGGAACTCAATCTTCTCCCGATCCTCCGGGCCAGCCACCCTCCGCCGCCGGTTACGTCAGCGAAATTTTGAAAGCTTCCCGCGGGAACACTCGCCACAATTCGACGCAAATGCGATGTACCGCCACATCTTTCTAAAGAACTGGGGGTTTCGGCGGCAAATTAAGCTTCTCGCTCCGCTCTTGGCCTGCATAAGGTGCCGTTTTGAACCTCGGCCACTCACGACGTGCCAATGATGTTTGCAGCATCTCGCTGTGGGGCTCGACTCGGAGTTTTCGTCGTCATGCACATTCTTAAAACCGATGAAAATGTATTGATTGGAGCTAATACACACAGCCTGCAGGGCAACGGAGCAGTCTCATTTGCGGTGTAGGCATGTATATATTGACGTCGTGCCCAGCCTTCTTTCTGCTATCCCCTTCAAGATCGCCTTGTTCCCGGATTTGCGATGCTCAGATATACAACGTCTTAATCGATCCGACTCCACTTGTAATCGAGCAGTCTCCAGGATTCTCTATTTGGATACCTTACACACACCAGCATGTCGGATCTACGACAAACTCGTACGGAAAACTCGACCCGAAGAACAAGAACGCGTTCACGCTCTCGGCCGAGGTCGCGTCCTAGCTCGAGAGATCCGCCACTACACCGGTTACTCTCTAGTCAATTCCCTGACGATCATTCAGTGTATCATCATGAGGAAGGCGAAGGGTTACATGTCGACCCGGATGCAGCGTCGTTCCACAGAACTGAGACGGAGAGAAGGACAGCCGAATCCTCAGGCTCGGACAGCGATAGCACCAATGACGTTGAGAATGAGAAAGACGAGGCCCCACCAATCGAAAGACAAGAGACTACGGTCGAGGAGATTAGAGGCGGTATTCCTTACGAACACGACGTGGAAGCAAACAAGCCGACCTTGGAGAAAAAGAAATCGTCCAGGTCGGTAAAGGACCCGAATCTGGTATGTTATCTTCACCACACCTTGCTATAACATAGACTAACCTTCACAGGTAACATGGGATGGCCCCGACGACACAGCCAATCCAAAAAATTGGTCGATGCGTAGAAAATGGGCAGCGACCTTGATCGTCTCCTGCTTCACGCTCGTATCTCCCGTCTCTTCATCCATGATTGCCCCGGCTCTTGGCTCGATCAGCCAAGACTTTCACATCACCGTCGAAGTGGAGGCTCAGCTTACGCTCTCGATTTTCGTCCTAGCTTATGCGATAGGACCGCTCTTCCTCGGACCATTATCAGAGATCTATGGGCGCGTTATCGTACTCCAATTGGCTAACGCTTTCTACTTCGCCTGGAACCTTGCATGTGGTTTCGCACAGAACAAGGGTCAGCTCATGGCGTTTCGATTCCTCAGTGGCTTGGGTGGTTCGGCTCCTCTAGCGATCGGTGGTGGTGTCCTCAGCGACACCTTCTTCCCTGAGCAGCGTGGAAAAGCCATCTCAATATACTCGCTTGCCCCTCTGCTTGGACCGGCAATCGGTCCCATTGCAGGCGGCTTCATCGCTCAGAATACTACATGGCGCTGGTGTTTCTGGGCGACATCGATCTTTACGGCAGTGGTTCAGTGCTTCGGTATCTTCTTGCTCCAGGAGACGTATGCTCCTAAACTGCTGGCGTGGAAGCGGGACAAACTGCGCAAAGAGACAGGCAACATGGAGCTGCACACCGAGTTCGATGATCCCAACAAGACGCTTCTGAATACACTCAAGATTGCCCTGGCACGACCTTTTCGTCTCTTGGCTACTCAGCCAATTGTCATCGTCCTGGCATGCTACATGGCATACCTATACGGACTCATGTATTTGATGTTATCGACATTCCCGGGGCTCTGGAGCAAACAGTATAACGAGTCGACAAGTATCGGCTCTCTCAACTTCATCTCCATGGGACTGGGCTTCTTTCTCGGTACACAGATCACCGCGCCATTGAACGACGCAATCTATCGCCGCCTCAAGAAGAAGAACAACGGCGTGGGAAAACCCGAATTCCGTGTTCCTATCATGATACCTGGTTCGATTCTCGTTCCTGTCGGTCTTTTCTGGTATGGCTGGAGCGCCCAAGCGAAGGTGCATTGGATCATGCCAAATATTGGCGCAGCCGTGTTCTGCGCAGGAGTAATCATCAGTTTCCAGTGCATTCAGACTTATCTTGTTGACTCGTACACGCGGTATGCGGCGAGTGCTATTGCGGCGGCCACGGTGCTGAGGTCGTTGGCTGGATTTGGCTTCCCTCTATTTGCGCCAGCCATGTACAATGCGCTGGACTACGGCTGGGGAAACAGTCTGCTGGGCTTCATTGGGATTGCCCTTGGTGTCCCAGCCCCGTTCTTGCTGTGGAAATATGGTGAGACGCTGCGGTCGAAAAGTCAGTTCGCTGCTGGTAGCTAAGGTGGTTTTTATATTGTGGTTTTGCATGAGTGGAGGAGTTCAACAAGCATTGCATGGCGGCATAAGCATACGTGATACCTCTTGTAGCGACTAAAATTCAAAACATACCATTGATTACACCAGTGAGCACTTCGTGATGTTGTGGGCAAAGCATTGTGGAGCAATGTCCGAAAGAACTCCATCTCACCTGACTTCGCGGGCGCCTTTCAAGCACGGGCCACGCAGCTCTGTCATCGCATCTCGAAAAGTCTCCAGACATCGGTAGACACGCGAATTAACGCTCCCACCGCTTTCCACAACTCAAGACCAGCAATTGAGATGTCTTCGACATGCAATTGCGTCGCTGGGGCCGCGAGAGCCATCAAGTCGATACCAGCGTTCCGTCTTCCTGTCCAGACCTCCGCGCGCCGAACCTTTGCATCCGCCAGCTCGAGATTCACCGTTCCTTCGCGAGACCTAGCGGGATATAAATCACAATGCGCCTGGAAAGCCGAGAAGAATGCATTGGCAGGGGCTAGGCGGACAAATGTCGCACAGGGACAGCTCCGGATGTTCTCAAGCTCGTCGCCACGGCACAGGCTCAAGACTATAGAGCAAGTGCGCGCACGCAACAAGAGTGGGGTACGCATAGCCAATTCTGAATCCGACGCATGCTTTTAGTAGCAGTGAAGCAGGGAGAATGCTAATTTGAGCGCGTGTAGCCATTCAATCTCACGGCCGCGATCCTCTTCGTCGCAACTGCTGGTGGACTGTACACATACTTCACATACGAGAAGGAGCGCATGGCACGGCAGCGGGTAGCAAATCAGACTAAGGGTGTGGGCAAGCCTAAGGTCGGAGGGCCATTTGACCTACTTGATCATAATGGAAACCCGTTCACGCATGAGGATATGCTGGGGAGATACACCCTGGTAGGTGGACACAACATCTGGGAGAGGTCGTGTCTGCATTTCACAGCAGACAGCACAAACGGCGCCCGAATACTAACATAAAACAGGTCTACTTCGGCTTCTCGCACTGTCCCGACATCTGCCCCGACGAGCTCGACAAAATGGCCCTCATGTACGAAAAAGTCAAGGAACAGTGCGGCGTCGAGCTCCTCCCCTTGATGATAACCTGCGACCCCGCACGCGACACGCCTGAAGTCCTGAAGGAATACCTCGCTGAGTTCCACCCCGCGATCCTGGGCTTGACGGGTACATACGACAACATCAAGCAGACGTGCAAGGAGTACCGCGTGTACTTTAGCACGCCGTCGACGGTGAAGCCCGGGCAGGATTACCTGGTCGATCACAGTATTTACTTTTATCTTATGGGTACGTCAGCTGTTTTTCTTCTTGCGGGTGCCTCAGGGAGGGTAGGCTGCGATGATGAACGATGATGTGCGCCGAGCGCGCGCATCGCGATCATAAAAAGCAGCGTGACGTTGTAGTTGAGATTCACAAACTGACGCCATAAGCAGATCCAGAAGGCGACTTCGTCGAAGCCATCGGGCGCAACTTTTCAGCCGATCAAGCGGCGCGGGTCATCGCAGACCACATCAAAGACTGGGAGAAGCCCTTGAAGAAGGATCGCTGGGCGTAAATTGATCCTCCAACACTGACGCTGTGGCGCGGTCTATCAACTGAACCTTGGCGACGATGACAGCTGCGATTGGGTGGAAGCTACGGGCCTTGTATATGTAAGTTGTACAGATATGTAGAGTAGCGGCGTGGGGCTGCTGTATGTGTATATCATAGAGGTCAATCAATCACCGGTCAATCATTCAATAAATGCTGGGATAATTGTCGCGTCTATCGTGTGGAGGTCACTTGTACTTGGGCGCGGCAGGTGCAAAACGCATCCAGGGTCTTGAAGGACCCATACGCTCCGAAGGTGTGGTCATTGGTGAGGCGGATGAGAAGCCGCCTGATGGTATGCCACTGCCCTGGACCTCAAGATTCTTATGAGCAATGGCTGGTCGCGGGTCGCGAGCAGCCGCGGTTACTCTTGAAGGTGTGAGCGCGAGGCTGCCCAGATGGACCTTGATGATCTTGCTAGCTCTGTTCTCGTGATTTTCTAGAAGGTGTGAGCGCGAGGCTGGACCTTGATGACCTTGCTAGTAACGGTGCTAGCTCGGCTGTGATCTTCTAGAAGACGATGCGTGCTGATAAGACGGGATGTTGGAGCCATGCCGTACGACGGCTTCGAACGGCCACTTATTGAGCTAGAGGCTTGTCTTGTGCGACTCCAAAATGTTTGCTTTTCAGTCCACTTGTCCCACCAAGAATTTCGATTTCGGCACCTCAGTCTCCACCACAGTTGCTGCCCCTGTTTCAGGCCTTATAGTTACATAATAGCCACAACTCCTCAAAGTCTGAAGGACATCCCTCATCAGGAATATAGCCGTTAGATTTCACGTTAGAAGCGGCAGGTGATCACATGAAGAGTCCGCGCCGTAGCGTAGCGGAGATGCAGAGATAAGCTTCGTATGGCTCGGTTAGGCGAGGGCCGTGTAGGAATGCTTGGGCCATGGGGCGGAAGGCCCACTGCTGGTCGATTGCGCCGCAGGAACATGTAAGGCGATGAGTAATATGTCGTTACAAGGCGTATAAGGGCGAGCTGAGAGCCGTACCGCACGCCAAAAGCTCACGATGTTTGCGTGCTGGACCAGACGCACGCCGGTCTCAGATGATAAGAATTCACGACTGCATGATTCGCTTGCAAAGCCATTTGACAAACTGGAGTGCTAAGGCTAGCCAAGCCTTCTTAGCTAGAGTGGGTTTCGCGCCACAGTTTCTCCAAGTCGATGCCGTTCAGGGTGTGAAGCCCGACGAGAGAACGGACGGACTCGGACGCCACCAACGAGCTGTTAGCTTCGTAAGGCTCGTTTGGGTCGCTTCAGAAAATGCAGAAAATAATCACGGCGGTAGATGGGGCATGCGGTAGGGTATGAGCACGCGAGTACACGCGAGAGGTGGGGCGTTTGCCGCTGATATGTGCATACAAACTCGAGCTCGAAGTTCGTATAAGCACAGATGGGAGTGTGGGTTTGATCTATTGTCAAGGGGACATCTTGTATTTTATAGTACATGCACCACAGTCTTGGACGCGTACCTCACGCTCTCTTCTCATCGTTCTCGTTCTTTTCCTCTTCAATCATGCTCCGATGTGGTTTCCACGGTTGACAGCCTCGCCAAGCGCACGGTCACGATAGCGTTCACCACCTTCCGATTAAGGTGAGAAGCTACCAGCCACTAAGCCGGACTTGCGGTCCATCTGCAACCCACATTTGCCGGCGCCGGGCTAACTGCAACACTCAACATCAATCTGGCAAATGCACGATAGTGTCGTACAACCTGTACGCCCAGCACTTGAGCAGCGTTGCCTCGTGGCCACAGCGCCTGTTGAGGCTTTCATCGAGGTATAGAGCAGCGATCGCGCGCTTCTGATCATCACCCCATAACCGCGCCGCTATCATACGTACCAAAGGTGTGGGCATGCGACATCTTCGGTGGATCCGCCGTTCATGAGAGCGCGGGCCGTCTTCTACAGTATCTCTCGTCTATCGTAACCATTCCTGTCTAGGTGGAACGCCTCCGAGAATAACGAGCCCGCCACCCGTTTCATGCACACGGATGAACCCCGGACAACGCTCGCTTTTCTGTCTTCGAAAGCACATGGATGGCGGGAGCTACACCAATGCTATGCTCGCCGCACTCGATTTCCCAGGAACTTGGGCTCAGCAGAGCTGATGCACTGGAGGGCCTTCCACGTTCTTCGGGACGCCGGCACGCAGGCCTGAGCTTGATGTGAGCATGGGTGGAATGCGTACCAACCGGGGACTGGACTGGACCCTTGAATCTTCACCTGCGTTGCCAGATTGGGCGTTCACTCCCGCGAAGGCGTTTCTCCGCGACAATTTCGGTGGCGGCCAGTGCCAGTTCTTCCAACCCTCCACAATTTGGTGGTGGTCAAGCCTTACTGCATGCGGCAGGAGTATGGTTCTACGAGAGCTTCGATGCGTCTGTGATCCACCACTGGCCGAGGCTCAGATAGCGGTGCCGGGGGCCACGATACAGAGACAGGGTCCAGAGGTATCCAAGCCGTCTGATAGACATGGGGTAGCATATACCTAAGCGTGGCGAGGCTTGGTCCTCTCAATGGGCTCGGCATGGATGTTTGCAGCTGCCACATACATATATTGGGATACACACCCCTCCCGCTTGCGTCTTGCTATCGCGAGATCCTCTGACCTTGGCGGCCACCGTTTCCAATCGCTGTAGCGGTTCACCAGCCCACTATGTCTAATAATCCTGAGGTGCTCGACGTGAACGTCGACCCTGTGGGTCAAGTTAACCCCAAGGTGTAAGTCTGACTTCGCTACTGGCGCGTGGAGCTTGTGTAACCATAGATACGAGTTCCACTTGTACTGCCAACGGATGCTAATTGACTACAGGCCCGCGAACACGGAGAAGACAAACACCTTCCACACGCCGGCTCACGCCTTCACTGGCGACGATGAGAAGGATCTCGATGTTGAGCGCATCAAGTCGCTCGACGATGAGCACCATGACGATTTCACTATCGATCCATTTAAGCCTTTCGACGATCTGCCTCCGGAGGGCAAGCATATCCTAACTATACGAGCTATCTTTGTCGGTCTGTGCTGCGGTGCTCTCGTCAACGCTTCCAACGTCTACCTTGGGTTGAAGACTGGATGGACCTTCACTGCGAACTTGTTCGGTGTAAGTTGCGTGAGATTGGCTGTTTAACGATCAAACACTGACAAAGGCGCAGGCTATCGCCGGTTTCGCTATCATCAAGTTCCTTTCTAAGGTCATCCCCCAAAGTTGGCCTATGCTAGGTGGTGATTTCGGTCCTCGTGAGAACAACATTTGCCAAACCGCTGCCATGGCCTCTGGTGGTCTCTCGAACGTGTTCGTCTCCGCGTTCCCGGCTATGTACCAGCTCAAGCTTCTTGGTGCAACCCCCAAAGACGATTATTGGGCCATTGTGGCTTTGGCGGCGGTCTCTGGCTACTTTGGTTTCTTCTTCGCTACGCCCCTACGCAAGTTCTTCATTGTATACGTGGCGCGTGAGCTCCGCTTGATCTTCCCGACGCCTTCTGCAACTGCCATGACCATCCGGTCCATGCACCAGGCTGTCACTGGAGAAGCCATTGCGAAGATGAAGATGAAGGGATTGTCCATAGCCTTTTCCGGCGCGCTTGTCTTGCGAGTCGTCTCGCAGTACGCTCCTGGTATTCTCTGGGACTGGCACTTCTTCACCTGGTTCCATATCTGGTCGAAGTATCACTCTCATGCACTCGCTGTTGAGTCTTGGGGTTGGTTCCTCGAGTGGACTCCTGCATTCCTTGGCTCCGGTATGCTTGTCGGTCTGAACGTCTCCATCTCGTTCTTGGCTGGCTCGGTCCTTGCCTGGGGAATTATCGGTCCGGCTCTCGTGCACAACCACATGGCCTGGGGCACCAACCTCGGAGAGGGTACCAAATGGGACGGGTACACCAATTTCGGATCCCTCAGCTTGGCTGCTTGCAACAAGGACTGGCCATCTCCTCGCTACTGGCTTCTGTGGCCCGGTGTCCTTGTCATGATTGCAGTCTCTTTCACTGAGCTCATTCTCCAGTACAAGGTTATCTACTTCGGATTTAAGGCTCTCTACCGTGGCATTGCCGCTGGTCTTTACGCATTGGGCCGGAAGGCCGGCCGCGACCTGACTTGGGCGAAGAACGCGGGTTCCCAGGCCGACGAAGACCTCGTTGAAGACTCTGCCGCGCCGCACGAGCAGGTGAAGATGTGGATGTGGGCTCCTGGTCTGCTCCTCAGCATCATCTGTATCTGCATTGTTCTTGGTGTTCAGCACGATATGCCTGTCGGCATGTCGATTTTGTCCGTCGTCCTCGCATTTTTCTTCTCCTTCGTCGCTGTGCAGTGCACTGGTGTTACGGACATTACGCCTCTTACTGCTGCGTCAAAGGCTTCGCAGATCATTCTCGGTGGTGCCACGAAGGGTGAGCACTGGGATATTACCAGGGCCCAGAGGCTCAACCTCTTCGGCGGTGCCATGTGCAACATGGGGTAAGTTCACGCTATTCCAACTTGTTTCACCGACACCATCTAACAACTATATAGTGCTTCTCAAGCTACGGATCTTGTCTGTGACTTCCGAACTGGTTTCCTTCTTCGCACGCCTCCGATCTACCAATGGCTCGCTCAGGGTCTCGGCACCATCGTCGCTATGTTCCTCGCCCCTGCCATGTTCCAGCTCTTCGCAACGGCCTACCCTTGCATCATCGACATTGATGCAGAGACTTGCTCCTTCGGCATCCCCTCCGTGTCTGCCTGGCGTGCAACTGCCGTCGCTGTAACCGACCCTACATTCCCCATCCCGCCGTCCTCCGGATACTTTGCCATCGCCTTCGCGATCTTCGGTTCCGCCATGGTCATGGTCCGCCACTACGTCTGGGTCGGCCGTCTTGAGTGGATGCGCAAGTACCACCCCAATATGATGTGCATCGGACTCGCTTTCGTCCTTGCGCAGACGCAGTACGGAACTGCGATGACGATCGGTTCGGCTGTTGCGGCATACTGGCAGCACAAGAACCCAGAGCACTTTGATGTCTACGGATACGCTGTTGCGGCTGGTCTCATCGCTGGCGAGGGTATCGGCGGTGTGATCAATGCTGTGTTCCAGGTTGCTGGCATCGCTGGTGACAAGTATGGATCTTGCATTGCGACGCCTGCTGGTGAGGTCATTGGATGCCAGTAGAGAGGGGAACAGTGTGAGGATGAGGTGACGATGTGATGAAAAGTGTACTCGCGATATACCATGTTTATGACCGTTGTTGATACCTTAATGCACTCGTTCATTTGATCGAGACGCCTAATAAGTGGCTTCCCAAGAATTCAAGATTCAAGGTTCTTTCCGTGTACAGTGGAGCGTTCCTGCTTCAGACTCCGTTGGGTGGCGTGAGTGAATCTTGAGACGAGGAAGGCGCAACCTTTAAAAGTCGTGTTCCCTCGGTCTTCTTCTCATTCCTCTTTCTCGCTCCTCTTTCATTGTACGATTCTTCAAGAGAAGACCTCAGAGCTGCGGACTATTACAGGCTTATCTGGATGGTCCATCACGGGCACGGACCACGGTACGCTTCGCGACTGCACAACAGAATTATGGAAGCCTCGAAAATCCGTCATTTGAAGAACACCGGGACTTGGATCACCCATCAACAACAATGTTGAGTTAACGAAAACTTCTATCTCAGCTTCGCGCGGACGTGCCAAGACGACGTTCTTTATCCTGCACCCCGTTCCCCGGCGCGATGCAATCGAAAAGGATAGTTCGGCACCTAGCCAGCCTATCGAAGCGGCTCACCGGCAATATGACACTGCAACGCGTACTCGGGAAGACCCGCTGAAGCATGAAATGCCTTGGATGCGGTGCCACAGTTCGAGAAGTCCGCTTGACTCGTGGGAAGAGCGTGTATGAGGCGCAACGGGTTTCAGGTTTGTTTGTGCAAGTCTTTGCAACTTCACGCCGTGAGGCCTCCAATTTCGAAGATGCAGATAGGAACGTGGTGATGAGCGGCATTCATCTATGCGATTTGGAATATTCGATGCAAAGTAGACGTGGGTACATGTTGGAGATGGATGGTGAGGATTTTGTAGAGTGCGTTTCGTCCTTTGGCACTGCATCGGAACGACCACCACGGATTCTACAATTGCAAAAAAGTTGACAACGACAACACCAGAGCACAACAACACCTGTTCACCGATAAGTCTCCACTACCATCTCGTCAACTACCGGTGTAACCGCTGTCGCCTCCTGCCAGCGTCGGAGAGCCGTGCAGGGGGCCCCTGATGCCTCAAAACGGTTTCAGCGTGCCTCCGCACAATCTCAGGTCCTCAGATCACCGGCATCAAAAGCTCATGCTGCGCTCGCTTGAGATGTCGGAACCTCAGGATACCAAAACTATTTTCCACTCGCCTGTTTACAGTGCGCCTTTTGCGGCCCGATATCTGTTTTGTAATTTGTATTCTTCCCTTTCCAGCGAATTGAGGCTGAAGTGCATTGATTGCACTCCATCGCATTGAGCCCACATTTTTCTCGACGAGATCTTGGTACGCACTACGATTCGCAGTAACGATTAGGTTCTTGTGGAGAAGTACTTGCAAGAGTTAGACTTGGACTTGGACCAACAACACTTCATTCTTCTTCGACCTACCTGCCTCAGGCTAAGGAAATGTGGACAGCAAACCGCGCTCCTGCTCGCCCTCAACGCACCGGTTCCGTACACAGCATTGCATCGGTGCACTCCGCCCACAGCAGACCGTCGTCTGTAGTTAGCCCTCATTACCAGCTTAGCCGCCAACAATCCCGCAGCGGATACGAGAGCGACCAGTCGAGCGACACTCTCAACGAGGAGGATTTCAACGCACCCATGCCGGCTATGTGGCAGACTAAGAGACAGGAATCAGGATCAGCAGTGAGCAGACTGAGCCAGAAGTTCGCAACCGCTATCGGGACCTCGCCAGTGGTCACACCACTGAAACCATCACCAACACTACACAAGTCTGACATCATGAGGATGGAGTTCGACGATGACGCTCGCTCGAGGGCAAGCACTACAAGCACCCTGAACGGTGACGAGCATGACTTTGAGTTTCCGGAGAAGACGCCCACAAACAAAATGTTTGGTGCGGGAGATCGATCAATACCATACTACACTGGTGTCGAGCCCAAACCTTACACACGAAAGTTGAAGATCATCGAGGAGTCTTCCAGCGCAACAGATAAAAACATTCCGTACTACACGGGCATCGAACCGGCGCCGCTCTCACCGTTGAAGAACATCATCGAGAGACCTTCGGCTGCACCAGCTTCAAGACGTGCAATGGGTCCTCTCGAATCGCAGCTCGCGGCGCTCATGGACAAGGTCTCCCAGATCGAGTCGAACAATCCCATTGCGTCCGTCACCCCTGCAGACTACGCCACCATGAAGGCCCGTCTGGAGACCCTCGAAGCAGAAAAGAAGACCTGGCAAAAGCGCCACGAAGCCATCTGGGCCCTCCGCGACGAAGACGTGGAAAACAACATCAAGATCCGCGGCGTCCTCGCCAAAACCCGCCGCTCGCTCGAAGCCATGACCGCCCTCCGCGACGAAGACCTCGCCAACGTGCAAGCCGTCCGTCTCAAGCTCGCAGAAGCAACCAAGCAAGTAGACCGCCTGCGCTCCCAAGGCCCCCCCGCAAGCGGTCGCGCGAGCCCCAATCGCGGAGGCAGACCCCCCAGCATGTTCCTCGAGCGCAGAGATACTACCGACCTTTTTGCCGCTGCTAAAGCCGCGGCCCTCGAACAGCGCGCGCTGGAGATGGAGAAGCGAAACTCTGATCTCCGCGCGCAAATCGAGACGCTCAAAGGGGGCGCGAACATCGACGATCTAAACCGCATGACCGCACATGAAGCGTGGAAGGACGAAATCTCTTCCATGGCGTCTAAGCTCAAAGTCAAAGACGCGGAGATCGCAGAGCTGCGTGCGGCGAAGGCAGCGTCAGCGCCGTCGGCCCCTTCTGGCGCACCTTCAACGACCGCGGGGCACGTAGCGTGGCACCGCGTCGAGGCGATCCACGAAGAACACGCGAGCTACCGCGAGCGTATGGGCGGGAAGCTGGCGGTGCTGCGGTCCGAGAAGGAGGGCCTGCAGAAGGAGTTACACCGCAGGGAGGACGAGTGTCACGCGTTGGAAGTAAAGGTGCAGAGTCTGCAGCGGAGAGCAAACATCTAGACGTAGTTTCAGGACCAGGCCGAAAGCGCGGCGGTATGTTGCGCGTTGCGATTCCTAGAAGTCCGTCGTACGGCAAGGACGCTGCCAATGCCAGTGTGGCTGCCGATCCTCAGCGTAATACGAGGGCGAGAGTGAGTGTCCCGGGTGCGAGTAGGACGTACATGACGCTGGGTGGGAAGAAAAGCGTGGAGAGACTGCAGCAGTTTGAATGGCTGTGAGCACGATTGGCGTTTGGTACATGGTTGGTAGGGGTTTGATATCCCGGGCAGCTGCTTATAGCGCATACACTGAGAGCCATGTATATCTGGCGAGGTGTTGGTTTGAAGAATGAGGTTCTGTTCGCAACTCTTGAAGACTGTGTTCCTGCTGTGAGGGAGTTGATCTGCTTGTGCTTCATGCACTGCGTTTTAATGAAATATACGTGAATAGTCACTCGTGGGTAATGTGATATGCAATTGGAGAGCGTCGTTAAGATGGTGGGATAAGAGAAGTTCGGACACGGACGCATAACAGTATGGCAGCAGGGGGGATTTAGAAAGTGAGATGAAGTGGTTACGTATGTCTCCAATAGCCGATTTCTGGCTGCGAGAAGGCATGTTAATAGTAAACAGAGACGTTATCATTGGGGCAGAGCAGTGGTGTTGTAGTAAACAGAGTAAAACCCATGTATATGTACGCCTGCTACATATGGCATGTATGGGGATGCAATCTCTAGGTCGCAATCGTAGGCACGGCGGCTATGGAACTTGTGTAAGATCGCCAAAAAGGACAACATCAAGTAGATGTGACCCATTGATCCCCGGCACCATTTGAAACCATTATGAACTTCGAGCTTGCCATGGACACCTCGCAGAGCAAAAGTAAAGCCTTAAAAGTGATATTCGCAGATCGTTAGACCTGCCCGAGCTTGAGCGAGTCGACCGAAGCGAAGACGGTGAAAGCATACGGGAGCATAACTACTCATTATCGTCGTCGAAATCATTAGGTCGAGGTTGCTCAGTGATTCGTCACTATCATGCTCGCTCTCTTCGGCTTCGGCTTCGGCATCAACTTGTTCGGCTTCGGCATCAACTTGTTCGTCTTCGGCATCAACTTGTTCGTCTTCGGCATCAACTTGTTCGTCTTCGCTCCCCTCGACCAGTCTATACCCTTGTTGAGAACGCTCTTGCCACATGACGGTGCAGTCTTCCTTCCGTCAGTCGTGCTATCGCCTGTCGTGCCCTTGTCGGTCTTTCCCTCGGAGATGATGCTATTCTCGTCCTCGTACTCGTCCTCCACCTTGATCTTCTTTATCGCAGACTCCTCGCACTCAGAGGATCGCGCCCGCTTGATCGAGCCCATGAACTGAACATCCTGCTGGTCTTGTTGGCCAGGGAATCGACGCTGACAATCCAACAGCAGATCCTGGAACTCAGGGAGCCAGCGCCGCAAGACTTTCCGAGCCGCGACGTGCTGGGAGGTGTTGTATACATCCGTCTCCATGAACTGCTTGGTAATGCGGACGAACTCCTTGAGCTTTGTGTCCACCGCGGCGATAAACTCCTCAGAAACTTGAGCGATGCGCTCAGTCATCTTATTCATAGCGGCGTTCTCGTACCTATCCACGAACATCCTGCCATTGGAGTCGGGGTCGCAGAGACTCCTGATCAATGATCGGCGTTGGCGAGTGTACACCTTCTTGCCACGACGCTGGTACGCGGCATCCTTGTAGGTCTGTATGTTCATAATTGCGATCATGCAGCCTATGTCCTCTTCTGTAGTGACTTCTTGGTAGACTTTGTCGATGGCTGCTGTGATTTGTTCGGGAAATCGATTGACCATGTCACGAATGACATGTTTTACCTTCCTCCACGCACCGCGCATTCGCCCTTTGAGAGCCAGAGGAGCGGACGATGCGGTGATAACGTCCTCAATCGATGCCCATAAATCAGTGATGGGACCAGTTATCGAGTTGGAGATTTCCGTAGACTTATGCTTTATCGTAACCTTCCAGTCCGACAGGTAAGCCTCTAGTGACGTATATGCATGGCTATTGTCGGCTGGAGTTTCCATGGTATCAAGAAGGTCACGGTTCCAGTTGATATCACGGCCTCTGTATGCTGCTGAAGCATAGCTAGTAGGAATGCCTCTGCAAACTAGAGTGTGCATGAACGTGTTGAATTGAACGACAGTCGGAGCACTCCATACCTGGATAAGGGCCTTAATACGTTTGGTAACGGTGTTCTTCTCGGAGCCTGTGTAGATGGGTAGGACGATGGATATGCTGTTGACATCCTTCGCTGCACGTGAACCTCGTATGGCATTTCGGAAGCACTGTTCGAGGCAGCGTCGGGTCGTTGCTAATATCTCTTTCTGTCCAACCGTCTTTGTGAGGATGCGTTGGGCATCGTCCACGAAGCCAGGCAAAATCTGGAAGTAATGTTTGTGGTAAATCTGCAGCTTTTGCTCCGCAGTAAGACAAAGTAAGCCTCGCCTCAGGTGTGGAACACCAGACATGTAGGGTCCCCAGGTCGGATCTTCAGCTCGATAAGGGTCCAACCAATCGTGAGCGGCTGATGCCACTACAGAGTATACGCTTATGCGTCCGCCGTGACGTTGCTTGAGCGCATCTTCACACGGTTCGGCGAATTGTCGTACCATTGCACATTGCGCAACACTAGCGATATGGTCGTCGTAGGCTTCCTCTGCATCGGAATCATCTTCAGTGGCTTCCAAAGCTATGTGCAGTTCTGGAAAAGGGCTCTCTTTGTTTTCTTCGATCTCGCTACGAACCGCATCATAATCCGGTGCATCGTAGGCTTTCTATAAAAAGTAACAGTCAGACAGAAATATACGGAAGAGGAAGAGGTATGCCCTACATCGATCTGATTCATGACAAGGATCGTGTTTCGATCTCCGTGTGCTTTGCGGGAACGAGTGATCTGTCCATCCAGGTCTTCGCTGTCTTCAATGCGTGATGCCGCTCCTATGATGATTTCGCCGTGCGCGCTTCGACGATGCACATTCGCGCTTGCGATCCGCGCTTGGTTAAGGTCGCCATATCCTTTCCTTGTAAGCATTGGTGAAAAACAATTTTTGTAATGCGTGACTTACCTGGAATGTCCACAAGAACAAGACCGTATCTCAAAAGCATCCCCCCTGTCGCCACTTTTACTGACCTCACAAACGGTGCCAAAGATTCAGCTACCTTTCGTACTGCTGTGATGTCTCTCTCGCCCTGCTCATGCTCTAGGTCGAGCTTGTCTGGGACGTTGAGATACACAATAGTATTGTTGCCATCTACGCCCAATGCTTGGAGACGCTCCCGTTGTTTGCGATGATAGAATTCGATTAGGCTGCCATTCGTGAAATTTTCGGGATGGTTTAAATGCCTGTCGAGTTTCTCCTCAGCTTGCTCGTCTCCTTTGACAATGATGCGAAGGACATCGTATGCTTCTTTGCTGAGATACTCATCATACTTGGTGAGCGTTCTCGTAAGAGCAGGGTCGAGGCTATCTTCGTCGCTTTCCTCCTCTTCACTCGTTGGGTGATGGAAGCGCCCATACCGCATGATGTTCTCCTCAAGATGCGCTCTGAGTTGGAGTTCGTCGAAGAAAGAGATCGTCACATCGCTCTTATCCGTATCGTCATTTGCACCGGCCTTGTATCTGAACTCTGTCGCGAATTGCGTGCACGACTTAGTACCCTTGGATACACCTGCGAGTTTGTGACGACCGAGCAAACAGTTGGTCAAAGTACTCTTGCCTTCGCCGTGCTTCCCTATCAAGGCATAGTGCCACTCAGGTGTCTCTGGTCCTGGATTTAGCTGAAGTTTCTGCATGAAAGCGCCGATCTCCTCGATGTTTTCGTATGCTTGGCCACTGAGAAGTGTAAGCACCTTGAACACCATATGGTTCATTTTAGTGTCCATGTTAGCGGTGTCTAACGTGAAGAAGACGTGATCCGGCCTCTTCTCGTCTTGTGGTTTGTGTTTAAATTTGGGTTCGAGGACGCTCCGTGATTTCTTTCGCAGGATTTGCGACGAGGATGGTTGACTCCTCTTTGTACGCTTTTCCCATTCCTCACGGGAGAGGATCTCGTCAATGAAGTCAGAGTGCATGCTATAGCATGTTAGTAGATTCATTACCAAGAACGATCGGGTACGCACGTGAACAGCCCCTACGGCGTAGTCTTGCACGCAGGAGAAAGATTGGTAGAGTAGAGCAGATCAAGTATACTAAACTTTGCAATGAGACTGGATCTTACAGAACAGAAGGATAAGAGGCATGGTAGAAGTAAAGAGTAGAGAGCAGCGCTGGAGTCGAGCTTTCGAAGTATCGAGACTCGAGTGAGAGAACGCTAAGCGACGGCCGGGCGATCAACAAAACCAGAGTGAAGGAGGTCCGGAGAGCGAAGAGAGCAGACGGTAAGATGAGTGTGAAGGCGATTATTTGTCTCAGACAAGCAAACGGCTACCAGCAGGTAAAGGCGGCAAGACAAGCATTGCTAAGAGTGAGACACCGGATTCTCGCAGCAGCGATGCGTTGCGCCCACCGTACGACCAAGACAACGTGAAGCGGTGCTTTCGTAGCATCCTTGCGGACTGAAGATTGGGACGATCGTGCATTGTGAATGGTGTCTCTGAAGATGCCTTTGAGATCGTTAGCTGTGACTGCAGCCTCAACAAAGAGTTTGGCGGTGGAAAGGAGGGCGCAAACAAGACAGAAGAAGCGTCGTCAAATGATTGTTTGACGTAGCAAAATGTATGAGCAATTGGAAAATACGAAGTAGAGTGTAGGGGTGACGGGGTGCTCAGGTGGGAAGTGCTACCTGTACAGGCTAGCGCGCTTCTGCCATGCGTCCGGAAGCACCTACCTTCAACAGTGCGCCGAAATTTACCGTTGTTTTTCACTCTCACAGGGGAAAGATGTACTATCGGTGTTTGTTTTCTACGATTGAGATGGTATTGGATGATTGTAATGGTAGCATAACATGATTTCGTTTGTCGCCCACTGCAGCGTGGACTAGATGATTACTGGATGTATAGCCTCCAGGATAATTACCGCACCACACGATACCCCCTAGATATTTCCATATGCAAATCCCACAATCCAAGCCCCGGAGACAGGCTTGAATTCCCAAATCTGCCATCCATATGATCCTTGCAAAACGCCCTTAACGCCGAAGAGAAAGCAGTAAGGAATAGAGCAATGTCTGCTACATCGCCAAGACAGCTCTAGTCATCCGCCTCAACTTTCATCTTCTTCTGCGCTGGCTCGCCCTCCTTACTATGGTTCGTAGATAGCTCAACCTGCTCTGTGAGCAGCGCTTCGTCGCTGAACTTGGCGCGAACAACCTCAACCATAGTCTCCAGCTCCGGAATACGCTTCAATATATCTTCGCGTAGCTGGCGGTCCGCATCTGTCAGTTTGTAGTCCAGGGGTGCGCGGTCACTGATGTGCTCGTCGAAGGCCTCAATATTCTTCATGACTTCAACGAGGAATTCGTCGAAGGCGCCTCTGAGGTCCTTCTTCGACTGCCGTGTGACGGCGTGCTCGATTCTGTCGATGAGGGTTCGGCCGTGCTCGTCAGGGTTGCTCATTAGGTCGTGCATCTTGATCTTCTGCGCGGCGAACCGATGCGGAAACTTGCCCTGGGACCAGGTATCGATGTCGTAGACGCGCTTGTAGTATTCCACGTTGAGTTTTGCGTTCATACAGCGGACGTCCGTCTCAGTGGTGGCGTACTGGTGGGTGGCTTTCACCGCGTCATAGAAATTCTCATACAATTCGACATTCCAGACCTTCTTCTGGCACCCCTCCCACTGTTTGATGGCGTCGTCGCGGAGTTTCGGAGGGAGAGATGATGTCTCGATGCACTTCTGAATGTCTTGGCAAACTGAATCAATAGTCTCGTCGAGATCTTGTGCAAGCGTCTCAACTGCGCCGTCCATTCGGTCCTTCCAATCATTCATGTCTTCAAGGATCACGTTGCCCTGGTCTTCGTTCCAGTTGTACCTACCGGTCGGATTCTCGGTATTCTTATACTTCGCAGCTCCAGACCAGCCAATGCCCTTTCGCATCAGACAAGCTCGGTAAGTGTTCCACTGCGAGCCGTATCCCCACCCATCCACAATTCGCAGAAGCTCTTTCATGCGCGCTTGCTTCTCGCCTTCATCATCAAAAACCCTTTCGATGATGTATTCGATGAACTCGTTGAACATGCGCGCGAATCGCTCGCGAATATCGGCAACTACCTCGGCGAAGCGAGCGCGCAATAGAGCATAGCCTTCGTCTTTCTTTTCTACGTCGGCAATACCCCGACACTTGTTTAGAAGATCGTCCATCTTGTCGAAGGCATGGTCTTTGTAGATTTTGAGATTCGGTTCAGCACAGAGCTGTAGCAGGTATTGTCGAACGCCAGGTACACCTGTCTCTTTGGGGGACATCAGGGGCTGTTTCAAGCGACCCTGTTTCATCCACTCAATGTACATGGAAGCGGAGATAGAGAAGACTGAGATAGGGTTTGGATCCACATCTTTGAACTTTGCTTTCATCTCCTCCGCTACGTCTGCAGCACGATGTTCGATGAACGCGAGCTTTGCGATGTTTTCTAGATGAGCCTGGTAAGCCTGGCGATCATCGTACTCTGCGTCGGCAGCTTCATCGTCCTCCGGTAATCCCGCCATCGTGTTTGCATTCGAATCTAGGTGGTTTCGAATGGTAACGAATGGTTCGGCCATGTGTGTTGTTATGACATTTTCCACTGAATTGGTGTCCAAGAGGTATTCCTAAAATCAATGAGTTTCATGCGAGGCGACAAAGGATGAATTCTTACATCTTTCTTCGTCAGAATCAGGATCGTCGCTTTTGCCCCATGAGCCTTGATAGACTGTCTGATGTACCTGTGTACATTGGCATCGGTAGTTACCCGGTCTGCCCTAGCGAAAATCATTTCGTAACCAGCCTTACGTCGAAACGTATTTGTAGCTGCTGTGCGTATTTGGTTCTCATCGTTCAAGCCTATATGTGTTAGCGAATCGTCGCACCGAGAGACTGGGGACATTACCAGGCAGGTCGCGAAGATTGACACCGTGCTTTGCCAGAAGAGACCAGAGAAGAATATCCAGGCTTTGCACAATAGGCCATAATGACGGCATAGAAGGGCACCGGGCCATGTACTTTTCCACCTCTTCCATCAAGATCTTGATCGTCTGGTCCTTGAACACTATCGTTCGCTCCTCGGTCGTTGACCAATGCGAACTCGTTTCGTCGATGCGTCTATGGGCCATCGCCATTGTGGCATTCAGAAGGTTTTGGCCCTTGATGTTGTCGGCCGTGAGAAGAGTATTCAGCTGGGATGCGGCTTCACGATCATACTTCGCATTGTGCAGCACGTTGAAAAAGGCTCCAGCATCTTTAGCTACACGCTGATCTTCGAAATACGTTTCTTCATCCACATTGCCGGAGAAGTGGAAATGGTAATAGCGATCGATGTGCTCTTGGATACTCTCGGTCAACTCTTCGTCACTCATGAACTTGATCTTCGCATCAAAGCTGTCGGCAAATTCGGGAGCATCTGGCTTGTAACAGAATCTGATAGCCGAAGCCGTACATGCGCCGCCGCTGGCAGATGTCGTCGACAACCTCGGCCTGTGCTGCAAGGCATTGATAGCAAGGCTCTTTCCCGTACCTTGCTCTCCCACGACGGCGACATCTAATGTCTCCGGGACAATGACGGTTTGCAGACGACGAGCGAGTGATTGTACGGCTGCGAGTTGCTTGTCTTGTGGCCTTGCTCCTGAAAGAGTCTCGAGTACTGCTGCTGAGATCTTGTTAAACCCCTTGTCAATGGCTTTGCGATCCAACCGAAAGAACTTGTGGCCAGGCAGAGGCTCAGAGAAGGGGTTGTAGACATTGCCATGGCTTCGTTTTGAGCGCCTCGTGCTTTGCGGTGTTTCCTTGTGCTTCTCCCTCCATTCTTCGAAAGTTGGAATTGACGGTGGGCTGGTCATTGTGCGCCTGTGCTGTTGTCAGTCGTGATCCACCAATATCCATGCCATGCTTACAAGAGAGCAACCAATGGTAGCGTATATCAAGACTTGATTAGGCAGAGAACCCAATAAGCGCTTGTCGCGCCGGTGGAAACTGGTTGGGCACGAAAGTGGGAGATCGTGTGACGAGAGAATGGCAGAGAAGATACCTATTGAAGAGTGTGGTTGTTTGGAAGAGATTAGCGTCCGGATGCGGGGCTTCTTAAAGGGCAGCCCACTGTCCGGCAGCAAGGTGAGAGAAGGGAACAGAGACCCAACTAAGTGAGATCGACCAGCAGAGCTCCGCAACCCATCCACAAGTAACCTGCGGTAAAGGCAGCTTGCGACATACAAGCGCCCACAAGCAGATAACGCATCTCAACACCGGGCCACGGTAGTAAGTGTACCGAAAGAACCGCTCGAGCAATGCTCCAAGTCCCAGATGAGGACCTCACAGCTGTGACCTATTCCATCCAGTCCGAGCTGTCAAGCATGTCATCCAAGCATACCTCAATCCTCGCCACGAAACTCAAGTGTCGACAGGTCAAGCTCAAGTGTCATACAACGGCTACATTCCGTTCCGAAGCGGTATTGAAGGCGAGTAAGTGCAAAGAGGATTGAAATGATGAAGCAGTTTGAATGTTCAGATTCATATTAACCGTTGATGGACGCGCCACGTGGATATGGCACATTAATTCCCAGTCATACTACCTAAGTAATCCACCCTGTCCCTGGTATTCCCATCGTAACTCTGGATTTCGTAATTCATACAGTCGTTAGAGGCATTCCGTGCCGATCCGGTTTGGATGGCGATGCTCCCAATGCATGTCTCATTAAGGTCTGGACCTTCTAGATACACGTGTGCAATATACGCAGGCGTGTAGTTGTAGGAAGACATTGACAAGGGCAGCAATCTTGCCTCCCACAATAAGACCTCTCGGAAGTTGTTGGAGTGAATCCTTGCGGTGAAAGGTACACATAGGCGCGTCGACAGTCTCGCGGTAGTCGCGTTGTCTTGACTGTGCCTGATCATTCCAGCTCTTTGTCCGGGTCCTTCCTGTTCGGGTTCATGTTCGTGTGAAGAAGGGTGGCATGTTTGGAAAGTGGGATATTCTGTAGTTGCAATGACGTGCATTGAGCCTTCAACCAGGGTTCGTCAATTTGCGTACCGCATCAGCGTAGAGAAGATCCGTTGCAGAACCTCTGTCCCTGCCCTCTAGTCGCGGGTCGAGCAACGTTGTGCATGGCTGTACCTCGGCGGAGAAGTAGCTATCGTCGGCCGATAGGCTGGTATTGCGCTTCTGTGCTTGCGCCCAGGTGCTGTCCGTTGGGGAATACGACGCCCTCAGGCCTGATTTCTCCAGGTCTTGTACCCACTTTGGGTACGTATGCATCGACGAGCTAAATGCCGGAGTAAAGCGAGTTATGTCCCAAACCGTTTTCGTAGGATCCAGGAAATCGTTTGTGTTGCCGAGAGTCAAGGCATTTGCTCGGGCGTGGACCGTTGATACGTCTACCAGCTTGTTCAGGATCGCCAGCTCCAGCTTCAGCTTTACGCAGTATATCAAGCCCTTAATGGTTTGCTGAGCGACGTGCAGGCCGGAAAATTCCAGAGCTAGGAGCGCAATGTCGAGAGCGATGATGATGACGTTGATAGAGAAGAGCTGCCACATGGTGTGGTGGGAACGCTTGCGATCAGAAGTTTGGATGATGTCGAGGGCTTTCCAGATGTATATGCCGGACAATAGGACTTCCTGTAGAAAGAAGACGCACATTTGAATGCGCTCGATAACATTGTAGGCTTCGCTAAAAGCTTTTGTGGCGCTGCCAAAGCGGGAGCCATAAACCACGACTATGCGCCCGTTAGTTCAAGATCGTTTGTGATGGAGCTTCGCACGTACTAGCCGTGAGTCCATGGAAAGTACACCCGTTGAAGATGATGGTCCATTTGATCAGCTGTAACAGACGCTTGTGACCGTTGCCGAACACGAGCCACAGCCGACTGTAAAGGACGACTGACTGGCCAGTCACCATCAACGCCCAACCGAACGTGTCGATAGCGGTGCCCAGAGACAAGTAGCTAAGCTCGAAGTATTCGATCATGAACCCCAAGACGTATGGAATGACACCGAAACTGGCCAGGGCGAGCGACCAGAAGTAGAGTCCACGGTAGGCATGGAAGGTGGTAAGGATAAGCAGCTCAAGTTCCAGCGCGTTGTAGAGAGCCAAAGCGGAGCAGATAACCACAGCGAGTGCTTCGGCGTTCCATGATTCAAAGTGATTCCTGCTCATGCCACTGTCGTTCCCCATTGCTGCGGTTACCGAGGTTTACAGTTGCATCCTGATAGTAGCGGTCACGAGGTCGGCCGCCCTAGAAGCTGTAGGGGTACAGAAGGGCCAGATTGTTTGTCGACAAAGCCAGGGTCGCAGTCGCTAGAGAAGAGGAGGAGTTAAAGTGAGATGCAGGATGATCAGGGCAGGAAAGGACCCACCTCGAGTCCGAGCAGCTGGACTGGCAGGGTGCTGCTGAAGAGGACGCAGCTGTCACCCATGTCGAAAGTGACCCGGGTCCACGGAGCGCGGTGAAGGATTGCGGAAGCTGGGGACGTCCGTGCATGGTGGTCAATCGAGGTAGTGTGCATCCTTCGAGTGAAATTGCGGTGGCAGCCAGCCGTCTATGGACGGCACAAGCGACACGCGTGCCGTCTGGTCTCGTGGGACAACAGCTGCGAATGGGCCAGTGTCAACGCCGCGATTTGCTGACGGTCGAGGCGTGTCGGCGACAAGGCGATCACGCGTCCCCGAGCTGTCGTTGGGCGCATGAGGGAGAATCCTGCGACGCGAATCTTGCCCAGAGAGCTGCCAGCAACGGGACATGGCAGCCACAACGAGAGCCCCTGGGCCAGTTGCTAGCTGGCGGGTAAATTAACGAGGAAGACGGCTGGTGTGGCACAGAAGGCTGGTGAAGACGCAGGGCGCGGGCGCACATGGTGGCCGTTATGGCGGGGCTCGCGTCTAGCGTCGCGCCTTCCTCCTCGCCGCCGTTGTTGACTGTTGACTGCACATGCATCGAAACCGGGAACCTTGGACCGTCACGCACATGTGGCATGCCACAGCAGAAGACACGCATCACAGAGTCACCCCGACTATCGATTTGCGCGTCACTCCAGAAGCCTGCCAGCAGTACTACCCACACCGCCACAAGTCGCCCTCGACTCAGCCAGCTTGCCCGAGGACTCGGCGAGCCGCCCTCGTCTCTGCGGGCAACGGTGCTGGCCCGCGCTCAAACAGGGCTCGTGTCAACACCATGGCGTCGATCCTCCGCTTCATTGTGCGTGTCGGGCGCATCGCCATCTCACAGCATCCTTCTGTGTTCGGACGTGGCGCTTGTGGCCTCCCGGCAGTGCAACGCGCCGTTATACCATTTCTCCACCATTCACCCCACACCCAACTGGTCATGCTCTTATGGCCGCTCCGTCGCGACTCTTAGCAACTGCAACGGACATGCAGCTTGCTTCCCTCACCATCTCGCGCGATCGCAGGTAGCGCATGTACTCATCAGTACCGAATTAGACAGTTTACGGGGGCTTCCAAGACCAATATCTCTGAACACGAAAGAACGGACGCCGCCTTACTATTTGTGCGAGCTTGTCATCCAGCTGTGCGTCTTGCCACCCCAACCATGGGGCCTGGCCTTCTCTTTCCCCCTCGTTGGGCAGCTGACAGGAACAACTTCCCGTTCACCCTCCCTCCAAGTTCAACCAGTCAATGTTTTGTAAGAGAACATGCCGAAGCGAAGTCAGACCACCAAAGCATTGCGAATCGTGGGTTGCGGTGCACGTACATGAAGCCTTGATGGAGGCAATAATTTCCACGCATTGACTTCCAACTTGTTGCCTGGTGAGCACGACAAGTATCCGTGCAGAGACTGCCAGAGCATGGAGACCGTTGCACCATGGCTCGCGCTTGCGTTCGGCGTTTAATGAGCACGCTCTACACCACCGAAAACAAGTAGCCTAGTGTGGCACTGCCAGCATGGAGCACCGACAAAACGCAATTCTGGAATCCCAAGACCCCAAGTTCAACGTAAAAGCAATGTGACAAATGAGGGCCTGCATCGTCTCCCTATCAGGTCAACCAAATCGGTCATCGACGTGGATCATATCCTCGAGGCCGTCACGTAGCGTTCGTGATGCAAATTATGTATGTCTTTCGAATCATACAAAACACGTTAGCGACCAACGGGCCTAATTAGCTCGCATGTTTAATGAGTAAATCGCAGGACACGATCTTTGGACCGTTCATGCGCAGTCAGTCGCGTGTTGATTGTAGTTCCATCAGTAATTCAACAGCAGTTCCACTGTCAATCTCACGTGTAATTTAAGGTGGGCGACCCACAGAAGACTATCATTTGAGGTAGGTATCTACACGAAAGCCATGCTCGCTTGCTCTCTCGGCCCCGGGGTGCCCCGCCCCACATGTACTCCAAGCGGTAACGTCATGATTGTCTCAGCGAGCGTGAGTCTACCAGAACTTCGAACAATACCGGCTCAGCGTCTTCATCTACGAGCTTCTGGAATACGAACTCACCATGCATTTGCACGTAGTCTTTGCCGCTCTAATTGGCGTTGCACAATGCCGCAACAAGCAGCAACCCATCGTCTTGCACCCGCTGGGAATTGATCAGCCACCAATTGGTTTCGGGACATGGAACCTGAAGGAGAATCCGGACAACACCACTAATGCTGTTGCATTTGCAATTGAGAAGGGCTATAGGCAGATTGATTGCGCCGCAGCATATGGCAATGAGGAAGCTGTCGGGAAAGGCATACACAAGGGATTAGAGCAAGCAGGCCTTAACAGAGAGGATATATGGGTAACAAGCAAATTATGGAACGACCAGTGAGTCCCAACAGACCTATCTCAAAGTATCCTCTAACTTTACAAAGCCATGCGCCCGACCGCGTGGAAGCCGGTCTCAACCAAACCCTCAAAGACCTCAACCTCTCCTACCTGGACCTCTACCTCATGCACTGGCCCGTCGGCAAAGGACCAAAAGACAAGAAGTATCACGAAGACTACGTCGAGACGTGGCAAGCCATGGCCAAGCTTCTCAGTTCCGGTCGAGTCCGCCGCATCGGCGTCTCCAACTTCTCTCCTGCGCAACTAAAAGAGCTGGTAAAGCATAGCATCAAGGGCGACTCCCCCCTTCCCGCTGTGCACCAGATGGAACTCCATCCGTACCTCCCCCAGGCGAAGTGGATCTACGCTCACAAAGCCCACGGTATTGCCATTACTGCGTACTCACCGCTAGGAAACATGAACCCTACGTACGGTGACCGGTCGCGCCGCGAGGTGACTACGCAATCTAAGGCTCCGCTGCTGCTGGAGCACGAGACTATCAAGAGCATCGCGGAGAAGCGGGATTGTACGCCTGCGCAGGTCGTGCTCAAGTGGGGCATGAATCGCGGGACTAGCGTCATCCCGAAGAGTAAGCATGAGAGCCACATTGAGGAGAACCTTGATGCGACGAAGTGCGAGCTTGGGACAGACGACTTGGCGGATATTGATGCGATAGGAGAGGAGCCGATCAGGTTCAACAATCCGGGCAAGGGGTGGGGCGTGCATCTGTTTGAGGGGTTGGACGACGCGTGAATCCTACGGACGGTTGCTGAAGTCTCAAGGGAAGGCAACGTACATACGGAGATGAACATTCTGAGGTTGGTGTTCTTGGGAAGATTTCCCTATGAGGAATCGTGCCGGTAACTCGTCGGCTCGGTTCTTGGCAGGGTTTGGAAGAACAAAGAAGTGCTGTAGTGCCTTGAAGTGCCTTGCATGCACATACATAAACCTACCGACATTAATTTGGTGTGCCCTGGTAATAAGCATCGTTCTTATGCCGTCAGACAAGAGCACTTCAAGGCCATCTCTCCAAAGTCCCTAGAAGTAGCAGTTGCGAAGGATTTAATCTCGTCATAGCGTGCTACGAAATTGGCCAATCAGAGCGCGACCGCCCTTTCGACATGCAGGGCGTAGAGCTAGCCGTTAGTATTTTTCAAGAACCGAAATCTTTAGCCCGCTCGCATTTAATGTAAGATGTAAGACGTTTATCGAGAGGAAGTACTTGGGGATTGAGATTTGCTTTGCTTCGGCCAGAGTGGTGATCGATTGATTCAGCATATCCGCCATAAACCAGCCATCGCCAACACTCGTAGACACAAAAGAAGAGGGGAAAAAAAAGAAAAGAAAGCAAACCAACCGTCGCTGCCAAATCCACCGAAGCTCACAAAAGCGACCCAAAAGTTGCCCAAGATGAGCGCAACAGAAACCATCGCCCTCTCCAGCGTAGCCCCAAAAGCTCCAGAGCCCATCCCCCACCCATTCGACACACCAGGAAACCCGCCTTCCTCGTCCCCATCCTCATCAAGCACCCGTCTCAGCATCCCTTCCACTCCTCCAAACCACGAGCAAAACATCGCACTTGCCCAGTCTGCAAAGTCCAAACTGTCTACACCACGGCTAGTCCTTACTATCTTCGTGCCTTCCCTCATCGGCTTCTGGGCCTCTTTCACAAATGGAATCATCACCGTCGGACTACCCGTTATCGCGCGCTCGATCAGTCTCGAGCGCGCGCTGTATCTCTGGCCGCAGAGCGTGTATGGTCTGACTTCTGGCGCCGTCCTGCTTATCGCTGGGAGCGTTGCAGACATCGTAGGCGCACGGAGCGTCGAACTACTCGGCGTCTTCCTCCTAGGTGCCATGACGCTGGCGTGTGGTCTGTCTCAAACGGGCATCCAGCTCGTTGTTTTCCGCGCGATTCAAGGCGTTGCCCTGGCGATGCACTTGCCTGCGTCGGTGTCTATCATCACGGCTGCGGTGCCAGCGGGGAGGGCGCGGAACTTGGGGTTTGCCTGTCTGGGGATGAGTCAGCCGCTGGGATTCTCTGTTGGGCTGGTGTTGAGTGGGATTATGATTGAGAAAGCGGGATGGCGATCGGGGTTTTACTTGAGTGGTGGGGCGACGCTTGTTGCTGCTATGGCTGCGTACTGGGCATTGCCGAAGGTCAATACTGCGGTTGTTGCTGGGGGACGATCTACCTGGGAGCGGTTGAGGAAAGATGTCGATTGGGTTGGAGGTATCATTGCGAGTGGAGGATTGGCTATCTTGGCTTACGTGCTTGCGTGAGTACTTCCAAAAGCTTCAAATTGTCCCACAATACTGACCTCCATCAGCGTCCTGAGCGCCGATCTATCCACCATCCGATCCGCACAAACAGCCTCCCTCCTCGCCATCAGCCTCGTCCTCCTCCTAGCCTTCCCAGTCTGGATGCACTTCCAAACCCGCGCCGGGCGACCCGCTCTCATCCCCAACAGCCTCTGGAAAAACACCCCCTTCACCTCAACCTGCATCATGGTCGCCCTCTCCTACGGCGTCATGAACTCGGGCGAAATCTTCTCAAGCTTGTACTTCCAGGAGGTGCAAAACGCGTCTATACTAGCGACATCGCTGTACCTGCTGCCCAACCTCATGACAGGCGTGTGCATCAACCTCACTGTTGGGTTGGTCGTGCACCGCGTTCCTGCTCGCTGGCTTGTCTCCGGCTCAGCTGTCATCTGCGCGTGTTCGCCGCTTATGATGGCGCTTGTTAATCCAGACTGGAGTTACTGGTATCTGGAGTTCTGGGCACAGGTCTTTGCGCCTTTCAGCGGAGATGTGCTTTTCACCGTTGGCCTGATCATCGTCTCGGATAGCTTCCCCGAGAAGACGCAGGCGCTCGCCGGTGCAGTCTTCAACACAGTCGCACAGTTCGGAATGAGTCTGGGTGTCGGTGTATGCCAGGTCGTTGCACTCGGTGTCATGGATAGCAGCAGTGGCGGAGGCCAAGCTGGGAAGGAGGGAGAAGCTTTTGAAGAGAACGCCGGGCAGGTGTTGAAGGGCTACAGGGCGAGTTTCTGGACTATGTTTGGGTATATGCTGGTTTGTGTTGTGATTGCTGTGGTTGGGTTGAGGAAGGCGGGGAAGGTGGGGTTGAAGAGGGAGTAGGAGGGTGCATATGCCTTGGAATGAAGTCGTAGCGTGGAATTTGTTAATATAGACACACATAGATACATAGACGAGAAAAGTAAGAAGCAGGTCAAGACCTAAGATCACCATTATAAATCGCGAGATTTCCCAAATATCTCAGGAATTCCCGTGAAATGGTTGATATCAAAATGTGCTTCTCGTTGGCGAGTCAACAGTAGGACTGTAGGACAGGATATTTCTAGGGTGAAGGATACATATACACTCCAAAACTTTCCCAGCACTCACATTACAACGTCTTTGACTTTTTGCCTACATCAAAAAGTTAGCCGATTGCAAAAGTTCCTCCCCTACCTTTTTATAACTCTGTGTCGATATCTCTATTCATCCGTTAGGTTCTATGATATATTCACTCTATAGTTAGCTCGATTTCGTTGAACAGCAGAACTTGGTAGTGGTAGGCGTTTAGGTAGGGCACTAAGCTATCAAAAAAGGCGTACTAACTTGGTAAACTTATTGTGCATTGCAAAAGTTTGCCTCCACCCTTCCACGGTACTAGGCGTATACTATAGGAGGCTGCCCCTAGGCTAGAATCTGTTAAATCTGTATTTCTAGGCCCGGTAGGCGTTAGGATAGGGCACCAAGCTATCAAAGTTAGCTTACCAAAGTGATAAGGCAAATCATTAACATCCTATAGTATACAGGATGGCTGACAGTATGTGAATCATTGCCAGTACCGTGGAAGGGTGGAGGCAGAACTTTTGCAAGGTTTGCAAGGCACCGATATAGTAAAGTATACATATTATGGAATCGAAAAAGAACAGTGGGTAAAGAACTGTTGGCAAAGCACCGACAATGACTCAAGCATAAGTACGCCGTAACCTTCAGCTCTGATTATCCGAACGGGTACCGTAACCGAACTTGAACGGTAAGACATCGTATCCCCATGTAGCCTCTGAACTATATGTAATGAAGAACGCTAAGTCATAGACTTGACACAACATCAACATTAGCTGCCTTTCGTACCCCCAAAAGTTACCGCTGCGTCGCGCAATTAGCGTTGCAGCGGTCTTTTCGAAGGTCCGAGGAGTGCAATGATCTAGCCGTTTCGAGTCGTACCTACCAGACCCACGATGAATCCTTCGTAAGATATTGTCCTACCAGGAATTACCCTGAGCATCCACTTTCGAACTCTATCAGGCATTTGTTCGCCGGGGCGGTGAGGAGAAATCCTGCAGATCTCCACGTTTATAAGGCCCAGCCATGGTTTGAGGCATTTGTGGACGATACGCTTCCACTATGCTACCGTTAACAGCTGTCGTTGCCATTCTGGAACTCGCAGCATCATCTTTCGCTGCAGATGCAGATCCCATTGTCAAAGTCGCGTTCGGGGAAACCACAGTTTCATACCGCGGCAAGACCGCCGCGTCAATCGAGCATTTTCAAAACATCAAGTACGGCCACGACACTTCAGGATCGCGCCGCTTCGCGCCTCCAACCCCCTACATCCCTGACAGCGGTGAAATCGATGCCACGCTTCCCGGACCGGCATGCGCGCAGATGCGCGACGCAGTGCCGCCCTTCTTCTCAGAAACGCCGGACATCAGCGAAGACTGCTTGAATCTTCGAATCACCCGGCCGGCGGGGACTAAAGAGGGGGATAAACTCCCTGTCGTTGTGTGGGTTGCTGGCGGAGGCGTTGTAAAAGGCAATGCAAACGATCCGCACTTCGACCCGGAGAAGTTACTCACGTTAGGTGTGGAGATTGGAAAACCTGTTATTTGGGTGTCGTTCGAATATCGTCTTACTATTTTTGGGTTTGCGCGATTGCCCTCGCTTAAGGAGGATGGGAGCTTGAATAATGGGATGAGGGATCAGAGAGAGGCGATGCAGTGGGTTAAAGACCATGTTGAAGCTTTTGGGGGGGATCCCGAGAGGATCACGGCGTATGGATTGAGTGCTGGGGGGACGATGACGAGCTTGCAGCTTGTGAGTTATGGCGGGGAGAAGGGCGTGCCGTTTACGCAGGCGTGGGTTATGTCGGGGCCGCCGGGGACAGCGGTCAATATGAGTAGTGAGGCTACAGAGACGCACACGAGGGCTGTTGCTGAGAAGCTTGACTGCGCGCGAGAGGATGACAGGGAGGTGTTGTAGTGTTTGAGGGATGTTTTGATGGAAGATCTGCTCAGCACGGCGGTGGACTATTCGAAGCAGAACTTTCCGCCTGCTGGGCTGTTCACGTTCATTCCATCGGTGGATGGTGACTATTTCCCTGACAGACAGTCGGTTCTCTACAAAGCGGGAAGGTTTGTCAAAGGTGACTCATTTCCCGCTCAAGCTACCTCCCAAGCTTATAAAAATCAGGTATTCCCATGGTCTTCGGCTGGACTCAAGACGATGGCGCTACGAACGCCGGCCCAGCCCATCTGATCACCGTCGAAGAAGACATGATTGCGCCCATCGCACGCTTTGCTCCCCTCCTTGAGCCCTCAGACTTCACCGAGTTGTTCTCGCACTACCCCGCAGCCGACTTCAAAGTCGATGTCGCCAATTACGAAGCGCGGAAAGAAGACACCGACCCCTCCGTATCCGTCCACTTCTTCCGCGTTGCACGCATCATGCGCGATCTCTTCTTCACCTGCTCCTCCATCGATCTTGCTTTCGAGATGACACGTCAAACGAGGCTCGAAAAGAAAGACTGGAACGGGGTGAGGCTTTACGATCTCAATCAGACGATGTTGACGCCGTTGTTGAAAATGGGCGGAATGCCCTATGCTGGTGCTATTCACGGCTCTGACTCGAATTACATTTTCAACGGGCATTTTCTGGAGCTACCTGTGGAAGAAAAGGACAAGAAATTGTCGCGGGAGTTCAGCACTGCATTTATCAATTTTGCTTACATTGGCAATCCAAACTCTGGAGGTGCTCCAGAAGAAGAGTGGGTTCCTGCATTCGGAGATATGATGAACTCTGAACCGAGCGATGAGCCACAGGAGATTAGCATTGAGGTCATTGGTGGTCCTTACGGCTCTGGTCCAATTACTTTGAAATCCGATCTTTCCGTTGCCCAGGAAGTAGAGACGCTCGAGCAGCAGGTCATGAACGATGGAACGGAATACGCGGCGATGCACTCGCCTACTTTACAGATCAAGAGAGCTCAACTGGAAAAGGAGAAGCTGTTTGAGAGATGCGCGTATATCAACACTCTTGCCGAGAAGCTGGGGCATTGATTCGGTGCGCAGCGTATGTCAACAAAGATATCTAGAGATCGTGTGCATTTAGCATTTGACAGAGGACATCATCAAAAGGGAAACGCGGGTTAAAGAGCGACTGTTGTATTGAAAGAGAGACTACAGCTAGTGAAACGGTCAAACCATATAACGCCAGGACATGAATATGAAATAGTGTAACACAAATACTCGCCATGAACTAAGCCTCGTGAATCCAAGCATAGCAGAGGAGCTAATGAAAACAAGGGAAGCCAGATGGGGGTTTGGAAGGGGAAGTGGCACAAGGATACATCTGTAGCCACCGACCTGGGACGAACTGTGTAGATTTAAGAAACGCAAAGATAACACAAGAGAAAAGATAATTTGAAAACGTAATTTGACCCAGTCGAAGAAACCACCGGCGCATTGCAGAACGACCGTAGGAAAACGAGTGTACAGGTAGAAGCCATTGCGCACGTAGAGCATGGTCTTTAATGAGAGAAGGAGAGGGCAGAACAAGAAAAGATTGATAAAGAGATACGAAAGAAAACCGGCAAATCCAGTGCTAGGAAAAGAATGAAAGAGAAGGTGTTACCGGAAAATGAAAAATCTGAAACCAAGTTGAACGAAGCCGCGATTGCTGGGGAATGTGTATAATGGCCCAGAAGCTCTTAATAAAATGCTTGGATGCTTGCATGATAGAAGCTGGGTCGTACGGGTCGGCTAATGGGCTGCTCAGAGGTAGAACATCTGATTCGATAGGTTTCTCTTCCATGGAGACTCAACAATGGAGTTGATGATTCCGATCTCTGCTTTCTCATGTTGCTCAACCTCTGTATCCTCTGTGTCTCCTTTCTTTTCTCCGTTGATACTTTCATTTTTGGGTGATTCATCTCCAGGGTCATTTTGGGTACTTCCTTGGTCTGCGACTTCTTCGTCGCTTACAACGGCACCAGCGTGTCCTCTCGAGTAAATCTGATTCTCAATGATTTGTTTTATTGCCCGGTCCGTTATGTACCCGTCTTTCCGTTCCTTGTAAGAAGTTGGTCCAAGGATAGACGGGACGAGACTAGCTGAGTCCGTTGCGTAGAAGTGAAAGTAGTCAAAGACGCGTCTGGCTAGTTTCTGTGCGAAATGGATGGGTAGGGCGATCGAAACCTCGGCACCGAGCTGATTCCTTTGGTTGAGGCGCTTGACCTGCCTTGTGTTAGTCATGATTTGAGGTAAGAGCCCATGAAGCTTGCTGCTATAAGATACTTACCAGGCCCCTTAATAACCGTGTCGGAATCTCCAAATCGTCTCCTTCAATTGAATACCAATATTTTGGCTTGCTGGTCTGCTCGATAGCGAAACCAGATGAGACGACTAGTTGATCGGTTGGTACAACAAAGCTATTGTTAGTGACCACAATATAAGTCAACTTGATGGGCTTTGGATCAAAGTAGTCTTCAAATGCTTCTTTGATATCGGCTTTCTCTTTTTCAATCACCCCACTTTCTAAGTTGGGGTCAAGGCCATGTCGAAAGAAAATGACTGAAGGGCTCGGGTCACTTGAGTTCAACAGTCTCTCTCGGATCATTGACTTCAGGCCCAGAATACGGGACTGCATGGAGTGCTTAATACCAGGCTTGTCGCCTCCGTACCCTCGGCGCTGCGTGGTCTCTCTCACTGTCGGTTGCACACGAGCAGCTCCCAAATAGTGCACAGTGTTGTTATCTGTCGCGACAACTGCTGCAACAGAAGGACAGCTTACTCCAGCTATGGAGCCGGGGTGTGAAACATGGGCACCAAAGATCATAGCATTGCCGACAGAATCTGCGTGCGAGATAGCCTTGCCTGCTTCTTTGGCAATGTCTCGCATTTGTGTTGAAAGTGCTTCCAAGGGCTCAGTTTCGAGTGCCGACTTGTAATTAGTTCCACCAAGCATGAGATTGATCTTCCGAAGCAAACCCTTCGGAAAGTACGAGTGCTTAGCGTAGGTTTTCCTCTCTATTGGAACATTCGTATGAAAAGATCTCTCAAGGTCTTGCTTAGAGATACAGACAGCTATGCAGCCCATAATCTGTTCTGCGTATCTGTGAACCTCTGCCCTAATTTGGTCCACAGCACCTTTCGTACGTCCGGAATGATCTACAACGACAATGAGGACGTCGTTAGCTTCCTCAGAATTCATAAAACGTTCAAGTAACAAAGGCTTCTCCACCTCAATGAGCGTCGTTTTCGGTTTGGAAAATTTGATGGCAGAGCTCTCAGAGCCAGTCGCCTGATGTAATCCTCGAGCAACAAACGTGAGAAAACTCTCGCTTTCTGCCGTGTCAGCGCTATTTGAAGGAATGTAAATCAAACGAGCTTGGACTGGTTCGCTCTCTAATCGTTCAGGGCTCTTAGATTCCGCTTCTGAACTCTTAGGGGTAGGTCGTGTGTGAACTTTTGCCGGACTAACAAAGTTGAGAGGGCCTCGCTTGAATATGGGGAGTCGTTCCTGCGCCTGTCCTTTTAGATGTGGGTTCTCTTCCTCGTCTATTGCAGCGAAGCTGTCGTTCTGGTGTTGATTCAAGTCTGCAAAATTCAGGGAAGCCATCTTTACGAAGTCCGTCAAGTGACCAGTGTTTCGCAAAGCCTGCCCTTTAATAACCTCCAAGAACTCCAATGGAATCCACGTATCGTGACGCACCTTGACAAGAGGTAGGTTAGGATACTTCAACTTTGAATTCTTGAAGGTTTCAAAGTAGGCAGCGACTGAAATCGGCTTTTCCTCCGTGTCCTCAGATATCGAGAAAGTACCGTCTGCCTTTGCTCGTTGTGGTAGAAACCTAGACACCTCGACAGAGCTTCTTATGTCCTGTATCCTGTAGGTGGCAACCTTTTGGGTAGTACTCTGATCTTGCTTGCTACTTTGGTACTCTACCTCGACTGGTGTATCCGGTCGCGCTAAGTTGTATATCGGTTGGACAGGCGTGCGGCCGAACGTTGCAATGGAAGGTGTTTTCCTCAGAGTACGACTCACTGAGAGCCGCTGAGACGTCCTTGGGGCTGTTTGAATAATACCATTCGGCTTATCGGTGTCCGAATAAGTATTCTTCTGAGGGTCCAGATATCTGACTTCCAGACCAACCAAGACGCCTTTGATGAGCGAGAGTTGTTCAGCGGAAATGGAACCCAAGACATTGTTTCCTAGATATTCAAAAAGAAGGTCAGGAGCTTCTATGGACTTATCGAGACAGAGAGCTAGGTCAAGTTTCAAGTGGAGTTCCTTCGCATCCAAGTTGAGCACTGGCTCAGCATGTGTGCGAACGGAACAGTATTGTGCGAGGCCCTTCGTTTTCAGAACGGGATCAATAGAGCCTAGGCTCTTGTCTAGAATCCAGTCTTTATTAGCCGGGTTGGTGCCATTGACCCAGTCTTTGCGTTTATTGACCCGGGTACAAACAAACGTGTCTAAGCAGCGGGCGTAAAGTTTCCGCTCCATGTCATCAGTGGCGTTTGGCGACACGATGCGTGCTCCTGACTTGAACCGGCAATATATGGCACGGTACTGGAGCTCTCCTGTGAGATCTCGCCGGGCTTCCTTGTCATGGAGCTTAACCCCACTATTGTGATGTTCTAGAGAGTTCTGTACCCACGTCTCAAGGTCACCTTTAGTTTGACACGGGATGATAAGATAGTCAATTGGGCCTTTGTTGTCTTTATTGTAGAAAGGACTTGGGTTGAGCTGGTTTCTTTTGGCGTTATGGTTGACCGCATAGGGAAAAAAGAAATTCTTCGTCTTGAGGAAATCGCCAATCGCGGAACACCTTAGTTTACGGCTGAGGCACTGCTCATCATCCGAATCCATTGTTTCGATCTCGGTAACATAAAAGGTGGGAAGGTTGTCTAAGCTGAAGATGAGAGACCCTAGTGAGGTCTTCGAACCAGAAGGCATTGTGTAGGCTACGAATTTGCGAACTTGGCTGATGTAGCTGCTTAATTATGTCTTCAGGACCAGTATGATATGGATTTGGGGGACGAACAACAGCGAAGCGAACTAGCCTATATAGCTAGCGAGTCCTAGAAGTTTGCCATGTGCATACGATCGGTCTGCATCATGCGGACCATACCCCTTTTGCGGTATTTACCGGCGGTCCATGGAAACTTAGTCACCTTCGGCTTGCTCTACTACATCCTGCTTGTGAACTGCAATTGTGGAGAGATCACGGGGCAGTGCAAAGCTTCATTTACGCTTACTAAATGGGCAGCTGACCCCCTAGCAAAACCATTAGCAAAGTCAGAGAATGGGAACAAGAAGCTTGCGGTATGGACACGTTCAAAATTATGGATCATGGGAGTGGAAACCCCCACAAATTTAACAGCAAACCTGGGTCTGATGACTCGCGATACCTCCGAATAGAAAGCAAACTCAATGTCGTCTAGGGTGGGGTCAAGACCAGTCAGAGAAGTTTGTGCCCATAGAAAATCACTTGTAGAAATCTGGGTGGTTCTCACTCCCTATCCAGAACGCTTCACCGTAATATTACCACAACAGGCTTCAAATCAAATTGCTTCATAAGCGAAGTCTTGACCGTAAAGGCATAGACTCTTCTGGAGATCCCCTCGCCCAACGGGTGCACAGGTAGACACGCGTTAAAAAGGATTATCTTTACCGCCTGATCGGGGCGTTGCGTACTGGGGCCTTTAACGAAGTTTGCCAAAGTGATGATGCGCAGTTGGAAGCCCGCTTCGATTGGCTCACAAATTGATACTGCCGAGCGACTGGTTATGCGTAAGGTCGGTAGATGGATAGACCCTTTACTTCGTTGTCGTACTGCTAGAGAAGATGAGGGGTGAAAAAGATGGTGCTAATATGGTTTTGATGACGAGAAGATACGGCGGTATTTCAGATCGCTTGGTGACTTGATGTATACTGGGAGTTCGTTAATTATCCAAGCATTGTATACATCGAAGGTTCCCCTTAGGCGTATATTCGGACGGTTCCATTCGACTACGTCCGGTGCTGCAGCATTCCATAGCTCGGAAATGCTACTTAACGCAACCCTGTTTCGTGCTGAGTGTGTTCAGCAGTTTATATTGAGTGTTCCGGATGGAATCAAGTCCTACATCCAGCTCTTTCATGACCCGTAAGGACATCCTTGCGTAAGACCTTGATAGGGGGCGTTGGTACTACTCCACGAAATAGAAGTCCGGTCCCACTGTCCAGTCCGAAGCTTTGCAGAAGTATCCGAAAGAAGGTCCATGATGGAATGTCCCAAAGAGCTACTTCGAAGTTGAAATTGCGTCATCATTCGCAACAACGATGCCAGTGGCACTGCGAGTCGTCGCTGCAGAAGATTGTTGAGCCAGCTTGGGGTGAAAGACATTATCCGCCTATTTTGAACGGACCGGCACTTTCGACGGGCGTAGTTGCCAGAAATTTGTCCATGAGTAGAGGGCGATAAGAAGTCAATCGCTCGCAGAGGGTCGCTGATTCTGATCGTGCTGTGACGGACGTTGCGGATGTTTATAGGTGACTGCCGGTACGTTGTGGTAGGCTAGGGGAGGGGCAGCGTTGGCGCCTTCCGCACCGCCGATGCGAAATACTTTCCACTCAGAAATGCATTTTTAACTCTGTCTATCAAGCTTTTAATTGATAATATCTGAGATGTTGAAAAAAATCGCAAGCGTTACATTGCAGTCCATCTGGGATTAAGGCGCGATGTTGAAGGCCCCATCGTTCGCGAAGTGTGCGTATCGGTAGTACAGTACAGAGCCGGCAACCAAAAGAAACATGACAGCGTGGGGCTTTTCGGGACATTTTCCAGTTCGATACCAGTCTTAAGATCTTGGTCTTCCAGCAAGGCCATAATCAACACCACACCTGCATCTTGACGCGAAGCTACTGAAAAAGTGGGGTCCCTAACAGACCCTTGTTCTCGTCTCGAGCCATACTAAAGGCTCAACACCAAGAACCAAAACCACAATAATCCCACTCACTTCTTTCCAGAAGCACAAAAATGTCTACCCCACTCCTCCTCGAGGATTTCCTGAAGCAGAAATTGCCCAGCTCAGACCGGATCCACCTCCGCACATCCGTCCTCCCCACCCTCCTCAACTCAATCACAAGTGTCGCGCAATGCCTGCGCGACTCCCAGGACATACAAGCAGCAGGTAGCCAAAACACATCCGGCGACCACCAACTCAACGTCGACCTCGCCACCAATGATATCATTCATGCCGCAATCCGCACCTGCCCCTCCATCATCTCCGCCTCCAGCGAAGAAGATGAAGGCGAGAACGCCGTGCAGCACAACAGCAACATTTCTCCTCACGACTCCACGCAAGAACAGTACTCCGTAGCTTTCGATCCTCTGGACGGCAGTTCCATTATCCCCGCAAATTGGAGCGTCGGCACCATCATCGGGATCTGGGACAGCTCCACGGCGCTCAACCAGCGCGCTTCGTCGAAGCAAGTGGCTGCGATCCTAGGCGTGCTTGGTCCGCGGACTACAGCTATTGTCGCAATCCGGCTTCCCTCCTCCCCTGATTCTCCACTATGCTTCGAAGTCGGGCTGTCAAGCTCCACGCAGGACATCCTCGTCATCCGCGAAAATGTGCAGTTTAAGAGCGCTGAAGAAGTTAAGACGCGCTACTTCGCGCCCGCGAACCTGCGCGCTGCGGCACAGGATGCAGCGTATAAGAAGCTGATTGAACATTTTATCGAGAAGGAGTATACGCTTCGGTACTCGGGTGGGCTGGTGCCCGATGTGTATCATGCGTTTGTGAAGGGGCATGGGGTATACGTGTCGCCTGTGACGGCGAAGAGTAAAGCGAAGCTACGCGTGCTGTATGAAGTTGCTCCTATTGCGCTGATTGTGGAGTGTGCGGGGGGACGGGCTGTTGATCCTGCTACGGGGCGAGATATATTGGAGAAGGAGGTAAGAGATGTGGACGATAGGAGTGGGCTGGTTTGTGGGACGAGGGAAGAGGTAGATATGGTGGTGAGGATGTTGAGAGGGCAGTGAGAGTGGGCTGCAAGGGATGAAATGGGGTTTGGGACATAAAAGGTGCACGGTGACAGATAGATTGGTAGATGGGCTGCTTCAACGCAACATAGACTCAGTATTGCATGCTGCAGGTAGAAAGAAGATTAAAACACATTAGTCTTGTTTTGATTACCATCTGTCTCTCGTCCCGGGGTACGCACTGTAAGAAGAACACACGATCATTGCTTGCACGAGGAACACCCTACCTAAACCAACCCAACCTAACTCACCTATCGTTACAAGCTTCGTTCCTTCTTGTTGCCTAACCTCGTCCATCCCCAAATTCCAAAAGCTTAGATAACACCTTACACCCCCTGAATGATGCCCCACCAAGAAGAAGGCCACAAACAAACGTCAGGACACCGCTATGCTCCGTACCATTGCAACGCCCATGTCCCATTATACAAATACTGTTGCCGGTGTGTCGAAGTGTCAGAGCGATGAAGCTCCAATCGCAGAGCCCAGGCCTCGAAAGTGGAAAGAAGTGGCCGGAGAGTGCTAATAGTTGTTGAATATTGTCGAAATAGATAGTGACGGTTTTTCAAGCCTTGGTCTCGAACATGCCACGCGAGTTTCGAACGCGACCTCGAGGAAGCTTGGCGATGCCCGCGCCAGTTTTGTGGATGCCGCGCGGAGCAGGCGCAGAGCCCCTCTTCTTGCCTTTGAACTTGGACTTGACTATAGTCTTGCCGTACTCTGCATCGACATCACTATCGGGAACTTCCTCTTCTTCACTGTCCGAATCTAGCTCTGACTCTGAATCGGGAACGAGAGTGCGCTGACCCAACTTGCCCGCTTTACCAAGCTTGAGCGGCTTGATGACCTTCTTGTTCTGCGCCGCCTTCTTGTTAGCACTACGAAGGGAAGCTGGAGTGATGTTTGGCGATTCGTCCTCAGAAGAAGACTCTGGAGTGGCACTACGACGTCGCGGCAGAAGAAGAGCCGCTTTGCCCGGCATCTTCTTGACAGGCTTCAGGGCCCCTGGCTTTTGCCCCGTCTTCGCGACTGTCACCTTCCGCTTAAGGTTGATCACAGTTTTCTTTGACGTGCGAACCGTGGGTTTAGCCGCAGTGGAAGCCTTATGAAGCAGCCGACCTCGCTTAGAGGTAGCAAGAGCCTTCTGTCGCTGCATAGCACGGCTCTCACGAGATGCAATCTGCGCGGCATGGGCCTCGGCCTCCCTCATGGCTCGCTCGCGCGCTGCCTCGTTCTGAGCCAATGCATTTCGGGCCTTGGTCATGGCGGAAGTGACCACCATGCGCTTCTTTGGAGAGTTCGGGGCGCTCGCAGAGCCTCGACCACCTCCAAATACATCTTGCAGCTTGCGCTTGGCTCCAGCAAGGAGAGCTGAAGGCAGCGACCGCTCCTCGTGATTGGCGGGTTTCTTGGGCTTGGGGCCTAGAACACCACGGCATGACTTGGTACCGCAACGGCACTCCTGGATATTCTTCAGCGAGAATGGACTGCAAGATATCAGCTTTATTGTGACGTGGTAATCTGTGCCACTTACTCAAAGTTGTAATCGTAGGTCAATTCCTCTCCTGTCGTGATCCCACGAGAGCCAGCGAACAGGGCCATGCGCGGTTCTCCACCCACTGTCCATTTGATCATCTCGCAGTTGGGTTCGCAAGAATGGTTCACGAAGCGCGCAATAGTCCCGCGTGTCGCATCGATGATCATCTTGTTGTCGAAGCTCATAAGATAGTAACACTGCGGGCCGTTAGAGACATCTTCCAAATCTGATATATGGGTAGACACACCTTATCCTTCTTGTAGACCTGCTTCATGCGCCGCTCGCATTCATCTTGGGTGATGATCTCGCCAGCGTATTCGACGATGATTTGGTGGGGCTCGAAACACCTCATGGCCCGAACACCGTAGCCCTTGCCTTCGGTCTCCATGACCTCGACACCATAATCATAGCCATTGCCCTTCGCGCGTTTCTTCAACTGCGCAAATGGACGGTTGTTGCACTGCTCAGGCGTGAGCGGGCAGTTAGTCTCATCGCACTCATATGCCATGATGCGATTGTGGCATGTCTCCCCACAGCCATCTTCGGGGTCGCAGAAACACTGCGACGCATCGCCATGTTTCTCACGCTTCCACAGCGCAGATGCATCGCCAATGAAGCGATCTTCGAGGAATCAGCTCAAATGTTCAAGTGTGAAGTACAAAGCAGAACTTACTCTTGTTTAGTTTGACCCAACCATCAACCTTGACCTTCTTCGGGAGAGGGTTGTAAACGTCGTAAGGCAGCTTGAAGGGCTTGTAGATAACTCGTGGGTTGCTTTCTAGCTGTATCTGGGTGGCGAATAGAGGAAGTGGTAGGACCTTGCTTTCCTTAGCCCTGCGCGCCTCCCTTCGCGCTCGGTTGCGTTTCTCGGTAAAGCGGGCGTCGAAACCGCGTTCCTGACCAACATAGAGGCCTTGCTTGAGCCACTGCTTGGATTTTGGTTTGAAGTACTCTGGCTCTTTTTCTTCCTCCTCTTCCTCTTCGTCCTCATCCTCATCCTCCGAGGTGTCCTCTTTAAATTGGGACGGTCGCGACGCGCCAGACCGGAAGGATGAACGCAACCGCGAGTCCGAGGCGCTACGCTTGAGCGTCTTTTGCACAAAATCCTTCCCAACTGAAATAGTATTCGCCACTGCCTCGCCTGCACCACTCAAGTTGGCCAGGGCTGCGCGTCGCAGGTCGGTGCCCAATCGTGTTGAGGTTCGCCGCTGCGCCGCCTGTGCAGCCTCTGAGGCGAGCTGCTGCTCGGCCGGGTCTTCGAGCTCAGCAGATTCCGATTTGGTCCTGCGCTTGCCGATATGTTTCTTTGGAGGTGTGGGTTTGGTCTTGACCATCTCTTGAATGTCGCCGTGCACAACATTTTCATGATGTTTCTCCAAATACTTCGTAGGCGTGTGAATAGCGGTACCTGCCAGTATCTGTACGTTATACGTGACGACCGATTTGCGCGAGTTCCGCATCGCCCGTCGTGGCGCACTGTCGGAAGCCTCAGGTGCTGACTGCGGCGCCATGGGCGATGCTGCGACTGCACGTGGAGTAGACACCTCCTCGCGCGTCTCTATGACTTCCATCTTGCTTGTCTCGGACAATATGCTTGCCTCATCGCCGAGACTCGTAGGCGGCGTGGAGGTTGGAGGCGACGCGGTCGAGGTGCGCGAGTCGAGCGCCTTCCCCACGTGCGCAGTGACGAGAGAATGGAGAGAAGCGGTCGACGAGGGTGAGGTGTTTCGTTCCGCCATGCTACTCGCGTGCGACGTGTGTCGGGCGGAGGTGGTGGAGGGTCAGGCGCGTGAAGTGATGCGTGGAGGAGATCCGCCGGTCGAGCCAGGATCCAGGCACGCCCGACAACACTTCGACAGTGTGGCGCGTCGGGGCAAGCAGCGACGCTCAGAGGAGCCTGAACTGTTTGTCTGGACGATGCACCGCGAATTGGGCGTGTCAGTGCCCTGCAGCGATATCCCGTCTGCAAGACGGAAGTTGTGGAGCAGCTTGGGGAGATGTGCTCATGTTGTTTAAACCACGCTAGCAGTCATCCTGGCCCAACCAATAGTGGGCTCTATTCCTAATCTGCTTGTACGACCGCCCTCGTATCCCACTCTCATAATGGCGAAATCACTCATGGGCTACGTGTAGAAATGGTTCAGTGTTCCAGTTCTCATGATTCATGCGGTGTCAGCTATCTACAGTCCAGTGTTCTTCCGACACTTCCCATCCCTTTCTTTCCGTCCCTACCCCTGCAAATCCCACATTCAAGCAAACACTGACTGTTTGCCGTTGCTACGTACATACATGGAGACATTAAATAAGTGATTATGATTATGTATAGCTTGAAGCTCGTATTGGCTAGTATTGCAGCCTTAATACAATAACTACCTACAGTGGGTGCGGGCCAGCATCGTTACGCGGCGCTCTGCTAGCCGGGCCCTGGAAACCCTGTGCCGTAGTACGGACATCATGCATCTCCAGGCCGCCACCTTGCTGCTCAGCTGTCAGAGGCGCTGTCCGTTTACCCCTGCGTGGACCAAATCTCTGATCACCTTCCTCATACTTGCGCTTGAAATGCAGATAAGTCGGTGGCTTTGGTCGCTGCAAGACCGCAATCATGTTTTTGAGGATGTTGCCCTGTGTGAACGGCCGGTGTCGGTCTTTCTTGATGAACTTGTGCGAGTTCAAATACTCGCGTGTGGTCTCCCCTCTACCCATCAGAAAAAGGTGATACAGACCTAAACTCAACGGATAAGGAGTGGCGAGAACTGCATAAATGCACATTGCAAAAGGAACACGCCATTTATCAATCGCAGTCCCGAATGACGTGCGGTTCTGAGTACGCCACTCTAAGATGTGAACCAAGCTTGCTGCTAGTAAGAAGACTCCAAGAAGAGTTGCAGAAGTGACAAAGGTGAAGAAGTAGCGGTAATTTCGTCGGCCGATGCAGTTGTTCAGCCAGACGCAGTGATGATCCTGAGTCTCCACGCAATTGTCGCAGACCCGGCAGTGATGGGCACGTGGCGGTCGCCAGATATTGCAGCTCTTGCAATACTTGGTTGGGACCTCCATAGCGGCGTTGGCGCCAGTGGTCGACACGACCATCGTCCACTCCGTTGTGGGAGGGCCAACGCTAAGTGGGTCGTCATTAGGATTAGGTGGAGGAAATGGATGCAGGTTGCGAGGAAGTATCTAAGGCGGTCAGCGATAAGATGCAGAGTGTGGTGCATTGATTAACCTACCCCTGGATCCGACGCGGTGGCATGAATGAAGGAGGAAATGCAAACCAAAAACAGATAAGCAAAGATGATGGGTATCGAAGGGGAAACATGAAGCCATAGCCACGGTGCACTACGATCATATTAGTTTCGACTTATGATTAGGAGATGAGGAAAATACGCACGAAAAGCCCAGAAAGAGGGCAGAAGGTACAACGATAAAAGTTCCAGTCGCAATATTCACTGGTCGGTCGCGAGTGTTCTGTAAACGTCCCCCCCAACAGAAAGCGGTATTGCCTGAGAAGTACTGATAGTTCTTGCCCAGCTCGTTCTTCACTGTCTCTTTCGTAGGATCTTTCCGCGACATTCTTGGCGAAGATTCGGCCGAAGCAAGTTTCTCGTGGCCTGTCTGCGGGCGCATCTGCGAGCGACCTTCACGACTTCCAGAGAGCCCGAAACTGGCGCTGAAAGAACGTGGCGATCTACTTGGGGTCGGGAGCTTGCCAGAGTCGGCCTTGAGGGATTTGGAAAGATCAAGATGCTGAGGCTTAGGTCGATGCAGCGGCGTGATGCTCTCGCCGCGACTCCGCACCGTTTCTGCGCCGGTAGGAGTGGTGTTTGCGGTAGTGCGATCGGGGAGGTCTCGGTCGGTTATATCGGTGCCGCGCGACGGTGGAGGTTGCTGGTCATGATCGTGGGAGTGGGAGAGGCCGAGAGGGTGCTGGGTGCGCTCTGTCTTATTGGAGCCAATGCTCTGGCGGTAGGGGTTTCCTCCGACCTCGCTCGTGCCTTCCGAGTACAGCGAGCTGTGGCCGAGAAGCGACGTTGGGCGCTGGTTGCGCTGCTGCTGCAGGCGCTGAGAGCTCATCGGGCGGAAGAAGCCATGCGCGGCCAGCGGGACGTGAGTTCTGCTTGCGGCTGTCGTGGGCCTGCTCTGCGCTCCCATGCTTCCAGCGACACTCGCTGTCCCTGCGCTCATCTGCATGCCTGCTCCGCCTCGCCGCGACGGCGGTTCCCGGGACCATCTTCGATTACTCCCAGTTTGTGAAATCGCAATGGATGAAGGTCGCGACGGCGGGAGTCCGGCCTCTCCGGAAGGGCCTGTCATGCCCAAGACGCGGCTGCCGGTGGAGTTGCGGTTCTGCGATGCGGGTGAGGGTGCGCCGAATGTCGTCTGCTCGTCGTCGGCGTTCGCAGATTCGCGAGTGGCTTGGTCATCTTGTGCGACCATGGCGGGATTCGAGTATGTATGTGAAGCGGGTGGCTCCCCACTTGTCGTCATAACGAAGGTGAGGCGGAGGGAGTCTCAGCAAAGTTCTTTTGAGCAGCAGTGGCATGACAACCGGCGATTAAGGGGACATCCCAGGTGTTTCGAAACTTTAAGACGTTGACTCAGGTGGGAATGAAGCGCCGAAAAGCAAGCACCTGCAGAAGCGAACGGCAAATATCAAGTTTGGGTTAAAGGAGCGCGAGAAGGAGACGCGGCGGCGCGCGTGTGGAGGGAGTGGAGGAGAAGAGGATGGCTCTGATGGCCCGACCGGCGATGCAGTGCCTGCTATCACGGCTGATCAGCTATATGAGGATGTCTAAAAGGGGCGCGCGACTCGCGACAGTTGATGCGCATGGTTCCTGGATGCAGACACAATGCCGGTCTAACCCGTCCTTAGCCTAGCGCGCCTGCCTTTTATGCCCGGCACAAGCTGCGAGTTCCTGATTACATACGCACGTCTTGGCCCACAGCTCCATCGAACCACTGCAAGCTTCGACCAACGTCACACACCACCACCAACCACCACCTCTCCACTCCACCACCCGCAGTCCCAATTGCGCCCGTCATGTCGAGCATCATCGGACGCACCGCCTTCCGCGCCGCCCCGCGCCTCCGAGCCACCCAGGTTCCCCGCCGATGGAACACCAGCGCCGCCGGTGCTGACGAGCGCCAGGCCGGCAAGGAGGCCCTCAAGACGGGAGCGAAGCGCGATCCCGAGCTCTACGTACGTCAAAGATCTTGGACCTAGCTTGCTTCGACGAGAAGACCGACGGGCGTGCCTCAATGGCTTGCCCGAGATTCGCGAAGAGAGCAACTTCCTTATCACACCACACCGCCCGAGGCACATGCAGCATCAGTGTGATACAGAGCTATAGCTAATGCAATTCTGCAGGTCCTCCTCGCCATTATGAGCGGTATCTTCGGTCTTGCCGGATGGCACTTCTGTAAGAGCTCCGAGGCCTACACATACCTTGGCCGTGGCACTTGATATTGGACGTTGCTCACACATGCAGCCCGATCGCCCACCAGCGCGTCTTCTGAGCGATCCGTAGCCCAGGCACCCAACAGCAAGCCCTGGGAGGAGGGTGGCGGCGAGGGCAAGTACCAGTACCACCCCGGCGGTGACACCAGCGCCCCCAGGAAGGATGCTCCTTCAGCATTGAACGTGGTCATCATTCCCAACGTGACTCTTCCCAAGGTAAACAAGAGCTCATTCTCATTGCCTTATGCATGGCTGATTGCTTCAGGAACTGCACGACGCATACAACAAGTGGGGCAAGGACGGCTACTAGATCCTCAGCGCTCAATGTCCGTTTCCTTGAGTCATTAGACAGTGCACACCCGACATCTCACCATTTCCTTGCTGCGATAGCTTCGCACCCTGTAGATAAGCTCGACAAAGCTGTACCGAGTAGAAGAATTGAGTTTCTGCATGTACTTTTTTGGATTATTTCACATCTACTAACCAACAGTTGATCTTCGATCCTGAAATACCTTGAATTCCATCACGACAACACCCGTTTCTACTGTCCCGGAAATCTATGCTACATCCGCCATCGATCCTGATAAGAAGGGTATATGACAAGCGCCGCCCATGCAAAGTAACAAAAGAAAGCCAGTCTTTTCTCTACTAATTTACAACCACGCCACCATTGCTCCCACAGCCACCGCAAGACTTGCTCCACTCCCATACCTCGCCGCGCCACCCGAAAATAGCGGCTCATCAGGTCCAGTCGAACTTGCTGGGGGCGCAGGCGGCGCAGCTGGCGCAGTATCACTTGGTTCCGCCTCGGGCGTAGGTGTAGATGTAGGCGTGTCGCCGCCGTATTCCACCGCACTCGATGTCTCAGGCAGCTCGAAGTTCGACGTCGAGTTCACCGGCGGGACGGGCGTTGGGTAAGACGGCGGAGAGGTGCCAGTGCCCAGAGTGGGCGCGTAGTAAGTAGTCGTCCCGTTCCAGCCACCGTTACCGCCTGCGTACCCTGTGCCGCTGGGAGCGTAGCCGGTGCCTGTGCCTGGCCACGGGATCGTCACAGTTGTGGTGGACTTGGAGCAGTTGCTGGATGGTGATATGCTTGGTGTGGAGATGGAGGGGTAGATCGTTGATGTTATGGTTGTGTTGTTGCAGGTGTGCGATGTAGATGGTGTGGGGGTTGAGTAGGGGATTGTGACTATTGTTGTGCTATTTGTGCAGGTCTGCGAGGAAGAAGAGGAGGAGTAGGATGGTGCGGTTGGGTAGAGAGCTGCTGGCGTTGAGATGATGGGGAGACTTGATTCGGCTGGAGTCGAGGTTTGGTAGCCGTAGCCTTCGGATGTTGTCGAAGAGAGGATTGATGTAGACTCGGTTTCCATCTGGTAGCCATAGCCTCCGTCTGGCGTTGTTGATGAAGGGAGGGCTGTTTCGGGTGAACTTGAGGTGTCGGTTTGGTAGCCGTAGCTTTCTTCGTATGCCATGAAGGTGAGGTCCTCCACGGAATGTGTAGTTGCGATGGCGGATCGCGCTGAGAGCAGGATGAAGCTTAGAGAGAAGATGGTGCTTCGTGACGCCATGGTGGAAGTGGATGTATATTTCGGGTGCGTATGTCGCGATCTCTTTTGTCTGTCTTTTCACAAATCCCAGGTAACGAATATCGAAGAAGATCAAACGAAACGAAACGAAACGAATGTCAACCACACAGATACCGATACCAAGAGACATTCACCTGGGGCGAACGACACTCTTAACGCAGCTTACCATTTCCCTCCGCCACGCGACATTGCGAAACACGGACTCGCCCGCACCGCGCAGCACCGTGCAGCTGTCGCAAACGCTCCGTAGCGCCGTACGCCTGCACAGCGCCACAGCCATGTCCGAAAATAATCGCCGCGTTTCTTCGCGGAACCCGAGGATTACTACTTCGGGCATGGCTGTGCTATGTTTGGGGGCTGGCGTAGTTCTTATTTGGTCGTGGTTGGTGGTGAGGTGCTAGGGTGGCAAGTGTAGGTAGGGTGCGCGGGGGCTGAGCTCAGCTGGAGCCTCACTCACCACAACGTTTACCACAGTAAGGCACAGGTGCGTGGATGGATGGTGCGCATGCTTTGGAAACATCGACTACTGAATTTGTGCTTACTTATGCTATATGTAGGAATGCGCGTACATGTACGCGCAGTGAACAACTGCCGGGCAGGAAGCGATCTCGAAATCATGTACACAACAGAAACAGCAAACGAGGGGACACAGACAATGCACATACCAACGCTTCTTCTTAGAGCATAAGCTCTACACGCGTCTTCCGAAAGACATAAGCTTTTCTCCATCTTCGCAAGAGCTCCGCGAAACAAGGCCAAAGTCCGTGATCGTCTGCACGTGCGCAGCAAACTATCCACATATGGTACTCCGTTATCCACACTCTCATCGAGGCCTGACGGACGGTCGTATTCGGTACAATCACATGCCGACTGGAAGTTTTCCCTAGAGTCTTAGGTACCCGTCTGTATAAACATTCGCGGCCAACCAAACCGGCATGTACCTCACCACCCACCCCAGCCAAACATCCCAACCGTCGTAGACGAAATTCTCGGGCAAATGTCCTGACCTCTAACTCACTTTACATACTCCCCAAACCAAACATTCTACGCAGAACCTGTCTCCAACTCTTCCGCTCAAGGCCCACGTTGCTCGCCTGATCTCCACTCCGTCTCCGCTCCTGCTTTCCCTCCTCCGAAGCCCCGGAGGTAGATGCGACATGCGAGGTCGTAGACGTAGTTGCGTTATCCTGTCGCTCGGTGGGTGATTGACTTCCAACAAGCGTATAGTACAAAGCTTCGATGCCGCGATCAAGGTCGCGGGGGTAGTGAGGTTGAACCATTGCTGGTGTTGGGAGAAGGAATTTTGTTCTCTGTGATCTTCGAATGCGAAAGAGGACCAAAATGATTGAGCGTAGGAGATGATGGTCACTTTCTGTGTATGTGGGAAGAACAATAGTAAGGGTGCGCGACTGGGGGAACAAAGAGATGGGCGTGATGGGCTAGGCATGAGATGCGGGAATAGTCTTCCTCTCTTGGGGAGGTGTAATTTGGTAATAATATGATAATGGCGTAAACTATCTTGCGGTGCGATCAGCGAAGTGTTCTGGGCCTTCGAATGTACGGCCTCGTCGCTGAGCCAGTGCATCAACATAATATTGTTCGTTCAGCATGGTATGTCTATGCGAGGGTTTTTGCTCGGACCTCTTTCACAAACGAAGGTTGCTAATGAAACAAGTCATTGCGTGCCGGAAAGATAGCTACACCTATGCGTGTGGGCTTCATTACTACAGGAGCTATACTAATGCGCAATATTCGAGCGGTTTCGGAACGTAGCGAAGCACGATTCTCATCGAATGTACTTCCATAGTCTCACTGTGTCCTTCGCCTTTGCAATTGATCACCTGTATTGGCCCATTACTCGAGCAGCAGCCCTATAATATATCGTGGCCGTTTTCCGCTTTCTACTATAGTACATCCCCGTTACATGGTCCTCCTTCGCTCACTCCTCTGCTCCATGCTCAAGCAATAGCTTTACAATAGATTTGTGTCCCCTTATCTCTGCCCAGTTCAGTGCACTTCGACCCATATGGTCTACGGCATTAATATATGCTCCATGCTCCAGCAATAGCTGTACATAAGGCGCGTACCCGCTTGCTGTTGCATAATGCAGTGCACCAAAACTATCTGCGACTGCATTAACATCTGCTCCATGCTCGAGTAGCAGCCGTATAGTAGATGTGTGGTCATTGCGGGCTGCCTGCTGTAGTGCTCTCCCGCAGTAACCTCCGTCTGCGTTGACGTCTGCTCCATGCTTAAGCAACAGCCATACAATAGAATCGTGGCCTTTTTCCGCTGCCTGATGCAGTACACCCATATTGTCTCTTGCTTTTGCGTTGACATCTGCTCCATGCTCAAGCAATAGCCGTACAATAGATTCGTGGCCCTCTTCCGCTGCCCGATGCAGTACACCCATATTGTCTCTTGCTTTTGCGTTGACATCTGCTCTATGCTCAAGCAATAGCCGTACAATAGGTTCGTGGCCTCTTTCTACTGCCCGATGCAGTACACCCATATTGTCAACTTCTGCTTTTGCGTTGACATCTGCTCCATGCTTAAGCAATAGCCGTGCAATAGATTCGTCGCCATTTTCCGCTGCCCGATGCAGTGCGCCCCCAAGATATGATGTTTGTGCTTCCATATGCGCTCCATGATTAAGCAATAGCTGTACAATAGCTTCGTGGCCGGTTGCTACCGCCTCCTGTAGTGCACTCCCAATCCACTTTCCTTCTGCGTTAACATCTGCTCCACGTTCAAGTAGCAGCCGTACAACAGGTTCGTTACCATGCCTCGCCGCTTGGTGTAGTACACTTCCATAATTTACATTCCGCGCATTGATGTCCAGTCCTTGCTGTAGAAGCATCTTCATAAAGTCTTCGGTACAGTTGCCAGCTGCTCTCATCACTATCAAACTTTTGCTTATCTCTTTATCGAGCTTGGCTGCTCTGAAAAGGACCTCCATAAGACCTTTGTTGCCGTTTCGGGCGGCTGAATGTATTGGAGTGAGTCCGGAACTAGCTGTTGCAGTAGGATTGGCACCTTTCTCCAGTAAAACCTTCGCTATGTGCTCGTGTCCCTTCGCCACTGCAAGATGTAACGCTGTTTTGCCGTCTGTTGTCTCTGCATCAATACCCGAACCTGCCTCTAAGAGCGTCCGCATAACATCTTCATGGCCATCTAAGGCGGAAACGTGTAGCGCGGTATGCCCACTGTCGTTCCGTACTGTCAGGCTAACTCCTCTATGTATAAGTGCCTGTACAACATCTGCTTGGCCTGCACGTGCTGCTTCATGCAGTGCCGAATTACCGTTGACGTCCTTTGACTCGCCGCTGGCTCTTGCATCAAGCAGGGAATGTACGCATTCCGTATGACCTTTACTTGCAGCAACGTGGAGTGCGGTCTTCCCCTCGTCTGATGCTGTCTCCACGTCGGCCCCGAGGTTAATCAGTGACCGCAGTATCAATGTGTTGCCGGCCTCTGCTGCTACGAGTAAGGTCGAAGTTTCCATCAAGCGCTCGCGCTCAATGTGTGCCTCTTTGCAAAACATCCTGATTTGTTCTTCTTGTGACGCTCTTTCTGATGCAATTTGTTGCCCGTGACAGAGCCTGATATGCCTCCGCAGGTTGTCTTTTCGTGAAGCTCCCTTGAACGTGCAATTGGGAACGTTGCAGCGAAAACGTATAGCGGTGGTTTGATGTCGCGTGCTGTGTCGATCACGATCGTGACTCAACGCAAATCCTTTGCCGCATTGCTTGCAACAGTGTGGTCTAAGATGAGTATCGTAATGGCGGCTTGCGATCAGCAATTAGCATTATGTGTACTTTGGGAAGTAGTAGAAGTGCTCACTTGAAACGCTTACGAGTATCGAAGGTCTTAGGACACTGGTCACACTGAATCAAGCCGTTTCGTGGGACTGCTGAATGAGCGGGGTCCATGGTTCAGGTCCTAGTGACAGTATGCGTGACAGGACACGAGGCAAGGCTTGATATGGTACCTAGGTAGTCGGAAATCCGCAAGGAGCAAATTGGAAAGTATGGTACAACCGAATTCTATCCTCATAAGCACGGCGTGGGAAGGCTTGGGTTTGATACAAGTCTACAAGAAGCAAGGCAAGCGAACCGTAGCAGCGTAGGACACGAGCTTGGCGAAGAGGGCGCGCTTGAGCCGCAGCGCTGGGAAGGGCATGAGGACAGAGGTGATAAAAGACCCCACTATCCCATCGCTTCTGCTCTTAACGACTGCTAGATTCTTCGATATTACACCAACGTTCACGCTCTTTCGCGCTTCTTTATTGGTCGCCCTTCTTCCCGTCGCATGATGCCGCCACGCCGACACGCCCCAGCCTATGGCCACGGACAACCTGCGTAAGCGCGCTCTTTTTTTTTTAACTCTCAAGCAGGTATGCCTCTTTCACGCGTGGACCCGCACGGACCTCTCCATCATCAGGAGTAGTAGCCCATCTATCAGCAGCAGCCCACCTATCAGCAGCAGCCCCCAGGTAAGCCACCCCCCTCGCCCTTCTGCACACCCATCCATGATGACGTGTCCTTCAGCCGAAGCGCCCTAAACGAAAGGGTTCCCTGCGATTGGCCAGGATGCACGAAGACCTTTGGGCGAGAACCTGATCGCGATCGTCACCGGAATTCAGTCCACAGGCTAAAAACACCATTCTGGTGCACGGTTGCCGGCTGCAGTCGTAGCGAGGCCTATCCTGGTCCTGGCCTCAAGCGTCCGTTCCCAAGAAAAGACAAGCTTAAATCTCATATGAAGAAGATACACAAGGCTATTGTCTCTTCTACAGAGTCTTCTAATCGCTTAGGCACCAGAAGCCCTGCAGCTGGCGGCTACATTGCCATCGACGGATCTACTGGTATCGGCGAATGTGACAATGTCGACGAATATGCCAACATTGAGGTACCGAACGCTGGTAGCGAGTTTGCATTCGTTAGCAACTTCAACGATGTTAACTGGTTCGCTGACACGTACGAGCTGAGCAATACCAGCGACTTCACCAGTGTTAACGGGCTCACCAACATGGACACGTTCACTATTGGTAACGCGTTCACCAATAACCATGCGTTCAACAATGGCAGTATGTTCACCAATGGCAACGTGTTCACCAATGCCAATACGTTCACCAACATCGACACATTCGCCAACATGGACGTGTTCAGCAACGGCGATGCGTTCACCAATGACTTCACCAACATCAACACGCTCCCCAACATCGACGAGTTCACTGATCAGTATGGGCTCGCCGGCATCAATGGGATTAGCACCGCTAACGCTTCTGCGAGCAGCGAGTTCACCGGCTTGGAAGAAGTTGATCATATGGACGGATTCGACGATCTTCAATGGCTTCCTGGTGTTGATGGTTTTACGAACTTCTGATTGCCTTTCCTTTTCCTTTTGCTTTTGCTTTTGCTTTTGCTTTTGCTTTTGCTTTTGCTTTTGCTTTTGTTGCTGTCGAAAGTCACTCTTTGTACGTCCGATAGTGTTGATATGTCTTTGCAATAAACAGGGTTTTCTTCTATAGTCGAGTTGCCACGAAGACACATGAAGTAAACGTTTCAAAAGGCGATGTGCTTCTACTTCCTTCACGCTCTATTAGGCCATAATATGGATTAGCTTACGGGGTGCTAGTAGCGTATTTCTGCGTCCTACGAAGGCAGGACTGCAGCAAGGTGCTGATAGGCTGCGGAAGCTCGCGGTCTGATTGGTGGACCCACACAGCGCGGAACTTGTAGATGTTTCCAAGTGTGACAGATAGTGGGTGGCCGTACATGTGGTATGCCCGGGGTTAATTTTATTGAACAATAGGTGAACAAGCCCTGACTTGACACTGCGACACCATATAACCACGACATCCCATAGTGATATTTCATATTAGTAGGGGTCAAGCCAGAGCTTCTGCTATTCCCTGCTTTATTTGGAAAGTGTTTGTTATGTGTTTGAGGATCGTTGTTGTGTTGCGTCAAGGCAAGTTGTCAGCGTGTATTCTCATCAGAAACGAGCTCCTCGTGGCTCGTAATATTGCCACTTTTTGAGCCACACAAACGACCAAGTGCAGGAAACGGAATACGATACCGATGACCACTGTTGGGAAGTCCTCATGGGAATATGTAATTAAATTACCGTCTATTAGTGTACGAAGTGTTTGGAAAGGATGAATCTGAAGGACGCGATTTCACATAGACAACGTCAGCTCGAGAGAGTGATACACGCGCAGGCTAGTATGCAAGTCGAGAAATCATGAGGCAAGAAATGTCATCATACATCACTTCAACCACGTAGAACAGTATGCAACACCGAGTCCTATATTCCGCTACGATCCTCAAGAATCCTCCATCCCCCACGAAAGCAAAGGTACAAGTCATCCCCAGAACCACAGACGGACCCAAAAAGCCGGGCAGGATCTCCTGAAGTAATAAATACAAATAGCAATCGATGGCCATTTACTAGCACTAGTTCATCCATCCACCATCCCAAAGCTCCTGCTAGAGTTTGCCGAGAATAGCACAGGTGCGTGTCGCAAAGGTGTCGATCGCGCGGGAAGAGTTCGAAGCCGGTGCAGTAGAGTTTGACCAGGTGCGCCAGAATATCCCATATAGCCGAACAAGTATCAATATTGAAGTAGATTTTGTCAAGGTAGGCCTTCCAGTCGTTGACTTAGAGCGTCACCGGGCCGAGCAGCGCGCTCCTACCTTCCGCTAGGAAAGGCATTTACTGGACGATGCAGTTGGCACCGGGTGTCGGCATCTGCTTCTGGACGGTGCAGTTGGCGCCCGGGGTGGGCATCTGCTTCTGAACGGTGCAGTTGGCGCCAGGGGTGGGCATGTTGCGCATGACGGTGCAGTTGGCTCCTGGAGTAGGCATTTTGATTGTTTGGAGGGTGTTTAGTGAAAGTTGAACTGGTAATGAAGGGATGTTCTGGTGGGTTGGAGTTCGAAAGTGTGGGATTTGACCTTCTATTTATGCATTTCGTGATGCGCCGTTGTTACTGCGAGAGGCGACCACTTCTTTGACATGGCTTCTAGATTAGAGTCGAAGACAAGGAGGTTGAGTGAGGATGGGTTTATTGGGTGGGGAGAAGTGGTGGGGAGGTTGTTGTGGCGGGAAGCGCGTCCTTGCTATTGTTCGCCTTAGTATTGTTGTCGGCCACAAGCACATGTTACGGCGACCTGACCACACCACTGGAGTCACGAGGGAAGTACATTGCCGGATATTGGAGATTTCCATTGGACTACAGATGCCTATCCTCGTGGCATAGGCCTGCAAGCGCTTCGAGTTTTTTCCATTGGTTGTCTGGGGTACGCCGACAGCCTTTGAGGCTCGTCCAGACGCGCCCAGTTCATTCTAGCCGTCTCCCATAAGGTTGCCGATGGGAAACTAATGGTACGATTGTCAGGTACAAGACCAAGCAAATGTATGAAAGGCTACGGGAGGGGCGTGCTTCCGTTCCGCGGACAGCACGCTTGATCTGGGATTTAGTATGTTCGCAAGCCCCAAGCCTTTACTCACAAGCCAAGACTGAAAGATGCATCGGAGCGTAGCCAGAATTGGAGGGAGATAGAGCAGGCCACGTGTGTGTGGCTCACCTCGAGGAAGCTACGAGGGCTGGCAGACAAGATAAGCTAGTTCCGACATACTGGTTACCATGTGTAGCCGACATCCTTCTAGGTTCGAGAGCGAGAGTATGTGGTCAAGTGGCTGTTCGAGCAATGCACTAGAATACGCATCCAATACTTCTTCCCTTGCACTCTTTCACGCAACAATAGTCGGCTCTCAACTATTGGTACTTGGCGGTGGAGGAGGGGCGGGAGCGAAAGCACTAGGACCATAGATGTTGAGAGGGTCGCGTAAGTCGGTGAATCCTTCCATGCCCTGCGCAATCATTTGATCAACGTTGGATGCCGCTCCCATCCAGCTCTCCATCGTGGTGTTGTTCGAATGAGCCCAATTGGTTGGCGGTAACATATGATCTTGACCCATCATTGTAGAATCCCATAAAGTCTAGGTGCGTCGTGAGCAAGAAGCAAAGAGCGGCAGAGAGTATTCTTACCCAGTCAATCTCGGATGCGATGCCTGGCATATCGAAGGCCATTTCGTTCGTGTTGTCAGTTGATGGCCAATTGTTCCAAATCTGCGGTGGAAGTTCCTCAGGTAGAGACTCGGGTGTCATCTCCTTGGGGAGGCTAGAGATGTCTGTACTGGGCGTTAGCTTATGACCTTTGCATGGTATGTATGTAATCATACTCTTCTCGAAGCCGTTTGGAATTGGGTCTTGCAGCACAAGCGGAGTTTGTCCAGGTGAAGAGCACTTCTTCAGCATGGCTCGAAGAATCTCAGCTCCTCGAACACAGTCCCTGAAGCGGTTGGGATGGTTTGCCCAGATATCATAAGTACCCTCCAGCAGGGAAAGCATGTCCGTGACCTTCTCCGATGATGATGCGTCAGTGTTTCGTAGGTAATTTAGTTCGAGGCAGATGACCATTGCTGCAAGTAGGAAATCAAAGGTTTGCAGCGAAGACATGTACCACCAAACCTTGTTCAGCTGCCCGCCTGGTTGGCAAGCATGGAAAATAGTAATATGATATCGAAGAATCTCCATTGCAGACTCCACACAGATCTTGCGCGACTCCGCATATTTTGGGTCAGTCTGGCCAGCCGTGATGAACGTGCGATGCAAAACAAGCTTTGTCTTTAGGTATAGCAATTCAATATTGTAGCGGCCCATGATGAGCACCGGAGCATCAGTAACACAGTCTTGCACGGGACGGACGCGCATTCCTTCCGGAACCTCGCTGTGGGCTTGCTCGAGGCGCTTTTCGAGGGAGACGATGGTCGCATATCGTGGAGGGGTGATTCGCTGCGCCAGCTCCGCCGCCTCTGCAAATATTGCGCAGATTTTGGCTTTCGCGATGGTATACGTAGCTGGCGTGATTTCGGACGACGGTCGCGCTTTTGGCACCTCCGTCATACTTGGCGATAGATCTGCGTCGTAAAGGTTCTGGGGCGATCGCGTGTCGCTCTCTATGCGGCGGACGACAGCCGGTAGGCCAATGGCGAATGAGATAAGTGTGTCCATCATGTTCAACACGTGCCACACTCGCCGGCGCATCTCTCCTTGAAAGGGTGACATGCCTTTGAAGTTGCTTGGGTCGCGATGATAGCCCATGCGCATTGCAACACGCATGGAAACTCCGTTCATCAACCAGATCTTCGAGTGATGGTCATCCCTCCGCAGAAACTCACACTCGCCGTAGATCATCAAGGTTTCAAGCGTGTAGGGCTGGGTCTTCGTAACGTCTGCGAGGACCATTGCGGAGGAAGCCAGTTGTTGGAATCTGTTTACGGAGCTGTTTAAAAAATCATTTGGGTCCGTCCCGTCATAGGCCGATCCTGATGAGCGGTCGTACGCAGCGGCATGGGCATTCATTCCTGGGTTTCGAGGTCCCAATATAATTCCCAAAGCCATCGCCGAGTAGAGCAAAGCGATCCACATCACAGAAGTTGAAGAAGCATCAAGCCAAAATTGATTGTACTCTTCCTGGAAAGTCGGCGCGTGTATGATGAATAAGAGTGGATCAGCACTACACGATCATAAGTAATGTACTTTCCAAGCCGAAGGTTAGTTCACATACCTATTGAACCACAGAGGAAGCAGCCGGTCGCATTCCTCCTTCGATGGCATCTCTTGTATAAGCTGCGTTTTCGTAATGTGTCTGGGCATGCCAAATGTCACTGTAGAGCGAGCAGCGTTATCGTCCCATTCTTCCTCTTGGTCCTCATCTCCATCATCATCTATACTGTTTTTTACTTCTTCAATCTCTTTCAATAGAGCCGACCAATGCCCAGCTCCCACGTACGTCTCATTCCCCTGGTTGCTGATGCGTAGCTGGCCGAATGTCTCTGGACTAAGCTCCGTCTCTTTGGCAGCAGGAGGTTCGACGCTTGGAACAGTGGCAGTGGCTTCGTCATTCTCCTGCTGTTTCTGATTGATTAAGTTGACGACGAGGCTCTCCAAATTCCGGATGCGACCCCGCATGTTCTGGGCCTGCTTATTCCGTGGCGGTGGAGGAACATATAGGCATGCTTCTTGTCTCGAGCGCTTCGCACACTGGTCGCAGATTGGATGTTCACGGTTGCATTTCAGTTTTCCTTGCCGGCATGGGGTACAACTGAGCTGCGGTCTAGCTCTTTTGATAGGCGCTCGAGCTAGTAAGTCCGCGGCAACAGGTGGGGTCGTAGTAGGAGCGGAGTTGTCTGTCGACGAAGGACTTGTCTCAGTCATCATGAGGCTCGGATTAGTGGGAGGTGAAGAGAATACGAAGACGGCAACTCTCGATTGAAGAGTGTTCGTCACTCATGCACCGGCTGGGGGTGGCTGAGCGGGCCCATAATTTAGGGCTGCTTATTCAGCCTCTTTACCACAGACGTCAGCCCAGCAACAACCGGCCAGTGACACTTTGCGTAAGACAAAATTGGCTGTATATGCATCTTAGCAGCAACATACATGAGCTTTGGTCTCTTTGCAGGCATTGTAGACGTAAGATTGGGCGAAGTGATGTTCAAGATGCGGCTCTGGTCATTGTGGGGTGCCCCGGGGCCGAACCGCCGTCACGTGCGGGTCCACTGAAACATCTCGACCTGCGGACCACCGAGACAGCTTGAGCTCACAGTTCCACAACAGCCCCCATGGCCACATTCACATCGTTACGGCATATTTCTAAAATTGCTTCGCGGCATAATTTCTTTGTATCATCATCACCATCATTGTCCCTATTACCAGCATGCACATCCTCAATACGTAGCTTCCAGACGAAAGCTACCCCACCAGCGCGCATCCCCGAATTCGCATTCGCATTTGAGTAAGGCAAGCAAGCCATTCCACGCCCTTTTCACTCTCTGACAGCTCATAGCATCGATGGGGTCCTCGTTCGTAGCTCCGACCCGCTCCCGCGCGCTCACCAAGCCCTTTCCTACCTCCAATCCCACCGCATCCCGTTCATCCTGCTCACCAATGGCGGCGGAAAGCACGAGGACGAGCGCGTCGCCGACCTGAGCTCCAAGCTCGATGTCTCTCTGTCCACGAGCATGTTTGTCCAGAGTCACACACCCTTCGCCGACATGCACGAATACAAAGACAAGACCGTCATGGTCGTCGGCGGCGACGAAGACAGATGCCGGATCGTAGCCGAGAAATACGGCTTCAAAACCGTCGTCACACCCGGCGACATCCTCGCCGCCTACCCAGAAGTCTGGCCCTTCTCACAGCAACTACTCCCGTACTACAAGGGTTTCACGCGCGCGCTCCCCGCCCCAATCGATCCCACCTCGCCCTCCACCTCCCTCGAAATCGACGCCGTCTTCGTCTTCAACGACCCCCGCGACTGGGGCCTCGACACGCAAATCATAAAAGATGTGCTCCTCAGTGAGAAGGGCATAATGGGCACTTTCTCGAAGAAGAACGGGGATGCGTCGCTGCCAAACAAAGGATACCAGCAAGACGGCCAACCCCCGCTGTACTTCTCAAACCCAGACTTGCTGTGGGCAGCAAAATACCACCTCCCACGGCTCGGCCAAGGCGGCTTCCGCGAGGCACTAGAAGGCGTCTGGGCCGCGATAACAGGGGGCCCATCCGCAGGCGTTACACTGCAAAAGATCGTAATGGGCAAGCCGCACCAACCTACCTACGCATTCGCAGAGAAGCGCCTCATATCGCACCGACAGCACCTCCTCAAGCAATTCGACGGCCGGTTAGGCCATCTCAAGCGCGTGTACATGGTAGGCGACAACCCCGAGAGCGACATCCTCGGCGGAAACAGCTACGAGAGCCCGCATGGCACGGATTGGGCGAGCGTGCTGGTGCAGACGGGGGTTTACGTGGAGGGCACGGAGCCGGCGCACAAGCCGAGGAAGATTGTGGGGGATGTGTGGGATGCGGTGGAGTGGGCTACTGAGCAGGAAGGGTGGAGTAAGTGAGAATGTAGGAGGCGGGGAGTTGTATAATGTAGGATATGCATGCATTGGAGTATTTGATTTTGAGTGCGTAGAGAGGGATGGTCTAGCATTTACATACTATGTATATGCGCTGTTGAATAGCATGGCAATAGCATCCTGTTTTGCCCAAGCATGTGACAGTTCGCGGGTCGTTCGGCAGGGAAGATGTGTAATTGCGCAGGCTTGTGCAAATTGCGGAGGAGCGAAGCTTTGACTGCTGCAAGCCTTGATGTAACCGTGTAACGTATCCTTGTCGGTGGTAAACATGCAACGCAACATTGAATCTAGGATCAACAAGTCACGCGCAGTCGAGAAGACACACCATGGCGCAAGATATTGAACATCCAATACATATATTTTCAAGAAGTCGGGTCAGAAACTAGAAGCTAAATACAAGCTGCGAATGCAGTAAATTCTACCATTTGGCATGCAAAGAAGGGTATCTCATCAATCAATCATGCTCATGCATATGCATCTCCTACAACCAGCGCACGTTGTTAGGCTGTCCCGGCACAGCAATAGCCGCCTGCTGCGCGCCAATCTTTCCAGATGCAACGTCACGCGTGTAGATGCGGACGTTGCCGGAGTTCTGGTTAGCGACGGCGATCTGGCTGCCGTCCTTGCTGAGCTCGAAGTGGCGGGGGAAAAGGCCACCAGAAGGAGCGAGCTGGACAAACGAGAGCTTGCCGTTGGAGCTGGGCTTGAAGGTAGCGATGGAATTAGAGTCGATCTGGGTGCTATTGGAGGGGTCGACGTTGGGCACCTGCTGGAGGGTGACGTTGCGGTTGGAGGCGACGAGGAACTTGTTGTCTGGGGAGACGGCGATCTCGGCGGCAGCACCGTACTGGGTTACGGCGGGGTCGGCAGTGGGTCCGTACGTGGACTGTTCGTCCATCTGCTTGAAGGTGAGACCGCCGGAGCGGACGTAGGTGACTTCGTACGAGATGATTTTGGAGGCGATCTCGTGGATTACGAAAAGGTAGGTCTTGTTGCCAGACTTCCAGAAGGCGGCGTGGCGGGGGCCATAGCCCGAGGGAGCCTTGAGCTCGGCGTGCTCGGTGAGGTTGCCGGTGGAGGCGTCGATGCAGAAGACGTGGGTGACGTCCAGACCGAGGTCAGGGAAGATCACGTACTGACCGGTCGGGTCGAGGACCGAGTGGTGGACGTGGGAGCCATCCGCCTGTTGGGGCTTGGGGCCATGTGTCGTGTTCGCGTAGCCGATGTTCTGGAGGAGCTCGAAGGTACCGTTCACAACGTTGAAGGTGGTGATACCGTGGCCGCCATAGTGGGCGATGGCGAGGTTCTTGTTGGAGTTGTAAAGCTGGGTAGCTACCGGGCCACCTCGGGGAATGCCTACGACTGCGGTGTGCTTAAGGCTTCCGTCGCTGTTCAGATCGAAGGTGTGCAGTGAAGAGGTGTCCGGGGTGTTCCAGGCCTCGTCAACGACGATGGCCTTTCCCTTTAAGCCAAGGTCGATCCAGGAGGGCTGGGGGCCAGCCTCGGTGTTCTCAGATGTCTTCTTGAGAGCCCCGTTGGTGTAGTCGAGCGTGTCGAGGTAACCATTAGCGTTGGTGGCGCTGGTAGGACCGTAGCCGCCAACGAGGAGCTTGGCCGCCGAAGCGGAGGTCGCGAGACCGGCGATGAGTAGGGTACGGAGAGACATTGTGAGAGGTAAAGATGGTAGCGGATAGCGATTGTGTCGAGCTTGCTGTAAGAATGCTATGTGGGGAAGGAGCGAACAGCGGAGGCCAGTATATATAGAAATATCACTACGACACAATGTCTCGAGCTAGTGAAGGAATAAAGGACCGTAGAAGCCTTGAAGGCGCGCGAATAATGCACAGAATGTAGCCGAAGACGCACAGCTGGGGTGTGCAGAGGAAAGGGAAGGTTCCGAGCGCGTGGGCGTGATGAAGACGGGTTCTAGGGAGAGGTTCCGCCAATTATACGAGAAAGGATCAATATGAAAGGGCCGGGGACGGCTTAAAGTACACTCACAGCAGATGTAATTCAAGGTGCTTAGGCGCATTGACAGGACAGGGTGGACTGGCTGGCGGCTCAGCACAATCCGTCGGGCAACAACACAGCCTGCCCTTGGCGCATAGACGCGCTGGGAAACCACCAGAGCATCCCCCGCCGCAGTCGCAGTGTAACGTGCGCAAGTGGCGCGGGCGAAATGAGGAGCAACTGGGGAGCTAGGACAAGCAAGGCAGCACCGGTGGGTTCCTGCGCCTAGATCTGCAAGGTGGAGGGCCCCGGGCCGCTGAAACGGGCCCCGCGAAACAACCTGGAGATGAACGCGCTTCGGACAATTCACTGGCCCATAGCCGCCGATTCACCACCAAGACTCTGGCGCGTTTCAACGCACGTCACTACAGACATGTCCGCTGGGCGCCGTGTATAAAGGTACTCTTGGAAGCTGCGACTCCGCTGGCCAGCGTTGCAAGTCACTGGTGGATCCTCACAGCGGCGCCCGTGGCGGGTGTTCAGCCTCATCCCTCCTCATTGAGGCACAGCTAATCTGTCATCGCATGCTTCATTTAGTTTCGTGGCTGACATACACTGTGTAACTACAAGCCTTGTCAGCGGCGCTTCCCGTTAACGGCACTGTTCTCGCCCCTTCATCGTACAATTTGCATCCTCATTGACGGAAGGGAACAACGCAGAGCCGTGCCATTGTATGCAGAGAGACGGTTACGCTGCCTAGCTTCCGGTGATGGCTTTCGTGGCTTCCATGGCTTCCATTCCCCTTCGGTTGCACTGCAATCCTCTTCACTCGGAGATGCACACGCGGGCGCCTGAACGGAGCGTCACTCCAGCCAAGCTCCCAATGGTTGAAGGCCGCAAAAAGACATCTTTCGTGCGACAATAAGGAGCAATAAAAGACACAACCTGCGACATCGGTCTACTCTACCCATTTGGTGACAGACGACCTGGGGCACGTCAGCGCCTCATGTTCCCGCCTGTTCACGACAACGGGCCATGGAGATCTGGCCAGTCGATCTGGTTGCCAAGCCTCCTCGGTTACGAAAGGGGTGAGCCAAGCAGATATTGCATCACCACGTGGAGTTGGCCAGGATTCGTGAGCTTGTTCTTTTCGATCGACTGCCAACCGAAACTGTCGTGATCAATGTCGGTTACGCGCCATTTTTATGCGAGAACACCTGCTCAGTGCATGCAGGTGTCCTAACCGGTCTTACAGCCATGACTCGCAGCGTCAGTTCCGTAGGCGACCATCGACTGCATCTCTTGTACTCACACGTGCCTATCGCGGAACGACATGAATTCACGGGCTTCCTGTTCTCAAGTAACGATTCGTTACCACGATATGAGCTGACCTGGGACTCTCTCACTTAGACTGTACAAGCGCATTGCCGAGTAAGAAATGTCAACTCCAACCACTATAACGGCCTTCAACGTCAGGTAGCGGCCATCCATACGTTGTCAATTATTGATCTCCAGTCTGCTATCGTCATCCGTCACTTATCATATTTCTTTGGTCTCTTCACTCAACCGCTTGATGATCCCTTTTCTGTTCAATGTCGTCCTTGTTTTGATCAAATACCCTATCATATTTGTTTCTTCTTCCCAAGATAGACTTGTCGTTCGCTAACATGAATCCCGTCCTGTAGACATGTAACAAAACACAAGAAGCCTCAGCATGGTCGCCAGAATACCCAGTCAGTCCTCTCACTTGGGCACAAGTAGCGGTCCCTATACTGGACTCATGACCGCGTTCTCGACGATGAGATCCCTCGAGAGGTTCGGAATCGGCTCTCTCACCTGGGATGGGCGATAGTCGCTCTCTTACCTACGACCCATACGAGCCGGAGGTGTCCAAATCCAGTATATCTTTCCTCGTGAACTTCATAACAAAACATTCATTCTTACCAAAAGGGCTGCCATCAGGCTATACAACCTTGTCCAGACTGCACTCACCATTCTGCATCTCATCAGCCATTAGCATCGAACTGGCTCTACAACGGACATCTACAACAAGCCACATCTAGAGGACCATGCTTTCCAGGTATGATTGCTGACATAAGCGTCATGCTGTGCGACCTGACTTGACGATTGGAACGCATTGATACCTTCTTGGTTATGATATATATTGGGATAATCGATGCCAGGAGGCTAATACGCCAGCAGAGCTCCCCTTCAGGTGAATAAGGAAGATGAACAAGCTAGGCAGTCATCGAATCGTAAAAGATACTTCAGCGATCTCCTAGGTCTGGCCAGGGAAGCGAGACCGGCAAAGCAACGGAAAGAGGGAAATGTCCGTTCCAGCAAGGATGAAGCATCCGATAGACCCCTCATACCTAGCAAGGACGACGAAGACTTGATAGAACCGCCAGGAACCGGCATTCAAGGCGACCTGTCCAATTCGCTGGAGATCGAGATAAGTGGTAGCGGCACAAGGGACGACCCGCTCAGGTTCCCCACATGGGAAGGTAATGTGATATCAAACGACTATCATGGGGAATGCATTGAGCTCTCTGATGACGAGGACGAAGACGTCGTGAACACGAACTCTTCCGCGAGCTTCCTAAATGTTTCGAAGCCGTCCGGCTCACACCTTATCCATACAGAGGGCGCTGAAGGGTCGGGTCATGGAGGAACATCTTCGGCGCGAACCCATCCATTTCCTGGAAGTGAGGGACTGGCGTCTTCCATCGACACTAGAAGCGTTGATCATACGCCTCTAAGCCGGAGAATGAGCTCCAGTTTGCTGTATGGTTTTTCTTTTCTCATGTCCCCAATTCCCAAGCTAATGAATCCCAGGTCACCGCCATCCCCTTCACCAGCACATACACACGCGTTCACGAAGCCCACATCGACTGCACCGATAAGCTTAAGCGAAACGACAGTCCGGCGTCCAAGTTGGCTGGTGCACAACCCTGACAGCCTTGTCAAGATAGAGCAACATGACCTCGAAGACAGCGACGATGAATTTTTTGATGAGCAATTGTCGGTGAACGCCACTTCGCTCAAAGGAAGAGCCAGAGACGCTTGTTGCGGCAGTGTGTCCACAGCAACTCGAACTAATGTCCCGCGGGAACAGCAAGCACAGGAAGAAGACTTATTCTTCGTCGCTGATATGCCAAATCAATCTGAGGACGCTGAGTGCGACTGTGTCATCGTTCTTGAAAGAGTCAAACCTGCGAACTTGTCCCGACAACCGTGGACAATTGACTTCAAGAAGGAACGAGAAGAGGTCAATGACGTGCCAGACACTATTCTGTCTCAGCAAACATCTGCTTCAGAAGTTCAGCAGCAGCCCGACCCATCTGACGATCTTTTCTACACAGCGAGATCTGCCTCCACGATCTGTTCGGCTTCAGAAACCACGGTTACAGACGTCATTTCTCCGTTTGTGCCACGAGCTCCTGTGGAGTTCAGTGAGAGCATCGACTGGGACGTGCCGTTACCTGTTTCGACCAGAAAACGTCTCTTCTTTGATACGTATCATCACCTAAGTCGTGCGCGTCTGGAGAATGTTCTCCGCATTTACTATTCAGGTACCCAAGGTGGCCTGTCTCCTAACAGATGTCGGCTATACACCGGTCGCAGGCTGCCAAAACCTCCATCTCAAACTCTCCGCATCAGCATCGAATTCCAGCATAATTCCCGTGTTGAGAGATTGTCCCTCAACATTCTCGTCGTCAAGATGCTCCTCGACGGAAGTCTATCGAAAGAGCACATCGATGGCATTGTCAACAACTCCTGGCACGCCAGCCATCTTTGTGGAAACTGGACTTGCCTCAATACCAAGCACGTTGTCCCGGAGCCCGGTTCCGTCAATAATAATCGCAATGTCTGCTTCAGAGATGTGCATGGACCATGCAATCATACGCCGAAATGCATGAAGCACTTGAAGTTAGATAAGCACCTCCTTCGACCAGGTACGGGCATGACTGCTCTGAAGAACTTTCTAGCAGCTTGATCCACTTGATTTGTACGAGCGATCCAATCGCTCGTATGGTATGAGGGTAAGGGTTTACTAGAGATTCATACATATGCAGGTTGGTGTAACATTCGTTTCTAGAGTGATACAGGGTATCGATATTCTGACATAGTCGTTCGACGGACACCGTTGGAGCGCAACTAAGGGGCGGGCCATGTGGCCCGGTTTCTGGGAAACATGCGAAGACTGGTCTTGTAGGCGTTGGTAGCTAATAGCATGTTTGTGTTTAGAGATGCGGATGACGTGCATGGCCGATTCCGTGATAGGTAAGCGCGACTGCACTTAGCAACGTCTCATCTCGTCTCGTCTTCCTACTTGAGGCCGCAACCACCAGCATCCAAAATACATCAAAAGCAAGGACAGACAAATGACTCAAATGAACTTCTACATCCGCTTGTGTGGCCACTGATAGGTATACGCATCTGAAACATCCGCCGTCGAGCGGGATCGGCTGTATGAAAAGATGACAGCTCGTCCCCTCTTTGCTCAGTGCATACTGCTCGCGGCTCTGGATTGTATTGTTCAGTGCCGCTTCAACAGTAAATGTACTAGTAAGCTTGCCCTCTGCCACCCTCCTCATTGGCAACGAGTCAGTCCTTTACTTTTTCCAGGCCCCATACTCTAGGGACGTACGCGATTGCGGCACTGCAGCCACCCGGACTGTTCGATGTCTCGGAAGCAGGGAAGGCTTAGGGTCTCCATGCATGCGAATAGAGCGGTGAAGGCCTGTTTCGGACAATCGCAGTGGCGGATTGTTGAATTCGAGCCACTGGTAACAATGCCTCACCGCGGCGTGGAAGAGCTATAGCGGAAGGGCAAAAGGGGGTCTAATTGCGGAATCTTGTCGAAATACGTCACATCTTTTCCAGTAACCTTGGGTAGGTATATACACATAGGGTAGGTGCCAGGGGTACAATTTCAGGAAACGTGGGCTGTCTGCATCCATGGATAGACTAGTGCCTGTGGCCACCTACAAACGCTTCGACCCCCTTCACAGTGTTCCAGCCAGCCCACGGCGCCTGCGACAGCAGAAAGCTTGCCATCAAATTGTTTCCGGTCTGCCACTCAGCACGGACGAGCTGCAAGCACCCGCTGCCGCTGTAGCCAACGCTGTGCTTGAGCCCCCGCCTCGTTGCAGCTTCCACTTCAGACGCACGCACACCTTCCCCACGGCCGCCTGCAGCGTCAGAGCTCGCAATTGCTCAAGCTCACTGGCTTGCAGCACGGCCCGCCTCATCCCCCACGTATCCAACCGCGCCGCCTGTCGTCTTGTGGCTCCGTTAGCAACGCGCTCTTGATCGGTTTCATTCTTGTCGCCTACCTTCCCATCCAGCCGTGTTGCCTCCAAGGTGGCGAGCAAGCCCAGGACTCGCGGCCGGCGAGGTGAGTTTCTCCGTCTCCTTCTTTCCCTACTCTTTAGCCCCACCAACCTTCTGTTCCCGTGAGTCCTGGCCCGCTACACTCACCCAAGCTGGGCGCAACCAACAAGAGGTCCCCCACAGGCCGGTCCATCTGAGACCTCGCCGGGCTTATTGGGGTTGTCTGCTTTGCTTCGGCGATAATAAGGTGTGCCTGAGCTCAAGCATCTCATTAACCGTCCCAGGTCGTCGTGCCCCTGCTGCTGCGCAGGCTGCAGGACGACTACCGCTCGGAACTCCCACACAGCATATAGCGAGCGCCTCGCAGTCGCACCCGCACTCGCACATTCGCATCATCCCACGGGAGGAACTTAACAGTGATTCTTATGAGGATAGCAGACCCACTTTCCGCTCCCCATCGCTTCAGTTGCCGCCGTTTCCGTTGAGCGACCAAGAGTCTCGCAGAGGCAGTGCTCTCAGTGAAACTTCAACGAACAACACCACTTTCGCGCAGATGGCGCGCCGGAGTAACAGAAGCGAGATGGAGGGCGTCGAAAAACCAACTTCTAGACCCGTGCCGCTTTCAGGTTATGTTGCGTTTTCGACCCAGTCGAGTCGTAACAGGCTGAGAAATAAAACCTGGCGCTCTGCGCTGCCTAGCGATCTGGTCCAAGGTGAAGGCCTGGCAGGCTTCCACACTGACGAGTCTTCTTCGCCTATCGAGTCCGTCGAGTCAACCCAAACTTTGCTATCCGAAGGAGCCCCCGCTCGATTGTTACCGCAACCCGCTCAGCCTAGAAGTACTCCATTCGCCTTACCCAAGATTCAGACAGATATCGTCCGACGCGAGGACGCTATCCAAATGGACTTCCTAAGTGAGCAACATCCGGTAAGTCATCCCTGGTAAATTAACAACATTATCACTCACTACAAGGTTCTCTAGGCATCGCCAAGTGAGGGCAGCGACAACATCAGCCCCACCGATACTCGACTCCCTGCCGTCGAAAACCACCTGCGCCTCTTCGGAAAGCTGCCGGATATCATTCGTCTACAAGAGCAGACTGGCGACTTTGACGGCCAGATCGTGTTCATAGGTCATCCCAACCGCGACGTCTCCGCTCACCAGTGGCTATCTGATTCCTATCAATGGGTTCATGTCGGCCTTTGGTCTCACACGCGCAAGAGGATCGAAGGTTCGCTCGCGTCTGATCGTCTGGCAACATCTGGGTTCTCGTACAATTCGATTGAGTATTTCAAATTCGTCGCAGAGCATCGCGAATCCACGATAAAGGAACACGGTCGTCCACAAACAGAGCCAGAAGCTGATGTAATCGAGCCTACACCCACGGAGGTGAGCATCGAGAACATCAGGAAGACACCCGCTCCCAGCTTCGCCGTGGCCTCTGTGCTTCGTACCGTCACTGGAAAGAATCTAGAAGACCCGTTCATAACTCCCGTCGATCTTTCACCAGCTCCCATGGCCACTTTCAGCTTTCGAGGTGGCGGTGATACTGTTGGATCGATGGACTTCAATTACGAGTTTCCAACGAAGCTAGGTACCCCGCTCAGGGAACATCAGCAGATCTATGTCCAGCGAGAGCGAGCGCGGCTTGAGGCACTCCGTGGGCAATCAATTACCCAGCGCGAAATGCAGACTCCTCTCCGCGAGGTCGATTTTGGTGAGGAGGCACCCGGCCTCACACCTTCCCCGACTCGCATTCCTGCAGGCCGGCAAGATACTATGCTATCAGTTGGGGACATGAACAGTCGATTCCAAGCTCGGAGCAGGCTGGCAGAGCTAGGTCAAACAACTTCCCAACCTAGTCTTACACCCGAGCAGCGCGTAGCTGTTCCTGACTTCCCACTGAACAATGTGAGTCTCAGGAATTCGATCCCTACTGGCCCAACAGTGGCGAATCCTTACCGCGGATTCTCTACGTTGAACGCTACAGCACCACCATATCGGATGCCAACAAAGGAACAGACTGAGGCATCGGACTCTTCCGCTACAGTTTTTCATAATCCTGCATCTGCGACTGATCCTGCACTACGCTTCAGCGACCCTGATGGCATGCGGCAAGAGCATGTCCACCCGATCGCGAATGGTTTCAAGAAACAAGCTCCCACTAGGCAGAACTGGAATGGCCCTTTCTTCGCTGACTCTATGCCGACTGCGCACGATCCGCTTGCGTCACTTTCTGGTCAGATTAGTAACGAGCAGAAGCTCGTGGACTGGTACCGCGATGGCCAGAGTGTCAGTCGACAACAAGACTTTGCCAAAACCCTCGTGACAGCAGCATCGACGAGCAGCAAGGCTCGTAGCTTTGGGGCAATCGGCGAAGGCTCCGCTAGGAAGCAAGAATCCTCGAAGTACGCGAATACCCATGTTTTTGCCCGTGTGTACGAGCACCTTTCCGAGTATGCAGAGGAATCTCGTGCTGGTAGTGGAAAGAGTTACTTCACAAGAGCATGGAAGCCTTCGCCCTTGCACCTTCGCGATCTTGGTCCCGACGGAAACAATAGCTTCTATAGTGGCTCGTCAACATCTTCGCCTCAAACCTCGCGTACCTCCCATCGTCCCTACCAGCCATACCGCGGGGACAGCACTCCGTGGGGTTTTGGTGGACTGTCGAGCAGCACGTTACCGTCACAATACGGTCCCAACTCGGCTACCCCGGGTCCTTATGGGGGTCCCTCTCACCGTGGCTTCTGATTACTTGTAAGTCTTGCTCCACAGCGACACTCCCATGTTTGGAATTTCGAGCTGACACCGTTCGTAGCAACCTGAACCCCAAGAGAAATCACAATGGTCGATAATATCGAACGCTTAGTACCTTTTTCTGGGTAATGGGTTATGAAAGGTTCAACAATCACTGTTCTGGCTTCACTTTCACGGCGTTTCATACGATACCCCGGGCATTATGGCGTACCGGGGGCTATAAGATGTGCTTTTTGCATAGCTATGTCTCTTGAGACTAAGCTTACGTGCGCTGTCACGTCCAGATCTTATTCGGTAGCGGAATAGTACAGAGGACACTCTAGCCCTCTCGAAGAAAATAAATCAGCTCATTGCGTTCTAATTCCGTGGAGTAATGTGAGTTCTGAGTCGACGACCTTGATGACATTGTGACTTGATTAAGGGCGGTAAGGGATGTGTATGACACAAGAAAGCTGAGTTGTCGGAACCAGTCCACAATTTTGTTCGCCCTTTTGAGATTTAAAGTATGCAATTTCGTCTGGTCTGGGGTTGTGACTGTTACAGGCGCCAATGACGCCGACGCGTTTGGCGGGGTAAGAATCTGCCCCACCATACTTTAAATTCGCAGACTGCAGCTCCGACCTGACTCAACACACTGAAATCATGGCGGAAGAGAGTAACGCACCTGCAGGCGCTGCTCCGGCAGAACCCTCCAAGAATGCATTGAAGAAGGCTCAGAAGGAGAAGGAGAAGGTGGGTTCGCCATTGGATAAACTACTCGTGGGTACCACGCGACACTCACACATTTGCTAGGCCGAGAAGAAGGCGGCAGCAAAAGCCCGCGAGCTCGCCGAGCGCCAGAAGAAAGATGCTGCCGACGCCGAGGATGTGTCCAAGGACAACTACGGCGAACTGCCACTTACTGGCTCGAAGGACTACAAACCCACGGGCGCAACTCGCATCGACCTCTCTACCGTCGCAGAACACGAGGGCAAGGAGATCACATTCAGGTGCTGGGTCGAGAATGCGCGCGTGCAGTCAGCGAAACTGGCCTTCGTCAATTTGCGCCAGGGCTTGAACACTGTGCAGTCAGTCGTTGCGGCGAGTGACAAGCTCAGCAAGCAGATGGTCAAGTTCTCGGGCACTCTGAGCACGGAGAGCTTGCTTGTTGTTACCGGATTGGTTAAGAAGGCACCGGAGCCGATCAAGAGCGCGACGATTCAGGACTTTGAGATCCACATACTGAAGGTGTTCATCGAGAAGAAGGCAGAGGTTCCCCTACCCCTTCAAGTCGAAGACGCAGAGCGCCCGTTGCCCAGCGAGGGTCTGGGAGAGGAGGAAGAAAAGGCCACAGAGGGTGACGCTCGCCCACTCGTGTCTCTCAACACCCGCCTGAACAACCGCACTCTCGACCTCCGCGCAAAGATCAACCATGCCATATTCGTCGTCAAGGGTGGCGTCCGCCTACTCTTCACAGAGTTCCTCTCCCAGAAAGGCTTCATCCCCGTCGAGACCCCCAAGATCCTCGGCGCTGCCTCTGAAGGCGGCGCCAATGTCTTCGAGCTCAACTACTTCGGCAAACCCGCGTACCTCGCCCAATCGCCCCAATTCTACAAGCAAATGCTCATCGCCGCGCGCTTCCAAAAAGTCATGGAAATCGGCCCCGTCTTCCGCGCCGAGAACTCGAACACTGCTCGCCATTTGACAGAATTCACGGGTCTAGATCTCGAAATGGAATTCCAGGAGCACTACCACGAAGTCATGGGCGTGCTCGAGGACCTCATGCTCTTCATCTTCCAAGGCCTCAACACGCGGTACAAGAAGGAAACCGACCTCGTCCGCAACACCTACCACGTAGACGAGTTCAAGCTCCCCGAGAGCGGCAAAGTCCCACGCATCCCCTTCCCAGAGGGCATCAAGATGCTGCGCGACGCACAAGGCACAGGCGAAGACGTCGGCGAAGCAGGCGAATACGACGACCTTTCCACCCCACAGGAGAAAAAACTAGGCCGTCTCGTGCTCGAAAAATACGGCTCTGATTTCTACGTCCTGGACCAGTTCCCCCTCGCGGTACGACCAGCATACACCATGCCGTCGCCCGAGAACCCCAAGCTATCCAACAGCTACGACTTCTTCATGCGCGGGCAGGAGATTTGCAGTGGTGCGCAGCGCATCCATGATGCGGAGCTGCTGGCTAAGATGATGCGCGAGCATGATCCGCCGATTGATCCTAATGGGGCGGGGACGAAGGAGTATGTGGATAGCTTTAGGTATGGGGCGCCGCCGCATGGAGGGGGTGGGTTTGGGTTGGAGAGGATTGTGCAGTTTTGGTTGGGGCTGCCGAATATTAGGATGACGAGCTTGTTTCCGAGGGATCCGCAGAGGGTGACGCCGTAGAGGGGGGGAGGACGTGGAAGATGGGCTCTAGGTCTCAAAAGGGGCATGTGTCACGATAGATGAGGGATATGGATTTGATCAAGTTTTCATACATTCTGTGCTGAGTGCCGTCTATGGGAAGGTTCCAAGTTTTATGATACCAGCGCTGGGTGTCGCTACGGTTCTCTCTTATCGAACCTGTGCTTCTTGAAGGGTTACGGCATTTGCGCCGTCAACTGCCTTTCCACAAAGATGTTTGCCTGACAACCGCGCTGGCTGTAGGCCTTTGGAGGTGCGAGGGGAAGCTAGGTCCAGTGGGACAGGTCCATCCCATTCAAATCTTCAGCGCGACTGGGCGCTTTGGACCGTCGCCCGAAACGAGTCAGGGTCCTTGGTCGGACTATGCCATCTTCTTGCCCTTCCCGCCATCGCGGGACGTGGGCAAGAGCCCTACCTCCGCAATTCGATCTCAGCTCTTGTAGCCTCTCATACACTCTTCAACACACGCTCCGCCAGCTTCTTCTGCGCCTTCTCCCCCAGCGCCTGCTCATCCACCTCCTGGATAGCCTTCCCAATCGCAAGCGTGCTCTTCACTTTACCGCCATCCACAACAACAGCTCCGTTCCTGCCCACCGCAATTTCAAATCCCAACTTCTCGCCCAGCGCCTCCAGCAGCACTACTCCTCCCTTCGACCCCGCTAACATCCTCCGAGCCATCCCTAGACTAATCTTGAACACCATGCCGCCCTTGATGGGACCGAGGCCTTCGCTTTTTCCAGTCGAAGGGTCCACGCAGGTCAGCTCAGGCGCGAAGTCTTTCGTTGCGGTTACGACACGGGCGTAGACGAGGGAATTTGGAGCAAGTTGGGGGCGTGTTTTCTTCGTAGCACCTTCGAAGGCGAGATGTGGCAGGGTGGCGTAGGGAGTATGCGGGGTGAGTGTACAGTTGAAGGCTTCCGCGGTGGAGGTTTGGACGGTTGCGATGACGAGGTCGCCTGCGGTGGGGAGGTACTGTTCCACTTAGCACGAGTCTTGGATTCGAAGTTTTGGATTGGAAACGGGGGCCTTACGCGACCGCTGTTCGACTCTATCCATGCTGCAACTTTCTTGTCGTCGGTAACGAGAGCTCCAACTATGGTACTTGCGACCGTGCTTGGTGGGATGTGTCGCAGTCCAGGACCTAATGTGAGTTGCTTCTTCTTGCCGGTCGGCGTTGGAAGTGCATCCTGTGGGACTTCGTCACCGGGCAGCACTATCATGGTATCGACCGCCATCTTTCTACAGGATGTCGTCGATTGACAGCAATTAGAGATCGATGTCGTAGAACGTGAGGTACAGCCTTGGCGCGCTAAAAGATCGCGACGTTTTCTAGTGGCGGGACCAAATTTATCAATTTTTGGCCCGCCAACGTCAAGAACTTGCAAGAGCGCGCTGTTTCCTCGCTTTGCTGCACTTACACGACTCATACCCGGACTTCTGCGATCACATAGAAGAAAATTGAGGAAGACAAACTAATCGCTATGAGTGCAGAGAACGACCCCGCTCAGCGGGTCGCAATCGGTATTTCCTTTGGCAACTCGTACAGCTCGATCGGATATACCACCGGTGTAAGTGGACGTCCAGCATGTTTTGCGAGGATCTTCTGACAGTGTAATAGGAAGGACGAGCAGAGGTTATTGCCAATGAGGACGGAGGTGGGTCGCTGTTTCCACGGGCTATGCGAAGCTTCGCTGACAACTCTCAGACCGCCAGATCCCCTCGATACTTTCATACGTAGAAGGAGAAGAGCTCCACGGTGGACAGGCCAAGACACAGTTCGTGCGGAACGCGAAGAACACAGTTGCATACTTCAGGGACTTCTTGGGCCAAGAGTACGTCTCCTCTTGCGCAATGCTGCAGCAGGTTTCTAACGGTTTGCAGTTTCAAGTCGATAGATGCTTCTCCCTGCCACGAGTCTGCGCACCCTGTGGAGCACGAGTCTACCATTGCTTTCAAAGTCAAGGATAACGCAGACAAGGAGAATGAGGTCACCGTCAGCGAGATCACAACCCGGCACCTGAAGAGGTTACGAAACTCGGCCACCTACTACCTTGGAAAGGAGGTTAACGCCGCCGTCATCACCGTGCCAACCAACTTCTCGGACGCGCAGAAGGAGGCTTTGAACAAGGCTGCGAAAGAGGCGGGCCTTGAGGTGCTTCAGTTTATCAACGAGCCTGTGGCTGCTGTACTGGCATACGATGCTCGTCCCGAGGCGAAGTTGGCTGACAAGATCATCGTTGTGGCAGATCTCGGTGGCACCCGCTCCGACGTCGCTGTCGTTGCTTCCCGAGGCGGCATCTACAGCATCCTCGCTACACTCCACGACTACGAAGTCACCGGCCTGAAGCTCGACCAGGTCCTCATCGACTACTTCGCCAAGGAGTTCCTCAAGAAGCACAAGTCCGCCAGCGACCCCAGGGAAGATGCCCGCGGTCTGGCCAAGCTCAAGCTCGAGTGCGAGGCTGTCAAGAAGGCTCTGTCCATTGGCACGAGCGCTTCCTTCTCTGTAGAGAGCTTGGTTGGCGGCATCGACTACACAGCCACCATCAACCGCACGCGGTACGATCTCCTTGGCAACAAGCTCTTCTCCGCTTTCTCTCGCCTCGTACTCCACGCCATCGAGAAGGCCCAGCTCGACCCCCTCGACATCACTGAGGTCATCCTCGCCGGTGGAAACGCCCACACTCCCAAGATCGCCTCCACGATCCAGAACGCCTTCCCCGAGACCACCACCGTCCTTGCGCCGTCCACCTCCACCACCGCAATCAACCCTTCGGAGCTCTCTGTACGCGGTGCATCCATCCAGGCCAGTCTGATCCAGGAGTTCGAGCTCGAGGACATCGAGCAGAGCACGCACCCCATGGTCACGGTAACCCCTCACCTCTCGCACGCCGTTGGCGTCCTCTGCATCTCAGGCGACGAGTCCAACGGCATCTTCCACGCCATCGTCGACGCCGAGACCCCGCTCCCCGTCCGGAGGACAGCCATCATCTCGACGCCGCGCGAGGGCGGCGACGTCCTCATCAAGCTCGCCGAGGGCCTGCGCCACATCAAGGTCACGAAGCCGGAGCCCAAGCCTAAGAAGGAGAAGGACGAGGACGACGAGGATGATAGCGATGACGACGAGAGTGACGAGGAGGAGGAGCTCAGGGAGAAGACGTGGAAGGTTAGCAATGTGCTTTCTCAGGCGGCTATCAAGGGCGTGAAGAAGGGCGGGAAGGTCGAGGTGCAGATCAACGTTGGGGCGGATCTGGGTGTCAATGCTATTTACCGGGAAGTCGGTGCGAAGGGTGGTGTCAGGGGCATAATAGCGGGTGGGAAGGCGGCGAATGGGAGTGCGTAGGCGAAGCGCTCTTCTGGTCAGTTCATGGTGTAGATGAGGGTGGACACGAAAATAATGAGCGATTTCTCGGATGGGATGAGTACGATAGATGGGTTGAATTGGGTTTCATACGGTTGGATGGAGGAGGGGTTTGATATGGGGAATGGAAGGGGAACGTATAAATAGACGGAATGATTGAGCTACTGCACCGTCGTTGGACACTCAGCGATTGCTTTGTGTTCTGGAACCATGTGACTTTGCGAGCCATCATCATCGTCGTGTCGGTTCATAATATCCAACCCAAATGCAACTCTAGGACACCACCTCAAGCATCATCGTCCAGATTGCGCGGGCACAACCGTCCCATCACTCCTCGCCTCCCCATCTAGTCAGATGTTTCTGATGAACTGCGCCCGCGGTCTATTCCGCCACCCCTCCCTTGTCTCTGCCCACTCCTCATACTGCATATCCTCCGGCACGCCCCTCAGAAACTCATAGTGCCATCTGCGCTTCTCCCAATTCTCTCTATCCAAACCCTCCAGCCCTACCCTCACTGTCTCCCACAGCGCGCCCTCGTCTACCTTCTCCCACCCCGTACTCGCTGCCACGTACAGTCTCCTTAGCCGCCCGAAGTACCGCGTGTCTATCAGATCCCAGAGATCTACGAGGGTGAAAGCGCGCCGGGGGTCGTACTCTTGGTGTCCGGAGGTAACGAGCGTGAGAGAGGTCAAAGGTTTAGCCAGATGCCAGTGTGTTTCGGGTGAGAAGTCTCCAGGGCGCCGTCCGAAGTCCTCGTCAATATAATCAAGCGCTACCGTAATATCCGTAAGATTTGGAAGCCAACCCAGCACGCCATTAAACCTGCCCTGTTTCACAGCCGGTAGGTCTCTTAGCTCCACGACAGTCAGCCGATCCGCGAGATTACTCAGTAGCGGCTTTATGCCCTGCTGGTCTAGGCCAGGACAGTGCAGCAGCGACATGGAGTGTAGGCTCGAGGGAAACGTTTCCGGCTGGCGGAGCATTTCCCAGAGGAACTTCCCGTTTACGGAGCCCGACATGGAGAGGTGCTGCAGGTGGGGCGGCCAGTGGAGACGGCAAGTTAGGAGTTCGGGACCGAGGCCGAATTCCGTGCTACAGCGCGGCATGTAGAGCTCCTCCAGCCTGACGAGCTGTCTCAGCGTCTGGTTCAAGCTCTGGTAGCTTATCGCTTCACTAACGAGGCCCAGATCGAGAACCTTCAGGCTCGTGCATTTCGAGAGGGCAGCCCAGCAGTTTATCGCGAAGGAGGCCTGCGGCGCGATGAAGAGCTCGAGGCTGTTTTTTGTGCGGCCGAGGAGGCGGGCGGTGGTGGATTTGGCGCCTTGGTGGACGATGCGGGAGAGGTCGAGGGCTTTTACGAGGCCGGCGAGTTCGGAGCGTTTGATGCGGGGGATGACGGAGGGGCAGAGGGTGCGGACGAAGTGGGTGTAGCGTTGGCCGACGAGGTAGGGGGTGGCGTAGAGGCGGGCGATGCCGACGGAGTACCATTGTCTGGGAAGGTGTTAGTGAGGTGCGGACGTAGAGATGGCGTTCTTAGAGCATGGCGACGTGTGTTATCCCAAGATACGCAATACTGGGTGAAGGCAAGCCTATCCAGCGCTGTCTTGCTTCTCTGTATGGTCCTGCGTCTGGATCGTGTATCCTGGGGTAACACGCAACAGGGTACAGTCTACGTTTTTCTCTCACATAAAGGCAAAAGCTACATACCTCGACACTAACACGAAGTTTGCCAACGTAGCCTGACTCTCCTCACTCTGCGGCAAAAAGTCCAGAACCTGGAGCAATAATTCGTCGGGCAAGTAATTCGCGTATGAACTCTCGCGGTTTTGCAAGTCCAGGTCAGATTCAAGGTCCATCATGACTAGTATACCCGGCGGCAATCACGCGAAGAGCGAGCGAGAGGTTGGGGGGGTAATTGTTGTTTTGTTCCACCTTGCCATGCGGGAGTGCAAGTTGGAGGGGCGAAAGTGGTGGGTCTGGACGTGACGGCATGCTATCTTATCGTGGCTTGGCGAGGTTAAGTCCGGTAATACCGGAGACTTCTCCTTGCCTTTTATGGCTCGCCTGGTGAAAGTGATATTTGCAACCGCAACAAACAATTCGCAAGCCTCCGTGAGATCATCTCATTTTTACGAGGACCACTGAATTCCATCACTCATCATCCAAGGGCATGGTAAGAGGGTCACTCGACGGAAGTTGAAACAAACTTCGGCGAAAATAGTTTGATTCCAATGGTTGTTACCAGTTCGTACTATTCGAAGCTGGTTGTAACTATTGAGCGACGACTTTGGAGAAAGGGAAACGCTGGCTTAGTAGGCCACGTCCGTCGCGTGTTGTAAGCATCGAGTTGCTTGTCAAGAACGTATTAAAGACCAGAAGTACCGTCGACAGCATCAAAAGGTTGACCATCTATTACGGCAATTGATCCTCACATCCATCCTCGCATACGTTTGTAAGTCAACTCTCGAATGAGTCTCAGGTAGACGACCAACCGAGATCTTACGCCTTAGCGGCAGGCGCCAATTCGACGTCAGTCCCCGTCCCAGCATCAGAGGGTGCACCGAGATGTTTTCCGCTAGGTAGCATATTGAGCCGGTCCTCGTCCTTATCCATGTCCCGGTACGTGAACCAGAACGCTACCCCACTAACAAAGCAGATAATAGCAACACTGCCATAGTTCCACGTCAGGTGTGGATCCGCAGACAGAGGAGTGAATGCCTCGCCCAGCGCCGCCGAAAGCGAACTAGTGAACAAGCTGAACGCCTGCACAAGGCTGCGCATGCTCTTGGGGGCTTTGGTGAAGGCGTATTCGAGAGACACGACGGACGCCATGATCTCAGAAGCTGCGATGAGGATGTAAACGCCTGTCTGGGACCACACGTTGATGTCGGATCGGCACTCGTTTTCCTCCATCATCATTCCACATGGAGATTTGCGGTAGATGTAGTATTGGATGATGCAGGCCCAGACCATACCTGCGGTGGCGAGCATGAAGCCCGTGAAGATCTTCTTGATGGGCGTGAACCGGATGCCTGCCTTGCGAAGAGCTGGATAGATAAGCAGGTCGAGGAGAAGAACTAGGATGATGATGGCGATTGGGTCGAGATTCTGGAGCAAGTCGTTGGGGACGCCGTGGAGCTGCATGGTGTCGGCTTGTTGGATGAGGTTGCTGTTGAGTTGGTTGTAGGAAAGCCAGTACAGCGGGAGCCAGAGAAGGACACCACAGGCTGCCCACCTAACGCGGGTACAAAGTCAGTGTGGGTCAGGTCAGGGGGGAAGAATACCTTGTGTATGCCTCAGCCTAGCGAGAAAGAGATCTGCCAGAAAGACACATCCACTTAGTACCCTGTGGTTTGCTCACCCGCGCGCAACCTCGTCCACCCATGCGTCGTCATAGACCATCCACGCCGGCTTTGCGGATCCCAGACGCGACGGCTTAACACTGTCCCAGAAAGACCCACTGCGAGCGTTCTTCCAGGTTCGGATAGGGTTCCAGCTCCAACGGCCCTTCATTGCAAGCCAAGGCAACTTGATAGCCGGGCCGAGCACGCTGCCAGACGGTGGGGTGTGGATGTACATCTTCTTACAGAAGAATAGGACTGGGAATGCCAACAGGAAGAAGGCCGTAGGAATAAGGAACGCAGGCCAGAATCCGACGTATCGCTCGATATACACCTGTAACGTTCTTGTAAACATGGCTCTAGGGTATACATGAGTAGCATAACTTACCATGGAGAGTTGGCCTATCAGAGCCCCAATATTGACGAACCTGGAAATGCATGTTAGCGCTGTTCAGCGACACCTGCGCCTGGATAGCTCACATGTAGAACCAATTGTAAATGCGGGTTGCAGTCTCGGCGGGATCAACGATAACGCGGCGGCCTAGGGAAGGTCAGGCTAGGTTGACTCCGGTAATTCAACTCACCTTTCTTGTCAGTGTCGACACGCGGCACATCCTGGGGAATCTGCTCCGCAATGAGTGGCGAGATGTTGGGCTTAAACGTTCCGGTTCCGAGACCCATGATCAGTATCCCGAACATAAACAAGCTAAACGCATTCGTCGGCTTATCGAGCAACGACGGTGTCGACGAGCTCACCAAGAGCACGTGGCCAATCTCCGCAATGATGACCGAGTACACGATGGTCTTGTAACGGCCGAGGTACGTGTCAGCGATCCAGGCACCGAGGAAAGGGCACAGGTAAATGTAGAACTGATTGAAGGTCGCAATGCTGTACGCATGCTTCTTTCCCAGCCCAAGAGCTCCAGGTGTGGCGTTGGCATCCTTCGGGTGGAGAGCGGCGCCCCAGGGAGTGGTCACCCAAGTGCCGTCGTCTTTCTTACGCGGCTTTGCTATGAAGTTGGAATAGAGCGCTACAGTGCCGTAGTAGCTCATGCGCTCGACAAGCTCGACGAAAGCAATCGTGTACACTACAAAGTTAGTCAATTCCCCTCAAGATAAACACCTTACTCACCTCGCCATGGGATCTTCGCCGGCACGCGACGCAGCGTAGCCAACTCAACCTGGGTGGGAAGGCCATCATGCTGGTCAGAATCATCTCGGTCTGGAGACTCGGCCACACGCTTTTTGACATGGTGTGCCTCAGCGGACAGCTTGCGCACTGGGTCGCCGCTACCGTCAATATGAGCGGGATCGACTCTGGCCTCGATCCGGTCACCAATGGCCTCGACCATAGTGTCTCTCTGTGTGCTGTTCAATCTACTGGGCAGACGAGTCGGAATCGAGGTGATGGAGGAGTGAGGTGAAAGCCAAGCACATCGGGCAGGGACCTTATTAGCTACCACATGGGCCCACAAACATGCCTTTGCTCATCTATGGTGTGCCGAGCCCCCTCTCCACCTATCGATTTGTCCTCGATAAGCTCATGTCTTTGTTATCGTGACCTTAAGCGCAGTTGATTCAAATTCGCGTTCACTAAGAAGGATCTACCCAGGCTTAGAGTTCTTTCCTGGTATGAAACCATCAAAGCCTTGAATATGTTGATTTCATCGAAAGATATATGAGGCATTCATGAATTATGTTCCTGTACTTCAACGTACGGGCACTTTTCCAACCAGTCCACAGACTTATCTTTACCTAAACAAGCGCCACAGGGTTATTGTTGTGACCTCAATGTCAAACACAACAGGCACACGGTGGCAGCAACGCTAGGAATTACAATGCCCACCCAAGATAGTTGTCCAATGAAGAAGAGTAGACACGCTCATGCGCAGTGGCGTGCCACGTCGCACCGCGGTCGTGCTCGTACCTGGTGACCATGTCCCGTTTGACATGCGTGCTGGTTTCCCCGTCAATTCGTGCCTGAATTTCTATGGGCAACCTTGCGCCGCCTTAATTGTGTAAACACCAAGGTGTTGCTGCGAGTGTGAAGCTGCACCTCCTTTTCAGCAAGCAACCAACATGATGTCAAGGAGAAGATCGATCAGAGACCATAAACCACTCTGGTGGGATCAGCTACGATATTAATAAGGGGTGTCCGGGGTGTAGCACATGCTTTGTCAGTCAGCAGCACATTGCCCCATACTAGTGCGTTGCAACACATGCTCTTCCGTGAAGAACTCCTAACATCACCGCCAGAAGCATGGGTCAGGTACCTAACAAGGGCGACACTGTACGTATGATCCATTCAGAAGCCCAGCAAAGAGCAACCCAGTTATGACATGCCGCCTATGAGTGTTCCGCGTGTTGAAAACGGGACTCACCCATGCCCCAAGCCCCATTAGCATAGATACATGCTCATTACCATCATCCTCCCCTCCTCCCCAATCAAAGACTGCAACCATGCATACAAGCTGCCAAAGCAGAAACAATTCCTCCATCCAGCTTCCCTCCCACCCCAATTCCCATCATTAACGCCCGTCCCAATCGAGCCGCTCCCATGCGCCACTATGCCAATGTCCATGCCATCCGCACGCTATGCCATAACCCAGACCAAACGAACGCCCAATAAGAAAGCAAGGGCTAAAGCCCGAAGAATCGCAAAGCTGGCAGACCCGCATGTTCCGCCAGAAGGAACGTACCTGTACTTGGAGTGTCGATTACGGACTTTCCGTGGTAGACAGTCTCACTGTCCGGGGATGACTTCCACGACGCGATTCGTCGTGCGGACACTATCCCAAGCGGATTAGAACTAGAAAGACAAAGAAGAGACGTAGAGCAAAGGGGTCAGGCTGGTCAAGTGTTACCATCCCAGACCTTGACCACGCCGCTCGCCGTCCTCGAATGGTGGGTCTGCTGCTGCTGCCTCGCCACATTGCACGTATGCACGCTGACGAAATTACTATGAAGCGCGCTAGCCGCGATCATCAAACGATGCGGATGGAATGCCGTCGCCGTGACAGGCTGGCTGCGATCGCGGAGGAAGCCCGAGTACGGCTCCCACTGGCTGACAGGCTTTCCGGTATGGATGTTGAAGATCTTGACCTGGTGGCGCTGGGTGCCGACTGCGAAGACGGGCGCGTGCTCGTGCACGCTGAGCGTCTTGAGGTGGTCCGAAGTCGCCTGGATCGTCTTGACGCTCTTGTCCATGCGAATGTCCCAGAGCTTGACTTCGCCGTCGCGGCAGCCCGAGACGAGTTCACGCTGGCCGCCGCGCTGCAGGTGCACGTTCGTGACCCACTGCTTGTGCTCTTTCCAGACCTTGACCATGGCTGTGGCGGGTTTCTGACGCTGGTCGTAGACGCGGACCGCGCCGTCACCAAAGCCCGCAATGAAGACGTTGCCTTCGACTTGGTCGGAGGTGAGCGAGGTGATGCAGGAGCCGGACCTTGCGGGTATGTCCTTGGGAACTGTCAGCTAGCTCTGGTCTTCAAGTAAAACAATACTTACGCTCGTGCAAATCTCGGTGCCGGCGTTCCACACGCGAATTACCTTCACGTCGCCGGCCACCAATATCGATCCTCTGCCCTGCTGCCAGTCGAAAACCAGTCCAGCATTTCTATTGCTGGGGACTAGATCGGTCAAAGCGCGGAAGGCAGTGACAAGCTCAGTCTTGGCCCTTGTGTCGTAATGGCGAAAGATTTTGATGACACCGTCTGAGGAACCAGTCATGAGAAGAGCCTGGTCGTCTTCGTTGATAAAGCGTGCCTCAGTAACCCTAGAATTTATTGGGTTACCGTTCGAAAAGCAGTTGATCCTCCGAGTTGGACCGCCAGAGTACTCGATGACGTTGATCGTGTCTTTGTTGTCGGTGACCACCATATGCTCTTCAAACTGATGGAAACACATCTTCATCGGTTGGCTGAGATTGTCAAAAAGCGCGTGCTGATGGTTCCAATGATTCACCACGGCTACCTCTTTGAGCGGTTGAGTCTCTGCGATGATTTTATCATTACGATTTCGTCGCCAGAGCCGTCCGTTATAGTCTGTGCTGCCGGGTTCGTCGGCCTCGGTCGGCTTCATCTGCGGCTCGCGGAAATACTCCACCGACCATTCGAAGATCCTGCTCTTCAGAGGGAGCTCAGGCGGCACTCCGAGGCTTCGTGGTAGGAACCCCCTGGTTTTAGGCTGCTCTTCTACGCTGTATCGTTCTGGAGTCTGGGGACGTATTTCAGTTGACGAAGTGTATTCATCAAGCTTTGCGCGACTGGGACTCTTCTGTGGAGAGCTTGAGGAATCGTGGCCAGTCCAGATAGTTTTCAGCGAGGCTGCAACACTTCCTGTTCTCCGAAGACCACCTAAGAGAGACAGGTAGCTCGCCTCTTTCGAGGGTGTCGGGGGTTGGGAGGGCTGTTGCACGGGCTTCTCTTGATACACTCGTCGTTGTGCGCGATCCACAGGACTCTTTCGGACGAGCTCGTCAAACAAAGGTCCGGCAAATTTGGCTAGGGGAGACTGTAGAAGTGCGAGAAGAACGTAGTCGACGACTGCGCTCGCATCTCTGGCCACTTCAGGATGAGGGTCAGCGGCCATCACCATGACCTCTCTCCAGATAGCGGCATAGATGGTGTTCTGCGAACAGGAAGTAGTGAGAGTTGCAACAGCTGTCTTTGATGCACGGCCCTTCATGTAGAGGTCATCTCCAGTCCCGTTCTCCTTTCCGGAGGCATCGCTGTTGACTTCCTCTGAGATCTGTTCAAAAGCAGCCACCAGGAACTTGGTCTTGTAGCGCAGAACGAAGGTAGAGAAGAAGATCAGTAATTCCCTTCGGACCATGCTGTTTCCGTCCGTCGTCATTACCAGGATCATGGATGCGATTGATTCCTCGATAGTAGCAACCTGAGATGTCACATCTCGGATGCCTAGGAATGCAGTGAGGGCATGGAGCATTGCTGCACGGACTTCCGATACAGGGTCGAAGACGAGCTCGCATAGGCGTTCATGCGCCATGCACCTGATGCCAACCCACTTAGCCTCTTCGTAATTGACCCAAAGCTTGCTCAAACACAGGCATGACCACTGCCGTAGGAGAGGGTTCTGGATATCTTTAAGGTGATCCAAGCAGCTCTCCACAAGATCCGGACTCAGTGAGGCACGCTGACCCTGATTGTAATCTTTGCAGAACATTGCAATGATGAAAGCGCACATCGCTCGATGTTCGCTAGCATTCTGAATTGGAATACCCGAGTTGGGATTGAAGATGTTGATGAAGTATTGGTAACCGTTATCCTTGAGAAGATCAGTCTGACATGATTGGTCGACCGCCAAAATGCGCGCCCATATGAAGACCATGACGGGTTTTAGCTCATTGGCCTGCGATTGCAGAAGTTTGAGTACGTATGGGAAGATACCGATGCTGAGCGCTAGGTTTACAGCCCAAGGTCCATGATCCAGGAAGCTCGAGAGGAGGATGAGAGCCCGCAGTCGATGGACTTGACTCAGAAGTACCTGCAGCACGATTGGCAGTTGTTCCGGGATCTTCTGCTCGACAGCGCCTTGCTGTAGGTAGACCTCGAAAGCGGTGAGCTGCTCTGAGAAGAACTCAGAGTGCCTGTAAATGTACTCCTTCTCGCCACGAGCTTCAGCCTGAAGATCAGGAAGTTGAGCCAGGATGAGCTCGACCGCTAGATCCCAACTGCGCCATAAGGGATGATCGTGGGTCTGTGGAATTTCTGGATGAGAAATAGGGTTGCAGTGGTATACTCGCATGATACGCTGTGCAAGAAGATAGTTTCGGAACAGTGCGGCGACCATAAGATCCTGTCTGAAGAGCTTCTTGAAGAGAGGCTTGGACAGAGAGTTCCAGGCAATTGTGTCTGTAATAGCAGTGAAAATCCAGTTGAGCTCGCCAATGGGTGTTCTACGCTCAGAGACTTTGCCCGGGATGTTGTGCGCATCACGGAGAGTAACGTTGCTGGGGAGAGGGTTCTGCAGTATGAAGAACTTGACCGCCATGGTTATAGGGTCCGTCAAACACGACGTGAAGACGTCCGCGGGAAGATCTGGATTGGTTGGCAAGGACTCCTTCTCTCGGCAGGCCGCAAGGTGGATGCAGTCATGGAAATCCACCACCTCTACGTTCGGGTCCCGCCGCTGCGCCTCCTCAAACTCCAGCTGATGCTTCTCAGCAAACCGAAGGAAGTTGGAGATAATTAGACCCGCATCAGAGCAGTCATAGACGAACAGGCTAGGCGCCCCTATCCAGCTCTGGAGATCGTAAAGAGATAGTGGGATGTATTGTGTGTAATTCCGGTTGAAGACCCATATCTCGCCTGAGGACGTCGGCCGAGGTACACCGTGACCATTGTAGTGGAACAGAACCCTCTCGTTGCGTGCATTGCGGCGAAGCGTCGACGTGTACTTGCGGGTCTCCTCTGTAGTGGGGTCCAGGAGGAGCTTGTAGCGCGTGCGCATGCTCAACTGCTCGTACTGTGTTTGCAGCGCCTTTCCTATTTGATTCATCGGCGTGTGCCCCGGAGTCTGAGATGTGACGGTGGGATCGATCCAGCACTCCTCTTTCGCGCAGGGATTCGTCTTAATGACGTCCGGCGGGTCGACGCCTATATTCAGACATAGCGCAAGTACTGCGGATACAGTCTTGAGGCGGTCGCGCATGCGCCATTCCTGGAGCGGGTACGCGCTGCCTTCGCTCTTCGGTATGCCACCCGTCTCATGTTTCTTCTCCGTATAGTACATGAAGAAAGACTACTCTTGTTAGCTCTTGTATGTCCACATATCGGCTTGCCTATACCCACCGATGTCAAGAGTTGGTTGTATTCTTCCGAGTTGAGCTGGTCGTCCCATCCGTGCCGTATCTTGAACTGACCGTCGACACTGCCGGCTTCGTCGGCGCCGCTGTCTGAGGGGGTCGTCTCGAAATGGCGGGGTCCAAAGTCGCTCTTTGCGCGCAGCATTTGCGGACGGGAGGGCGCGCGTGTGCTGCTCGGCCGCCGCAAAGACACGGCGTCTGGGTCGTGGCCGTTCATTGCTGCCAGATTGGGGTGGGAGTCTGACGCAGTGCTAGGGCGTGCAGGGGTTGCACTGTCAGGACTTGGTGGTTGGGAGGGCGCAGGAGGGACTGCTGCTGTGCCATTCATGGCTCCGGAAGCGGGCGCGTGCAAGGCGAGGGGATTTACGTGTGGGTATTCGTTGGCTGTCCTCATCTTGAGCTGTTAGCTGTGGTGACGAAAGTCCAAGTCGTCCAGCCCATGTCGCAGGACCTGTAATTCAGCGTGCGCGCGAAACGCAGGTGACTTGGGGGCGTTATCCAGCACAGAAGACACAACGTCACGGCGGTGAGGGAAACGAGAGAAGCCTGACGCCCTCGAACAAGTATATGCGCGAATGTTCACCGCGGTGCGTTTGCGAGAGAGCTCGGGTACGGCGCTAAGCTGTGTCGGGCCGCCGGTAACATGTCGCAGATGCGGATCGGGCAGCCAATGACGCCCAGTGCTGACTTGCACAACCTCCAAAACTGCGCCAGCACCTGACGGTCGCGAAAGTCTGGTAATTGTGTTGCACGCCCGTAGCGGGGCGAAGACTGTTGCTTGACAGGAAGAGGTCGGGCGACCTCACTCGCTGTGAGCATGCTCTTCGTCAGTCATGCCACGCACATGCTGCACACCTACGTGTTCAAACATTGCAGCTCTGGGTTGTGTGCAGCAAGTGCTTCACTGTATCTGAATCCATGCTTACTCGGAGCCATCATTCAAAATACATAGAAACATTCGCACAACGGCACACAAACAGAGTGGAGCTAAACGGTCGTCGAATCATGGAGGCTCTCCACCAGCGTCCTGAAGCTCTGCACGGTTCGGTCTAGTTGCCGTAGCTAGGTGCCCCTGCGCCGTCGAGTGTCAAGCAGCCAAGTGGGAACACCTGGCGAACTGGCTGCGCTGCGTCCTGCGAGGCGTGGTGAGGTGAATTTATAGCGCCTTGTACATGCAAAGGTACATATGCACGTCAGGAGAGTCCAACCAGACCCCTGTCACCACTCGATCGGACTCAGGGGCATCGGAGGCGTAGGCGTGCAAGGCCAGCAGTCGAGCGCTGACAGCTGGACAATGGGAAGCAGCCCTCAGCGCCGTGCTGTGACGGGCAATTTGTCAAGCGCATGCCCGAGTGCCGGCCGTCGTCGAAGACACATCCTTGTTCGCTGCGCTGTCTTCATCAACGCGTCGTCGTGCTGTCGCCTGTGTCGATCGTTGATCCTTGGCGGAAAGTGCTCCTGCTCAGTCCGCGTCCCAGAAAACCGTTGCGCTCTCCTTCTCCGCTATCCAACGTCCTGCCCTCCTCCACGCTGTCCGAGCGCCTGTTGCCCGCTGTAGAGATATGTGCGCGCCGGCTAATGCGCCATCCGTTTGACACTCGAGCTGCTCGCTGTCTCAGTCCCGCTGTCTACCAGCCCCCGGCTGTTGCGATTCCGCCCACGAGCCCACCACGACTCCCGCGCCCCTAGTATACACACCGGATGCGTCTTTGAGGGCGCCGAACTCCACTTTGACGTCGCCCTGGGCGCAATCCCGCCGCCATGTCATTTCTATTCGGAAAGAAAAATAAGCAGCAAGGCGGTGCCCTCCCGCCCGCAACACGGGACATTGGCTCGTCGCATGGCCCACCACCAGCAAACTCGCAGATACCCGCGCCGAATGGTACGGGCGCACGCGAAGTCGTCGAGAAGCCCAGGAGTGGATCGGCGACACAGAACTCCACACCCGGTAACAACAGTGTGAACAACAGCCTCAGCTCGCTGAACGCGGGCAACACAGCGAGCCCCGAACCCAAGGCCCTCCGCGACCAAGGAAATGCAGATTTCGCGGTATGTGCTTATAGCATTTGCCCCCGCTCCCTTCACCACCTGCGAAACCCTACTTGCGACGTTGCTGAATGCTAATTCCATTGTGCAGGGTGCGAGGAACACTCGCGGCCCTCCAGAGACGTCCCCATACCCATGGAGCACTCGCCGATTGAACTTCACGACGAGCGGCTCGCCATTTCCCCGATATGGTGCCGCCATCAATTCCTCCACCGGCTCTGCTGGCGTCATATACATCATGGGCGGGCTTGTCGGAGGTGCTACCGTCAAGGGCGATCTCTGGGTGGCAGAAATGGGGAACGGAAGCATGAGTTGCTACCCCATCTCGACGACTGGCGATGGACCCGGCCCTAGAGTAGGCCATGCAAGCCTCCTAGTCGGTAATGCCTTCATCGTTTTTGGAGGAGACACGAAGCTGGACGAACATGACGACCTGGATGACACACTCTATTTATTGAATACATGTAGGTCATGCGGAAAGACATCATGTCCAACATACTGACTGCGCTTAGCAACTAAACACTGGTCAAGAGCACTACCGCAGGGTCCACGGCCAACAGGTCGATACGGACACACACTGAATATCCTAGGGTCCAAGATATACATTTTCGGGGGTCAGGTTGAAGGCTTCTTTTTTAATGACCTGGTCGCTTTCGACCTCAACTCGCTACAGTCTTCCTCAAGTAGGTGGGAGGTACTGCTTCCAAATCAAAAAGAAGGAACCGTGACATCGCCCGGAGGTCGCTCGCCGCCTGCCCGAACAAATCACTCCGTCGTCACCTGGAACGATAAGCTCTTCCTCTTTGGTGGCACGGACGGTGTGACCTGGTTCAACGACGTCTGGACCTACGATCCCCGCTCAAACAGTTGGAGCGAGCTTGAGTGCATTGGTTACATACCAGTTGCCCGTGAAGGCCATTCCGCGACTCTTGTCAATGACACCATGTATGTCTTTGGTGGTCGGACCCAAGACGGCGTTGACCTTGGAGACCTCGCGGCCTTCCGGATATCCTCTCGTCGGTGGTACATGTTCCAGAACATGGGTCACTCTCCATCCCCCCGTTCCGGACACAGCATGACCGCCTTCGGCAAACATGTCATAGTAGTGGCCGGCGAGCCATCGTCGTCTGTTGCCGACAAGAATGAACTGAGCCTTGCATACGTTCTGGATACTTCTAAGATAAGATATCCGCCAAACGAAGCACCGCCTCCGCAACCGGGTCCAAACGCTCCGAGAAAGCTGAGCGGTGGTGACAGGGGCAACATACTCCAAGCAAAGGCTGGCTCGCCTCCCACTCGTGGAAGCATGATGCCTAGCGCGCAAGAACCCAGACCACAAGATCTTATAATGAATGGTGCTGGACCAGCTGGATCTCGACTACCACGCGCGGCAGGCCCGGCGCCTTCAGGACCACCTCCTTTGCAGCAAGCACCGCAACCGCGTGGTCCCCCTTTAACGAGTGGTCCTCGAAGTAAAACACCCACTAAGGGTGAGAGAGGCTATGGACCGCCATTGGACACCCGCGGAGCATCGTTCGAGCGAGAGAACATCTCTCCTATCACAAGGGAGAGCCCAGCCGGTCCCGAAGCGCAACAGTCACTGGATCAGGTGGCTGCCAACGGCGCCAGGAAGATGTCGGAAGGTGGCCAAAGTCAACCCAAAGAGTCCATGGACACTTCTCGATCGGGAAGCCTTGTATCAAGAAGTACTTCCAAGTCGCATCGCCCTCAACATTCACTGGAGAGTATCGAGCAAGCCGCATTGAGACGTTCCAACGAGAACCAGCAACCTGCGATCAGTCGGGAAGCCGAAAGACCAGTGGATAGTGAAGTTGGTGCGTCGCCTGCGGTGGCCCAACTGAACAACGAATTGAACCAGCAACTTGAGACGCTGAAGGTCCGGAACGCTTGGTATGCTTCCGAGCTTGCCCTTGCCCGCAAAGCCGGATATAATCCAGGGACAGCTACCAGTCCTGTAGTTGACGAGCGATCAGCAGAAGCCTTCGGTGACGAGGAGAAGCCTTTGTTTGAAGCGCTTCTCAAGATGAAGAACGAACTGGAGAGAGTGCAAAGTTCCATCAAATCACAGGGCGATGACGCCGCTCGTAGGATCGCTGAGGTCGAAAGGCAACGGGATGCAGCTATCAGCGAAGCTATCTACGCGAAAGCGAAACTAGCTGCACATGGTGGTGGCAGTCAGGGAGGCACTCCTCAGCCTGACGCTACGCGCAGTACCGCTACCCCTGACATGGACCGTGTGGCCGATATCAACCGTCGCTTGGCCGCGTCACTGGCTGCCCAGAGCGATCTTGCTATCAAGCTGGAGAAGCTGACGTACGAGGTCGAGGCTGAACGCAGAGCGAGGAATATGGCAGACGACACTGCAGAAGCTGCCCAGAAGCGAGTACAAGAACTTGACTCTTCGCACCAGAAGAACTCTGCTGAACTTGAAGGATTGCGAGCTGCGTTACACGAAGCAGAGCAGATAGCGAGGGAAGCCACAGCAAGCGCAGCGGAAGCTGAGGCTGCATCGAAGCTTCTGTCTGTTGACAAAAACGAGTTGCACAGCAAGTTTACAAGAGCGTTGGAAGATTCCAGAAATCACGCATCCGTTTTGCAATCACTTAAGGATGCTTTGTCTGCCTCGTCGGATAAGTCCGGTCTACTAGAGAAGCAATTGGAGGACGAACGATTCCAACGGGAAAGCCTACGACAGAAGCTAGCTCAGCTGCGTGCGGAGCATGAAAATCAAACCACCGAATTGGAAGCGGCATCACAGAAGCTTCACGATACAGAAGAGCTTGCAGAGAAATATGCCGAAGAAGCACGTCTGCACCGCCAGGCTGTGCTCGACGGTCTCGGCCGGATTACTAACCGCGACGAAGGCCCTAACGAAGCAATGGACGAGCGTGTCACTATTCTTCAACAACAGGTTGAAGCTGCGAACGTCATGGTGCGCAAGAATCAGACAGCAGCAGACGCAGCATCCGAGAAACTGCGACGGGCAGAAGAAAGAATTGCTGGCCTAGAAGCATATCAAGAGCAGTCTAGTAGGGAAGGGCTCAACATTCGCAAGCAGCTGCAACAAGCAATGCGAGACATGCAAGCTGCTGAAGCTGAGAAATCCGAATTACAACAGCAACACGAGCGATTGCGACTAGACAGCAATGCTTTTGAGGTACAGCTCAAGACGCTAAAGAACCTCCTTGAAGAGAGAGGCGTAAGCGCCGTTGACGCGCGCCGCTCCAGGGTGTTGGACAGCCCGAGCTCCAGGTTCGGAACGCCAGAGCTGAATCGTGTGCGCGAATTGGAACAGCAGATCGACTCCATGGGCAAGGCGCACGACGAGCTACGATCCGCATTTGAGCAGCGCGAGCATAATGTAAGCCAGCAATGGGAAGAGAAGTTGCAGGCACTGCACAACGATCACCAGGCTGCTGTTAAGTATCTTCGGGGTACGGAGAAGATGCTCACCAAGATGAAGGCGGAGCTCGACCGGTACAAGCAAGAAAAGACCAAACTTGAGGCAGAGCTCGCTCAAACACTGTCGGCTTCGCGAAGCCCAACTAAGGAGCAGTCTGCGGAGTGGGAAGCCGAGCGTGAGGCGCTACGCCATCAAATCGCCTCCACAGAAGATAACATGAAGTCTTCAGTCGCCAGGCTTGAGTCCCAGCTCTTTACCCTACAGACTGACTTGGCCGCTGCGCAACAAGAAGCTGCAGCTGCGACTAAGAAGATCAACGATGCGGAACTTTCTGCCCAACAATCACGCGCAGATCTAGAAACTCTGCGTGTCCAGAACGCGGAGTTGGACGAGCGCGCCCGCGAAGCCGAGACTCGCGTGCAGATGTTCCTGAACCAGTTCGAGACGTCTGTTGACAACTACCGCCGTCAATCGCAACCTAACGGACAACCCCGCGGACACCGTCCACATGATAGTATCGCTTCGGGCGAATCGCTGTATAGTGACGAGGGTACTGCGACTCCTGACGCTGGCAACCGACCCAGCTCATCGGCCACGCGAAACTCCATGGCGCTCGACAATCTTGCTAACGAGCTCGATGCACTTCGAAACAACTGGGAGACTACCAACAAAGCCTACCGCCTCTCCGACCGCTTTGATTTCGAGCGCACGCCCACGAGTGAAAAGGGCGAGTTCAGTGAGTTTTCAGAGTGGAGACAACGAATGGATGTGGATGACGATGATGAGAGGGAAGGCACCAAGAAGCCAGCTGCAACTGCACTGCACGACCCGCAAGCAACGCCGACTTCACCGTCGGCAGCTGCGCCCAAGGCAGCGTCTCCCACTGGCCCCGGGGGCGCGACCATGATATAAACGACAACTATGGCGTTCAACGGTTTCATTCTGGATGCTAGAAGATTGGACCGCGTACCAATACCTTTTTCTTCTTCTCTGCAGGACCGGCTGGCTTTCTTGGATCGTCTCTTGGTTTTCACCTTTTCGCACATATGCCCCGCCCGCTGCTCACATTTGGGTATGCAGAGGCTATTTCCGTTCCCGTATTATACCATTTCTTTTCTTGCTGGCTTGTGCCATGCTCTAATTCGTAACTCTCCCTAATGTTCTTCTGTAGTATGTATTTTCGCTGTGATCCGAGTATAGGGATGGAAATGGGATTGTTTGTGATGATTTGTCTTGTCTGGTGTTCAATGAATGGCTTGCGAGAATACCGTAGGGCGAAGGGAATACCACTTTTGTTTGTTGTAATGCGGACGTTGAGGTGTAGCGGGTGACGTCAGTGCATGTACTCCCACGAGTTCGTCAACAGCATATCGATGCGAAACAGCACCGGCGTTGATGACCGTCACGACCATACGCACCTCACGTCCAACAATGAACGAATTACCATGACATGACTGCGTAGGGTTTACAAGGCTTCCGTAGCTGGGGTGGACCTTGGCGCGTTGCGGCGCGCGTGTCTGCCTGGCGTAATCGCAGGCACCCGCCTGTCGCGTGAGACTGTCGCGTAGGCAGGTGATCCGCCTTTCCACTCTTTGCTGCTGGCCTGAAAACAGCCGAAACATCACTAAGTGCTCAATCTTGGCTGGGATAACGGTATTAGAAGCTGATTCTTATAAGAATGCGCTTCATACCGCTTCTCTTCAATTTGTAAACCATCCTGCTGCATCTTCGCGTGGACACCACTCCGGAAGGAACAAACGACTTCGAGTGCTTTCTTTTCTCCGACTCCATCCCATTCAAATTATTTCATTCCCACGACACGACTCTATCCCATCTTGTCTACTCTTCGTCCTTCGCCATGGCCTTTCAAACCCAGCTGCCAGACGTACCGGTGAAGCATGCAGACTTCATCTCTCACATCGAATCTCATCCCGATACACCATTGCTCGAGATTCTTGAGCCATACAAACAATATGACGCAAAGCTTCGTGAAGTATTCGCTCAGGAACCGAATCATCCTGTGCTGGCGGACCAGCATCTCAACGTTGTCCCTGTCTTCAATGGTCACTCTTCCAGCCTCCGCATCCGAGCGCGAGATCTGGCCTCAGAGTCGCAAGAAGAGAAAGAACGATACATCATGCCGCTTAACGCGGACGAGAGACATCCGAAGGGTTCGCCTGCCATTGTACAAGAGATCAAGGACTTTCAGCAAAACTTTGCGCTGTTTTGCGAGAGTTCTCTGGTGGATCTGGATTGGAGTAACGTTGTCGCTGCTGGATCCAGTGTGGTTACGTGTCTATTGCCTGTTCCAGACCAAGCTAGTAAATCGAAAAAGGCGCTGAGGCAGTACTACCACGAGACGATTGCGCCGGCGAGTGATGTGGATCTCTTCATCTATGGACTCAACGAGGAGGAGGCTGTGAAGAAGATCATCGAGATCGAGCAACGTATCAAGGATTCTATTTTGACGGAAACCACAACCATCCGGACGAAGAATGCAATCACTATTGCTAGTCAATACCCGACTCGCCACATTCAGATCGTACTACGCATCTACAAGTCGATCTCAGAGATCCTGACAGGCTTCGACGTCGATTGCTCATGCGCGGCCTACGATGGCAAGCAGGTCTGGGCCGCGCCGCGTGCCTTGACCGCGTACATGACCCAAGCCAATACCGTTGACTTGACGCGCCGCTCTCCATCATATGAGAGCCGCTTGTCTAAGTATTCTCATCGTGGCTTTGAGGTATACTGGCCTCTGCTGGAACGCTCACGCGTTGATCCTACAATCTTCGAGCGCAACTTTACACGTACTGTCGGTCTTGCGAGGTTGCTCGTGCTGGAGCGTCTTCCGACAAAGTCGGAGCGGGAGGCGTATATGGATGAGCGTCGGAGAGAACGTGGGCGCCCATCTATCAACCGGTATCGGAATTTTGCGTTGCGGGATAACATCAAGGATAGGTATGAGGATGAGGTTGCCGAGTGGGTTGAGCAAGAGGATGTATCGGACTATCGTAAGTCGTCCAATATCCTGCTATCAGATGGTTGGCGCTAATCCGTCGTCAGATACCTTCACCATCCCCTACGGACCGAAGTACCATGCCAAGAAGATCGAGAAGCTCTTGTACACCAAAGATCTGCTCCTCAACTCAGAATGGAACAAACCCAAGGATCGTGAAGTCAATCTGCATCGTCATCCTGCCTTCTTCGGGTATGCCGAGGATGTCATCAGCGACTGCTGCGGCTTCTGCCCAGAACCAGTGACGCCTGAGGAACACGATGTTGCAGAAGAAGAGGCTAAGATCTACGTTTCTGGAAAGATCTCTTTCATTGAGGATAATCCAGGACGCCAAGCAATTGGCTCATTTAATCCCATCACTGACGATGACTGGACGGAGATGGCTTACGTCGGCAACACTGCTCGATTGTGTCAAGCCATTGTTGATGAAGATCTGGATCATGTGGTGGACTGGCTCGAGCAGGAGGGATCCGATCCCAATTGCCGTGACTACAGTGGGTACTTCCATACACCGCTTCTGAGAGTGCTTACTTACCTACTGCAGCCGGCCGCACGCCATTGCACTTGGCAGTAACTTCATCGACCCCTGAGATCGTCCGCGCACTAATCGATCATGGCGCCCGTCTCGTGGCCCGTCTTGCTGACGGAAGAACGGCCCTGCATTTGGCTGCTGCCCGTGGAAATGTGGAGATGGTCCGGATGATCATGCAGAAGAGTGAAGAAAACGAAGAAGAAGAGGCAAAGAAAGAAGACATTCGAAATAAGGCGCGCATAGCTGAGAGAGAAGCCAACAAAGGCGTGACTGGCGAGCAACCAACACCGGCTAAGGAGGAGGAAGATGATAGCGACGTCGACATCATTGAGAAAGACGAGGCCGACTCTGATGATGAAGCACGTACGACAACGACTGAGAAGTCCTATGTTAAAGTCAAAGAAGGGGAGAAGAAGACTGACGACGCGGTTCCCGAGGAAGACGAGGAAGATCCAGACGTGTACGACGTGAACGTGCTGGCATGGGATCTGCAATGCTCGCCGCTTCATCTTGCCATTTTGAATGGTCATGTGGACGTCGTCAAGGAACTCGTCCAGTCGTTTGGTGCCGATGTCCTTCTGCCAATAAAACTGCTCAATCAGCACGACAAGTCACCCAGGGGTGCTATATTGACCCTGGTGCTGTCCCTGAACCTTCCACTAGAGAAAGCCAAAGAGACGACCAAGACGCTACTTAGCCTGGGTGCGACTTCCGCCCAAGCTGACACCAAGCAGCTCACCGCGCTCCACGTCTCAATTACTGAGCCTTCCATACTCGATACTTTGATAAATGATGACGAACCGGCAGCGAAGCGCGCGATCAATCATCTTGCTATCTTCGGGTCATCTTACAACCCGTCTGCGCGAAGTCCTCTGATGAGTGCAATATACAAAGGGAACGGCCTCGCCGCGTTGAAGCTGCTTGAATCTGGGGCTGAGCCTAACATAGACTTCAAAACGTGGATGAAATCTGTGGAGACTCAATTCGCCAACATGTCTCGGCATGACTCAGCACAGAATCACATTGCGTTCACACGAGACGTCGAACAGCCGATCATCCTAGCAGTCGAAAACGAACTTCCGGACATTGCTCTCCGTCTCGTGGACATGGGTGTGGATCTCGACACCCTCACTAAGTTTACCAAGCAGAACCTTGAAAGTCGCTACAACTACAATCAAAACGGCATGGCGTCGTTGCTTGACATTGTTCGGAGGAAGATTACCAGCCTTCGTGCCGAAGTCGGTGGTGGCAAAGAGTCAGCGAAGCCCTCGTACCCTCACATCAACTTGAAAGACGGAGTCGACTACCTGGAAGGCATCGAGCCCGGCACGTACAAACATTTCATCGCCCAAATCCAAATTGCTCGTGCACAAGAAGAGGATAAGCGAGCCAGGGAGAGGTATGAAGAGCAGTGCAAGACCAACTCTTTCACTGAGCGCAAGGGCTGGCAAGCAAGGACCCAAGCGATCGAAGCGTTGGCGAAGAAGTTCGAGGAGCTTGAGCAAACTTTGGTCAGCAAGGGCGCGAAGACGTTCAGGGAGCTGCGTCCGGACGTCGAAATTAAGGAGAATGGTTACATGAACTACGGCTACCAACCGACACAACCGACTCCTTTCGAGATCAGGTTCCACTTCTCCGTGCATGACCTCACGGACGATACCCAGGCTGCCTATGCAAAACTGTAAGTATCGTGCCATCTGATTATTAGTTTCTAACGGGTGGTCAGATTCCAAGCCGCCTGGGACAACGACCTCGAAACGATCAAGGTCCTGACCCTAGCTCCGTGGGAAGGTAATGACCCGCTTAGGGTTAGTGTTCAAGACGGCGAATTCAACAGCATCTTCGGCATCACAATTCTTCGTGGTCATCGCGATCTTGCGCGGGCACTCGTTGAAATATGTTATGCGCAATACCAGCCACCGGGAGAAGATGATGTCAAGAAGTCCCGCTACCGACTTGCGAACGATGATGAAGACGACGAGAGTGAAACGAGCGACGTTGCCCTATACGAAGAGATCGTTGATGATAAATTCACAATCGAGAACATCGGCGAGCTTTCAACACAGGTCAAGAGCAGAGTTTCGCCTCTTTCGTTCATGGCGGCGAGCGTCCAGACTTGGAACTACGTCAAGTACTTTCTCCCAGAAATGCAAATCACCTGTGGCATCGATAACCGCAAGATCGACATCCCAGGTAGAATAGATTCTACATGTTTCATAGGAACCTGGGCTGTCATCACGAACGACAAGTCGTTGTTCTCATTCCTCCTTGATCTTGACGTTGAGTGGACAGATCGCTTGGCTAAGAGGCTCGATGGGTCCTCTGGCATACCTTCCTTCTCCGGGTTTGATTTTAAGTTCGCTATTGAATATGGTCGTACGGAGCTGCTGGCTGATATGATTAAGCACTCAGGTGCGGGGATCGAGCTGGAGTCATTGGTCAAGAACTCTGGCGTCAAGTACCGCGAGAAGCCCAAGTACTACCAGGGTCTCAGTGTAATTACACTCAGCGCCTTTGCGTCGATCTCCAAGGCTAACGAGTTCAGGTACACGGAAAGAAGCGTCCCGGATGGATCAATGCCGCTCGTGGCACCTATTCGCAAGGTGTCTCAGACAGCGAACCTCCACTGTTGAGCGCCGCCTTCAAGGGAAGCCTTCAGAGTGTGGAGTGGTTCCTCAGTGATGCGCCAGCCCGCCACTATCTTGATTTTGCCGAAGCATACAAGCATGATAAGTACATCGAGCATCTCAACAAGAACGCAGGCGGCTTCGAAAGGCTGCTCAGGAAGTGGTTGGGCACTCGACGTAAGTCGTACAATAGCCTTGATGGATACAGGATACTAACTCATGCTAGGTGAGCTCGCATTGCATCTTGCAGTAATGGCAAAGCCGAGACCGGAGTCCTTGAAGCTCATCAAATACCTCCTCGACACGATGCCCGAATCCCTAGAAGTCAAGTCCACAGACGGACATACACCTCTCCTACTCGCATTTGCACTCCACCGTTTCAGCGCTGCCAAACTTCTCATCGAAGCGGGCGCAGACCAGACTGCACGTACGTCTACAGGCTCTAACCTCCTGGACGTACTCCTTGTCGATCCCTACTCTAGTTCCACGAACATGACCTTTGATGATAAACCACTGCTCAACAGCCTGCTGGGCCTCATCGATCCTCGGCTCATCCCTTCGCTCCTCACAGAACGCACGTCCGTATTGAACCCCGGGTCCCTCACGCCTGTCGCACACTGGATGAGGACGCACTGTGGCCAATGGAACCAGGAAGAAACCCACACCGAGATCCTCGAAGCCCTACTTGACTTTGCCGCCCCAACCAACTATGAGTTCCTCGAGCTACTGGACGGCTCCGGCGACACGCCGCTGCACTGGGCAGTGAAAAACAAGCGCTCCAGGTGCATCACCGCCATCCTCACGCGTCGCCCTGACCTTCTCTACCGCGAGAACAGCGTCGGCCGCACCCCGCTCGAAATGGCAGAAGACGCATACCTTGCAGACCGTGTACGCGACGCGCCGAATCTTTACTACGGCAACAGTCAGTCTATTACTAAGCGCCAAATAGAGAGCTTCGCGGAGGACTACACTCCTGCCAAAACCCTACAAAGCGTAGAACATATCTGGAGTATTTGCAAGGGTTTCGCGACTAAGTCGAGCGGGAAGAGGAAGCTGGTGAGCTTGCTGGATGCGAATGAGGTTGCGAATCGCTTGGCGAAGAGACATATGGGTAGGAGGAATGTGCAGACTCTTACGTCGAATGACGAAGAGGAAGAAGAGGAGGTGGCGAGGGAGGTGGATGAGGTAAGGGACTGGTATCGTATGGCTGTGAAGGGGAATGGCAAAGATGAGGATGTGGAAATGGTGGATAGGACGCTTGGGACAGCGTAATTGCTCCGAGTGTTCTGTTCTGAAATTATCCCCAAGTAGCGCCATAAAAACATTCCACCACGCAAGGAAGCCTCCATATCCCCGCTCTCATATTTCCATCGCTTGGGTATCGAACTGAAGTTTTAACTTTCCCTCCCCGTCACCTCATTATGTAACTTCATCACATCCCCTTCCCTAGACAGTCGCCGGCGCCGGCCCGGCCTGAATCCCCTTCTTCTTATTCGCCCTCCTGCGCAACAAGAGCAAGATAATTACCACGATGATAATCACGACCACGATGCCGATGACGATACCAGCAATCGCGCCGCCCTTAATCTTTTTGGCTTTGCCTTTCTTGGCTTTGCGCGCGAGGAGGTGGATGAGCTGGGTGGTGGTGCTGCTGGCGTTAGGATGGGGAGAGTTGAGAGGAGGGAATATGGGATATGGGAAGTGGAAAGGTGGGGATGGGGAGGGTGTGAATGCCTACTTCGGATCGCCAAGAGCGCGCTTGAGATGTTGCAGATTCTCCATCGCGGGCTGGATGAGGGCGGGCATGTTGTCGCGCGACGGATGTGGATAGCAGAAGTATGCAAGTTGAGGGTCGTTCCGTAGTCGCGTATGTCGTGCGACGGGCGATGATAGCAGATATATGTAAAGTGCAGGCCGTTGAGGTCGCGTAGTCGTAGTCGCGTAGCCCTCAATAAAGAATTCTCAATGCGCAGTGGTGCTTTGTCCGTTCTTTGACGTCTTTATCGTGGATCACCACACGGCTTGATATATCAATCAACGTCCGTGACGCAGGATAACAAACCTGAAAGGCCGACTCCGCGATTCAAGTATGTCCGCACCCTGCAGGTGCTGGCATCGCACCGTTTACAGGGACAGCATAGCCTTGTAACGTCATCTGTCGCGAGCACTCGTTCATTTGCTCTGCCCTGTTTAAGCGAGGAGGAGCGGCTGTTAATTCGCTGGCGGTTGGTGACATCGTTTACGACGTCTCAGCTCAATTTTGGATACGAGCTGGGATTGGGTCGGTGCACGAACTCGTTGGCGGACTGGGGGCTGCTATTGGTGGCTGTGGGCTGCTTAAGGTCGTGTTGCTGTACGGCAGCTGTGGGCTTGCAGGTGTTCAGCTCCACCGTGTGAATGCTAACGGAAGCGGGGAATGGGCTTGCGCGATCCCCTGAATTGAAGTTCAAGCAAGCTTTCTTGGCGGCTAGCTAGACGCTTGAAGTAGAAGAAGGCTTAGAGTCCGAAAAGCGAGGCTAAGAGAGTCGAGCAAAACGCAGCAAAAGGGTAGAAACGCGAAAGACTTAGATAAATTGATTCAATTGCTAATAATGGTACCTATACTGCACATCGCGCAATGGCGCGTGAGGTACCCTTCATACATCGGCCCGAAAGTACACCTCTGGGTCATTAATGGAAAGCGGGAACGTTGAGTATCATATCGTGGATGCGAACCGAAACACCGTAGTCATGCGGATTGTTCGTAACAATTTTGAGTAGCGGGAGCGTGGATAAAGTGTACGATGTAACTTGTGGCTTTGCGCCGCGTACACTTTTGGCTGAGTGCAATTCGTCTATGAAGGAATAGCCTCGTATCCGCTGTCGTTGTGGGCAGCGCGGTTGGAGAAGAGGTAGTAGATGAGCATGCCGACGAGCGGGAAGAGGAAGACGACCAGACACCAGATGACCTTGTTGAGCGGCGGGCGGTTTGACTTGACGATCTCGACTGTTGCTTGTTAGCCGAGGTCCCAGCGTTTTTGCGAACAAAAGACTGAGGACAGTCTTGTACGTACCCCAAGCAATGATGTCGAGAATCAGGACAATGAAACCAACAATGCCACCTCCGGTCGGGCCTTGCCAGTTGGTACCTTGCGCGCTGACGGGAGCTGCCTCAACCAGCAAGCCCAGCGAGAGCTGCAGGAGAGCAGCAAGAACGAACTGGAACATATTGACAGAAGGTTATATCTTAGAAGTGGGAGTCTCAAGTATTGCGAAGTATGAGGGAGGAGTGTTGCAGACGAAGCGGGGTTGTACTTAAGAGGCGCAGTGTTGCAGCCTGCGCTTACGCGCTGTTTTTCCCGTGACGTCACAGCTGGTCACGCGACACAGCATTGGCCCACTGGTGAATACCAAGATTCATGCCGCCGATGCCTATCATTGGATTTCTATTGGAATCTAAGGACTCCCATCTCGATCCTTCCAAAATGCTGAGAACTTGTCGAACCCGGGGCGGGGCGTAAGGCCTTGCGACTCGTCAATTCGCAAAGCATCACAATCGAGATCGTGAAGCTCGACGCTAGTCCGGAAAGAGCGAGAGTCTGCTAATACGGGTGTTGACACCGCGAGCTTCGTGTAGGAGACGATTGACAAACCTCGGACTATGCAAACCCACGAGAAAGATGCTTTTCCCCTAGTTTTAGCCACTTTTTGATCCTGAGATTCTGCCAGTTGGTGAGCTTTCTCCGAGTCCGATGCTATCACCGACTTTGACCGACGATGAATGATGAGTACATAAACGCCAGAGATTCCAACTCAATATGTTCCCTCTAAACACCACCAGGTGTTTGAAACCTCCCTGAGTTCGTCTCAATCATCTTTGCAGAGACAATCTGTGCTTTGTGAAGTCGCACCGAAACATTCACAGGACGTTCTAGCTCAGACATGCACGTCCTCATCAGCGGAGCAGGCATCGCAGGACCAACGCTCGCCTGGTTCCTCGCCCAAATCGACGTCAAATGCACCATCGTCGAACGGAGCGATGCCATCCGCCCCTACGGCCAGTCCATCGAACTTCAAGCCACCGCCCTCCAAGCTTTCAAGAAGACCGGACTATGGGAGCAAGTCCGCCAACGCCACACTACAGAAAAAGGAACCCAATTTGTTGACTCCTCCGGCCGATCCTTCGCACACTTCCCCGTGCGAGAAGGTCTTCAGGCAAGCTTCACTTCCGCCTTCGAGATCCTGCGTGGCGATCTCGCAGATATCTTGTACCAGGCTACGAAAGAGCACCCGAATGTTACATACCGGTTCAGCACCACTGTCAGCCGTGTTCTCTCCAACGACGCCCACAGCGTGAAAGTTGAACTCAACGATGGGAGTGTAGAGTCTTTCGACCTTCTCGTCGCAGCAGACGGACAATGGAGCAAGGTAAGGGCGCAAGTTTTCGACCCTTCGAGTATCACCACGTTCTTCAAAGGCATGTACGGCGCGTACTGGACTATCCCGCGCATACCCGCCGACAACGACTGGTGGAACATCTACCTCGCGCTCGGCCGGCGTATCATGGCGTTGCGACCTGATCCCTATGGCACGGTGAGGGTGTATATCACGTGTATGCCTGGTCCGGCGCGAGAAAAGGAATGGCGAGAAGTCTCCAGGGCAGACAGACAGACGCAGGAAGATCTATTGAAGAAAGAGTTCGCGGATGCGGGGTGGCAGGCAGAGCGCTTCCTGGCTGGGCTCGACAAGGCGCCAGACTTCTACTTTCAGGTCGTTGAGCAGGTCCGCATGGCGCACTGGTCGAACGAGCGCGTCGTGTGTCTTGGTGATGCGGCGTATGCGCCTACTCCGCTTACTGGGGCTGGCACTTCGCTCGCGGTATTGGGGGCTTACGTGCTTGCGGGCGAGATGAGCAAATTGAAGGATGGTGAGCACCCGTCCAGGGCACTGGACGCGTACGAAAGAAGCTTCCGCCCGTTTGTGGAGGAGACGCAGAAGATTCCTAAAGTTATACCTGGGGTAGCGCATCCGAGGACAAAGTGGCAGAGGTGGCTGTTGGAGGCATGTTTGAGTTGCGCGGCGTGGCTTTTGGGGATCTCATGGCTGGCAAGGTGGGTTGGGAGTGAAGAGGCGGAGGACAAGAGTTTCGCGCTGCCCAGATATCCAAAACTTGAGGGTTTGAAGGTGGAGTAAGTTTACTTCACGTCATTACTGCGGACGTTTATTGTGTTGACGTTCTCATCTGTGTTGTAATGTATACTCGTGCCTCATGTGCCCTTTCTCATGTATACCTTACTTCCCTGGGGACGTAATGTTTCAGCTGTTTGGGATTGATACTTAGGCCGTTCCGCTCCCCGCATGGTAGTTAGTTAGCGTATACTTGGTCACTTTCACTGCCTTTGAAGTCGATACCGACAGATTAGAGAGTTCAGTAGCATGCAGGCAACCTACTCTCACTCGAACGAATGCAGGACAAGTTTGGGTTTATTGTACATGTGAAGCAAGTCCACCTGTCATAACAATGGGCCTGTCAACCCCTGATGATCACTCAGCTAGAGGATCACGAGACCAGATAGCCATGGTGGAGTCTGAGACTACCCGCATTTGAGAAGCTCATCTTAAACAATCCTCGCAAGGATACTCCCTCTCCACCTCGAAGCGCAATCCGTATTGTTAAGGAACCCATTTACGTGCTCTTCAGCTTTTGCGTGATGACAATCCATGGATTGAACTCCGGTGAGCGTATGCCCATCGCCTCAAAATACTCCTTCCATTGCCAGCTGTCGCTCATACCATGGCGAATCTCTTGTGTATCAGTGAGGATGATCAACGCGCGGATGAAGCAGCGAGCGGGGAAGACTGTTCCGATTAACGTGCCAATGCACCCCCTGAGTACCTCCTCGTGGAATCTCTTGTCGTTATGATTCACAACCCGATTGATCTCGCTTAGAGAGCTATATGCTGCAGCGAGTTGAGCCTTGCGATGTTGGGAGGTGGTTTCTTGGTGTGAGCACATCGGTAATCCGGGTCCTTCGTACTTATGCCCGCATGCCCTGCACTTGAAGCCGCAGCCTTGTGCAGGCCTTCCTCGCCGCCGTCCAGGTGTGCTTCCGTACAACTTAGGCCAGTTGATGACCTCTTCTGAAACAAATTGTAATTCGATGTGGGGACGAGCTATCCGGAAGCGGATGAACGGAAGGAAATCCTTGACGCCAAACAATCGAGGCTTCCAAGGTAACTGTAATAGCTTTGGGCCGCATGCGTCGTGTTCGTGTCCATGAAATTCCATTATAAACGAGCCGAGGTCTTTCAAGGATATCCTAACCGATGAAGTGCGCTTCCAGATTGAAAGGTACTCGGATCGCACCTGGCGGCAGACTTGGGTCAGGCCGTAGAACTTGCGGCATGAGCGGGCACAATCCTCGATGGGCCATTGCTTCGTGTTTTGACGCGCTAGTAGTGGGAGATAGTCTCCAGACACTTTGTCCGCTTCCTCGTCCGCGAAGTGGTAGATGCGATTCCTAATCTCTGATCCGACTAGGTTAATCTCTGAGGATGGTATAGGCAGGTGAGGGTATAGTTACCAGCCGGCAAGCCCAAGAAGCTCAAGCGTGGGTGATGTGAGGCGAGGCCCTTCGCTGATCCCGCAGCCGTGTATACCGGTGGGTGATTGTCTTGTGCCATTGCTGTTGGAGTACTATGTCAACGTCACAGACGCCGCGTCTCTGAGAGATAGCTTACTTGGAGCTGAGTTATTAACACTGACCAAGCCAGCATTGACGGCTGCGCAAGACCGAAAACGGTGGTTTCTTGATGAACAGTTCAAGAGTTGGCGGGGGTGGGGTTGAGAGCGGTCACCAAAGGCAACAGCAGGGAAGTTACTCAAGCGCATAGACCAAGCGCTAGTGGTAGCGCCTTCCAGAACAGTGAAAGCAAAAGTCACGTTCGTAATTTTAATAATCTTTACAATATGTAATTTGGCAAACGGGGCTCGCACAAATACGAACACACAACCACGATTTATTATTTAGATTGCATTTAACAAACGTACATCTATACACTTGTTTGTTTCGCCTTCTCCCTGATGATTGCTCAGCTGCCTGAAGCAAGATGAGGAAGACAAAGTCTTCACCACGAATCGAATGACTAACCCTAAACCGTCGACCTCCATGCCATCACATCGTCAGGAGGAATCCAAAGCGATTCGAAACAAGTTCCGTCGACTGCACAAGGGAAGCCGAGGCAAGTCATGCTCGCGCATCCACCGTAGTAGATGTCTTCCAGGCCCATCTTACGCCCGTGCTCTCGCAGGCAAGTACAGGTTCCATCCAGGAAGACCTCGCGTGCTTGATGATTTTCGAGGGTTTCTCGCGAGACACTGCGTACTTGCTCTGCGAAATTTATTTCCAAGGCATACCATAATCCGAATTCAGTTGGAGCTTCAGATACTTCGGCGATGATCTCGGTCACTGCGCCTGCACGGATTTCGGATTTCCAGAGCTCGTTCTCATGGGTGAGGATACAACCGAGAGACGCTAGGCAATGATACTCATCCTCCAGTGAAGCTCGCCAGTCTATGTATGTGTCCCGATGTTTCCGACAGAGCGACGACACACGCTCACCCGCACACTCTGAGCATGCCTTCCATAGCCAGCCAGGGCAGATTTGTGAGGCCAACTCGTCAAGGACGAATTGAACTTCTGTTTCTGGATGGCAAAATCTGAACTTCAGGAATGGCAGCAGGCTCAGTTTGGGTGAGTTGATATGTCGTCTGCTCCAGGAAATCTGAAGCAATTTTGGGCCTTTGCGTGCTTCATGGTCGTCATCTTTTTAGAAGGCCTGTGTGAAATGATCGAAGTCTTCGTATCGTATGCGAAACCCCGCCGTAGATATCCAGATAGGATAGTATTCGGCGCGAACTTTTCGGCACACTTCGGTGAGACCAAGGAACTTCAGAGACGATTTGGCGCAGTCATCAATGGGCCACGGACCTTGGTTCCGCGGGGCATAGCTCATGACTCTGGGGATATACTTCGTAGAATGATCGTCATCGAGGGAAAACCTGTGCGCCTCTTCGTCCGCATAGTAGTAGACGCGATTTCGGATTTCTAAGTCAAGGCCGTCAGCTTGGATGTACAACTCTTAGTGATCGATACTTACCTGCGGGCAGATCTAAGAAACCGATCGGTAGCTTATTAGCAGCCGCTGAGCCGCCAAGGTTCTCCGCCGTGTTTGTGTTCATGTTTGTGTGGTGGAGCTCTTGCATCGTCTGCGCCATAGTAAACGCTGATCGGTTGATGGGGGTGTGCGAGCTGGGTGTGGAGTGAAGGAAACTCGGATTTAAACAGGGGGACAGGTGGGTTCTTATAGAAGCCAACGAAGCGCACAGACTAGGCTACTCCGCGGTGAAAGCTAGCGCCCAGCTCCCCGCCATTCCTAAAACTCAACTTCCGTCTACACAGGCTCCTAGAGGGATCTGGGTTGCATCGTAGCGCACATCTGGATGTATTTCATTACTTTCGGAAAGACTTGGCCCACGCTCGAAGGTACATGTGATAGAGAATTAAAGAGATCTCACGATTAGTGTACGTGCTATTGTTTACTTATTCCCAGTGGGGGTAGTAGGAAAAATCAACTAACAATAGAATAATCAATAAGATTCTCTATACAAGAGAATTCCAACACAAATCTATTAAATGAACCATAGGGCGTGTGCCATATCTTTGTGGGAGCACCGATATACGTTGAAATGCTTGTCCATTGACCTTATTCGTGATTATCGCTCAACTAATCGAAAAGATCATGAGGAAAGTAAGGGCTCTAACAACTCGAACGACGCCAGCAAATACGCTGTTAAACAATATACCAGTCATGCGCTCCAAGCTGATATGATTTGCTTCAAGTAGACACGACTGATAGTGATTGCTCACACATAATAAGGCAGAACTTCAAGGTCGGTGAACTTCTCGGCATCCAGCCCGAGGTCGTAGCAATAGTCCAGCCAATCGCCATATTCGCGATAGCCTTCCTCATTTTCCTCATTCTTTTCATACAAAGTAAGCCTCTGCGACGACATGTAGCAACTGAGGCCATCGATGGACAAACCAAGGCCAAGAATGTACTTTCCATCCCACTCGCGAATCCTGGCCTCCGCTATGAAACCGCTCTTGATATCCGCGAGCCAGTCGGCGTTGTTGTGTCTGAGGAACTCCCACGCTGTATGCAAGTGACGGTGCTCGGCCCAAGCGTTGCCCTGTAAGTCGTCAAGTGCGCGATACAGATGGTCACAGAGTGTCGCGTGATCCCATCGCCTTCTTCCCAGCAATTTGGGCATTCTCCCAAGCGATAGTCAGGACCCCGCTCCGGCTTGTACAACTCGGCATGACCGCGGGGAATGAATTCGATCTCCGTGGCGGAAAAGCGGATGCCGAATCTCAGAAACCGCAAGAGATCTACACGAGGTTTCGGGAGGTCGTCCAAGCCGCCTCCGTGATCGGATACTATCTGTAGCCACTTTGGAGCTGGAGTATCTTCTTCGTGTTGCGCATAGAAAGTGTCGACGAAAGAGTAGAAATCGTGGTACGAGATTTTCAGCCACACATTGCACTTCCACAGCGGAAGGTACTCAATTCGTACTCGCTTGCAGACTTGAGTGAGCCCAAAGTGTTTGCGCGTGGAACGAGCTAGATGCTTGGTGGACCATGTATTCTGCGTCATTGGCCGGTATGTGAGCAAAGGGACGAGATCGGTGTTGAAGGGTTCGCTCTCGACCGCGTAGTCGTAGACCCGGTTGCGGAGCTCTGCATTGAGATTATTAGCTTGATCATGAATGTGTAAGCCCCCTCAGTTGATCGGAACATACCTGCAGGTAAATCCAAGAAGCCAATAGGTCGCTTCTTGACCACCGTCAATTGCTGCGAGGCCTCGGCCGTGGTTTTCTTCAGCTTCTTGGCGTATGTGAACTCATCGTCTAGTCGCGCCGCCGTCTGCGCGTTGTCAAGGGCATTTTTGGGCCTTTCGAGATTAACATCCCTCCCTGGGTTACCGGACACCTCCTGTGGCCGGACAAACCATTGGTACCTTGACTTTCAGTAACTGGAAAACCAATGGGCATAATGGATGTTGCTATAATTCTATCAAATTAGTATATTATAGCTAATGCTGAATATCTATATCTACCCTTCCCTAAAAATTACGTTCGCATTATCGCCTTTGAGCCTGATTTGTACAGCGCCCTCTTCCGTAACGTGATAGACTTCCCTTCCTACAGCGCCAACATTAAGCCTTTATTTCTCCGAATTTTCATAGAATAGCTTTATATTAGCCTTGAACCTCCCTCTCAGGCTTAGAAGTCATTATGAGTCTTGTACGCACTATCGTAGGCAAATTTATCTAGTCGATTGGTACCTTCTTAGTCGGCGCTATTATGTTTCTGGTTAGTGTAAGGAAGTCTTCTGTATATTATATACGTATACAGCCCGTTCATAAGGTGGCACATCTTAAACCACTTAGATTTCTAGCTACGATCTCTTCGACACAGTTTCAGCCCCCAGATCACGTGATACGCTGACATAGCACTTTTCTAGTTGTTTCCGTCTTAGCGCCTTATACACCTTTCCCGCAAAGCCAGCCTAGCACTGCAACGCGGCTGAAGTGATAGCAGGAATAAAAGCTGCCGAGCACAATGCAACCCAGCAAGCTCCACGATTCTCTGGCATCAGGATATCGTTGAATTTTGCAATCAAACTATGGCGCCCTCTAAAGGGCGAAGCCTGAACCCATTCCGAAAGGATCACAAAGACTCCGTACTTATCGGCCCTCATACTCTGCTTCTGCCAGGCTGACCCTGCGGTAGGCTAGCAGCTCTTCAAAGCCACAGGAACCGTCTACAGCGTCTGCCCTTGGCCTCAAGATCGTCGCAGAGGGGGAGCAGCCAGTGGTGGAGTAAGTCATTCCTAACATCACAAGAGGTCGTACTAACAGCGCCTAGCATCGTTGCCGTTCATGGCTTGAATGGACACCGCGACGAGACGTGGACTGCAGCGAACGGTACCCACTGGCTTCGCGATCTTTTGCCAAACGACGTCCCAAATGCACGCATATTCTGCTGGGGATACGACGCGAACATGCACGGCAAGCGCGTCAGCTACCAATTCCTCCACGATCATGCAGAGGAACTAGTGTCGGATCTCTGCCGTATGAGAAAGCGCACAGATGTAAGAGCGGAGCGGAGATTGCTAGTATATGTTTCTAACAATGAAAGACCATGAAACGACCGATCATTTTCGTGGCGCACAGTTTGGGTGGCATCGTCGTCAAAGGCGTGAGTATTGTTCCTCCCTATCGTATATACGACTGATTGGCTCCAGGCTCTCATTCACTCGGACGCGGCACTGAAAGGCGCACGGAAAGGCGCACGGAAAGGCGCGCTGGAAGAACACCAATCGATCAAGGCGTATACGTACGGAATCATGTTTATGGGCACTCCTCACCAAGGCGGAAACGGAGTGCAGTTCGGAAAGCTGCTAGTAAATGCGGCATCGGTTTACAAGGCCACCAACAGCCACCTACTAGAGCATCTAGAGCGAGACTCAGAATGGCTCCAGCAGCAGCTTAGGCAGTACGGGCCAATCAGTAGGAAGATTGTGACCAAGTTTGCTTACGAGGAGTACGAGACCCCGACGGCGCTAGGTCATTCAATCATGGTATGCCTTCACATGGATCGGATAAATTGCAGGCACTGATGATACAGGTGGTGCCAAAAACATCCGCGGTCGTCCCAGGCGCCGCCGACGCTAAACAGATCATGATCCACGCGGATCATAGAACAATGGTCAAGTTTGAGTCAAAAGAGGACAATGACTATGAGAAAGTTTCAGACCATTTGGTTATGATGGTTGAAGAAGCAGGCAGCGTTATCAACTTTCCGAGGAAGGAGATTATTCGTGTAATAAGAGAGCTCCATGATGGCATCGAAGCAGCCGTCAAAGACTGGCCCTCAGTCCAAGCACAACCGTGGATGGCCCAAGTCGATTCTACAGTCACAGAAAAGTCTTGCATCGCTTGTCCGACTACGACGTCGTCCAACACCTGCGACATAATTGATCTGGCTTTAGTCTTCCTCAAGGGGACCTGCTTCGGTTGCGCCCAGATCTTTGCTGCTGTTTACTCTATTCTACTTGATGATGACAGCGACGACATGTATTATTATTTCTCACAGATCCACATTTGGCTGAGGGACAAGGGCGGTATTATGATACGACCTGGAATCACAATCGTCTTTGGCGGAAAACAGGACTATGAACTCATTCGTATCGGCCAAGACGCCGTCGCGAGCAACGATACAAGGCTCCAACCCGACGTAATGGCAAAGCATATGGCCGGTGTAGCATTCAAGGGATCTACGGATTTTGCTTTGCCCAAAAAAGAGAGGATCGCACCGTCGCTATCTCTGGCGTGGCTACGACAACGATTAGACACGTGTGTTCGTGACCATCCATCGTGCCAGCGACGCGATGACTTGCGATTGCCAACGAGAATCCTAGATTTGGGCCGTGATAGTTCTCATATCTTCTTGGTGGAAAGTGCTGGGATTGAGGTTCCCAGGTACATCTGCTTGAGCTATCGTTGGGGTCCAGTAGAGACGAGCCTTCGAACACTGTCAACGAATTACAAGAAGCACGAAGCCGGAATATTGATCGATTCTCTCTCGCCCATGTTCCAAGATGTAATAAACATCATCAGGCAATTACAAGTTCGCTACCTTTGGATAGATGCGCTCTGTATTGTACAGGACTCATCTGAAGACTGGATTCGGGAGTCTGCTAAGATGAGCGACGTCTACGCAAATGCATTTCTCACAATTGCTGCTAGTGCCTACCCCGGGGATACCAACCGCGGCCTGATGCAAGTGGAATCCGAACATTACGGCTGGCTCTTGCCAAGTAGAGCCGACGAGTTTATTATCTGTCGTCGCGAGATCGACCATACTTTATTCACGACTGACATATTACTCATGCCACAGCAAAATGCACAACTTGTGGAGATTCTCCCTCTGCTAGGGCGCGGTTGGGTGTATCAAGAGCGCGCTCTTAGCCCACGATATGTGCACTTTGGCCAAGAGATGGTGTGGGAATGTAATGCCTGCACCGAATGTGAATGCTCCTGGTCCTACGACGACGAAAAGCGGTGGAAACTCGCGAATCATTCCAGTCCTGAAAGGTCAAACAGTATGATTGATGAATGGCATCGGCGTGTCTCGGCCTATACCGGGCTACAGCTCACCTTCCCCGGGGATATTTTCCCAGCAATGGGAGGCATGGCTCGTGATTTCCAGCGTAGCTTTGACGGCTTGGGCAGTTTCCAAGCCGGAATGTGGGAAAATACAATACTTTACAATCTCGCCTGGGTCGGCAAACATCTGAAACCTCGTAAACGCGTGCCTCACTGGCGTGCACCCACCTGGAGCTGGGCAGCACTCGAAGGGCCCGTAGAATTCCGGCTCGCAGAAAACTACAGAGGCTTTCAAGGAAAGCCTCTGTGCGAGCTTATTTCCGTAGACTGCAAACCGACTGGCGAAGATCCATTTGGCGCAGTGAAAGAAGCTTCAATAACGCTGGAGGGATTCCTCGTATCCGTTAAGATAGTCTGGAACGATACGGACGTGGTCTGGAATCCATACGACGGAGACGATGAGCCAGATCTCTACTTGGACTCGAGCGAACTTGGCTGGGCTCGGTGGGACTGTTGGCCGGATCCTGTTACTGCCACCAACATCCCGCCGTACAGCCAGGTGAGTCTTTTCCTGTTAGCAGAGTCTCGCAAGACCTATCGCTTCTTGTTGCTCAAGGAAATTAGAGATGGTGTGTATGAACGCTACGGCAACGCACAGTTCGAAGACTACACAGTAAATAAGTATATCAAGGCGCACTGGGAAAAGCGGCGGTTTACAATCGTTTGAAAACGAACTCCAGTATTTGCATGTGCAACGATACTGCATGTTGTGCTTTACTCAAATCATGAATGTTGTCTCCCCGCGGGACAGTGTTCCTGGAGCATATAGATTACAAATCAATCAACTTCCCCAAGACGCTTCGACAAATGTTTCACGAATAATCTGCGTACTGCATTAGCTAATGGCATGGGAGATGAGCTAAAGCCAATTACGAAACCCCTTTGCTCTTACTACGTAAGCCGATCAGCGGGTTAAAGCAGCGGCTAGAGAGGTATTTTAAATCGCCACTATACGCAGGAACGATGGCCGATCCGCAACAGCCCTAACCTTCTAGATGTTTCGAACTGTATAGATAATAGGTAGGTAGAGGTACATGTAGCTACGACTCATAAAATCGCCACTTTCTAGACACTCGTGGAGCAACACCGCCCTGAAAAGTGCTAACACTTATTTGATAAGCGCCTTTCTAAGCGGCCGTGCGCACAAAGGCAATTTAATTAAGGTGAGTGGCCTGTTTCTATCCGCGTGGTGGTCAAAGCAACAGAAATAGTGAATGTGAGGGAGAGGCAGAGCAGCGGAGCAAAACAACGCTATTCTGTTTCTGGGTTGAATTAACTTATGAACAGTGCATAACGTCCGTTACTGCGTAGCGAATCACATAATATGCCGAATCCGACCAATCAGCTTCCGTTAATCGCAGATGCCTAGAAGCTGATTGGTCGGATTCGGCATATTATGTGATTCGCTACGCAGTGATGGACGTTACTTCACATTTAAAATCAATACCCTGTTCTGCACATTACGCTCACAAATGTGAAGTTGAAATTCTCAAGCTCTTCACTAAAAAGCAAGTCAGCATGAGAGAACTTATAAGCATCTATCCATCGTGCATTTATTTTGAACAATATGCCTTACAATTAAACATCATCGATTGACAACTGATCTCTGAGTAGATTGTGTACAAAGGAGGAAAAGTCTGACAGATGAATATCATAAAAAAGGTACCTCGATAAGATCTCCTGTCATCGCCGGAGGCACAACCTGTAATCGCTCAAGCCGAGAAACAGTCCAATCTACATAGCCATCCTGATTTGCAGCAAAGAGGCCTTCGCTATGCAAATATGCTGTCTTCATGTCTTCTAATCTCATGTGCCAAAGCCGGTACCTACCTATTCGGTCGTTCTTGGAGCTTGTTGAAGCAGTGGTAATAGTCTCGAAATCCGGCCACAAAGCCCAAGAAAATGATCGACACTGGGGAGCAGACCTCTACATAGTGATATAAACCGTGTCAGGGTATTTCAAGGCGGGTAAGTCGATCCCTTCGAGGTAGTCCCCCCAGACGCAATCATCAACGCAATCCTCTTGAGAGAGACATGTCTCATGGCCGCGAAACCTTTCCAGGGGCATCCACGAGCTACTGTTTTTCCGCGAGAGCGTTAGCTCCATCGAGAGATGATCGAGCTTATTCTCCACAAATGGATTCAAATCGCGCCATACCGGAAGGTCCACGCGCTCGATGAAGCCGGTGCGAATGTCAGACTTCCAAGCCTCGTTGTCGTGACTCAGGAGAGCATGAACCGTGGTAAGGTAGTTGTTATGCATGTCCGGCCACGCCTCGGTCCAGTCATCCAGCCGGTCGGATTTGTGCTCGCAGAGGGGCTTCCGGGCTCCACTTCCTCGATGACCACAATCTGGACACTTGACCTTCAGCCAGAGCGGAGTCCAGGTAGGGACATGAGAGAAGGCAACAGTTGTGTTGGGGTAGCGGTGTGCGAACCGGAGAATCGGAAGGAGCTGGGCGCTCTGACGGTCCTCCCAGTCAATTATCAGTCGACCAAGCCCGACTGCTTCCTGACTGTCACCATCTAGTCGCGCATCTTCTGAGAAGAACGCCCCCAGAAGTGCTTCGAGGTCTTGATATTTGATCGCAAAGGTCGACGAACTGAGCCATAGCGGACGATATTCAGCGCGGAGTTGTCGACAGACCTGCGACAAGCCGAAGAATGGGTAATGCGGTTTTGCAGGCTTCGTCTTCGACCATGGCTTGTATTTCGTGACCCGGGGCTTCAAGATTTGCGGAGAAGTATCGATATCGAAGGCATCTTCATCTCCATCGAGGAATCGCACAGTGTCGACTACGTAGTCATCAGTGGCGAATTGGTAGATGCGATTACGGATCTCTGTTGCACAATGTTAGCGTTGTGTTGAGCGAGACATGAAAGTAGTGACACACCTGCTGGCATTCCAAGCAAACTAAGTCGCGGATGCTGTGCGTCAGCTGTACGACCGCCATTTTTGGCCGAGCCCGTCTTCCTCTTTTTGGAAGGTTGAACGACCTGGATCGATTGGTTGGAAGGCGCAATGGCCCCAAACTTGCGTTTAGAGCGCAGCTGCCTGTCATCCGAATTAGCCATCAGTGGGACATGTATGTTGTGCCTTACTTACATGTTGATATAGATGCCGTTCAAACTATTCTGCAGGTAAATTGTGTATCCGATGATTATTGCGAGAACAAATTGTGAGTTGAAGATGTGTGAAGCTGGTAGCAGAGCGACAGACTGGATACTTATAAATACATGTGCACGGTGCACGTATCAAGGGCTCGAGCCTACACCCCGATTTCATTGCCTCTCTTGGCGGTAAATACAGAAGTGTTGAATGCAGGAGGTCCAGAAATCTTCCGTGAAAGTGCATAGCCTGAGGTTCTCGACTGCGCCCTGGACAACGTGATCAAAGGCCATGGAACCTCAATTCTTTGTTTGACTGCGAAAGTTGTAGCGGCTTATTCGCAATGGTTGTGACAAAGAATGAACAATGCCTCTGTCAGAAGGTTTCTCGGCTCCGCTTTGACTTTGGGGCTTGTGGCGATCGCGTCGAGCGAGAAATTGGACAAAGAGGACAAAGATGCCTTCTACCACACTATCAGGGCAACGAATGATATATTTTGAGATCTGTGGCGTTGTTGAAAGTCAGCGCGGCTTGTTGTATTGTCGGGTGCGTCGCATGAGATGTACAATGAAAATTAGTTCCGGGATGTCGCCTTCGTACATATTGGCTCAGCACAGTGTAATTTCTGCTCGCTGCCCTCGAATTGACGGATCTCTCGCAAGCTGCGGCACGAACGCCATCGACACCAGTTCATACAGATCAGTTCTGACCTGTCTTATAATGAAATACACACGTTCGTCAATGTCGAATTGTACCAGCAGGTCACCCTTTCTAACAGTGTCCCGCGTAATACCAAAATAGCCATTCTCTGTCCGGACAATGGTCCTCTCGAGATACCGTTTTTCTTCCAATGTCTTGATGTAGAAACGCAGCCGCCAAGGGATCTCGACTGACTTGGATTGCTGTCTCGTGTGCTTCGGGGGGCGTAGTAATTTACGAAGAGCCTGCGTCACGTTGTCGACCTCTTCAACAATCTTCAGATCTTGTCTTGTCATTTCTCGAAGTTTACTTTTGGGATCATGCAGTCTTGAAAACCACATGTAGTCAGTCTTATCATAACGCGAGAACATCGCCAAGGCTATCGTCGTAAGTTCATCCTGTAAGCGCAATCCACTCGTGTTGGTGGGGTCATCTCCAATTTGAATGTATTCATGCAAAGAAACCAGCCGTTCTTTGATATCTTCAGAACTTCCAGACAGTGGCTTTGCATGGTGTTCCACGTTTTGGAGTGTGACGTCAATCATCCGAATTGACCCCAACACGTGGCCAGGAAGAGTAAGCAGATACTGCCCGTCCGTTGTGATCTGATATAAGAGCGTGTGAATGACCCTGTTGTACTGCTGATGGTGCCTGGTGGTAGGCACCTCAGAGTCAGACCAAACCGCGTCAGGCACCTCAATGTCGGTCCAATCGGCAGACCAGTCAACCACCCACGACGAGAGGTGTGGAACATTCTTTGGTAAAGTCGCTAATCGAAGGAGCGAGCAATCCTTCCCAACCGTAGTTTCCAGTAAAATGGCTGTAGTTTTGGCAAATACCTCAGTGGGTCCCCGCGAATAGTCTGGTAAGATCAGCCTTCCATCCGGTGGCCAAGAAGTTATGAGACCGAGCAATCCGTATATCTGATCTAATGGGTCGGTCGCTTTTGGGGCAGTTGACATGAAGCTTGATGATCTAAATTTCAGTAGAAAAGACCCCAGTGTGTACGCCTCAGGCTTCATCTGATTGGAACATTGTTGCTGGTAGAGAAACATCGCAGGACTGTGACTTGGATTCACGAATTCCTGATACTTTATTTCACTCAAGATGTCGCATACTCCCGTAAATTTTGGGCGAGTCAAGCCTTTCGCCTCGACACGATCAGTGTAGAGTAGAAGGTTTCCGAGGAAATTGCAAGCGGCCGCAACACGGTCGGCAGCAACAGTTCTGGTTCCATACATAAACCATGGAGACCGCGAGAGTAGTAACTCTTGGATGACCCAAGTACGTGTCCACCAAGGTTGGTCGAGAAAAGTCAGGATATGTGTCGCAGACACACCTGGAGGGGAGCCGATACAGGTTCTCGTCCAACGGAAGATCGAGCGATGACGATTCTTTCCATATATCTTCCAAACGGCGTTTTGAAAAGGGAACTTTTTCGTGAAGCGACGGTATTTGTCGGCATCGTTTATAAGATTGAACGTGTTCAGATCAACATCCCACCACTCCTCGTTCACATTCTTGAGGACTCGTTCGCCAAGATAGTCCAAGAAGTCCATGGTGCGGTCAGGCTCTTAAATTGAGGTCGAATTCATGGATATAAGCGTTCTCGAGGCCTGTGAATATATACTAGCCATTTGCGCAACTTGCAAGCTCTTTTCAGCATCGTCAGATTGATTGATACATAGTGCATCAATCCAAATCGGTACACCATGCTACGACCCGTCAATTAAAGTCTACGAAATAGATATTCAACCCACTGGCAGAGCGTCATTGTGTATCTGCTGTAAAGCGGCGAGTAGGTTTCGAGCGATCGGAATGCATCCTCCGGTTTGCAAGAGAACCGCTGACACGGGTGCTGGGTCACCCCAAACGTATGAAAGAGCGTAATATTGCGTGGCCGTCTGCTCTAGGCCGATGTGCACTAGCTTTCCGGAAAAGCATTGCTCTTCATAGCCTTGCGGCGACGCCGGTATGTCGCTATCGAGATATAGAACTCGGATCTCTTTCTTGCCCACATCCAGTGGCTGGTAAACCGATCTCGTTTGAGACATATGGGACGTTCAAGGGAACCTCGGGAGCCGAAGATGGTTGATAAAGGATGAGATGGCGTAGACAGCCTGTTGCGTGGGTGGTTGTAGCCTTCGCAAGGCTGAGGATAGTGCTTGGCACGATGGGGCGGGAACCCAGCCGGTGTCACGTGTTCAGGCAATCGATGAGATGCGTGTAGAAGAACCTGAGCGCAGAACAGCGCGCCAGCCTTCATCCAGCTCTCTGTTCTGCATTTTCTCGCGGCTTCTTCTTGTCCGACAAGGTATTAAATTCGATGTTAGCTTTCGTGATCTATGTATTTCTTATCTGGATCAAACAACAGCATCGTGAAAAAGCGATAGGCTACTGTGCCTCGAATACGTTCATAGTTGAGATCGTGTTAAGCGATGGGCGAGACCTCGGGACGCTTGAATCTCGCTTATGCGGCTGTTTCGGCGAGATATGACGGACCGTTCGTCACGGAGAGATGAGCGAATCAAGACTCTCGAATTTCGCATCATCCCGTCTAGGCGTTTAAGCTTGCGCAGCATTAATAGCAGGGGCAATGCAGTATCCACGCGTCCTAAGATGTTCCACCAATACATGCCGTCTCCGGCGTTTGTAGGCCTCGACCCCCACCGAGCGCCTGGAGCCGCATATCACGACAAACACTTCTGGGTTTCGTCTGGCGGCATGGCCAGCAAACAAACACCTTAAGAAACAGAACGAAACGAAACCACGTGTGTGGTCAATAACGAAACTGTGACCCTTGTGGCACGCCCCAAACATCCAGTAGTACTGCGCTCTGCACACCTTGATGCCCACTGAGGATACCACGCGCGGCTCGCTATCTCCTGCAGAACGGAGAATCTATCATTCATCTCAAGCGCTACATGCACAGATATGGACAAGACCCCTGCAACCTAGTTGGCGTCAAACATAAACCTCCGCAGTACTCAGGCCACTCCCTGACCTACCCCGAACCAGGACGCGGGAATGACAGCGGCATGGACTTTGGTAATCTTAGGTGCAGGCGGTTGGGGTCCACAGAAACGGAGGTATATGTCGAGGCTGCCGCTCAACTCTTCAAGTCTTTCTTTTCATCAACCAGCACCACCTTGAGTTGGATTGCGTCCTTTCGTTCGAAGTCACCGCAAGTTCGGTTTTGTCATTCGTTTTTACATTCATTTCCACAGTCATTCATTCATCCATTACGACAGAGCTAGGATCTGTCAGACTCAGTCCCTATCTTTCCAACCCCATTACAACTTTTAGCACCTGAACAACTACACAACCATGCGTTCTACACTTATGGGTTCGGCGGCAGCCCTTGCCGGGCTTCTCCGCACCGCGACAGCAGCGTCGACACCAGTTGCTTATACCGATCCCAAGACCGGCATCGACTTCCAACAATACACTGCCACCGGTGGCAACTTCAGCTTCGGTATTGCCTTCCCCGAAACGATCGAGAAGGACTTCATCGGACAGCTTGTGGTACCAATCAGCACGACAGGAGCATGGGGAGCTGTTTCGCTTGGCGGAGGCATGTTGAACCACCTCCTGCTTGTTACATGGGCCAACGGAGAGGAGGTCGTCAGCACTTTCAGGACCGCGAGTGCATACGCCAACCCACCTGTTTACGACGCCACCACGGTCAGCGCACTGCCGATCGCCAACGGAACCTTCGTCAACAGCACCCACTACTCTTTCACCTTCGTCTGTGAGGGATGTATCGTGGGCGACACCACAACTTTCAAGGCGACAGACGAGACACCCGTGCTTGGATGGGCGCTTTCTTCTTCAAACCCTACAACTCCCTCTGACCCTGCTAGCGAGCTGCCTTACCACGATGCTGGATTCGGCTTGTACGGGCAACCAGTAGCCGCTGCTCAGTCGGCCAGCTTTGAGACCTGGGCTTCATGGGCCTCCAATGCTACCACAACCACTCCGGGATCCGGCAGCAACTCTACCCTTCCGGTCTCTGGAAACACCACGACTACTGCTCCCACGACTTCCAACGCGACCTACGATGTGATCGTCGTGGGTGGTGGTCCCGCTGGTATCATCGCCGCTGAGCGCATTGCTGAGTCTGGTTCAAGCGTCCTCCTAGTGGAGCGTGGCCCGGCCAACACCGTGGCGCTCGGTTCAGCCGAGGGTCTCGAATGGAACAACACTCTGACTCCATATGATGTTCCGGCTCTTGGAAGCAGTCTGTCTTCCATTTCTGGTACCAAGATTTGCAGTGACACCGCCTCGATGGCTGGCTGCCTTCTGGGAGGATCAAGCTCCATCAACGGAGAGAACTTCATCCGCCCTCCTCAGCACGACTTTGAGAACTGGCCCGCTGAGTGGTCCTGGAACGATGTGAGCAAGGCCGCTGACCGTCTGTACACCCGCAACCCAGGAACTACTCAGCCCTCGGCTGACGGAAAGCACTACGACGACATGGCTTACAGTGTTGTGTCTTCCTACCTCGACGCAGAAGGCTGGACCGAGCTTGACTCTATCAAGACGCCCAACGAGAAGCGCATGGTCTACTCTCGCCCTGCCTGGTCCATCACCAACAACATGCGTGCCGGCCCTGCCAGGACCTACATGCCCTTCGCTCAGGACCTAGACAACTTCACCCTTCAGCTCGAGACCAAGGTCATCCAGGTTAAGCGAACTGGCAGCAGCGTCACCGGCGTTCTGGTCGAGCTTGCAGATGGCAGCCAACAGCTCATCAACCTGAAGCAAGGTGGCAAGGTCGTCCTCGCCGCTGGTGCCCTTTCTACCCCTAGGATTCTTTGGAACTCTGGTATCGGCAAGTCTGATGCCCTGAAGATCGTCCAGGGAGGTACGACTGGTGTCCAGCTTCCCGATGAGGCCGACTGGATTAACCTTCCCGTTGGTCACGGCCTCAAGGACCACGCTCAGGCTCCCCTACAGTTCACCACCTCCTCCAACTACACCGCCTACAAGTATACCGACATTGCCACTGACCCCGTGCAAACCGATGTAGAGCTCTACAAGCAAGGTTCCGGTGTTCTCACCCAGGCCGCGCAGAGGATGCACCTGTGGACATCCGTCAACGGCACTGATGGCGTAGAGCGTTTCCTCCAGGGAACCGTCAGCTCCATGAAGGATGGCACCGTCACCGTCAAGACCTTCCTCACCCACGGCACCCAATCCACCGGCGAGCTCGGCATCACCGCCGGCGGCAACACCGTCCTGAACGTGAAGCCCTGGTTGACCGACGCAGCCGACAAAGAGGCTTTCGCCGGCTTCATCCAGTGGTGGATGGACATCACCGGCGCAAGCAACAGCTCCATCACCTCGACCATGGCCCTCCCCACGAACTCCACCCCGGAGTCCATCCTCACCGAGACCCTCATCTCGGGTGACCACTGGGTCGGCACCACCAAGATGGGCACAGATGACGGCCGCAGCAACGGCACTGCCGTCGTCGACACCGACACCAAGGTCTACGGCACGGACAACCTCTTCGTCGTTGACGCCTCCATCCACCCTGACCTCCCCACCGGAAACACCCAGGCCATCATCATGGTTGTCGCCGAGCACGCCGCTGAGAAGATCTCCGCCTTCAAGGTCGCAAACGGCACTTCTACCATCGCGCCTTCCGCTACTGCTTCCGCCATCGCTGTCGGCACTGCTACCGCCTCGCCCTCCGCCAGCGCTGCTGCAGAGAAGGAATACACTATCCAAGAGTTCATCTCTTTCCTCGAGGAGGCTGATGCGGCTGACAGCTCTGTTGCATCGAAGGTTAGGAGGCACGCGCGTGCGTTCTTCGGTTAAGCATCTTAGCATGTGTGGGTTTAGATGGGGACTTTTTAGATTCGTTTCTTCGTGTATATTTTGAAGGTTTTTGTAGATAAGATGCAATGTAAAGTTATGCATTTGTTATGTACCTCATCACTGTGTTCATTCTGAGGATTGTGCAAAGATAGGACTCTTCGCACCACGTCTTCCTGTATTACAATGACCTGAGCTAGAAAGAAGGTGATGTACCCACATGCTTTTAGAACGTCCCGCACCACCAGCGTGTTGATGGTGTAATTTGTACGGTGATCGATCCGTAAGCGGCTCTTCCTATCTGAGTTGTATAAAGCAGTGACCGGCGCCTCATATGCTTACGGCGCTGAAATTATCTCAGCCAGTCTATGCGCTACTGAGGGCTAGCTATTGGCCTTTTTGCTCTAGTTCACTTATTGTAACAGCTTAGTAAGCTAATGAATTCTTTCTCATATCAAATAGTGCAGTTGAGAACAACTCCAGCGCCATAGGAGGTGGGGCTATTCTTTTCACAATGCACAGACAAGATACACAAAACGATAGACAGTATTTTCTTTGATTGTGCTACATAGCAAGTATTCCTTCCAAATGAGTGTTGCACGCATAGATAATGTCAAGAAAACAGCTCAGTAAGGACTGCCTCGTCACTGCCTTCCAAAACCACCACCCTTCCATAAAATCGCTTCCAAGAAGCATATCTCTTGGAAGGAATGACCTATTTTCCATTGGGAGCGCATCGGCCGGTAGCGCAGTCGCAGTGGGCGTTGGAATCGGGGCAGTTGTCGGCGTAGATCCAGTTGAACTTTCCCGGCGAAGTGGCAGAGCAGAACATCTGCTGGAGTCAGTTCAGATGGCCTAGGAGGATGGACGTGTGCGTACCGAATGCCCGCCGTTGTTCTCGCAAGCGAACGCGCCTTTTCGAGCTATTAACATAATACTTAAGTTTTGCCTAGGGTTATAAGGTTCACCTGATGACGGGCATGACTCGCCCTTTTTGGCGTTGCAGACGGCCAGCGCGTCCCGCTGGAGTAGGCCTTCTGGGATGCTTGCGGCCGAAGCAGCGCAGGCGAGGGCGAGGATGGCGATGACGGACTTCATTTTGGGTGAGGAGGTTGTAGTTGAGGAAGTTGGAGTGAAGATGCGAGGTTGTTGCTGTGATGAGGAGATTCAGAGCAGTGGATGATGATCGAAAAAGGAGGGAGATATCGCATGCTTTATACATGCTCCCGCCGTTAGAATATCCCCTTGCCTTCAACCGCTGGCCCCATTCCTCTGACCCAACCCTGAGCTCGTCGTTGTCTGCATGAGCAATGCCATGCAGTACTCGCGCAGCATTCCGGTAGTGTCTGCCTTACCGCATGTTGATCTTGCGATTCTTGGATGATGGAGGATCAAGCTGCCCCCAAGATGTATAGTGTTTGTAGATTGCTACCACAGAGAGCAGCTGTATCTTTGGCGATTGGTGCGGTCTTCACGGCATGTACTACCATGACTGCGTAGGTCTGACAGAACAAAACTCCCTGAGGACCACCAACCTTGCAAGAAGACACTACGATCAGGCCTAAAGGGACACATGAACGTCAGAATTATGGAGACTGGTTGATGGTGCTGGAGATGCCCGGATTGATGGCCCCAGAGACATTCCAAAAGCGGTTGCCGTTATGTTGGTGTTTCGAAGTACAAGTGAAGGGTGGTCAGGATGTTGCGGAAGTCTATCCGAGCACCCCGAGAAATTCTAGAGCTGCCTCCCAGGAAGAATCTGTGGGGCCTAAGTGCCAGACGTGTAGACCGGTAAAGAAGCTATCTCGTAAACTCCCCGGACGCAGCGTCCTATGGTTCATACCATGGACGAAGTATGAGCTTATGATGTCGCTGGAGCTTGTCGAGGCTTTCTTGGTAGTCCTCCGAGCATTTGAGCATACAAAATCTACATCTGCCTCCCACGTCATTACACAATGTACCTCCGGCCACTGTGCTCCTTGGGTTCACGTAAGCTTTTGAGCTGTGTGCAATATGAAGCAGTTATCCTTGCCATATTTATCTATGTGTGAAAATTCTCAATGTCCAGCAAAACTCTGGATTCATCGCCTCATGATAGGGGCCCGGTTCGATCGGCACTGAACATTTCAGACGCTTACTCTTACGTCTCAACGGACGAAGTCACAGAGACGACTGATTCTCGAATCTTCACAGCGTAAGCACAGCGTAGTAGTCCCACAATATGCATTACCAAACATGTCATGCAGCCCATTCCTGATTCCCCGTCTCGCCATAGCATTCGCTTGGAAATGCACGTGGCACTCACGGTACAAACCGCCAGCTCCCTCACTCAATATAGAAAGCAAGACCTGAATGGGCGGTCAGTAAGACCATCCTAGACATTCTGGAATTGTGCGCGAATTTGGGACCCAATAAAGAGGTTCCCCGACTAGCGCTTCCTCTTCGTCTCCAGAACCACGGCTCAATTCTATCAAACGGCGTTTTATCCGCAACACATGCATGGCCGAGAGGCTACTGGTGAACCCCGCAATAAATCGGCCCTATCGTTACCTGCCCATGTTAGTCTACACAATCCATTCCCACTGAGCTTTGTCTCCAACAGTTCTCCAATTCCCTATGCGATTGTTTCGAGGGAGTATGTAGAAGGGAACAAGCATAGAGCTGAAACCGGAGAAGAGCCAAGTGCTGGGGGTGTTACGTAGTCTTCCAGCGCGGCTGACTGTTGTAAATGCAAGGGACGAGGCTACCGATTCAAGGGAGGCAAGGGAGCCGAGTACTGGAAGCATATGCACCTGGGGCCAAAATCGTATATGAGTTCCTCAAATATATCAGCACGTAGGAGATCGCGATGATAGTCGGGGTCGGAACGGTGCTACGGAGCCTTCAAGGCGTCCAAGATTCCGCGACTTCGACACAGGTTGGTTGATGGTATGGTGATACAAAAGCATGAGGTTGCAATGAAGATGTGGGCCATGTGCATCCAGGGATGACCTGATTGGTACTTCGTGAGTCAAAAGCCAGCATGGTATCAGCCGCAACAGTTGGCCCCGAAGAAGGCGGGGAAGTAAGACGAGTCCTGGTTGGGACAAAGTAAGCACATCATCTTACACTTTGGAATGATCGAGCTGACTATAAGCGGTTAGAAGTACGCTTCTCTACAAAAGAAGCATTCGCTGTTTAGCCTGTCAGTCTAGGGATGACGACATGGTCCTCCATTCATAATGCCATCCGGCGCGACCGAACCTTAGCTAAGCTAGGACGAGAGCACGTGTACGAAACTATACGTTTGATTCACATCCTCACACTGCCGGGGCCGGCTCTCAGCAGCTGCAGCATCGCCTCAGTTACACTTTCGATGCACTTACTTGATATCCAATGCACCTTTCCACAACTTCATCGCACAGCAATCTATCGCACTCACACGCTTGAACGTATCCAGAACTCATTCATCCCATCTTAACGTACAAGAAAATGACTCCTATCAGCCACATTTATACCCTTCTCCTTCTCGCAAGACGCGAAATCCTTCAACCGCTGACTGACCAGAATCATCTTGTTTCACCATCTGCCTACTGCACGATCACACCTTCAACTCTGCTTCCCTGGCTCGCCATTCCCTACATTCTATTACCATTCACGCAATTCCCAGCGTACCCTCAAGTCTGATGCATAGCCGCCTCACCTCACCTCGCCTTACCTTACCTGTGGCACCTGAAACGCCCATGCCAGCTAACCAAGTAGGGATCCCTGTTGCAAGCTGGCCACATGCTCAAAGTAGATCCATTGTTCGGGAGACTAGGATCAATCGCAAGATTGAAAGGCATCAACGAACCTGTTCTGCGGAAGTGCACTGAGCTACATCTCCGCACTCATATTCTTCGCACCTCTTTCAAGAACCCCGGATTCGCGGACGTCTCTGCTCATCTTCTGATGGTTTCGTGTTCAATTACAACACCACAACTCAGTGTCTTACCTATTGTAGGGTGAATGTTTATATGAATGGACTCCACGAACGCTGATCGTGATAGCGCTTGCGTTTGCCGAATGACGACGATGTTGGCGACGACGTTAGTGACATGTCCGCGTCTCACCAGATACATGAATGCACGCTGCGTGGTATTGCCGTCTAGTACAGCGGTGCATAATCACACCTATGTGACCACTAAAAAAGAAGCGTTGCTGTAAAAACCAAGCCCTGACGTCGACTCAGGACACTTTGCAAGCTTCCCTGAACACAGACACAGACGAGGCGGCCTTTCCATGATCATTTCTTGTTAAGGTCTGTTCGTCCAAGAACGAACAGACCTTTCTCAGAATAAAAGATTAGGAAATGATGATGTAATTACAACTAGAGAAAGGGTATATATTCACACCAGCAATTTGCGCCCACCAGAAACCATACAAAGTCCCAGAAGTACCCACCCTTGCGGAAGTCAATTCCGCCCGAATGACTTATCCCTGCAACATGCCCTTCGTCTCCTCTACAGTCCGCACGCCTGCTTTGTGATGCACCTCCCCCCCACCCTTCTTGCAAGCGTCTCCTCGCTCATCTCAATCATAATCAGCCCCAAACATTCCATCGAGTACCTTCGTCGCTAATACCGCGAACTCACTGCCCCTTCTTCACCTCCTCATCATTCTCTTTCACCGGCTGATACGGATACTTGATAGTCAAGCACCAAATATCCAGATAATCGCAAATCGTCCAGATGACATCAATCACGAAGCTACCGTGGACGCCAATCGCCAACCCGAGACACAGGAACACAAACGCTACCTGATACACGTCATCGCCCAGGGCACTCGGCCATCCGAAGCCGAGCTTCTCTTGCAGGAACGGGCCCAGGGAGTCGGCGACGCCGTAGATAAGTGGGTAGATGAGCACGTTGCCGCGGGGGAAGCGGGACTTGGTCAGGTGCGAGATGATCATGCGGCCGACGGAGTAGGCATTTACGAGGCCGGCGTAGAAGATGAAGGGGACGAGGTGGTTGTGGAGGATTTTGGGTTGCAGGTAGAGGTATGCGGGGATGAGGACCCAGGCGGCGGCGAAGGTGAGGAGGCCGAGGAGGGCGACGCGGGTGCGTTGGCCACGGGCGCGGCGGGCTTTCATTACGTTGAGGGCACTGTGGGTGCTGTTAGATCTAAGATGAATGCGTGGGGAAGGGGAGGACGAACCTGGAAACGGTGTTGAAGACGAGCACCACGGTGCCGTAGACCATGTACCATTCGTTCCAGGCTAGGTTGTAAAGCACGTTGGGGATGAAGTCGTAATTCTGGACGCCGACGCTCTGGAGCAGTGATTTCTGCCAGTAGCTGCCGCCTCCGAGGACAGCCGTGGCTGCGTATACGAAGCAAAGTGTGAGAATGCCCTCGACAGGTCCGGAGATGAGACCAAGCGTAAGCGTATGCGTGTGGTATTCCTCCCAAGTCTGGACGTAGAACGTGAAGACCGCTGTAGGTCCGTTAGCTGGATGATTCTGTCAAAGCTCTACTATACTTACAAGCAAACAGCGTGAGCACCGTCTTCCAGCCCTGTCCCAGGTTCATTGCTGCCGAGAACAACAAGACCTCCAGCGTTGTGTTGATCGCATCGACACCGTGGTCGAACAGCTCTCCTAGCGGCCCGCTCTGATGTGTCCTTCTGGCCTGGCTACCATCCACCGCATCGAACGTCTGGTACAAGAACAGTCCTATCGCCCAGCTTGCGTACACCCACGGCGGGCAATCCTGATCTAGCGTCGGCGTGTACCATAGCATCGTCAGGAAGTTCGCGACGACGAACCCGAATCCAGATAGCGTGATCTATGCATCTCCGTCAGTACTTCTGTCTTTGACGCGTCTACTTGTGCGGGGTTTGGTATCGTTCAACGAGGTATTGTGGATGCGAGGAAACTCACAAGATTCGGCCTGTCCACGCGTTAGCTGCTTGTATTCGTCATCGCAAACCATCACACCTACGCCATCCACATCGGAAAGCAGTTTATCACCACATGGTTGTAGAAGGGCTTCAAGACATATCGCGATACCAGACTGTGGTCGACCCCAGAGTACTTGTACTCCTTAAGCTTCGGGAGCTTGTCCTGCCGTATGTACACCATAACGGTGAGTGTATGTTGTGTCTATCGCGTCGCAACCGTGCAAAGGAGGTGAAGTATGGAGGAAAGCAAGAGATGGTGATAACACAATTTCAGGGTTTCGGTTCTGGTTTCGCGTGTAGCTTGTAATGGTGATGACGTGGGGGTGGGGTCTGGCGAAAACACAAGTCTGGCTCGCTTGAATCATGGAACGCGCGCACGTGCTGACAGCGCTATCAAGATGCTGCAACGAAAGGAGCACGCGTTTTTTGGGCATGTCGATGGATTAGATTGCTGCATGATACTACCGGACGCTTTTTTGCCCGGACGAGGCCATTGCCCGGAGTGGAGTTATACTACAAGAAAATCTTTCTGCGCCTGAACATGAATCACCCGCCTGAACTGGCTTAAGCCTTCGCCCGCCACAAACTCGCAAATATCAAAGATGTGCACGTCCCTTATGCGACCGGGCTCCATGGGCAAGGGATCAAAATCCTGCTCTTCATCTCTTGGATCAGCGGTACAGTCTTGTGCACTGTTTCACCCCAGCCCTCGACGCTCCAGCTCTGTTCGCGGCGAACCTTGCGCTCCTCGAGATTGGCAAACTGCCACAGGTGGTGCACCGTGTTCAGCTCCCCTATCTGCACGAACCACGCACCCACGCCCTCCATGACCTCCCGACGTGCCTTCAGACCGCGCCTCCAGTGTGTCTCCCACTCGAGAAGGTTGCCGGGATGAAGCGTGTAGGAACGGAGCTCGAAGAGGCCTCCCAGCTGGCGCGGCGGAGTCGTGGGCCAGAAGGAGAACTCTTGCATCAGCGAGGTTCGCTTCGAGTTGATCAGGTGCTTTAGCTTGGAATCGAATTCGGGAAATTCGGGGTGGTGCTGGATGGCGTTGAGCGAGGCGTGGTAGCCCTCATACCGCTGGTACTCCCAGATGTGTACTAAAAGAAGGTTAATCAGAACGCTGCTGTATTCGTACAATTGGCGAGTCCTTACCGAACGTGTCACAGTCGCCAACCTCGGTTCTCCAGCTGCCTACCAGATGCACTTTGTTTTCCGGCATCGATGCCACCCTAGGATACCAGTTGCCGACGAGCTCCGTGTACTCATCGACCTTGTCGGGCTTGACCTCATGGAAGACGATGGAATGCACGTACTTGCCTCTAGCAAGGACCTGTGAGAAGCTCCTCTCGATGTCCTTGTCGAGCTCGCGTCCCTCGGGCGTGCCGTATATGAGCGACTTCAGCGCACCGCCCTTCTTCTTGTCGCCATCGTGATCTTGTGCACGAGCGTCTTCTGCATTGGAAGATGTTAGTGATCCGAGGGCACCCAAACCCGACCTTTCGCCAGCAGAAGTACCAGACGCAGACAGATTACCAGAGGAAAATGACTGACTTTCTCTTTGCTCCTTCTGCTTTTGAGCGGTTATCAAGCTCTCACGGTACTCTTTCTGTCGTGTATTGAATTCGGCAGCTCCATCGGCCTTGACATCGGCGAGGGCAGGGGCCTTGTGGCTCTGGGCTGCGGCGTAGGCTGTAAAGCAGCGCGAATTGACGGCGGTGGTCGTGTGCTGTGCGGGAAGGGCGTTGCGCAGTCCAGCACCGACACGACGGGCGAGCATTGCGACGGTCTCTAGCTCAGGTAATCGACGTCAAAGGGAATGGAAGCTCGCGCGAGCTGTTGCGGGGGAAGATGGAGGACTGAGGCGAGGTGTTGTGGCAATGGCGGTGAGTGTGAGCTGTATGGAAGCGGCTCTGAGTCTGCGTCTGCTACTTCAACTGCTGTGTAACCAGCTGCGCGATGACTGAGGGGAAGCTCTCAGGTGCACCTTCCATCCTGGCTGTGGCCCAAGCTCTTAGCGCGCCATCTAGCACGGGGGAAAGCTGGGGAAGTCGCCCCAGAAAGACCCACACAGCATCATGCAATAATTCGCTGCCTCCAGCATTCACATAGATCCAGCCAATTCCACGCTCTGTTTCAGAGCCTCAACTCCACTGTGGGCTTATTTGCTGCGCGCTGCGCGCTGCCCTCTGCCATTGACGTCATATGCTTCACCTTGGCGATCCGCCTATGCATGGAGCTGCATGCGCACCGCATCCGCGGCCGGGAGGCTCAAAGGCTCGTTCGATGATCATGCCAGCTGATGGCCATCATCTCGAGACAACGTTTTGGCAAGAGCTATGTGAAATTTAAGGCAATTGACATTCTATCTACGCCGTCTATACACTTCTTGGAACCACGCACAGAGGACAGTTCGTGTCGATTGCCTTACTGCGCTTGTCGTTCCACTATACGTACGCTACAACTGCGCAATCCATTCTAGCAAAGTACTTGGCTCGACTCTCTTCCTGTAGTCCGCTTCGAGGTACAAATTCTTAACAATGCCGTCCTTGTCCACCAAGAATGTAGCTGGAATTGGCACTTCGAACGTGTCATCACCATTCTGCTTCTTTAGGTCCTGGGAATCATATTAGACGCGCGTCCTAGAGCATGGAGCTATCAACCTACAAGACCAAACTTCTCAAATATTGGCTTCATGCTATCGGGCTGCTTCCAGACAATCCCAAGCTCTCGCGCAAGCTTGTTGCCCTCATCGGAGAGCACAGGAAATTGAAGCTCGTTCTTCTCTTGCGTTGACAACGAGGCGTCAGGGAGCTCAGGCGAGATAGCGACAAGCTGGACTCCCTGCGTTTTGAACTCATCGAGCCGCTCCTGGAGTCCGTGGAGGGCCAGATTGCAGTAGGGGCACCAGTTGCCGCGGTAGAAAGTGACGAGAAGAGGACCGTTGGCTAAGAGACTGGCGCTTGAAACCGGCGTGCCCGTTGCGTTCGGTAGAGTGAAGGAAGGAAAGGTTTCGCCAACCTTGATCACTTTAACTGGAACAGCAAACTTGTCTTTTGCATCTTCTATTGCGGCCATAAGCGTCTCGGGTACTCCAGGTGGAGCCTTTGCGTAGAAGTCGGCGGTCGCGGCTTCCAATTTGGACGCAAGAGTGGTCGTCATTGTCACGGATGGGTGCTTGGGGATATTGACAGATTATTCAATGAGTTGGGTAGGTTGTGATGCTTCTTGTCGAGCTCTACGGGCACTTCTACTTGTACGTTTTATATTCCCTATTTATTCACGGATTTCACTGCTGGCCTCAGCGGGGCGGAAGTACAAAATCATTGCGCCCGCGATGTGCGGAGTGAAGACGCCCAAAACAGACAGCAGATACTGTGTTAGATCGGTATGTCGGACGCCGGCCTTGACCTAGGACTCGCCTAAAAGCAAATCCGTAAGCACATCGTTCGATCCCTGCACAAACTGCTTTCAAAGCTAGATTACTGACCAATGGGACAGTAGGGAGTATCGAAAGATTTGGAAACAAAAGTTGCGAAAGAATGCACGGTAATCTCGTGATGATGGTCGAATCGGAAGATTGCGATCACTTCGCATCACACTCCGCATCCGACTGCCCAACAGTTCAAGCAAGACATTCCTCACGGGGATCAGCTTTTTCCTAAACAAACAGAGAGGCACACCACTAGAAGGTACACTGCGCCTAGGCGGGTGACGTAAGATGGAAGGCGCGACACCTCAGCACATCTATCGCACTTGCCGGTCTTGCAATACACCATCACGACAATCCGAAGGGAAATTCGATAGAAGTTAGCCCTTGCTAATCGACTTTGATGAGCTGGGATATGAAAACACCGTCATTACATGGCATAAAGTGTGTTGCAAAGCGCCATGGATTGAGGCGCACTTAGCTCGATCACCCGTCAGTGTCTACCATGCTCTTGCGAATTTCCGCGACGTCTACCAGGCATGCAATCGCAAGGAGGCAACACCACTACGCTCCCGCGGAATAATACAATCAAGCCAGCGCTCGTGCTGAGAGTCAATATGTAATGGCATGCATCGCAACCCCACCATTCCTCTCAGGACCTGTTTGCACTGGCGGCGCTCCTGCGTTCGTTAATATCAGTTGACAGAGGAACACAGGTAGTTCAATGTGCAAAGTGGTGAGGGTCGCCCACTCGTTTGCGGGTGTTGACCGCTGGAACCGTAGGTCGCGATAAAAAGGCATTCTCGGCCACCCATGTAACTTTGGTATGATATCTCAACACACAACGAGCCCTTTTATATAAATATACACACAAAACATGACTTCCCCGTCACTCATTCCTCGTCCGACCACCACTCCATTCGACTACTGCCACACCCGAGCGGGATCAAGGAGGCGTACTAATACGTATTGAATGTTTCTGCTAGGACTCACGACCACATCCTCTTGCGAAAACCACTACTCCGCTGGTTCAAAAGTTGAGTATATTGTGTAATCCTAGGATAGGCAATTCAACCCCCGGTTGTTTCCAGCTTGACTCGTACTGTACGAAAGCCGTCGTCATGGGTGATCACAATGGCCTCCACGCTCCTTACTGGAGACAAATAAACTCCGGGCGGGTCTCGCCATCGGATCCTCGAGGAAGCAGAAGTTCGTCTGACTCCACACTAGTCGCATGGTCTTGTACCTCAAACGACAGAGGTAGAATAACGGAGTGGACGGAAAGCTACGAATATGGCCGACCCTCCGAAGAAGCAGCACAGAGCGACTCTAGGGAGGACAGCCCGAAGACGTCGAGCCAACGCGGACCATTGATAGTCAACACCTCTAAGGGCAGATCGAGGCGCGGCTCAAGCGAAAACTACAAGTTGGGCTTCATATATGGTTCACCGAGGGACCTGAACCCAGAAGCCGACGACTTCAAGATAACGGAGGATGATTGGGCCCGCGAGAAGGCTCCAGACCGAAGATTTGCTCCGGCAGCGGCCGCATCCTCTGAGTCTCCCTTGGCGAAAGTGGATGCCGCCATGGAAGTTGGCCCTTCGAAGCAGCCTGCGATTTCCGTCAAGCCCCCCAGCCAACCCATGCTTCCGTATCCCCCGGAAGTTGGCCCCTCGCAACAGCCTTCGAGTTCCTCCGAGGTCAACAAACCCACGCTTGCGCATCCCATCACATTTGACCCTTCGACCCCGCTAGATAAGCTCCCGTATATAGATTACACGTAAGTAGCCCCTACTTCTAAAGCAAGACGGTGAACACTAGACCCGCCTTGCCTCTCTACTCTTCCTTCCTTTACTGACACCCCCCAGCGAGACAACCACCTGCTGCGCCGCAATCGGCCACTACCACTCGCGCCCCCAATCCTCCAAGCCCACGCACAAGATGATGACCTCGCCCAACTTCACACTCGTCATCCGCCTGCTGGGCCCTTTCGACAAGAACGGCCGCCAACCCGGCCTTATCATCCCGCAGACGAAACGCTTCACGATCCGCGTCATGGGGAAAGGGTTTATGCCTGGTGAGCGGAAGGTGGAGATCTGGAGGAACGGAGAGACATATCAACTTGCTGGTCTTATTGCGGTGATGGCGGATGAGTGCGGGTGGTTTTTGGGGGATACGAAGTTGAGGTGGAGTGGTGTTGGGTACGTGGGGAGGGAGACGAGTAGGAGTTTGGCGCTGAAGTGCGGGCTGGGAGTAGCTAGCTCTAGTGATGGTGACGAAGCGGCGGGCGTGGTGGGCGAGCCGTAGGGGGAGATGGGGCATTATGAAGGGAAGCACGCCCGGGCGGTGTGGAAGTCGACAATATATAGGTTTAGAGGGTAGTGCGTATATCCGCTACGGGCATATATGGAGGTATTCCAAAGAAGGAATATGGATGGGTCGATGGTAATAACAGTTATGGTGGATGCACTATGGGAAACGTCTTGAGAGAGGTGGTTCTGCTCACTAGCAGTGACGCTCACGCGGGTCAATGATGCCGTAAGGATCGTTGCTTATCAGAGTTTCTGCTTAATTAAATCCGTAGTCCAAAGTTTTTGGGTGTATCCATGCAATGTCTGTGTGGCTTAACAGAAGAGTAGAATATTCTCAGAGTGATGGTGGAGATCTGGCAAACTTCCTAATCGGGTAATATATGTCTAACTGTGGATTGCTGCTCATTTTCACCAGGTGAATGAGTGGTCTGTGCAAGTATAGTCTTGTGCATCACTCTCAAGCTCTACGAAGGAGCTCGTGTTTAGTAAGTCCACGTCACCACTCTCGCTAATCCTACCTAGGTAAGGTGGCTCAGGGTGGCTCCTTAAGTACGAGCTCCTCCGTATAGAAAGGAATGATAGTGGAACTACGATTCTAGGAAAGATGGTGAGCCAATTTGCCAAACTTCCTAATCGGGTAATGAAAATGCAAAAGTGTCGATTGCGGTGTGGTCACCGTCACTTTTTCGAGAGGTGAATGGCCCGTGCGCTGCGGCCCAAGCTCACAGACATGACCCACTAAAACTTTGGAACGGCAAGGCGCCACGACCTGATCGCCAGTAACAACGACAACAGGCAAGACGCCGAGACTGGACAAGACATGCCGGAATCCATGTCGCACTCCGGCGTGAACATGGCTGTCACGGAGGATGGCGCGGCTTATAACAAGCTTCGCAGGCCGGACGATTACCTACAGTCACTCACCGCGCAATACCCGGCCAAGAGCGAACTACCGCCCGCGAAACGAAAGTTCGAAGCCGTTGCTACCGCAGACCATGAAGACGGCCAAGCGCCAAACACCAAGCGCTCAAGAGAAGAACATGCGTCCGCGGGTGCGACCTGTGCAAGAGCTGTCGCAGGCGACAAGAGGCGCGTCTTCCGCCCAGTTAAAGAGAACGGCATGCAGACCATGTTCCCCGGCCTAGACGACGACTCTGCTTCCGACGAAGACGACACTACGAGGGACGCCCTCGCGTACCTTCGCAGCGTGAGGTGAGTTCACCCCAACATGCCTGTCATGCACAACGTTGACATTGAACACACAGCTTACCTGTGTGATAGGTCCGAAGCTTCTACCATACCCACCCTCCTCGTCGCACCGCCGCAAGCGCCGAGACACAACGAACTCGATCACTCAATGTACCATGACGGAGTTGGAGATCATAGGGCCGTATACCAGGATGGCACGTGGGTCGCTGTGGACGAGGATGTGGACGTGGAGTACTACGACGAAGACGAGGACTGGTCACAGTACGAGGACGACATCAATCCACAAGAGGGATACTACACGTCCCTGCTTAGGCGCTACAAAGCTCTTCGGAGTACCCTGGCCAACGCTGATCCGAAGGAGCTGGCTGCTTTGGTGAAAGCGGATCCGGAGAAGTACGCGAACGTGAGGGTGCCGTATTACAAGAGCGACTGGCGGTATGCGTTCGACAACAAGTACCCAACACCGGCGTTGGTGGCTCAGATCGACGAGAAGAGCCTCTATCGCACAATGGAGTATGTCTCAGAAGTCTTAATCACGGGAGACACTATATCGAAACAGAAGAGCTGCTGGATATGGACGCTGCTAGCTTTGGCTGGGGACTCAGGTACCCTGGACTACTACAAGGTCGGTCGCATCAGGGAGCTAGGGCACAAAGCGGGTCAATTGAGCATCCGTCTGCGAAGCGGGGTGCGGCGAGATGCAGACGGAGTCGAGAAAGAAGGCGACGCAGAAGACTGGGAGGTCGAGGGAGAAGGCGTTGACGAGGACGAGCAAGACGAGAACGAGAATGGCAAGGGGGCTGAAGCGAAAGAGAGCAGGCTTACGCCAGAGGTACAGCGTCACGCTATCGAAGATGGTGAAGGGGGTAATCATGAGGAAGAGTACGAACCGCCCACGGACATCGGCGGCCAGTCATACGGAGCCACCGAACAGAAGCTTGCAGTATATGCTTCCCAGCCTTCCAACAAGGGCCACGAAGAAAAGAACATATCAATTTCCGAAGATGAAGGCGAGATAGAAGAGGATGAGCCCGAAGTTGAAGACACGCCGGCCGACCTAGAAGCAGCGCGTGCCCGCCTGCTCGCCCAACTTGGAGAAAACCTCGTCACAGAAGCCGTTCCAAACCTCAAAATACCAGCCCACCAGCTTCGAGGAAAACAAGCTCACGTAGAGCCGCGTCAAGGTGGACGCCACCGACACAATGGCAAGTGGTGCAAAGAGCTGTCGTGCCAGATGAACAAAGGACGACAAGAGGCCCATCGTAAGGCAGCGTTGCGAGCTACAAAGGGTGTGATGGCGAATAGAAGCAGGTCTGAGACGTCGTTGCAATCTCGGCAGGATACACAATCAGCGGCAAATCAGCAGCGACAGAACAATGCATCAGAGGAACCTCCCGCACCCGCGAGCGCAGACGCCTCTACTTACGAGCCTGCAGTGCTCTCAATCCCACAGGCCACGGAAGATACTTCTCGGAGTTCGGCTATAGAAAATGAAGCTGAGGCTCTTGGTGAGGCTCCAGCAGCTGAAAAGATCGACCCAGCGGCCTTCCTAATATTTCTCCACTCAGCTATACAGGGCGATCTTTCAGACGGGGAAGCAGAAATCTTGAGGGAATTCCCGCCCGAACTGGCCTTGGAAGCTCACTCGTTCTTTAACCGAGACGATGGGACAGGAACAGACGAGGACTTCTTGCGACAGCTCCCGCCAGATATCGCTGCGAGCGTTCGCGAGGGAATTCGTATCAACCGTATAGGCAGTGTGTCTGAGCGGCGGGCCATCGATGTCGAGTGGGAATCATCCAGCGATCGAGAGGACGAGCGGCGTGTAGAGGAAGTCGATCTGAACACAAGAGTAACGATTGATATGATCCTGACAGTGGTGGGTGAATGCTATGGGCAGCGGGACTTGTTGAAATTTCGGGAGGTGTGGTGAGGATGCGCTTCGACATCTCGAGCTGGGATTAAGTCATTGGCATCTTGAACGAGAGGAGAGAAGTAAGGATTGGGGCGACGAACAGATCTCGAACCAACGGCACTCTGTCGCTTTCAACATTAGCTCCTTACTCCGCCTTCAAACATTATCATCCTCCAAATTACGACGTGCAGGTAACTCATAAATCTTCTCCCTCTCTCCGTCCCCCATCTCATGCGCATTTGCCGCAGTCATCAGCTCAGTCTTCTCCACACCCTCAAGTTCTGCCTTCGTTTGTATTGTCGGCGCCGCATCTCCTTCCACTACATCACTTTCCTTAGGGTGCGTTTGCCGTCTCACGACAAAGACGATACCGCCAAGGACAAGCAATGCACCGACTGCAGCCCCAACGCCTATCCCTGCCTTTGTCGCCGTAGAAAGCGAAGAACTCGTGTTCGGGCTAGGAGGTGGAGACTGCGTGACATATACCGTCTCCACAGCACCGCCAGTGCCTTTTGCAACACGGCCGGTCGACTCCTCCGTCGTACCTGTCGCTCTTCCACTCGTACTGGCGGCAATTGTGGTAGTGCTAGTCGGGACATCCCAAATGGCGTCAATTGTGGTACCGACATCCGTACCTGTATTATCAGCACTCCCTTCGCTTGGTGGAGAAGTATACTCTTACCATTACACGTATCACTCAACCACGCCAACACCAGCGTAACCTCACTCTGGCTACAAGCCTGCTTCGAACAGTCTTTAATCCCCTTACTAAAGTTGTCTGCGACGCACAGACAGGTCGTGTCTTGAGTGCTCGTGCAACCGAATTCTGCGTACTGGCCGAGAGAATTGTTCACACAGGTTTCCTTTGCCATCAGTTGGGGGAGCATGTGGTAGGAGAGGGTAGCTTACGCCGCACTGTGTGAGGCCGTCTCTCTGTGCGTTCGTGAGGGTCGGGAGGATGAGGAGGGCGAGTAAGGCTGAGATTGGGGAGAGCATATTGATGTACGCTCATCTAGTTCCTGGACTAAGCGTGCAGGGCAAGAGACAATCCAGCTGTTGCTACCTATATACCTTGTAGAGGCGGGGTGGCAATCCCGCTCATCGAATAAGACTGCTTCTGCACCATAGTTGTCTGGGCGATGGGGGGCCAAATTGGCGATCATATCTGGATGTGGCGTACAAGTCGCGTTCTGTTAGGCTGGCGAACCCCCAGCCTTGGGCGGAGCAACATCTTTAACTGGATGATGTGATGGGGAACACGAGCGACTGCATGCAGAAGGGGCCTGGATCTCGTGTATGGAATTATCTGTGTGTGTGTTTGCTACATGCGTACTGCGTACGTGCAGTTGAAAACCCGGGAGATGATGCAGGCTGTAGTGAAGCAAAGTTACCTAGGTATATTTACCGATACATCTACCACACGTGAGTAGCATGTCACGAGAGGACCTGCCAACTATTTGAATGAACCCATTTTCGTCTACCTACGCTACGCAGAGCGGACAACAACAAAGTACATAGGCTACTTGATACCACTCTTCTAAGCGATTAGATTGGAACAATTTCCACCGGATTGTATCCGCCTAGTACTTATTACTTACAGGAGCCCAATCCATACGCTTCCATCTTCTTAATCGCTTAGCTATCAGCTTCGAGGACATGTTGAAGGAATTTGTCGCAAACGGTACTCCTCAACTTGCCCAGCACACCAACGCAGACGTGAATATCGTAAAGACGGCGGTAAAGGTAAGGTTGAGGAAGGAGGCGCATAGGTTGTCAACGTCGTACAATTGCCCCTTTAACCTGAACTTGAGGTTTCGGACCAAGAGGGCTTCTGCAACTTCCATTATCATCCCTTACACAGCTTTTATACTGTAGGTTCCATTGCTCATGGGTGCTGTTTATTTGTCTTGCTAATGTCACCCCTCCCATTGGCCCCTGCTCAAGCCCCATCTCACTCCTATCCACAGCGCCACCACGCCGAACGCCAACATCCACAGAAACACACCCAATTGTCATCACGAACACAACCTCGCCTTAGACGAGCCGCCCAATGAAACAGAGAGTGATTATTGCAGGACCCGCCTCAAATCAACACATCCCGCCTCCTGCGCAGAGTTGCCGCTTGAGGAAGGTTAGCAACGACAAGAAACATGCACCCTTGCACCCTTGCACCCTTGCACACGGTGAGCTCGAAAAGCTCCCCTGCTGCGAAAAGACGAGATAGACACGCATTTACCGCCTCTATATCCCCATAGCACTACAACCCTTCTCAAACCCAGGTACGCGGGAGCCCTCACCCTTAGTCCCGGGCTCAACACGTGCCGTGCGACTCTTCGCCCCCCACGTAGCCCTGCGACGCGACCGCCAAAACAATGCGCATTACCAACACCCCACGCCGGGTACCGTTGCCTGCGCCTCGCTGCAATCGATGCCTTTCGTTTTCTGCCTCGCTGGGCAAGTGCCGCGCGCCTGAGCCTGATGGTTGGTTTGACTAAACTGTGGTCCGCGGGTTCACGTGCGGGACCGCGTGGAAGTGGGGTGCCAATAGTTTGCTGCGATCGATGCGTGGTACTGGGCGGGTTATTTCTGCATCGGGTAGGTTGGGTGGGTGGGTTTCGATTTGGAGGAGAAGGGCTGGATTGCTGCAAGATTGATTGATTCGTTTGTTTGCTTGTTGTTGAAGATCAGACTTTTCTGCTGCGGGTGCAGGTCGCGTGGAATAAATGGCAACAGAGAGAGAGCAGCGCATCGCGCATTTGTGTGCGAACTTGTTTTCCGGTCATTGTACTGCGCTTGACAAAATCTGCCTATGTACCTTCCACTTTTTCCATGGTGCGCGCTTCTTCATCTACCAAAGCGGTCTACATTGTTGTTATGCGAAGCGGGGAAGCAGACCCTGATCGACCTCCTACAATCGACGGAATCCTTTTCTTTCTCCTTTTGGCACTTTGCAAGGTTTCCCGGACCCTGGATCGTGGCAAACGAAGGGTTTCAGGGGCCTAGAAAGACCCTGATCGACCTGTCTGCGATCAACACCTACCCTTTTGTTTCTGTTTTGGGCAGGGGCACAACACTGAGGAGCGTCTTTGTGTGGTACTGATGGTGGAGTCTCAACAGTCTGGCTATGATCGATGCAGCTCGTCTGGTATCTGCGTTGAGGTTGTTGAGACGCTTGACCCATAGACGAGGATTGCGGTGTCGTGGGAAACCTTGGACGGAGGTAAGAGCTAATCTGTCTACAATCAACACACCTCACGTTCTTCCTACTTTCGGCAAAGGAGAACAAAAAGCCTACAGCGAAGACTCGGAGCCGTGTATCCTGAGTCTGGGACACTATTGTGACTACAATCGATGCATCATATTCGATTTCTACTTTAGGCTCGTTGAGAAGTATGCTCCGTGGATCATTGCAATTAAAGTCAGGTAAAGTCAGGTATAGATGAATTAGTGAAGGCTAGACCGGGCCCACTGTGATCGACGGAGATGGTTGCTGCCGTTTCGGGCATGCTATTCAAGGATTTTGGAGAGCAGGGCGCGATTCGTTAGGTGCATAGCCGGGAGGATGGATGGTGTGCATATTGATCACGATATGGGAAGGAATGGGGGCGGTACATGTGATGGACAACAAAGTTATTTAGATTTATGATTCGTGGTGACAAAGAAAATAACGTATTGGGATATCGTACAGAGATCGTATTCAGGATGCTATGAGCGTGAAATGAATATTGGAATATTAGAGTAGGGAGAATTAAATATGCTGTCTAGTGGTAAAAGTAATGCTGAAGAAAGGAAAAGGAGTCGCCGATTGCTGCTTTAACATTATGTATCTACGCAAGCGCAAAGGCCATGTGTGGAAGCAAACTATCTCCGATCTGGATGTCCGTCTCTTTGGAGTTGCGAAGAATCGGGCGATGCTGTCGCCAAAGGAGTCATGATAAGATCGGTCCGGTATTTGTGGAGTGAACATTCGTTATAAAATCATCTTCTAACGCATTCTCTAAGGCTATATATGCCCTTTAGACTGTCTCTAATCCGAGACCACTAACACTAACTTTTAGTATCTAGCTTTTTAGTAAAATTTGGCTCTTTTTTATTAGTTTCTATCTTAGATATTACTAAGATTTAATTCTAGCTATTCTAATAGGCTATATAGTATATAGTTTAGTTATAATAGTTATAAAAACCCTTTAGAGGTATCCCCTAGATACTTCTATAGTTACCTACTAGCCTAATTCTAAGTTAGTAAAGTAGACTAATATATAGTACCCCCCTAAAAGGTAATAGTAGGTATATTATATATTACTATTATATTTTTAGTTTAGTAAAAAGGTATATACTACTTAAGCCCCTACTACTAGTATAGTTACTAAAGTATTTAATACCTACTTTACTACTACTAGATAGGTAGTAGCTATATAAAAAGCTATAATTATAACTATAGTAGAGGCTATAAACTAATACCTTTATAATTATTACTATTTAGAGAAATAGGTAGCTACCTATATCTTTTACTAAAGGGTTATATAGGCTCTAAATATTTTTAGTCTAGTACTAAGCCCCTAGTACTAAAATATCTAATTAGGTAATACCTCTATATTTTTTCTCCTAAGGGCTATTTCTTATACCTAGGCTAGTATTACTACTTAGAATATAGTAGCTATATTAGAATATACTATAGGTAACTTTAGAACTACCTAAAATACTAATATATATACTAGATACTATACCTATTTATCTAAGTACTAATAGACTACTAAGAATATATATATTCTCTTTATAGTACTTATTTTTAAGAAACTAGTATAGAGTACTTTATATACTATTAGAACTACTATTTATACTATAATAGGTATTAATCTTAGTAATATACTAATAGTATCTAAGACTAATATTAGCTAGGCTATTACTCTACTTAATAATACTATTAGGGTTTAACTAATAGAATAAAAGACTAGAGAGTTTATAATCTAGGCTATTAATAGGGAGAATATAGCCTTACTCTAGAGATAGATTAACTATATAGTACCTAAGGTTTCTAGCTCCTTTTACACTCTTAATAATACTAAAATTCTAGTTACTATATAAATAATTATAGAAAAAGTAGCTATCTAGATAGGCTCTTAACCTATTAACTACTATACCTTATATTATAGGCCTAACTAATTTAGTTATATAACCTAGATTATCTTATATATATAGAAAGTTAGACCCTTTAGGCTTTTAGGAGCTAGTAACCTCTTAAGAGAGATTATTAAAAAATAATCTATTTACTACTATAAACTAGACTACTAGGGCTATTATAATCTAGCCTATTACTTATATACCCCCTACTATAGTATATATAGTAGGAGGTAAGAAGACTATACTAGTATTAAGTCTAGAAAGGGTAGCTAATCCTAAATAGGTTAAGATTAGTTCTTAGGTAAGACTTACTAAGGGAAGGAAGAAGGGGTTCTTATTAATATAGAAGTATTTTATAAAGTGTAATAAGTTAATAAGGAAGGCCTAAGTAAATCTAAATAATAGATTAAAACTTAGGTTAAATATAAGTATAAAGGTTTATTCCTATATTTCTATATAGGGATTTTACTTAGTTACTTAGGAGCCCTAAATAGCTAAGTAGGTTATATAATAACTCTTAGCTACTTAGTTATTTAGAAACCCTAAGTAGCTAAGTAAGTTATGTAACTACTATCTAAGTAACTTAGCATGTCTTTATCTTATTATAACCCTAGTTATTATATCTTTTATCTTTATAAGTACCTAAACTTCCCTACTATTATCTAGTTTATAATATTATCCCTCCCCTTCTTATTCTTTACTCTAAAGAATTATACCTACTAACTATTATCCTATAAAGCGTTATTATAAC